GGGGTTGCGGTGTTTGTTGTAGTATAGGTATAGGTAAGGTATAGTAGCGTATCTTCTTCCTCCTCCTCCTCCTCCCTAAGGGTGACTGGTTTCGCTGCTTTCTTTCATAATTGGACTCTTTTTTTTGGACTTCGACTGCGCGGTTATTGCTTTCTTCTTCTCTGATTTGCGGGATCTTTGCGAATGATCAGTATACAGTCAGGATGGGAAGACATACTGGCAATAATAAAGGTCTTTTTTGCATTCATCTTATCGTTTCTGGGTATCATTTTCATCATCTATCACGAAAACGCCATTGCCCCACGCTTCTCTTTCTATGCAGATTTTTGTGGTGGAAAAACGACCTTGTTTTCGTCACGTCTATCGCGGCCGTTGCAACTCTTTTACTTCCTCACAAAAGTCCTGTTCTGATTCTCTTTGGAGTCTGCTCTCACGACCCAACATACCAAATCTCCACGCCCATGACATCAAACTTGCCCCCTTCTTCACTCAACGGCTCGTTTCCAAAGGTCGGACAGGTCGCACTGACACCATTGCCCAAACCCTGATCCAGCCATAATCCATAATGCCCATCACCACCTCCTACGCTGAAATAGTCCTGTTGACAGAAAATCGTGAAATCGTTCTCGCCTGTATATGGAAACGCCTTGAAACGTATTCGATCCGGTGTCACTGACCCGTTGGTCGGTTTGCCATGTCCATTGGTGGTGCCAGGCGCGCTCAACGACGCAAGAGAAGCGCTGCTCCCATTCCGCGTCGCCGCGCCAATCGTGGTCATCCGTTGCGCATGCGTGGTATCCGCAGAGGGCGGAGGAGGTAGATCTATGAGATCTGGCAGGCCAGGCAGGACAAGGGCTCGCCAGAGAAAACATTCTCCATTTCCAAAGTAGTGGGGTTGAGGTCGCGGTGGGTCCGACAAGTATGCGCCGAAGACTCCGCCGGAGGAGTCGCGGACCACGACGATGAAACCTCCGCGTTTACCACGGTAGTGGTCGCAGAGACTGTAGAGAGTGGAGAGGGAGCTGCCATTTTGGTCGATGGAGTAGATGAGGTGCCATGTGTCTTGGAGTTGTAGGCGGGGCGGGATGAGCAGGCGGATCTCCTCTGCTACCGCCTTGCGGAGGAGCTTTGCTTTGTGGCTCGTGCTCGTTCTGTACCCTGTGAGGGTCAAAGGCGTGAGGGGCGGCGGTTGGAAGGGCGATCTCTTGCGGAGTGGTTGCTGGGGCGGATGGTACACGCCGGTGGTCGGGTCCGTCATGGAGCCGTTGTAGTTGGCGCTCAATGCTTTGGCGAGCGGCGTGGGGGCGTCGTCTTCGGACAGGCGGCGGAAGAGAGACGAGGTGGTGTATCGCACGGGCTCGGTGAAGTACTGCAGCGTCGACAGCAGCGGAGTGGACAGACGTTTGCGGTTGGGGGTGTGGAGAGGCGGGCGTGAAGGCGGAGGTGAAGGAGAAGAGCCGCCGCCGCCGCCGCCGTCGTCGTCTTGTGCATCGGCGGACATGACTTGTCGTACTGTTCGATTCGTGAAACAAGCGCGATTTCGTCAAACAGCAAACCACCTCGATATTATAATATGATGGGGTGACGTTGATTCACTTGAGCAACCACTCAACCGGTGTACCTCACATAAGCTTACGGCTAAGCCGCCCAGATACGGGTGCCTGGCACGTGAATAGGTAACATAGAACCATCAACTACAAGGGGCTGCCCAGAATGCCAATTTCCCATGCTTATTATCTCCCTGCACCCTCCTCCTGGTCTGGAGTCTGGACATGGCCAACCGCTTTTCTCGTACACTACGGTACCACAACGCTCGCTACCAAGACGGGCGAGATGTAAGTACCACCAAGCAGCCACTCTTTGCATCACGATGGGATGCCTTTCAGGGGCTGCCACGAACATGCTGCTTTCCACGGCATATCTTGTGCAATATGCAAGCTCCTGAGTCCTGATGAGCCTCACGAAGCTGGAAAGTTAGTCAACGGTGGCCCTGCTTTGCACGAAGCATAGCAGGCATTGACTGAACCAACAACTCCGTTTCAGCCCTTCAGGCTTGCGGGGACAATAATTTGGGATTAATAAAAGGGCGAGAGATCTGAGAGTATCTTGATCATTTTGATCTTCACTTCTTCGCTGCACATTCAGAAGAATACCCGTTTGTACTTGGTTATATCGACCTTACTCGCAGTCACCATGATGCTCGGGCTACTCATCCAATATGGCATCATCTTCGCAGCCTCTACACAAGCAGCTGCAGTCAAGCCATGTAAACATGCCCATGCCCATCCCTTGGCTGCCTTATACGACGGCGCTGCTGCGCCTCCGACGAACCAAGAATACTCCCCAGAGAGGCTCGAAAAGCCCGCAACACACTCAGAAGCCGTAATGGCTGAGCTCAAACGTCTCTCAGATGTCCACAGACAGTATGTCCAAGGCCTTGGAGACACTTTTGTAGCATTCCACAAGCTCACGCGAACTTTTGCGCAGCACTAGACTACATTTACATCATCATCATATCAATCATTCCAAGGAGCCTACTACTCCCATTGACGATGCAGCGAGTCATGACGAACCATCGCTCACAATCGCCGAACCGGTGACAGAGAGTCATGAGCAACAACAACTGCCGAGCGATCTCTTGACAGAGCAAGAACAAGAACAAACACAAACCACTTCCGAAGAATCCGAAAAACAAGATCTCAAACGCTGATCATCATCATGATCTTGAACCCACAAAAGATCTCACCACGATATATCTACCCCTCTCCCTCCATCTTCCCGCCCACCAAGAAACATGCCGAAGACCAAAGGAAATTCTGCCATACCGAAAGCCAGCCAACCCTCCAGACTTCAAACTTCAAATTTCTTCTTCTCTACGCGCACGATCCAGATCCGCAAACACGATCCTCTATCTACCTAACTACACGAGGCATCTCCGGACCTCCCAGGCAGGACACAAGGGTTCGTTATGAAGAAAAAGAAGCAAGCAAGCAAGCATGAAGCGACGATAAACCGTATCGGCAGACCTACAAGGTACCTGAGCAATTGCTCAGCCCATGTAAAGAGGGGAGGAGGGGAGATTTGGGGAGATTTGGGAATACGTGCGAGCGAGGAAGGCGGGAGGTCTCGACGGGACCTTACAGGGTAGGCCTAGTAGGTACCTGTATGCCGAAAAGAAAATCGAGGTGGAACACACACAGACAGGGCGATGTGGAATGGCTCGATCTGAGATGATGAGAGCACTCAGACCGATTGTCGTTTGTGTGTGGCTGTGATGGATGACCCCAAATGATTCTTCTTCTTGGGCTTCGAAGGCGGAATGCGGAGGAACGGTGAAGTGTACGGACAGCAGAGGAAGAAGTGATTTGTAAGAAAAACTCGTAAACTGTATACCGAGGGGTATCTCCCAAGGACATGGGCTATTCTGCCATGTCGTTGCTTCATGCCGTCGTAATCTGTGTACTGTTGTCCATTACCGGTTTTTTTCTGTTCTCAGTGTGCTGTACCAATAGGTCTGGCTCCCGTAGCATACAACCACTGCGCTTAAAACAGCAATCCTCCGAGAAGTGCACCACCGAGCAAACCACCCATGACCGGCATTCCCATGCCACCACCATATCCACCCCTATTATATCCATAGCCTCCGTAGCCACCTCCGTAGCCACCGTACCCGTATGGGCTGCCATAAGGTCTAGCATACGGCATGCCAGGACGCACGTACCTAGCATTGGGCGTAGAGTAGATACCGTTGCTGTTGTACGGTGTGTAAGGGCTATAGCCATAGCCGACGCCTGGATAACCTCCTGCATATGACGCAGTTCTCGGTGGTTCAATGTAGATGTTCTTTCCGTCCTTGTCCTTGCCAATGAGTTGTGCTTCACCAGTCTGAGCAGCCTTGCGCATGGCATTTCGAATTTTGACATGCTGCTCGTATGCCCGACGCTCTTGCTCCTCGCGCTCGCGACGCTGCTGTTCGCGCTCTTCGTGGGACATGCCGGTGACCTTGTCTTTCATTTTTCGGCCAAACGAGATCTTCTCCTTGCCCTTGCCATCTTTTCCATCTTTGCCACCTTTGCCGTCCGGTCGCGGTGGAAGCTGGGCATTCGATCCTGATGCTGCGCTGCCAGCTGCAGCAGTTTGGTTCTGATAATGTGCAGGCAAGAAATCATCATCGTCGTCGTCAGAAGGTGCATGAATGTAGTCTTCCTTGGTCGGTGGGTGGTCACGCTTGTAGTTGATGCTCTCTTGCTCGACTCTCTCGCGCTCCGCGCCACTCAGGCTGTTGACATACTCTTCATCGTCGTAGGGATGATGCCAGATGGAACGTGGTGGCTCCTTGGTGGTGTCGACAAAAAACTGATGCGAGTTCTCCGGATCATAAGAGCGGACCCACCCTTGAGGAAGTGGTCGGGCCTCATCTTCCATCGATCTTCTGTACTCGACGGGAATGCCACTTTTGCCGCTGCCAGCACCAGCGCCAGGGACTGCTAGGTGGGAGCTGGCATTGTTGCTGGGTCGCGAAGCTGTCGACGATCCGGTCGCTTGCTCGTAGGAGGGAGGTGGTGGTAGGTCGGACATATTGTGCTGTTGGTCCAGTGTGATCGAATGAAGAGAAGGAGGAGAGAGAAGGAAGAGAAGGTGTTTGGTTCAAGTACAGGTAGGAGGTACCAATGGAATGTTATCCGTTCTGTCCTCTGATCGAGCTATGACGCGCCTTCCCCGCACAGCCACTGTGGCGAGTGCTTTATGTCGTTCTGGGCCTAGTTATACCTGACTAAGCTGACTTGCGCTTCGCCTCTTCCTTCCATTTCGTTGGAGAATCATCCACCTCACTCTCCTCCTTTGACCAACAACAACACTCTCGATATTGCACTGGCCACCCGAACATCAATGAAGAACATCATCACCACCTTTGCAGCTCTTGTCTCACTGGATATCATGCCACTTGTCCTCAGAGACGCTTCACAATGCCGCGACGGCCGGCTCTGCTGGCGGAAACGATGCAGTCGACGCGGACGGCATGTGATAGATTCGACACGTATGATCTCATCAGGGCATATGACACAGGGCCTCACTGTTGAATGACCTCGCTGTCCATAATGTGTACTAGATATCGCACACGTGTCCAGAAACATGAAAATTGCCCGTTGCCGGCCGATTTGTCACGTCGCCATCGACACTGCTTTCGCCGCCCAACGGCTCCGTTGGACAATCCATGGCAACCACGAACAATTCCAACACTCACCGTAGTAACAGCACGCGTAGAAGAAATGGGCACGAGTTGTAGCTCTGCCCCTGCCTGTTCCGACCAGACGTTGTAGTTTCTTTGGCAACGCGCCGCTATCAGGCACAAGACTGGCATCAGACCACCAATATGTCTCAGTAAACGCTGTCCTTCCATACTTGCAGAGTATGGCGGTCGTGCATCAAAAGGTCGAGAACGACTACTACGTTGCCAAAAGACTATGGAGTGACTGCACGTCGTAGCAACAGTTGTCCCGCCTACGCCGAAGTCCCGCTGGTCTGCTCTGCATGGCGCCAATCAGTCTACTTGGCCTCTTCTATAAGCACAGGAAGACTCCTGTCTCTTTCAAGTCCTGCACTGAACCCATCCAGATCAACACCTCGTAACTCTTGAGCACTACACCAATTTCGTGGCCTTCAAATTCCACATCCTCTTGAGCTCCTCATAGCAAGTCGGACAAAGGCGTCTCACATGCGATGCCGCGCGAACGGTCGACGAAGACGAGCACTGCAAGCATTGCGGCTGCTACCAGCCTCCTCATGGCGAGCAGCGTTGTTGGAGCTGACTTCGGGTCGTTGAGTAACATAGCTGTATATTGGGTGAGCCTCCAAGATTATTCACCTCATAATCCCACAGCTGGCTAATCATTTCATATTTCTGGCAGGGACAAAACTCTTACGGGCAAGCTGCAGGGCCATTCACACAGCAGAGCCTCGCAACGTATTGCGCAGACACCAATGTCGACATCATACCCTTGGCTTTCATGGTACAGATGACGGGTGGCTACAATATGCGATATAACACGTCAACCAACAACTACTTCCTCCCAACTGATGAGATGAGCAGGTCAAGCGGACAGAACGAGCAAAGAATGGTGTTGAATTTCGCTAATGCCGGGAATAATTGCAGTATCTTTCCGGAAACAGGACTACTCGATTGTGGATCAACCATTGGTCGGGACATCAAGACGTGTCAGCAGACGTTTGGAAAGAAGATACTGCTAAGTATAGGTGGTGCCACATATTTTGAGGGCGGTTTCGTCAGTGACGACGCAGCCATAGCAGCAGCGGAAACAATATGGCAGACATTCGGTCCTACTGACAACGACAGTGAAGCTTCCAATGTTGACTCTTCATCATTGTCGACTATGTCCACCATCCTGACAGCATCCAATAGCTTACCGAGCAATACGAATACCATGTCGATTCTGCAGCAGCCCGCAGACTCTGGTGTCACCTTTGCAATCAAGACAAGCGCGAGCGAAGATCACTCTGGTTCGGGACTCAGAAGCACCACGGCCACATCCTCGTTGGACGTCGGCGCAAGTACTCTTCCAACGATGGATCTATTTCGATTGCAAGCCACTGCTGTAATGACTCCTGAATCTAATGCGACTGGTCTAGCAGCCAACACCACTATGAATGGAAATGGCACTTTCCAGGCATATTCTTGGCCTGTCTCAAACGCCACGCTACTTCGGGCTTCCAATACTACCAATAATGACAGGATCGTGGTTTCAACGAGTAACATCACGCGTCGATCAGTGGCCTCAATTCTTCGACCATTCGGCGACGCAGTGATCGATGGTTTCGATTTCGATCTCGAAACCAGCAATCAAAATTTTGTGCCTTTTGCACGCCGTCTTCGACAGCTCATGGACATCGAGACCGCGAAGACATACTATTTGACTGCCGCACCCCAATGTCCCTTTCCAGATGGTGCTGTCTCGCAGCTTCTTGAGAGTGATGTTAGATTGGATGCTGTGTTTGTACAGTTCTACAACAACTACTGTGGTCTCCAGTCCTTCACAGCCAATACTGCCACACAAGTTACGTTCAACTTCGATATCTGGGACGCCTGGGCCAAGAGAGCCTCTGCTCGGTGGGCTGCGAATACTACAGTCACTAAGCGTCAGACGCGCAGCACGGCGAATGTCAAGGTGTATCTTGGTGTTCCTGCTGCTCTTTCTGCTGCCAGCTCTGGCTACGCATCAATCGAGCAGCTGAAGCCCATCGTGGACTACAGCCGGCAGTTTGAGAGCTTTGGTGGTGTAATGATGTGGGATGCAAGCCAAGCGAAGGCGAATGAGGGATTCCTGTCTGGTGTCAAAAGACTTTTGACAACGGACCAGCAAGCCACGACGTCTCTTGTGACGACGTCCGCGACTGCCACACAGACCTCGACGGCCACAAACCAAAGCGTCACGTCAGCAATCGAGGCCATCACGAGCTCGACGAGTATGACCATCTCGTCTCTTTCGATGGATACCACTACCTCGACGTCATCTGGAGTAGTGACCTCGACCAAGCCCATGCTCACCTCATCAGAACTATGGTCGACACCAGAATCTAGCACAACGCCAATTGCGGAAACCTCGTCAGCCGACCCTACTGGTGCGACCATGGATGTATCCGGTCCGACTACTTCACTCGTTCCATCAACTTTACATGAAACTCCTTGTATCACCACGATTTCTACGATGACAGTAACTTTTTGGAGCACTACAAGTACCGAGAACAGTTTTTCGACGACTTTCAGGACATTCGTCTCGGCAACACCAAGGATTATAGGAGTTGCGAACCCTCCTCTTCTAGGCGATGCACTGCGCCCCACGCCGATAGTCCGATAGCGACGGACGTCGTTCCAATTGTGAGAACTCGAATTATGAGAGGACGTAGAGGGATTGTCGGGATCGTTTAGGAGGTTGAGGAAGGATACAATGAGTTATGAAATGAGTTATGATGGACGACATGTAATGCAGTGACGGGTCTTTGAAGAGATGGATTGGGATTTACCGTACAATTTGGATAATGTAATGATGCAACGAATGAAAGACAAAACATACCTGTATAAGAACAACTTCTCTAAGATACATCAGATGGTATACCTGGTGGTCGTGGTTGCCCGCTTGGCGCCCAGCTCCTGATTAAGGTTTGAGCCGAAGCTTGTCATTCCATTAGGAGGTACCTCCCATTACCGTTCTGGTGTGTACCTCAGGTAGGTAGGTACAGGTAACAACCACCACTTCGCCAAAGCTCCGATTGATTATCCGGGCCGCCTACCTCCTATACCTACACAAATCGCGAATCATCTGTAGCATTGTTCCGAAGTCGCCTCCGCACGGGCAAAGCAAGAGGGAAGAAGTCTACTATAATAGAGTCGTCGCGTTCGCCCGGATGTGTCTCCTGCAGCGCGGCAATTCTTTTTCTGCAACAAAAAACGCGCGTCACGCCAATGACTAAGGTACATACGGTAGTACCTGTAAAAAGAGGAGCATGACGAGCAACAAGCGCAGGCGTATACGACTTTGTTAGAGTCCCAGACATGATTATTCCGGGACCTTCTAGCGTGGTCTCCCTCCCTCGAGAGTGGACTTGTCTTCCCGTGGCACTGGAGCGGAGCAGCTTACAAAGAGGGTCGAACCGAAGTATGGATATAGGAGGTAGTCAGCGGAGATGAAGAGCACATTCGTCTTGGGTAAGGAAATGCAGGTACCCGCGAAGTCGGAATAGAAGGTCCGAATTCATGTTGATGAACATTCCTCTGCCCACGTCGAAATTATCAAACAGGATCCCGGACCAAACATTTCTTCGCCTGCGGTCTCGCACGCACTTCGGCAGTCAACTGGATGTGGGTCCCCGAGTCCACCCAAGGGAAAAATTATAATTTATGGTGGCTAAGCATTGGGAATGTGCAAAGCTTGGTATTGCTTGCCGTTCTTCCCGGACGGACGCTTGAAGACGATACGCGCCAGTCCTACGATTACGACTGACTCCACTGACGCGTGGGTCTCTGCCTCACGTCGTACGTCAATTGGATGTCCATCCCTGATGGCGGCGTTGTCGTCGTCTCGTCGCTATTCCCTCCAGCAATGTCTCTTCTCAACTACTACATCGATTGTTGTGGCCATCAATTGCCTTGATTGGGAGTGTGCAGCGACTGAGCAAGGGCCGATATTGGGGAAATCTGGAGTCTCAACTTCACTTTGATACTCGCTGGAGTCTGCTGCACTTGCGCCAGAATGCGCTCTCCGTTGCGAGCTGTGGCTGGCGCGCTGGCAGTCGCCCAACTCACTGCTGGCCTTCAGATTGATGTCAACGATACGGATGGTATCAAGAGTGCTGCATCGACCGTCGCTTATGGCATGGTGGTCTACTACCAAGGCAATGAGACCGGAATGATTCCTGGAGAGTTGGGTGATCCGTATTACTGGTGGGAGGCGGGTGCGATGTTCAACTCGTTGATCAACTATTGGTACTATACGGGCGATACCACATACAACCAAATTGTCAAGCAGGGCCTGCAGTTCCAGATTGGGCCAGACGACAACTACATGGTATGGGATTCCCTGTCGAAGCCTGCCAGTGCGGATACTAACCAATGCTGTACAGCCACCCAACCAGACCAAAGCAGAAGGAAACGATGATCAATACTTCTGGGGCTGCGCTGCTATGTCTGCTGCAGAGCTCAATTTCGAGAATCCTGACGCCGGTCAACCAGGTTGGCTCGCGCTCACGCAAGGTGTCTTCAACTCCCAAGCAGCACGTTGGGACAGTGCAGATTGTGCAGGTGGTCTTCGATGGCAGATCTTCACGTGGAACAACGGCTATACCTACAAGAACACACCGTCGAATGGCGGCCTCTTCAACCTGGCATCCCGATTGGGTGCATACACGGGGAACCAGACGTATTTCCAGTGGGCGGATAAGGCATGGGACTGGCTGGAACACGTGGGACTGATCGGCGAAAACTACGACATTTACGATGGCACGAGTATCGACGACAACTGCACCAGTTTAGATCATACGCTATGGACGTATACGGCGGGCATGATGCTGAACGGAGCGGCAGTCATGTGGAATGCCACCACTGCCGATGCTTCCGCATCAGAAGTCAGCGCGGACACGTGGAAAGCTCGAACCCAAGGCATCTGGAATGCCACTGTCCGGAACTGCTTCCACGGGACCAACAACATGATCATGCAAGAGATCTGTGAGCCGACCAACAACTGCAATACCGATCAACAATCCTTCAAGGCCTATCTCTCTCGCTTCATGGCCTCGAGCGCGAAAGTAGCGCCCTGGCTCTGGGATGATGTGCGACCGTACATTGAAGCTTCTGCAGTGGCAGCCGGCCTGCAATGCAGTGGTGGCGCGAATGGAAACACATGTGGTCTGAAGTGGGTCGATAACAGCACGTATGATGGCAGCGCGGGCGTGGGTCAACAAATGGGCGCGCTGGAGATTTTGGGGGCGTTGTTGGTTAAGCAGGCCGCATCTCCTGTCAGCTCGAGTAGTGGAGGCACGAGTCAGGGAGATGCGAGTGCAGGGACAGGTGAGTCTCTATCTTCTTCTTCTTCTTCTTCTTCTTCTGCACAAACACATCACATCACACAGGAGAACAGGAGAACATCTGCGCTAACATGGCATTTTTCTTTCCAGGAGGTGACAAAGATGCGGCAGCACCAGCACGCGCTATCACCGGTGCTGATCGAGCCGGCGCTGGTATTTTGACAGCACTTGTATGTGTGGGATTACTTGGTGGATCCTTGTAAGTGGCAATCCAGTTCTATTCTGTGATATCTTGGATCGTGTGCAGCAGTAGTGCTAACCTGACCGATTTTTGCAGTTGGTTATTGACGGGCGCTTGATCAGTTGATCAGTTTTCTTTCCATCCCATCTAATATTAGATACCTTATACCCGGCCATTTTTTGATGATGACCATGAAATGAAATGTTTTTTTCGACGCTGTCGATACCTATCAGAACATGAATCCGGTCAATCGACTTTGATTATTTTCTTCGTCGTTTGCTCTTTCTCCATCTTCTACGAATGATTCCAGAACTGAGCCACAGAAGGGATAGAAAAGAAGAAAAGAAGGCAAAAGCGTCGGTCGGGAACAACTCGGCGCACATCGGCGCGAAATCCACCTCCCTAACCGCGACTAACCGAACCGAACCGGGGAAAGTACGAACCACCAGACTCGAGTATCCTTGCTAGCTCGCCACCTGGTTGGTCTCACGTGGGAGTAGAGCCTATCAGAATGAGGAAGTGGAAGATTTTTGCATTTTTGCATGTGCTGTTGCTTGGCCGATTTCGGCGTTGGGATGGATGGATGGATGGATGGGTTACTACCTTACCTTACCTACATGTACTCACCCGGGTTTACGGCGATTGTGTAGTTGAGAATTGATGGAGATGGTGGGTTTTTGGATGAGGGGGTAATGAATGCAGCAGCATATCTCCTAGTATATAGTGTTGTCTGTTGTCTATCATCAGTTATGCTACCGTTCTTTCACTACCTCTTATTCACTGGGGGTTATGTTCATCGGCGACCTGGTCGGAAGCAGCGGGACGGCGCGTGTACGATAAAGTTCCGGCCCGACGTAAGCGGCTCGTTCCTGTCAAAACGTGCCCTAGTCCAGTCAAGAGTCCAGTGCAGTCTAGTCCAAGTTCTACTGCAGACTCTGAAGGTCCAGTTCGGTGCTTTTCACTGTTCAATACGCCATTTGCAGGTGCTCATAGTAGGATTTACACACTATACTGTAGCTACTTACCTTTTGATGTATTCTTGATTCTTCTTCTGAATTCACTAACTACCTAAACCACCTACCCGTCCTCCACTCTCCTCCCATCTCCAGTTCTGCTCCACACTGTACCTCCAGCGCTACTACAATACTACTGCTGCTACTGCTACTGCTACTCACAGACAGGTATCCACCTCAACTCTCCGTGGCACCAGCAGGTATCGGAGCAAACACCATCCACCCACCTCAACGAATGACCCCTCTTCACATACCCACATAAGACATGACTGTCGCTCGAACATCACCCGCCAACACATGATCACACCCCTTCCACCATCACCATGAAGTTCGGACGCGAATACGAAACGGCACTGGCCAATGATGGTTTCCCTCAGGAATGGGTTGCACGCGCCATCGAGTACAAGAATCTGAAAAAGGCCATCAAGAAGGTGCATCGCGAGTTGGAGTCGCTCGGACTGGACCATCAGACATTGGTCAACCTCAACGAGCTGGTGTTACATGGCACAACCCCCAAGCCGGAAACGACTGCCAGTAGGGACTATTTCGCCGGCACTCGACCGAGTCTGAGCAGCATACCGGAGGAGTTCAGTCCACAACTACGTATCCTGGTGGATGGCAAGACCGGTGCCCCTCTGGATGCCAAGTTGGCGCCCGAGACGTGGGAGTCGCTGCGGAAACTCGCCCGGTACGAGATGGTCGTTAATCGTCGTCAGGAGCACATGGGCGACCACGCACATACACACGCCGTGGCAGAGCATGTGACCTCTCCTCCCGTGCAACAGGATCAAGCACGACCGTGTTCGCCCGCGCGTGTCGCAGACGCTAGATGGGTACAAGTACCTCTCGCTTCTGCCAAGGACTTCTTTCAGATGCTCGAGCCCAAACTTATGGAGCTGGACTGTCTTCGCGACGCCGAAACGCACAATCTGGAGGAGGAAATTCTAGACCTGGGAGAGGCCGTGGAGAATGTGATTCAACCCGTACGGGAAGGCTACGAAGCGAAGCGAGGCATGTCCTATCGCGATCTGTACTTCTGGAGAGAAATGTTCCGGCTGTACCTGGAAACACCCATCTTCTACTCGGAAACGGAACGACGACGCGGGGCACTCACGTACGCAGAAGCACGGACGAACCTGGAGAACTACGATCAGCAGCTCCGGGACACGAAACTACTCGACAAGATGCGAACACCACAGGCCAAAGAAGCAGCACGGCGCTTTCTCGACCTCAATCTCCACATTCTCAGCATCATGCATTTCCAGGAGATGAATAGCAAAGCCATGACCAAGATTATGAAAAAGTTCAACAAACGAACACATATCGAGGGCAACGAATTCGTCTCGAGCCTGGCCGTGAAGTATCCCGCAATCGCAGCCAAGTCTTCTGCAGGTGGCTTCGCAGACAGCATTGCTCGTGACATGCATGCCGAGATTGGCTCCAAAGTCCTCGCCATCGTCCCCCAACTGGACGATTGGATCTGTCCTGTATGCTACGGCATGGCATGGAGACCCGTCAATTTGGGGTGTTGTCGATCCGTCTTTTGCATCCGATGCATCATCCACCTCCAAGATCAGGACATGAAGAAATGTCCCATGTGCAATTCCGAGTCGGTGTTGAAGGCCAACGGCGCCAACATTCACTTCGAAACGATGGAATTCTTGGAGAAATATTTCCCCATGGAAGTGAAGAAGCGACAAAAGGAGAATGAGCGGGCACTCCTCGTGCGGGATTACGGCGAGGACTTTGTCAAGCCCAGTTGTTCGTTGATGTGAGTGAGTGAGTGAGTGAGTGCGCAGGGAGGGAAGAAACAACAGACTCTTTGCAACGCGAACAGAGAAAACGCATGCATGCATCCAGCAGCAGTCACCAATCACCATTGCATCGTCTATCTACTTTAGGTATAGGTAGCCCGGGAGTTTTACCACAGAGTATGGGGCGGGAATTGCGTTTGTTTGTCAAAAGAGCATACGGTATGGGTAGGTGGGCGTGTGGATGGGTGGCACTTTCCCTTTTTTTTCTTTTTCGATACCCAGCCGCGAAATCGGCAGTCACGACACGTAATGTCACACGGTACGGTAGGTATATATACCTAGATAGAGGTAGATAGATGGATGGATGGATAGGGTAGATCGATAGATCAGTTACTAGTAGTAGCGTCAACAACAGAGACATTTAAGTAAACGAGTGTACCTACCTGACTCTAAAGAATTTTACTAGGCAGCCCTAGGATTCTGCTACGGGCAGCCCTAAACATAATACTACGTTACGTACCCCTATATCTCGTTATCAACGTAATACAGTATTACAGCGAAATATATATCTAAAGTATACCTGATCGCACCAAAGTATATCGTACTAAAGCATATCGTACTCCGGTATATCGTACCTGTCTTCTCGTTTATACCAAATACACAGAAACTATTATCTAAAGCATGTCGTACCTGTCTTCTCGTTTGTACCGAATACACAGAAACCATTCTCCAAAGCAAGTACTAAAACTTTTCTCCCCCTCTCCCCTCCCCCCTCTCCCCTCCCCCCTCTCCCCTCTCCCCTCTCCCTAACTTCTCGCTTCAAACGAAATTCTTAAGTATATTCCGGCCAATCGTTAATCTAGATATTCGGACGGTTGGCAATAGCATTCCGTAGAGTACTAGTATTCGTAAGAAGGGCCCAAGAGACAGGCTGGCATGTGAGTTGCTCGATAGAAAGGCGGAGGGCAGTACGGGCTGAACGAGGCTAGTATAATAAGGTCAAGTTGGGCTGTACCTTTTATTCCTCCTCATCCTCGTCATCTGCGTCGTCGGCATCGGTTTACTCGTCGTCGTCAGCGTCAGCACCCTCATTTCCACTCTCCTCCTTAACAACTCCAACAACTTCAACAACTTCCTATCTTCTGCTTCTTGTTCTTCGACGGCTCCTCTACATCGCTATCCTCACTACCAAACCATCCGCCTTACGCTGCATGGTGCCTTGCTCTTCGCATCGCATTCTGGTTGATAGATAGACGAATACCTACTAGTCATCACACGCACGAATCAAGTCTTCGTTTCGCTTGAGTCTGTCCATGTGAGTACACGCGACGAGAGAGAGACCAGCGCGTCGGGTGCGATGGTGTTTATTGAGTTTCTTGCCGATCAAGACGAGTTCTTTTTTTTTCGGCCTTGCCGCACATCCAACTGTATTCCTGTGGGCCGATTTGGACAATTGGACCTGCATGATGAGCGGGTTAGCTAGACGTCTCCGTCCTGGTTCTATGGGTACCTTGGGTAGGTGAATTCCATCCAAACGCCTCGCTCCCTCCCTCCAACCTTCATCATCTTCTTCGAGTGGGTCGTTGTCACCCCTCTTTGAAATCTCCTCGCCGCTCTTGGCTCTCTTACTGTCTTTGCCTCGCCACTTTCCTCGCCGCTCTCGTCGTTCCTTAGCTCATCTCGCTAGCGAAGAAGTTATCGCACAGCCACCAGGGGTTCTTGCCGCGGAGAGTGACATATAAGAGGTTCTTGCAGCGGGAGGGGCATTTCTGAGGGACATGTAAGCTTTCGTCAACAGCGTACGTAGAACGTAGCTAGCTAGCTAGCTGTTCGCTCCACGAAGAGGTATATCTTAAAAATATTAACAGTCACCAGCCGCCGCTGCCGCCGCCGACGCGAGACCCTCAGGGGCGTTGAATTCGAAGTCGTAGCCATAGAGAGAGAGATATATATATTTAGCCGTTGGAGGCGATTCAGGAGTGATGGAGTATATCGTTGTAGAAGTAGATCAAAAGATTCCAGAGTATAGGTAGCCATGGATCTTGTTGCTTTTCCACATCGTACGCACTTGTTGAGGTAGGTACCCTTCTAGGGTTTTCACACTCTGGCCAGTCGAGATTTGTAGGAGTAAATTTTTCGTATATATTTCTTTTTCTAAGTGCTTATACTTGTGTTGGTTGTCCTTCTTCGAATTGTCGACATAGGTGGCCGTTTGTATCAGAAAAGTGGAAGCGGAATCCACTGGCGCAAGAGTTTTCTTGCGATAGAATCGGGTGGGGCTGGTGAGCCAGATATAGACAGAGACAGAGACAGACACAAACAGATACATTCTGTTGCTCTCTGAACCGACATCCGTGGTTGTCGTCTATGATCTGTCAACTCGGGAGGATAATTCGCTTTTCGCGGGAATATTCGAGCTAGCAAGTTCGGCTCTACGCGAATTTTTTTTTCTCGAAATTTTTCCTCAGTAAGAGCCTCTTCTGCGTGCACAGGTGAGGGACAAAAAGAAAAAGCTGCAGCAGCAGGCCTCTTTGTAAAGGAAAGAGGTGATGGGGGAATATACTGATATAATGCTGAGGTGTGGAGGGTTATATTGGACTGGAATGGTGAGGATGAGAACGCGGAGAACTTACCTACATATATAGCTTGAGGATTAGTTTGCTAGGGTTACGATTGTCGTTGAGCTGGTCTCTGGAAACTCTTCCTGTTCGTGCTTGAATGCACCAAGTGGTTTCTTCGTATTTCCTCTGGTACTCTGCACTTTCATTTTTTTTCGCTTTCATTCTTTCCGATTGCTGCTTCTTGGGAGAAGCCAAAGGACAGCAACGTGTTAATTCCAGGTCAGGCCGGTTCTTCGTCCTAAGGGATTGCTGTGACTTTCTTTCCAGTAGTACCTATTCTGGAATCGTTGTTGTTGCTGTCAAGGCTGGCACTTGATGCGTATAGACTTGCTCTACGCAATGCAGAATAGAACGAGCAAATGGCTGCGCCTCAGAGAACGTCAAAAGACTTTTATCAATAGCCTGACGCACATGATCAGTATAGAGAGCCAGAACATAGCATATAGCAAAGAGGCATGCAGGCAGCTTCACTCATATCGAAGGCTGTAGCTCTCCAGTATTCCACACCAGAGTCCATAGGTAGACTACCTCGTATACTTCATTTCATCCCATCATGATCACATAAAAGGCACCCCATGGCCCCCATTCTTCATTCCCTCATCACTCTGTTTCGACCTTCCCCACCTAGTAGGTAGTCTACATCTTACTCTTCACCTCCTCCAACAACTTCTTCAACTTCTCCATATCAGCATTCTGCTGCGGCCAACCAATCTTCAACCCCTGAGCGTCGTCGGGCTTTGGAATAATATGAAAGTGCACGTGTCCGACCTGCTGATGTGCGAGCGCGCCGTTGTTTTGCAAAATGTTGTAATTCTCCACGTTTTGGGTCGTTTTCAAGGCGGAAGCGATCTTTTTGGCGACGGGGAGGAGCTCGGTGAGGTCTTCGTCGGGAATGTCGGTGAGTTTCTCGCCGTGGTGTTTGGGGAGGATGAGCTAGTTTTGTGGAAACAGAACAGAGGTGGTGTTGTTAGTTGCGGGTGTGTGGGCAGGCCATCAAGGTGAGTTCGAGGGGGGGTCTTTCTTACTGCGTGACCGTATCTGTATAATGATGAAATACCTTGTTAGCTACCATATCCTTTCGTATCAGATCATATTCTCCGAATAGCTCTTCACTTGGAACTTACGCTAAGGGGTTGATATCGAGAAAGGCCAACGTCTTCTCGCTCTCAAAGAGCTTCATCGACGGGATGTCACCTGAGTGAGGTACACCTTCTTTTAGCGCCGCCATTCGGGACACAATTTCGGTGGCCAACTGACTTACCCTTGATGATCTTGCAGAAGATGCAGTTGGCTGCCATGTTGCTGGTGCTGGGCTATCGGAGAAGTTGTTTACTCGAAGTTCACTCTCAATGAATGCCTGCTTCGAGCTGAGAGACTGAGAGGGGTGGTCAAGAAATCATTGACGAGGTCCGATACCGGTCACTCACTTGGACTAGATATTCGTCCTTCACTTGCCCACAATGACGATACTATATTTCCCGAAACTTCAACTGTTCCACGACCTCACAGCAAAAGTACCTCCTAACCACCGAAGCCATGATGATGGGAAAAAGCTTATTAAGACCTTGTCGTGGACTGGAAACCTGGCTGCCAGCCCTCATATTGAAAGTCAGGGCAGACACTGTAGACTGAGTTGTCCAGCCAATCCCTCGCATCATCGCCCAACATTACCTTCGAACAATAAGAGAAGGATTGGAGATCCCGCGAAGTGTGTAGCAGCATCCACAATCATGGCGATGCCGGACCGCTGGGAAAGCTACTCCTCAAGTTATCTATATATAACAAGCATCCATCTTCAAAACTAAAACTTCCGCAATCTCATAGATCGTCGTGCGGGTCAGATGGAGGAAGGAAAGTCAGTAAGAGGAGTGATCGGAGACATGATGGCCAGAAGAGATCATGATGAGATCAAATACGACAAGACTATGTACTGACTTCGCATCGTGACTTCTCTGTAGACGCCTCCATCCATGCTTGCCTTGCCTTGCCTATCCCTGGCTTTCCTTTCCTTTCCCATTCAACATCGCTCATCCATGATACCCACCCACCCACCAGACAGAGAGACCATAAAGAAAAGCAGTGAATTATGAAGGTAGTCATCATGTCAGCGGATTCCTCAGAATCCGCTACCGTGAAGCCATAAAAGTATAGTGGTAATGTGGCATGCCATTGCGATGGCAGCGCCGATGATAAGAGAGGCGACAGGAGAAAAGCTTTTGATGAGAGGTCCGTTTGCATTTCCGGGTATCAACACTGCAGTGTTGCATAAAAGTAGTAGTATTTCACTAAACTCGCGCAGGATTTGCTTGCGGGCACAGTCAAACCACCATTTGTCCCCAGATTTGTCCCGTTGCGCGTCCGTTTGCGGGACAGTGCGGCTGGTGGTCTTCTATGTCTTGCAGGGGTCGAGGAGAGAGAGAGAGAAAAAAAGAGATGTAGAGGGAGAGTCGTCAAAAGGGAACGTCAACAGGGCGTCTACCCATTCGCTTCGACAGCTTGCGCTGCGCTCGTGGAAGAGCCTTGATGGGAGGTAGAGGAGTGTGTTGAGGATGGGTGTCGGTCGGCGACTATGACGAGTCCGGGTTGGCCACCCTCAATATCCTCCTCGAGTAGTCTTGATTATCTGCCAGACTGCCGACGCTATTTCTGTGAGCACCAGCTTCCGGGTCCAGTCTCGTATCACTCATATGGCTGTAGCCAGTGCTCGGTGGTTTTCGCTCGTGGGCACCACGCATGAAGTCGCTGACTTGAGTGCGCTTCGCGTATTCGCTCTCCGCCTCCTTCCTCTTCTTCTGTCGCATCCAGAAGAACAAGCCTGCAACGAGGCCTGCAATTGCAAGAACGCCAACAACAACGCCGGCAGCAATGCCAGCAGTGTTCGAGCCCCCACCGCCGCCGCCGCTACTCGATGTAGTGCTCGTGGAAGATGCACTAGGTCTCGGCGTCGGCGTAATTGTGACGACAAGAGTCTGGCCGGGTGAGACGTTTGTGACAACCGATGGGGTTGCCGAAGCCTTAGTCGGAGGCTCAGATTCAGGTTCACGTGTGGTGGAGGTAGCGCTCGAGCTGGAGCTGGAGGAATCACTGCCACCAGCGACCGGCACGCCCGAGTCGCCATTGGTGAGATATACGCCGAAAACGCCATCGCCGCCACCTACACCAAGTCAGCATTTGCTCCTGCAAGAATAGGGTGGGTTGATACGCACAATTGGTCTGACCATACCCAGTACAAGGGCTGTTACATTTCGAGTCATCCACCTTGTCACTGTCTGCAGGTAGTTCGTCACCGCAATAGCAGTCATTTCCGCTTGTCAGGGCCATGGCAGGCGAGTCCTGATTGGCACATTGTGTGCTACAGTATCCGCTTGATTGATACATGTATGTGCCTACGCTGCTCATCGACGCGGCCGAGGAGTAGCATCCTTTGTAGACGGCATTAGCTCGTTTTTGCAGTTGCCCGGGGATTATATCCCGTCGAGGTTGTGATATTTGTGGCATTGCGGCGGTTGTGAGGAGGGAAAGGAGGATGATGGTCCGCGCGACGTTCACAGACGGTAGTCGAGGTGTGCAACGCATCGTGTCGGCGCCGATGCACAGGGAGGATTTCGATGGCTGGCTGGAGATGAGGAGACCCTGTGTATGGCAGTCAGTACATGGTGTTGACAGACGGTAGTGAATACGAAGGGATTTGCGTTGCGTTGGAGGCAGGGAAGAGGCTCATGTGACGAGGAGTGGGTGTTTCGGGCGGCGGCAGTGATAATCGCACCTTTGTTTGCGGCTGCCAGCAGCGCAAGCGTGATCCGCCACGAAGCAGGCGAGAAAAGGGAAGAAAGTGATTCCCGCCGTCGTCAGATGGAGATGGAATAGGAGCAGTACTCCTTCACGCCGATATCATGCCACGCCGGCAGCAATATTGGAAGCCTCGTGATAGTATGCAATTAGGAGCGCGGTCGGCTGCGCTGTTCGACCCAGTTACAGTGTCGCTGCCTCGTGCGAATCGAGGCCCACGGAATAATCGGGGGTTGTGAAGCGCGACAGATGCTCGTTTCTGGGTGTCTGGAATGCCGCAATTCTCTGCGTCTCAAGCCGGATTCACGGTGGCAGAGTGTTGATGAGCGCTCCAATCGCCAGTCGCGTTGTTGTCGTCACACAGAGTCCCGGGCCGAACTGGAGGCTGTACGCTCGCAGTCGTCGAGTACACGGTGAGGAGAGGTTGGGATGGCGGGTGAGATGAAGGCCCCCAACGCAAAAGAAATGACCGGACAAGCGCTGCAAAGGGCACTTGGAGGAGCGAGCCTGGGAGTGTGAACGAGTGGACGAAAGCGAGCAAGAACGAGTGTCGACGCAAGAGGAGCAGGCGGAGAGGGCGTAGCGTGTGTACGTGTGTGTGCGGTCGCGGTGAATGGGCGGTGGGTGGTGGTGGTGGTGGTAACGGGAGGTGGTGAGGCTGATGGCGCTCTGGACGGACAGGTCACAGGGCACTGGAGACTGCCTGGGCACTGGGCAGAGCGGAGGCTTTGGCTGAATCGACAAAAGTGGTGGGACTCTGGTTTCTGCGCACTAACCTCCCCTCCTACAGTAGGATGGACTAAAGGCACATTACCTTCCTACTGCAGGCCCCTTTTCACAACTATTGGCTGCTCCCGGCCTCCCGCTCCCGCTCCCGTTCTCTGCCTCGCCTCGCTTCTCGGGCTGTTCCTGGGCGCACCTCAGCGCATCTGAAACCGATCGCATTTCGAGGGCCTCTGAGTCTGAGCCTCGGGCACTGGCACAGTGGCACACACTCCCCGACAGAGTCACAGAGGTGTGCACGATGCTACGCTGGTTGTCCTGCTATACACGGTGCCGGTATGGCCACCGAGATATTCACCGCACACGATTATACTACTGTACAGAACAAGCGACAGCAGGGCCAGGACGGGACCCTTCTCCAGGGCAGCGAGAGCCCAGCGTGTTCCATGAATATTGTGGACATGGGCGTTGGTGCTGGGGAGTGGCAGAGTGGAGAATAGTGCGTCGGCACAGCAAATTGATGCGAGGCCACGCGTAATTGGAGACTTGGCCCGATCCTAGGCGTTGCGACGATGAGAGACTTCCAGTTGCCACCACGACACCGTAACCTCATCCAGTCACCAGTGTGCCTCACGACATGATGCATATGGACTACTAAAAATGGGACCTCCTGTTTGCTTATTATTATTATTCCGCGTGACCATTTGACTACATGTACAGTGATCCAGTGAATAATACGAGTTCGCATCCCACCTTCTTATGTGCATACCGTACTTTGCGTACCTCGCACCTCCTCTGCACCTCTGGCTTACCGTACTGCCCTGCTGGAAGACATGGAACTCCTCCATCCCGTGACTACTGGTGTTTCAGAGGGCCCATCATCCTTCCCGTTGTGCGGCGCATATCTTGAAACGTGGTTCGGCAATTTCGAGCATCATCCAGAGAAAGGAGAAGACTAGTAGATCTGCATTCCGCCGTGTGAATGGAAGAAGGATGGCCTGAACAGGAGTGACCAGTAGGAGGTAGTACCACTTGAAATGTGTATACCACCAGAAGTACTCTCTACATCTTCCCCGGTGTGGAATGGGCCAACAGGAGGACAAGTTCCAGGTAGTCTGAGGTAGGTAGATACGTAGGTACGGTTGGTAGGGGCACTTCTCTGCCCAACAACACAGTACTGCAGCCCAAACCATCATGTCTATGCCTTGCGCTCACAAGCGCGTACACTACACGCGCTCCATTTTACTATTGTCCATATGATTCCGGTTCCTGAAAGAGGCGCCTGCCGTACAACTACCCAACTAGTCCATACCGTATATATAAGGTACCCGCTTGTGCCGCATACTGTACAGATAGATCCTGTGCCAACATTCAATGCGGCTCCTAGAGAGTCCGGAAGGCGAAAGCCGGGCACGCCTTATAAATATATACCTACCATCCACTTGGCTGACGAAAAGATCAGCACAGTGCCGAGAACAATAATAATTCATGGAACGAGCTTTTGACATTTTGAGAACGGTGAAGATCGTGAAGTTCTTCGTACTCTATTATTCCATGGGCCCACCCCATACGTGTCCGCCGACTGTCCGGAGAGTCCGGGCATAGACCGACCGAACATCCTGGAATGCAAAAGTCCTAGAACGTCTGGCGGTTGGCCCATGATGAGATTCTAGACCATCTCATCCTCCATCGCCGCCGTTGGCTTCCATCAAGCTGGCTTGGGTCCGAGTTGCAGGGTTACGTCCAACAGAATTTTCCATAGAGACGGATCGTATGGTGGTTGTTACCTCCTAGTGCCCGTTGGACTCGAGCAATTCACCTTGAACTCTTGGAGGTGCAAAGACAGCGTACAAGAAACATACCCAATATGCAAGAACATACCTACCTACCTAGTTATGAGCCTCAAAAAGACTCATCAACAAGACTGAGTTGTGGCCGCGGGAGAGCTTTCTATCTTCTTCTTTTGCCTACCTACCTACCTAATAAAGTACTTATACTAAATGTCCGGCAGCACCGCACTGTCTGCACTGTTCACCACCCAGCCAGAGTACATGTTTCCTGAACAGTCTTACCATACCAAACGTCAGCATCTCCTGACACAGACAACACGAAACCCCTCGACTAATCATCCCATGTCCATCTTCCCGTGACAGAGGCAACGCGAAACCCCTCGACTAACTCCTCAATCTCCAACACCCCTAACGGCTTCCCATCTCTACACTTCACAAGTCCCTCAAAAGCAGCCTGCACTGTCTGCAGAGCACTCGACAGAGCCATAGACCTCCAGACTTCTCGATCGCCTTCGATCTCGATAGTACCCGCGTGAAGATCAAAAAGAGCGTGAAGCGACATCTGTAGCATCAGATGTCCAAATTGACACTTGGTCCAACCTCCCGATTCGAGATGTCGGAGGAACTGCACGTTGGATCTATCTATACAGTGCAGTCACTGGGAGAATGCTGTGACGCCGCTGTTGTTGTCGACTGGGGTGTTGGATCTGTCGTGTAGGTAGTAGAAGGTGTTGTGTGAGTAGAAGTTGGCGAGAGTCTCGCTGCGGAGTTGCTGGTTTACACGACATATGGATGGTGTTAAGGCTAATGAGGGTGTCTCTAATGTGGTGGCTTATTATTAATTGCAGATTGGAAGTCGCACGCTTAGTTTGACGGGCTTGAGGACTATGTAGTCTACCTCAGGTAGGTAGAATTCGGTCGCGTAGTTCTCGGGGCAGGCCAAGGAGACTCGCTCGTGGGTATGAAGTTGCCATGGTCTGATTCTGGGGACGATTCTGTTTTGTTGAAAGAGTGAAGCACATGACGATTTGGTCTGATTCTGGGGATGATACTGTATTTTTGAGAGAGTGAAGCAGAACCCGATTTGTTGATCTTGTCAAGTGTCAACAATAAACCATTTGCAGGAATGCCGGCAGCAGAACTAGCGAGGTGGAGTCACACGTGATATGCACTAACACAGCGAATTTCGCTGCCAGTTCTGAATATCTCGCGACATCCTCTTCAACAACCACCTTCACCACCTTCACCACCACCACCATGGGCGTCGCATTTGACTACTACCCGGACCGACCGGAGAACATTGACACGATCCTGAACGGCCTCGATCGCTACAACCCGGAGACGACGGGCGTGTTCCAGGACTATGTGGCTGCACAGTGCGAAAACCAGCTCTACGACAGCTACGCGAACCTGGCGCTGCTAAAACTGTGAGTCCACCACCACTGCTCCTCCTGTGACGAGAAGACGATGTCGTGATGAATGAACTGTAAAACGTTTCCTATTACTTGAGCCTCACTGTGGGCGCTGAAATGTATATGTATTAGCTCTAACTGAACCATCGTCTGTCTCTGCACTATCCCATGCTACGCAAACAGGAAAGATATTTGGGACTGCCGGCTGACACTTCTACCTCATCAATACAGTTACCAATTCAACCCTCACCTCGCCCGCGACGAGACCATCACCAACATCCTCGTCAAAGCCCTCACAGTCTTCCCCTCCCCAGACTACAGCCTTTGCCTCTCCCTCCTTCCTCCCCACGTCCTCCAAAAGACCGCTCAGTCAGGACCTCCCACCTCGGGTTCCCTCACCGAGATTGTTCAACATCTTGGGATCCTCCACACACAACTCAACAACGCACAATATTCGCAATTCTGGGAAACACTATCCGACGATGACACCTACGCAGACCTGACCGCTGATGTGGCCGGATTCGAAGACACTATGCGCGTGAGAATCGCCGTGGTCGTCTCACAATGCATGCAAGAAGTTGCACGCGATGTTCTAGAGTCGTGGTTGAATCTCGATGGGGCTAAATTTGAGGGCTTCATCAAGGAGGTTTGTGGCTGGAATATCGAAGGCAATGTGGTAAAGGTGCCTCTAAACAAGGAGAATGAGGCGAGGAGTGTGGTGCAGAGGGAGACTGTCAAGTTCGATCAGTTCTCGAGGATGATTAAGAGGGCGTATGAGCAGCCCGCTTGACCGCCTGCATTGGTGACTTTATTTCCACGGGAGAGAGAGGGAGAGAGAGGAGGACAAGGATATTGTTGCATGCATAATTCCCAGATGAGGGGAGATCAACGGCCAGCGAAGGCGTTCGGGAATGGGATTGAACAAAAGGCGGATCATACCAAGATCTGACATGATCTGATGATCAGCACGAAAGATGGCCCGCTGAGGCCTCGCTTCTATACTATGATGAGCTATGGCCCACAATGAACGAGAATTGGCTTACTGCTAGCCAAATTGACTGATCCATTGATGTCCTTTTTCTTTGATCTACTAATTATTTCGCACCTCATCGCCTTTTCACTCTGTTCAAGCCTTTAGATTTGCATTCTTGTCAATTGCGCTAGTTCATAGGAGAAAAAGTACTTACCCCTAGCATGGAAGAAATGAAAGAAAGAAAGGGAGAATGAAAGAAAGTCTCACTTACAGAGATACCTATTGCACCATGACCATTATCTACCGATCGACCAATCCTTACCTTTCAATACCGCACACCACACCCTACATGACCTTTCATCTTCAATCTTCATCTTCATCTTCATATTCATCTCCAGAGCAGGACGATAATGACGAGATTGACGAACCAGAGAAAGAAGAACCAGAGAATTCCCATCCCATACCCAATTTCCTCCGAATCCCATCCTGTCCATCGATATCTCCAGCAGGCCAATCTTTCTCATAAGCCAAATCTGCAAGATATTTCTCCTCGAACTGGCCATATCCCAGCGCCAAAAACTTCTCTTGAATACGCTGATTTACAGCCCGGGGACATAATTCTTGACAAAGGATCTGAGAGTTGGCTTTGACGATTCTCGTGAAGAAAGGGTCTTCATGGTCGTCTTCTCCTTGTCGCAGGTTGTGGAAAGAATTTGCGAGGTTGAATTCGGAGGAGAGACGGGTTTGGGCATATGTCTGCTTTTCCTTGTTCAACCCCAGAACAGATTTATAAAATCCAAACGTCCCACCCTGCTCCTTCTCCTCCTCCTCCTCCTTCTGTTTTGGTCCCAAATCTAACAAAGACAAGAGATCCAACGTGCTAAATTTCTCATCCCGCCAGATTCGCGTACACTCCTCCAACACCTCTTCGCTCGAGTGCGAATGACTGTACATGACCAAGTGGACCAAAACATCCATCCAAGCCAATACAGCCACCGCATCGAGTGTACCTGCAGCTTGACGAAATTCAATCGTATTTTTGTCAACAGTTGTGCGAACTGCAGTGGGACTTTTCAGCAACTTGACCGGTTTCATGTTCTGTAAATTGACGGTTGCGGAGTGCGATGCGAGAGCTTGGAGGTCTTGGAGGTGGTCGATTCGGCGGGCTCCGTGGATGACGTGACACCAGGCATGAGCGGAAGTGGCGAAGGCGTGGAACATAAGGGTGGGGTCGCTTGTGAAGTTGATGTGAGGGTAGCATTCGCCGTTGCGACTTCTTGGTTGGGTGCATTTGTAGTGTTCGAGGTTGTTGCGGTTGCAGTGGGCGAGGAAGGCGAAGTGGGCGGAGAGGGGGCTATTGTAGACTAATTTGCCATTGGGGAGGGGGAGGAGTCGATCTTGAAGGCCATTGTCTTCTTTGTTGAGGTCGGGGTCGAGGAGGAGAGTGCTGCCGGTGATGCGGTTTCTAGAGTGCATGTTGTCAATCTGTCGTTCATTGGCTGTGTATAATGAAACGATGTTCTTCACCGTTTCCAGAGGCAGCCGATTGGCTCCGTTGCCAATGTGAACGTGCAGTCCACAGGACTCGGTCACCATCAACCGCCATGCACGGTCGTGCTCATTAGCGGACGGATTCAGAAAGGTGTTTTTGAGCAGGTAGTATACACCACGAATCTCCTCTTGGTATGTAATTTCCGGCCGATGCGGACAGGATGTGGTGGAGTCAGCGCAGATGTTGTTGGTAGTGCCCATGATTCTGCTTCGGAGCTCGAAACCATGAAACTCGAATTGTCTTGGCGAATCGGGTGAACTGAGTAGGTTCTTGAACTCGTCTCTCAGACTCTCTGCGTCAACGGTAATGTCGAACCCCACGGTCCATTTGTCATAGCCAAGGCAAGTAGGCATGAGTCCGAACAGCTCCTTGCGCAGGGGATTGAGGGGAATCCGATAGTTGTGGGCTTGATTACACCTAGAGCAAGTCTTAGTGAGCGGTTTTGAAAGTGCATAGTGAACAGCTTCTTGGGCTGCACTTATGTCATTGTCGGATGACCATCTGCTAGCAATGTCAGTATTTTGTAAAAGACCGGCTTCTATCTCCACTCCAATGGTCAGGTCAAGGGGATCTCGTGATTCGTGTTCTTGGAAATACCTTCTAGAGAAATCCTCCTGGATGACATTCACCTGTGCCCGAACCAAGTTCCATCCACCAGGGTTCGCCCTGAGTAGGTTGTTGAGGGGCTGGAGTCGTTCCGCAAGTGTGGGTGTCGGACCGGCCGACGACCCCGATGCGATTCCGCTTGGAGACATGTTCAACTTATCGTTAGTCGTACTGGTATAGAAACCGTACGGTACAACTTGGTCGAACAAATCGAGTATTGCGTCAATGAAGCTGGAGTATGTCCGCGAGAGATTGCTGTGAAGGGAGAATATGCATGATCGGGGTATCAAGGTACGTATATATACATGGTAGATCGAGATGCCGTGAGTGACAATGGATTGTAGACTTCTTTCATCGTGTCTCCTGAAATAGCAGCAAGTTGGGTGAACAAAGAACGCCCATACAATGCCATTGTGTTAGAACCAAGCATTCCAGGCCTACGCTATAGTACTGTCTTGAAGCTTGAAGTAGGTTTCTTTGACCATTGTTGAAGCCTTTCTTATGGCAACAAAGGGCGAATAAGTGGATTCTGGCTCCCATTGTCTTCCACATTGTCTGTACAATGGGACAGGAGTGTGTAGCTTCTACACATCAAGCCTGAGCGTTGATCGATGGATGATAGTGTAGTAGGAAGAAGGTGTTGATATTTGTTGTGGCAACGAGAAAGAAGTCGTGAGTGAAGTAGTGAGACACCCCTGTCGTCGATGCCAAGCATATGGAACTAAGGTACCTAGGTAGTTCTAGCTCATTGCATCCTTGCATAGGTGATGTGATGATGTGCTTCCAGTGAATAGCCATGTCTACTCACGCGACCAGATGCACACGTCTGTCCTTCTTCGGTGCTTCTACTTTCCAGTAAGGTAGTCACCAGAAGTGCAAAGACGTCCACACTTCACTTGCTCAATCCCCGCTGCAACCCATCCCCTTCGCTCCCCATTCCAGCAGCTCATCACGGCCGGCAGCCCGACTGTTCCACGACCTCAACCTTGACAATCCTGAGAAATGGCCACTCAAGCACACTGTGCCTTCTGCTTCGAGGTCCTATCGGCCTCCTTTGAACGTAGAAAGCCGCTCAATCTCTCACAGACCGAGACACTTTGGTCCCAGTACCACACCACCAGCAGCAGCAATACCTATGAGGAACCCCCCTCGGAAGTCGATGATGACGATGCCGAAATGACCGATGTCGAAGGCGAGACTTCTGTCAAACGAACTGCCATCTCACGTTTACTCAACCGAGATGCCTCAGAGAGCGCTGGAAGCTCCAGCAGTAGTCTTCCCAGCAGCGGGAGTAGCAAAGCCACATCTGGGACCGCGACACCCGCGAGTTCAATTTCAGATCTTTCCACGACTCAGAATAAGAGGAAGAAAGTAGAGAAGCACCCGCTGTTCATTACATGGAATACCCTCTCGAGGAGCGGGAGTAAGAGCTTGAGAGGGTGCATTGGGACATTTGAAGCGCAGGAACTCGAGGATGGATTACGCTCATATGCCCTGACATCGTAGGCAATCTCTACTACACTTCTGTGGGCATCGTCTTTGACTAATGTGTCGTGTACAGCGCCTTCGAAGATACACGCTTCTCTCCGATCCCTTCATCTCTGCTCTCCTCTCTATCTGTGGAGGTCACGCTATTGACCAACTTCTCGTCTCCCACCAAGGACCCGATGGCTTGGACGATCGGTAAACATGGAATCCGAATATCTTTCACCCAGAATGGAAGGAGGTACGGAGCAACGTATCTGCCATCTGTGGCTGTAGAGCAGGAGTGGACGAAAGAGGAAACCTTGGTGAGCTTGATGAGGAAAGCGGGTTGGAGCGGGAGTGAGAGGAACTGGGAGAAGACGTGGAAGGATGGGAAGGGCGAGTTGGTGACCTATGAGGGGGAAAAGATCGGGTTGGCATACAAAGACTGGAAGGCGTGGAGAGATTGGGCAGATGAGAGGAATTAAGGAGTAGACGCGCTCTCTTGCCTGCGATGTGAAATGCTGAGATGAGACCTACGAATTCACGTACACCACGAACTTCTTTTCGCGAATTCACAGTTTTCATATATATGATGCGCAGCGAGGACAAGCAGCAAAAAGGCTTTCCAAAGTAAAAGCGGGGAAGTCCAGAGTCTGAGGAGTCCATTCAACCTATCTTGATGCCGACAGGCTCGGTACACATTCCAAACCCTCGGTAGCAAAAGATCACCAACAGATCATCTCCCCAAAGGTCCAATCACACTTCCCACCATAACAGCAGCTTCTCTCTCCCAATTCCCCTTTTCAACAACCTGTCCTTTACCCATGAATTTGCCCCGATACCCACGATCCACACACTCGCGAATAGCATCTCGTACATGATTCCGATTCGAGCGCAGCGTCCTCGCACTCACGCCTCCTCGCGACAAAATATCTTGCACGCGTGCCGTCAGCTGCGAAGCCATTGTTCGCCAGAAATATGAAGGTAAAGAAGAAGTTTCCAAATGGCGAAGGAGCGGCTGGAGGAGATTTCCTGTATCATCTGTTGTCGTATCTTTTTTCGTAGACGATGACAGACTCGGATGGATGTTTATCATAGGGGGTTTGACAGTTTCGAGCAAAGATTCGAGAGCCAGAATATTTTGACATCGAGCGGAGATTTCCAAGAGGGTGCGGTCCAGCATGGGCAGAGTTGCTAGAGCGCGACTGAGAGAGGCGAGACTGGACGTGAGAGCGGAATCGATGTAATTTTTCAAAGCTTGAATCATCAACGTCGGCTCGAACATGATGTCTGTGGCATTCTGATGACCCAACTTGACGACGGGCGGCGGCGAGAGGAGATAGAGTGTTTGTAAACTCGCTTCGGCTTTCTTTTTCGTCTCTTCCATTTGTGCAAATGTCTTTTCTTGTCCTGCAAGCGAACTCGTCGACGTTGTCGTTGTCGTCGTTGTCGTCGAAGCAGAAGTAGAAGCAGAAGCAGAAGAAGAAACACCACTCATAGAAAACTCCCTCACCACCCCCCGACACCTCTCCACCAACGTCCTCTCCAACGCACTCCCCACATCCTGCCTCACACTCGCCGCGACCGCAACTTTCCCCAACAAAGCCCCTTCCGCCCCCATAAAACATTCTTTCATCTCCAAGACCGCCCTCGCCGCAGGAACCATACTCCTATACCCCTGAGAATTATGATTGTTTTGATGACCCACCACCTCATCCATCCTCGCCTGCAAATTCCTCCCCAACCCAACAACTCTCTGCACCGCCCTGCCCAACCTCAACGTCTTCACCAAATTCTCACTGCAGAGTCTCACTTCTTCAGCCTCCTCATATCTCTCTGTAACCTCTTTTCTCAATCTTGCAAAACTCGTCTGGAGAGTTTCGACTTGCTCTTCGACACTCGATAGAATTTGTTGCGCAGCAGAATTTTGTGAGGAAGTGTGTTGGATGATGGGCAGTGCGGATTGTGTGGTGAGAGAGTCGATGTGTGTGTCGACTTCTTGCACGTCGAAGAGGACCCGGCTGAGGGGTGTGGAGAGGTCTAAAGGTGTGTCGGAGGGGTTGTTGGTCGAGAGGATGAGGGTGTTGGTGTAAGTCGTCGGGGAGAAGGTGGGAGCGGAGAGGGAGGGGGAGAGGTAGGTGGAGGGGGTGGACATTTTTTTGGGGGCCTTGTTGGTTGGTTGTTGTTGGATCGTGAGCTGGTGGAGGATTGTGGTGTGGGATGGTATAAAGTGTGGAGAGGTCGTGAGGTGAAGTCAATCCTAGGCATTGGAATTGATTGAGATGTTAATCAAGCTTTGGGGATAAATTCATTCAGGTCCAACTGCTAGCGAACGGTGCGCCTGACTCTCTAACACCTAGCCAGTGTCGGACATGCAATATGAACTGTCCTTTCACGAGCTCAGTAAATCATACCTGAGGCAAGGTAGTGTTTGCAAATCATAGCATTGAGCTTCGTTATAACTCTACCTTAGTGCTATAACTACTCGCTGATCCCAAACATCCTCCCAAGGCAAAGTCATCGCGCGGCGCAGCAATTGGTATATTCTCATCTCCTATGTAAAATTGCATCGCTGCTCATTCGACATCCTCGCCACCTCAAGGTATTCCCTTTGTTCTCGAAGCCTCATGGGAACCAGGGCAAATGACCAAAACATGTCGAACCTTGAGACATCTCGTACGAGGCTGATGAGATGGTTCACACATTGCGGTTGTGCAGCACTGCAAGCGTCTTTCCTCATCCGTAAGCCAAGTAGTCTGCATGTTGAATGTCCGTTTCGTACTCTGAAAAGAGCGAACGTATTCAGTGGATCCCAATTGCAAGATTCATGTTTTAAAGGGCTGGCTGATTGATTTGCCAGAGTTGGGCGATTGCACGATGAGGAACTCAGCCCAAGATTGCGACATTTACCCCAGTGCTGGGATTGCTTTGCGTCGTGACGCAGTATGACCATGCCATGTATCTTGTGACCCGAATCGTTCGAGGTGCAAGTTTCTGCAGACCCTCGAATCGGTGATCGAATGGGTCTGAAAGTGGGGATATACACGAAACCGGCAGCATCTAGCAAGCGTGCAGCAAGCCTCGCAATCTTCGGGAGAACACAAGACGTGTTTCGAGGCAAGTTCCAAACCCCTTGATAGTGGATGGCTCAGGTATCACTTCCGCTCTCTTTGACCTCCTCACTAGAGCAGACCTCCCTATCCTTCAGCAATCTTTCCGCCCTCTCGTCTCGGAGTGTCTGATAATCACTCACGCTCCCGCCCAAGGAGGCTTCCCGCTGCCGGATGAAGAAGTCTATACGATCCTGTCGACTCGTCAAACCTTGGACTTCTTTCTTGACTTGTCGTAAATTCTTCGCAGCGCGGTCATGCACTAAATCTCTCGCCTCCACAAGATACGTCCCATTATCCTGCGCCCGTTGCACATTGAAGCTGCTACCAATGATAGACAGCGCGATGACCACAGCCAGAAAGTACGAATTCTTCATGTAGACTGGGGCTTTCTTGGTAGGATTCGCTTTGTGATCATGGTATCTCTCCCAGTCTTCCCACGTCGCATTCTTCCATACTGGATCGGCGGGATCATGCCAGCTCTGACTGAAAGGCCCTGCAGCATGGAAGGGAGAAGGCTGCGACCATGTCTCCTTGCCGCCCACTTCAGCTTTCCCATTCCAACCTGCTCCAAAGCGATCGTAGGCACTACGCTTGACAGGATCGGACAAGATCGTGTGCGCTGCCACGATGAGACGATAGCGCTCGGTCTTGGTGGCATGAGATATCTCCGAGGCGTCTCTGGTACTTCCTACGGTGTGAACATGACGGTCAGGGTGATACATCTTCACGAGCTTGTAGTATCCGGCTTTGGAGTATTGCCCGTCGTGCCTCATGTTGAAGATCTGGTAGGGAGTCGGATGGGCGTGACCTTTGGGCGTTTCAGGCCATGTATACGCTGTGTCTCGTCCATCGGATTGCTCTCCTACTCCTCCCACATCACCCGCCATGGTGGCATATCCATGGCCACGCCATGCTGTTGGTCGTGTGCTCCCTTGCGTGCGTCGATTCGATGACGTCGTCGATATTGATCTCGTCGCTCGCGGGACGCTGTGGTGAGCAACGGCGAAGAGAGCGCTATACTGAGGTGGGGTGATCAGGATCATGGAGAAAGGGACAGTGGCTCATCGTACCAGCGCGAGCCGTACTACCAAGTGAAATAGTTTAAGTATACTTGATCGAGCAGGTAAGAGAAGCGGAGTGCGCATGTTTGAGAGGTTACCTAACCTTACGGAGCGATGTGGGGGAACAGGGCGCCAAGGAAATCAACCTTATACCAGGTTGCTGCAAGACTTCGTCTGGCTCTTCCACCACCTCCTAGAGGCACCAGCGTGTACTGTTCGATTTATCGATGCTCCCTAGCATGGCCCAAGGAAACCTCGTGAGGGTATCGATACCGTGGTATAAGAACAAATTTTCCTTTTGACGAACTGCAAGAGACATTACCCATGGGGACGAGATGACATGACATTGGGCATCTCTTGTCTTCATCGCTTTCTTCATCCAGCTGATTCCAACTAAATCTTCTTAGGATCACTACTAACCCCCATCTCCACCAACTTCGCATCCGCCTTCTTCCTCCACTCCTGCAACTTCCCCATAAACCCATCCTCGCCCGTTTTATTCTTTGTATGATCCCACTCCTCCTCATGATGCTGAATCATGCCCTCCCCATCCAACTGCAACGTAATCTTGCTATTCAACGTCTTCTCCGGCGTCTTCTCCCCCTTGAACACATAATGCTGCGTCAAATCTAACACGATGGCTCCCCCTTCCCCCGCATGCGTACTCGCCGCCGAAGATTGCCGGGTCGCTTGCGCGGGGTCGAGAATCTCGCATTTTTGTGTTTCAGATGATGAGAAGAGTTTGGGCATTCCGTTGAATTGGGACATGATGCTTTCTTTGCCCTTGGCGATGGAGACGGGGTCATGGAAAACGGCGTCTGAGCGGTAGTGGGAATATGATTTCTCTGTTGTTGATGTTAGCTATCGATGTGATGTATAATTGTTTTGTAGCCAAGAAAGGAACGGATGAATGAGGGAGAGATGATCACATACCCGTCGGTTTGAGTTGATAGAGAGAAAGGACTTCATCAATGATAGTCTTTTCATTCGCGCTAGGCTGGCGGCCTGTGAGTGTGGTGTTCATGATGGTGCGTTTGTTGAGGAGGGTGTTGAGGCTTGATCGTGGGAGGGTTCGGAGAAGATGTGACATTTAATAGCTTCGGTATATGTAGTATAGGTATGTGCGAGGAAGAGAATATTGAAGGGAGGGCAGTGTATATAACTACCTACCTGTAAAATACATGTACCTAAAATGTATGGCTGTCGATGTATGCGCGATTAGAGTTTGGGAATGATGCGCTCCAGCTTGCATCACCATGACCGGTTGACGTGCATTCGCTACGTGGACATACCTAAGGTACCTCCCTCCTAGGAGGTACAGGTATGTACATTGCCTTGTGCATGTTGTGCATAATTACATCGGGAGGGATCACATTTGAGAACGACCCTCAAGAGCAGTAAGGCTTCTCGACGCCCAGGTGTATCGGTGAGTGCTCCGACAGCATGTGGCACGCGTACACCTTTATACATGTTCCGTTCATGTACCCTCAAATCCGATGCTGACACTCTCGCACGTACATATGCTTCGCAGGCAAAGTTTGATCGCGGTCACTGCCCCTTTTTCTTGTCCATGCCGACACGAGTCTCGCTGCTCTGCTCTATCCAAACCCCTCGTGGGACAACATGACCCAAGTAAGAGCAAGAAGCACCGTCTGTATAGTGGGGTCTCGTCAAGGCGTATGCGGTACTGTCTTCCCCATTGCTGCTGTCGTGGAGATTTCGAATGGTGTCGTTGCACGTCCCATTTCCCTTTGCCGTGCTTTAGTGATCATCTCCTTCATCTCCTTCAGGAGCACAGGCTTGCTCAAAAACTCGTCCACTCCACTCGCAAAGGCCTGCGTTTTAGCCTCCTCGTTCGTCACACCTGTCAAAGCAGCCACAAACGATCTTGGTAATCGACGTTTACGCTCTGTCTCTCGTATCTTTGCCGTAGCTTGGAAGCCGTCCATGACCGGCTAGAAATAATTAGCAGATGAATTTCACGATGTCTTCGCGCCTCCATTGCTGCGAGGCGAAGACATGACTTGTGCAAATGCCATGAATCTTCTCGACGCTCCTCCACCCACCCACCAATGCACCGAACAGATTGGCTTACCATGTTGATATCCATCAGGACAAGGAAGAAAGATTCCGGATTCGCGCGAAATAGATCCACAGCTTCACGACCATTGTTCGCGCACAGGTATGGAACCCCTTGCCGTTTCATGAGCATGACCAGGACCCTCATGTTGATCTGGTTGTCCTCGACCAGTAAGACCGTGTCTTTCCTCAGACCTTTAACACCTTCGCTTTCGCTGCTATCTGCGCTGTGGGCACCGCACGAACTGCGTGACCATGCCGATGATTTGGCGCTCGAATGGGCCCTCGCATATCTTGGTCGTGAGCTAATACTGCCAAAACCTTTCTGTCGTATGCTCGGGCTCCTGGTGGGCTGCTCCTCGTAGCTTGCAAAGCTGGTTGTCGGGGTCAAACTTCCCGGATCTTGGGGCTTCGTACCATCTGGGCCTGCTGAACCTGCGGAGACCTCTGCAGCAGCAGGAGAAGGAGCGTCTATAAGATGCAGCTGTGGTGTCATGCTGCTGTACGGTACAGGGAAGTCCCACGGCCCCTTCTCAAGATGAGAGCCAAGCTGAGTGGAATCTCTGTCAGAGGTTATGGCACGTAGGAGTTTCTGTGGTCCAACTGGTTGATGAATCAAGACAGCTGAGAACGGGAGGTCCTCCGCAGGTACTCGCAGGAAGACGCTCTGCAGAGAGTCGCCCAGAACTAACACATGCGGAGGCATCTTTCCGAAAGCTGCCATCCGCTTTCGCAGGGCTTGTGGTCCTTCCTGAGCCCATAGCAGAAGTAGGTCCTCCGCAATTGCGACAACACAAGGTCCTGTACCTTCGTTGCTAAACGAGGGTCCATGACTGGTATCACATTGTAGCCAAGACTTCGCAGTCTCCATTACCGATACTCCCAAAGCTCCTAGGTCAGTGTCCTCATCGGGAGTGGGTACAATCCAGTGGTATTTGCTGACGTTGAGCTCCATCCGAAACGATAAGCCAGAGCCAACATCTGGATCCTCGACATTTGCTACGAAGGCAGCATTCATACCCACAGTTGCGGTTGTGCCCTTGCCCAACGTACTGTCGAGTGCTATTGTCGCATTCATGTCCTTGCAGATTTGCTGCACGATGCTCAGACCTAGTCCAGTACCCGAAGAAAGTGAGCTTTCCTGCTTGAAGGGAGTATACAGACCAGTCTCGAGAAACTTCTTCGATATGCCGATCCCCGAATCTTGCACAGAGAACCGGATGGGTCGCTGGCTAGGTTTCTTTACTTTCGCGCCGCGGGCACGTCTGTGTCGTGACGAACCGGCAGCTGCATCAAGACTTCCTTCATCGTCCGAGGACTGCTGGACATCTAGGAGATCGAGGCGAATAGCCACAACGCCTTTCGTAGTGTATTTCAGAGCGTTGCTAACAAGGTTCTGCACGATGCGTGTCCACGCGCCTGGAGAGCCGCGAATTTTCCAGCTTTTCCGCCACGAGATATTGAGAGTGACTGATACTTTTTTCGACCCAGCGTTACGGGAGCGTTCTCCAAAACGATGTGCAGACACGATGGTCTCAACGACCTCTTCAATCAAATTTGCTAGATCGAACTCAGTGGACACTCCAATCTCATCGGGCATCTTATCAGCCGGTGAGGCGCCAGCCAATTGCCGTTCTTCATCTGCACTAATTCGTGACTTCCGTTCAGCACGTGTGAAGCTACTCATCTTGGCATAATCAAGAATATGGTTCACGGTGTCCAGAAGGGTACGGCCTGCCATGGAGATAGTACGGGCCATCTCCTGCTGGAATGCAGAGAGGTCACTTTCCATGAGAAATTCGACACCTGCCAGAATGCCATGCTAGAGAGATAACGAGATCGAATGTTAGCACACGTCTCCAATATGACGATATCCTTTCATGTGAAATTTACCAAAGGACTCCTGAGCTCATGGCTGACAGATGAGATGAATGAGCCCTTCGCTTTATCAGAAGCAATCGTTTCCAAGCGACCCAGTTCTGCGAGTAGAGAGTGACCCCAGGAAGCCAAGTAGGTAATATCTTCGATTGGATCGAAGTATCGATAGGGCGATGTGCTCCATAGGAAAGTGGCCGAGGTGAAACGATCTTGATCTTCGTTCCAAATGGGATAGAACGCGATCGATTTGGCATTGGGCATGATCTCTGGAAGTGTGTGTCCACGGACACTCCTCTTTCTCTTGGATCCTGCCGATGAGTTTGCTGATTCGTCGCCGCCAGAAGAAGTGCAGTCCGCACCATTCGCATCATAATTGAAGATATGGCCGTTAGGGTACTGCCGGATTAGCTGAAGTAAAAGTCTCTCGGGCATATTGAAGCCTGAAGCCAATCTCATTGCGTTGTTGATACTCGAGTCTTCTATCGACGAGAATGCATGCAGACGACACATGGTGCCGGCTGTAGTGTCAGACGCCTCTCCATCGCTGGTCAGTCTATGTACGAAACGATCACTGGCGCTGCTGGTGTCCAGACTAGGACCTTTGGTACCGGTTGAGTGAGAGCTTACTTCCAGGAAGACGACGCCGTCCGCACCGATTGCTTCCCGCATGAGGTTGCTCGCTCTCGCGTAGGTGCGGGCTGAAGCTCTCCCCAAATCAAAGTCCTCGCCGGCAGGTATATTAGGATGACCTTTGCCAGACGACCTCGGCCTCGCCCAGCTTTCTCGTACAGAAACCGATGGGGGAGAGGCTTTGAGATTCCCTTTTTGGGGCGAAGGCTGCCTGCTCCTGGGAGGTCTTGGTGCGGCCGCAAAATCGCGAGAGGTAACGCTAGCAGAGCCGCGATTAGCGGTAGCACGACTGTTGGCCAGGCTGGAGGCAGACGGCAAGTCTAGCTCCGACTCGTAAGAGCTATCTTTCCCTCCCAGGCTCTCGCTTCCCGAACTGGTCTCTCTGTCAGAAGTCGACCCAGTCTTGAACCCGAATTCCTCGTTGGCGGCGGTTGTTTGTTCGCCTCGAGTCATCTTCCCACTTTTGTGTCTCCCCGCGGCCGATACACGTGTAGCTTCCTGCTTGAGCCACCAACGTCGCAGGCTAGATTTGCCATTGTTGAAGAGTCCTAGACTTTGCACCATGCGCTCACTCCGCTGACGCTGCGAGTGCACGACGGTGGCGTTGAGGTGCTGGGTGATGGTGTCAGCAACCTCTTCCAAATACGACATCTCTACAGCGCTGATCCCATGCCTGGGCATATCGTCCAAAATCGCCAAACTGCCAAGAACCGACCCGCTGCCACTCCTCAACGGGATGGCAGCGTAGAAGCGCAAGCCAGAACTGCGCCGCACGAAACCGCGCTGAGCAAGGTGTCCGGTGCCACGCACATCGCTTATGATCTGCCAATGCGCCGAGCTGCTCTCGGTGTAAAAGTAGTCTTGCTCCGCGGGCGCATGGCGAACGTGCCGTGCTCGTCTCCAACTGTCCATGGCCAGACTGTTCAAGCCATCGTCGCTCAGATAGCTACACGTGCCCAGCCATGGGGCATCCCGCGCATCCTCGACCGACTCGTACTGCAGACTCATTGTCTTGGTGGCTTCCGTCAGAACATAGTCGATTTCGCCGGTGCAGAGCGTGATCAGACAGCGGCGCGCGTGCAGTCGAAGCGCGACGAGCTGGGCAAAGGCCGCCAACGCGATGTCGGGACATGGTCGAGGCGTGGTGGTGATGGGCTGGTCCTTGTCGGTGGGGAAGATGTGTGGATTGAGCAGCAGCGCCCGGTGATACTCTCTGCTCCATGGATACAGGTATCTCCAGACATCGCGCTGTCGTGCGTGTTCCGTCCGCAATCGAAAGCGAGACTCCTGCTGCTGCTGCTGGCCAGACACGGAATCTGGCATGGGAGCTACACGTGGCTGTCAGTCAATTGGAAGAGATCATGGCGTAGACTGCATGAGACCAGGTACCACAGCCTCGCGGTAGGGAACTGTAAGGTAATGATGCGATCAGGTATAATAGTGGTAACTGTGCTGATAGGATGAAGCAGTAAGGTCAAACGTGTAGTTGCACGAATCGGTTTAGGTACATGTAGGAACTTAGTGGATGCGTAGGTAGGGGAGGTACATGTAGGTATGTAGGTACCTTAGGTATAGGCTCGACGCTGCATACATCACAGACCATCTTGAATACTGGTCAGGTACATATGTACTGTACCTTACATATTGCAGTTCATCCACGTTGTGCGGAGGATGTGTTGGAAGCCGCGATCAGGTGTAGGTACAGGTCCCTTCAGTGTATATACTTCGAACAAAACCGACGGTGCAGGCGCCAAGGGCATCGAGTCGGGGAGAAGGCCGACTCCGGTCATATCCTCGCTCCATTACATGCACTCCATACATGTATGTACCGACTACCAGGTACAATACCTCCTACAATACCTTACTCTATTCCTCCCTGGATCCTGAGAACGACATGTGCCTTAGGCAGTCACATCATCATCGCCTGCTGTGGCATTCTCCGCATACTCGTGATCACCCACATCGGCAGCCAACATCTTCCTCTTCTTCCGACCACGCCTAGCGGGTCCTCGACCCTTCAGAATCCCGCACGCCTCATATGCCGCCTTGACTTCAGCTTCATCCTTACTGCGACACCCCTCGAGTGTCACAACCCGCTCGTCGTCGACTTTGACAACGCACTGCCACCTCTTCCGGCCCTCGTCATCTTCGACTGGGCTATTGATATACTTGACTTCGGCTTGATCTGCTACAATGCCAAGCATCTCCTTGGGCGACACGCAGTTTACATCTTCATCCAGAATCCTGTGCATGAAGTTCAAGATACCAAGCTTCTCGACAAAGACTTCGCAAGCTGCCAGATTGCCATGCGTGTCAATGAAGATGGCTCCCAGGATAGACTCGACCAGGTCACAGAAGAATTTGGGAGGTGATAGTGTAACCAGCTCGACCCAAGGATATTCGATGCCATGTGCGAGTGCCTTCTCAATCTGCGAAGAGCACTCGTGGAAATGCTCAACCGCCTGACACGTGATATTGTTCACCTGTGCTCCAGCACGCATGAACTCGTATAAGTGTGTCTTCCGCCGCGCAGACACACTGTCATAATTTCCAGAGGTAGTCTGCACAATGTCAAACATCTCTTGATTGATATAATATCGTAAACAGCAGTACCCTAGGAGGTGACTGTTGACCAGAGCGGCGTGCACGCTATGTAGCTGCCAGTGTTTGAGCTTCCTGGGATGTGAAAAGAGCTTTGGCGTGATGATCATGTCTAGCACACTGTCGCCTAGAAACTCCAGGCGCTCGTACGACATGCCTGTCTTGTTGGCTGGACAGGATCCGTGAGTCGTCGCTTCTACGAGAAGTGTAGGATGTGAGAATGTGTGACCGATCAGTGTTTCGAGCAGCAAAACGTTGGCGACTGGGCATGCAGTGAGCTCTGCAATCAGTGTCTCAAAACAGTCATTGGACCATTTCTCCTGTGGTAGCAATACTCGGATACATTGAAATGCTTTCTCTGTGTCACCTTCCAGATACGCAGCGCCGATGAGTGCTTCCACTACATCTGCCAAAGTCTTAGTCGACATCTGCCGTTTCGCTGCCTGGTCTTTCACATGTTCAGTGGCGTAGGGTGGCCGCCACTTCCTCCCAGTGAATGGCTCGGTCAGAATGTACTTGTCAAGTTCCCTTTCAAGTGCCGCTTTTGCTAAGTTGCTGTTCCGAACTATGCGGTCGCGCTCAAGAGTGAGGTATGCCTCTGGCCAGTCAGTGTGTTGTGACATGACTTGCAGCTCTGTGTAGTGCTTTAACACGCAGTCTCCTAAATACTCGAGACGATTGTAGTCAGTCGGCTCACCCGCCGCGGGTGAGCTGATTGCTTCCTTAATGAGGGCGTGGTCCGTCAATGCAATGTCTTTGAGAGCGGTCTCCATAAGGTCCCGAACTAGCAGACTTGTCTCCAATCTATATAGAATGGATGGCACAAAAGCAGAGAATAATGCATATTTGGCAGGCAGAACGTCGATCGTGCACTCATCGATTTTAATGGTTTGTTTGCCAGTATGTGCGCTGCTTGGAGCATTTTCCTCGGGAATGGGATGCAGGAAGTCCTTACGTCTCGGAAACGTGCTTAAAGTGAGTTCCGAGGAGTCTTGACTGATATCTTCAATGAAATATGACCGCCCTTGCTGACTTACAATGCGAGCTAGGCCAGCGTTATCAAGGCTACCATTGATTCCAAGGAAATCGGCTGCGCGCTTTGCTTGACCATTTCGTGCTATTGAACGACTGGCATCTTCGAGATCAGCAGCACCGAAGAGTACTGCGAAGCCATCGCGGCCGGTTTTCATTCGTTGAGCGTGCGCAGCCCTGAGCAGATTGGAGGTACATTGATGGAGTAAAGCTTCAGCAGATTGCGAAAGATGCTGGTCTTGGTACGTGGATACTTTGGCTTGATAGGTAATGTGGCTGTTCCAGTAGAGGTGGAATGATTCGATGATGGGAATGATGGCCGGCAACCACATCGAAATCTCTACCACCACCTCTGAGCCCAGCAGAAGCTGTATTGTAGTCGATGACCAGGTCTTTTCTTCGTCTCCATGAGAGTTGATCTCGCTCAGCGGTGATATCCGATCAGCCACCTCCACAATTGATGGCTGGTCAACATGTTCCACGCCGATCTGGGGGCCGTAGTCCTTGATCAGAGGCAGAAGATTGTCGTTGACCAGGCCGGCGCGGTGAAGCGCTATGTATGCTTCCAGAGCCGCATCTTTGATGGCCTCCTCTTCAGTCTCCCATGGCTTCGCTGAGTTTGCATGCCGCACACTAGGATGAACAGTCATCGGAAGGTCGACACTGGCTGACCACCGAGTAGTTATTTCGTTGAGACTGGTCTCAAATTCCGGCCTCAAGTCTATGTAGTTGTTTGCGTGTTTTGTGCTGACGCTACAAAAGTGGTAGAGATGAGACATGGCATCGTCCATAGTCATCATTGCACCAGTTGATGCTACTCCATATACTCTCGGCGGCTTCTCAGATGGTCTCAGCTGCAGCTGGCGTGAGTCATCCATGTACATAGCTTTCATTTCAGCTTCAAGAGCCGACCAGGGTTTGTTCCCTTTTGCAGATTCGTTCTCTGAGACGAATAAGAAGTATTTGGAGTCAGTCCGTCTTGCACGACCCCGACGCTGTACGAAAGAAACCAAGTTCTTTGGTGCATCGAAGCAGATGACCTGACTCGTGTTAGCTATATTCTCTCAGTGTTATCCTGAGGACTGTAACCATACCAGATTACATGCGGATATATCGATGCCTTCTTCGAGCACGTTAGTAGCCACCATGACATTCTTATGTCCATCACGAAACGCTTGAAGATCCTTCGACTGGTCTGAGAGGGCAACCAGGTCCGCGACCGATATCTTACGATTAGTATTCGTGGAAGTGCCGACGAAACCGGCTATCTTGTACGAGTCTTCCAGTGCAGGCACACGCCTGAGGAGCTCAGCAAGTGCGGTCACCTGAACACGCTGCTCTACGAAGATGAGGCAGTGGACGCCTGGCTCAGCATGCTGCAGAAGAATTTGGAGCAGTAAGCGAGCCTTTTCGGAGATAACCAGGGTATCGTCCACAGTTCCGAGCGCAACTGCAGGACCGGCATGTTGCTCAACATCCTCGAAAATTTCCAGCAAGTGTTTCCTTTCAGCTTCGCTGAGATCCGGCATGAGAAAGTTCTCTGAACTCATACCCTGTCGGAATCTCCGAATGCAGGTAGAGATGTACCATTGTGCCATGCTCGGTCCAAGTTGTTTGTGAAGTCTGGCAGCTCTGGTATCCAAGGCTCGCAGTTGCTGCAGACAGTAGGTTTCTTGCTTAAGCTGAACTTGCTGTAAAATCTTTCTCGATCTATCGTCATGCTGCCCTGTCAGTGCGACGAAGTAAGGATCGCGCGCAAGGTCATATGAACGTGCGGCCACAGCGAGCGCATCGCATAGTCGGTTTGATGCCGTATGACTTTCGCTGAATCTAATAGTTAGGAGCTCAGGCAGATTGACGTGTTTCTCGAGCTCAGTCCGATGGGTTTTAGGAGTAACAGCTAATGAATGCAGGTTTGATTCAATAGTCCTGTGTACATGTAGTCAGCACCATCCATAAAACTCGTGAACAGATTACTGACTCAAGACCGCCCTGCTTCACACTGGTCACTGGACTGGCGCTTAGGCCCAGTATGTGTGGGACAGGCTCTCCACGTTCCCTCGCTGGCCGATAGAATAGTTGCATGATCTGGTTCATGGGAGCTTTCTTCGTACACCTGTGCGCTAGAGGAGAGAGTCATGGATGAGCGCCCACATAGTCTCACTTGTCGTCCACGGGGACGTACCTTCATCGAAGACACACAGAGCGAGCCTGGAGATTGTGACGAAGCCATGCGCGAGGGCATCTTTGAGGACGGCGGGTGTTGCGATGACGACTTTGATGTTGGTCAAAACTGCATCCCAGAGGCGCTGGTCTGTCCACTTCTCAACACCGTCGGCACCAGTCAGGAGACGCACACCGTAAGCAGAGAGCTCCAGATCCAGGGCGCGGTATTGCTGCTCTGCCAGTGTTCGTGATGGAGCGAGAAACCACACGAGCTGCTTGGAAGCTACCTATTAGCTCTCCAGAACAATACGAGAAAGTGGTGGCGGGCATACTCTGTTGTCCCTCAGTCTTTCGACTTCTGCACGTATTCGGGCTATAGCGATATGAGTCTTGCCTGATCCTGTGTCCATTGCCACAATAATATTTTCCTTGAGGCTCCGGTCAACCATCTCCGTTTGGTATGAGCGCAGCTTAAAGCCACTGCCAGACTGAGCAGCACCATCCAAGGCCATTGTCTCATCTGAGGCTGCCATGATGGAAGCGTCGTGCCAAACGCGTAGACTGTTGGTAAGTATAACGTGCAAGTGCACCAACCTGTAGTTGAGGCTCTAATGCAAGGACTTTCGCTTGTTTGTGCAACCAACCTCAGCCGGTAACCATACTCGGACATAGGTATGTACCTACCTATTGGACTAGAACGCGTCCAGGCTCATCATCACGATACGCCGCCGAAAGACGAAAAAGTACGCCTGGAGGGGTGGCTGGAGAGTTGATGAGCCATGAAGATATCCATGGGGAGAGAAGGGACTAGAGGCAGTGGAGGGACCTAGATTGCTAGGGTGTGAGTGAGTTCATGGGCAGAAAAGTCGTGGGCATGTTGGCCGTCCAAGGATCGTTCCGACGACAAACATCTTTCAGTCCACACTGGTGATCCTATCACGACCAGAATCATCAATCCTCAAGTAATGCGACATCCCCTCCATCGAACAGCTTTTCGCCCGCTGAATGAATAACAAGTTATACCGAGGCCCGGCGAGAGGACGAACGGAGTGAAATGGGCGCGAAGTGAATCTGTCATGTCAGTGTGGGAAGAGTCGAGATGGAGGCTGTGTCAGTGCTGCGTCCTGGAGAGCGGAGGATGGTAGAATAAAGCGGCTACGGTACTGTATCAGATGTGGTGTAGAGCTTCCCGTCACAGATGATGGTGATGGGGAGGACGGTTCCTTCCTAGGTATACCAGGTATGTACAGGTACCTAAGGTTAGGTAGGCATACATCAGGTACTGTACCTTCCATGGCCGCCACGTCCTCTCCGTCGCTGGAGCCTCGTGCCTTCCTCCCGGATCATCCAAGATGAGCACCTGCCTTGCCTGTCAGGCTCGTGGCACTGGCAGCAAGTCCGCGCCAGCTTGAGAAGGACGGCAAGGCTGAGAAAGCTGAACAGGCCGACGGAAGCAGCAACGAATGTCCATCGCCACGGCAGGCACTGTAGATGCCAGGCGTGATAAACAGATGCAGACCAGCCCTCTCGAACACTCGACCTGATCCTCTATACCTCCTCCACTCACATACATTACCTTACACAGCACCAGCGCGCCTACTGAAGCAGTACTCACCATCATCCTTCACTTCTACAGTACTCCACGAAGAACACCCTCCACTAAACCCATCAATCAACATGTCTGACAGTACGTTCTGCACCACCACGCTCTGCGACCGTACCATCCATGCTGACCAACTCCCCAGAGATTCAAAACAAAGTCACACCCGACGTGGTCAAGGCTCCCGACGTGGTCAAGGCTCCCGACGTCGTCAAGGCTCCCGTCGACATCAAGGCTCCCGTCGAAAAGGCTCCCGACGTCGTCAAGGCTCCCGTCGAAAAGGTCGCAGACACCACAACCACGGCCACGACCACGACGGCCAACCCCGACAATGTCACTCGGTAGCTTGCTCTAACTCTCATTTGCCTCCTCTACTGCAGACAGCCGTACTAAGTCAATGTTTGAAGTGTAGAAGACAAGCCTGGATTCGTGGCTCGTGTTAGGGAAGAATTGAGTCCCAAGCATTTGGAAGAAGTGATGAAGCATCCCGTGGATACAATGAGGGAGATGGTTCACCACGATCACAAGCAATGAGCGAGATATTTTGCATCGACCTGGCCTATGAGAATGAGACCTAGTCTAGGAGACGATACGACCTGACTTGAAGGATGACTGGCTCAAGGTGGAAGCCAATTGTTGCAATGTTGGGAACTCTAGAGCTGTGGTTTTTCCGCCTGCTGCACTACTTTGAGGATACCTAGCTTTGCAATGAGAGCTTCTTCAATCAACCAGATGAGCAAGTAGTAGTTTGTCATGCAGATGCGACATTTCGTCAGCAGCAGCGGAGCAGACTCGTCGTCGTCAGTGGCCCAGCAGCAGGAAGCATGCTGCAGCTGCAATTGACGGGGTAGGTATAATGCGACGTGCGTTTTCACTTCCGGCCGAGGTTGGTATTGAGGCGGAGCCTCCTGCCTAATCTGGGGACAGCCAAGAATGTGCACCTGCATGGCAGAGAAGTTGGAAGTCTGAATGACGGAATGATGCCTACCTGGGGGAGGACAGCCAAGAGATGTGCATGTTGTAAGAGAATTGGGGAGGATAGCCAAGAATTTGCGGCATCAAGAGAACTGTGGAGGACAGCCAAGAATTTGCGGCATCATGTGTAGGTATGTTACAAGAGAACTGGGGAGGACAGCCAAGAAATGTGCGCATCATTCACTACCTGCCTTAGTTCACATACATATTGCAGAGACTGTGGGGAGGACAGCCAAGAATGTGCCCGGTATCATTCTTTTTGCAGAGAGTTATACAGCCAAGAATGACTGGTCGTGGGATGCCGCTGAGAACTTGGAAGTTGATCAGTGGCGGAATTTATGCCTAGACGTAGGCTAGTGTTCCTCTTCTCCATTACTACCTTAGCACGCAACACAGTGCCTCCTAGTGACATGTCCAGTGATTTGAGGTCTAGGCAGTTTTGCAGAAAGTTGCTCTTTCGCTCCCTTGGCAAGGTGGGACATGGAATGTAAGGCAGATCACGAGGGCAGCTTGCTGCCTGAGCCAAAGGTTGCACCACCTTCTGTACTCTGCTACACTCCTTGCGCGCACATGTCGACCAGAGAATTTCGCGGTGCAATTGTAGGTACGGTACCTTGGTATGTAGTCTGATCGTGAGCCCGACCCAGACTCAGACTACGGATTCTGGAACACATAGGAGCATCAACAATTGTGTGGATGCAGGGGTCATATCCGCCGAGAAACACACTTACTGTATATGGAGTGTGGTCGTCTGGATCGTGCAGACCTTAAGAGCGGCACTGATGTTTGGAACTCGCTTGTCGTAGTGTCTCGGGGAGGAAACACAGTCCAGTCACAACGGTGCAGTCAGTGGAGTGCGACGGGAAAGGAAAGGACGAGGTGAGGGAGCCGCATCGGCGGCATTACCTATAAGAAGAGCAGACACATGATTTGTAGAGGAGGGGGAGCAGGGAGTATGTGGGAGGATATGTGTGTAGTGTGAGAGTGTGAGAGTGTGAGAGTGATGTGAGTGATGTGAGTGATGAGAGCTGGAGAGAGAGTGAGTGAAATGAAACATTACGATAAGCTCTACAGCACATCTCGGATCATCGTCCAGTTCGATAAGTTAAGAGGTACCTAGGTAGCTCGGCGACAAGCCAAGGCTCGGCGGATGCCGGCTGAAGGCGTAGCGTAGTCGATCCTGCAGTAGAAGGGAGAGATAAGTTGTAAGTGCAGTCACAGTCTCGCCTCGCCTCACCGCACCGCACCGCTCCCACGCCGAGCGCGCCGGAACACGCCAAGGCCCGCAAGACGCGGACAAGGCGTTTCTCAAGGCTTTCGCCCGCGAAGGCGCACACAATCAAGCTCGATAAACCTCTGGCAAGACTGGCTTCTTCCTATAGCCCGTGAAGCTTACCATCGATCCCTCATCGCTCGAAGCTTACCGTACTCTATACCGACGACGGGGAGCCCCTGGCTGGCAGACGGACTGGCGGACGGTGCGGTCGGTGGTATACTGTACTTTCTTTACCTACCTTTATGGATGTGATGTGGATGCTTTAGCACGTGAATGAGAATCTAGCTGTATACCTAAGGCAGTGTTCGACACGCCCACGCGCCTCCATGCACTGAAGGCACAGACACACCGGACCCCGGGCAGTGGGCAGAGGGCAGTGGGCAGTGGGCAGTGGGCAGTGGGCAGTGGCCCAGTGGCCCGCCCAGTGGGCGTACAGCGGAGCGGACTCCCGACGGAACCCCATTTCCCTCATCCTGAACCTGATCTGCCAAGACCGATAGCAGTTCTCGCCAAGCATCTAGCAAACACTACTCCCCATGTGCGCCCAATACGACATTAGTTCAGACTCTAACGTGCTGATCGCAGGAACCGTGAATGGCTGTATGGCTGTTTACCCTCCGGTGCAACCTGGCTGTTGCCCAGGTGGTCGCAACCACACAGACCTATCGATACGCGGCCTCTTCTCCTTCCTACGCGCTGGCTGGACACGGAATGGAGGACATCATGACCGTCCTTGTTGTGTGTGTGTGTACCGTTCGATGATAAGACCATGACACGGCTGTGGGACCTGAGAAAGGCTTGTCTTGCCTTCCCTGACCTCATTATGCCATTGCGGTGCTGATGGCTACCACTAAATGATACCGATAACAAAAGCGTGCGCACGCTGGTTGCACCGGCCCCGACGAAACATTCACCTCCGCTTGGCGCAGCGACGCATCGGTCACTCAACGCCATCACTTCCATATCTCTGCCTCTTGGCTTTGCGGGGATCATGATGTGAAAAACACTCCATTCAATGGTTCCCAAATGACACTGCACTCTGTTTGCTTCTGGCAGCGTCTCACTCTCCTACTTGGCGACCCACCCCGAAGGGAGCCATCCCTACCTAGGTCACCCGTTGCCCAGTCCATGCACGCCATTCTAGGAAGAAGTAGAAGATGATGATCCATGATCCATCATGTATACCGCTTGCTTAGTGCGACCGCCGTCATCTTTGGTCTTTTCACCCAGCATTGTGGAGCCCGGGACGATCGAACACCCAGTGAATCGTGTGCATGGCGGCGGCGGAATGGCATACTTGTATGCCTTCAACTACGCCGCCATCCCTATATTTCACTCCTCCTTAGCCCGTTCAGTTAGGTTTGATCCACATTCTTGCAAATTAAACTTCACATTCCTTCCTCGTGTTCATCCACTGTCACTCCACTCTCTGAAGAAGCAGCAAGTTGTGTGACAACATGACGAGAAGCACACCGAATCGACCGGGCAACCAGAGCCAGACTTCCTTCTTCGACTCTCGTGTATCGTCCGAGAAGTCCTCTCCAGGTGCTTCTCGTTCCCAGAGTAAGACCAGAGAGGATGCCGAATGGCTCGAGCGCCCCGAACGTCGCCTCTCTATCGACTCAGAGAAGAACGAGAAAGCCACATCACCCGCACCAGGTCCCAATAGCCGGACGATAGAGATTCAGACACCACCTGAGCCAGTTCGACTGCAGTCCTTGGCAACACTATCAGTCGCTAGCGAACGACAACCTCACAGTGACGACGAGCCGACATGGCCTACAGACTGGAGAGCGTACACTTGCCTGTTTGGCGGCTTCCTGTTGATGTTCAACTCATGGGGTAAGTAAGAGAGCGACTCATTCATATCACCTCACATTCTGACCCATGTTCGCTTTGTTACTTAGGGCTGGTCAATACCTATGGCACCTACGCATCATACTATATGCAGAACCTTTTGCCAGGACGAGATATCCTCCTGTTGAATCTGGTAGGCTCGACACAATCATTCGTGGTGCTCCTACTCTCCGCACCTGTTGGTCGATTCCTTGATGCGGGATACAGCCGAACACTCATGATTGTTGGAACCATCTTCGTCACGCTGGGATCGTTCCTCCTCTCTGTCGTCAACGGCGATGGAGAGTACAATCAAGGCAACTACGGTTTGATCTGGCTCACCCAAGGCTTCCTCACTGGATTGGGCATGTCGTGTTTCTTCGTCACTTCTTCGCAAGGTAAGGATCTCCCGCTCGCTTCCCCGTTCTCTCACACAAGTACCAGTGTATCCGACAGAACGTAAAATCATATGCTGACCAGAGTCGAATGTAGTGGTATCCACCTGGTTCAAAGCCAAGAAAGGCTTCGCCATCGGAATCGTAGCATCAGGAGCCAGCATTTCCGGCTTACTGTATCCCATGATGACGAAGTTCCTCATCCAAAAGCACGGCTTCAATATTGCAACTCGGTACGTAGCGACAGTAGTATGCCTGACCGCCTGTCTCGCGACTGTCCTGGCCACGCCCAACCCCAAACACATTATCCGGAAACCCGAGAGCTGGTTCAAGATTAGCGTATTCGTGGACACAAATGCATTTCGCAACCGATCCTACACCTGGTTTGTAGCATCGATCGCATTCCTCTTCTTCGGATTCTACGCCGTCTTCTTCAATCTCGAAGAGTGGGCCGTTTCCGAAGGCTTCGGTTATCGCGCCTCGACAGGAAGCGTAGGGATCAATTCTGGACTTCCCCACTTACGACCTCAAAAGTCCATGGAAGCATTCTGGCTCCTCGCCATCATGAACGCCACCTCGACCCTGGGCCGGGTCACATCTTCCTACTTCTGCGACCTCTTCGGAGCACTCAACGTGCATTGCCTCGTCACCACCGTCGCCTCCCTCCTCACCATCATCCTCTGGACGCTGGCCAAAAACCTCAGCAGCGCCATCGGCTTCGTCGTCGTCTTTGGCGCCTTCTCCGGTGCCGTCATCGGTCTCCCACCCGCATCTGTCGCATACATTCTCGGGCCCGACCCCAAAGCCCAAGCCAAACTCGGCCAATGGACTGGCATGATGTATTCTTGCGCGGCGATTTTCGCTCTCACAGGTCCTGTGATTGCCGGGCATTTGATCTCGGAATACTCCACATTTATCACTGTGCAATGCTGGGCGGGAGGTTGCATGTTTATGAGTGCGTGCTGTATGGGTTGCGCCATCTTTTGTCGCGAACGTACGAAGAAATACGAGGCGAGGTTGCGTCAGCAATCAACCTGTAGCAGTTCTGCGCCGATGCGACCGGAGAATGAGAAGGAGCTTGTTTGATGATCATGACCATGAGGTTGGTTGTTCGGTTGGTCAGTTGGTTGGACGTGATTCTGATGAATTTGATGAAGTTTTTCTTTGTTTTTTGTCCTGGCGAGGAGTTTGGTTCGGGGCCTACCTTACCTACATAAGGTACCTTACTTTATGTAAGGAGAGGCAATTGGAGATAGAGGAAGAGAGATATACCACCATACCATACAATTTCATTTTAGCCCGTCTTTTTGAAGACTTGGCATAGACTCCCTCTCTCTCATTTCGTGTGATGTTTGATGTTTTTGGCATTTTTCTTTTCGGAAGTCAAGTGTAGTGTGCGGTGTAGTGTGCAGTGTAGTGCATTAGGTATGTCCTATATCGGAGCCCCCCTAGTCTAGGTACCTACTCTAAGGTATACATACATGTACCTATACCCGGCCCTATACATGTCCTTGTATACCGTCCGTAGTCGCTGCGCTAGTAATCGTTGTGCTTACTACCTCCTACTTACTTACATACCTAGGTGTTTCAATAAATAGGTTCGATGCAGTGTATTTATTAAGCAAGGCCTTTATGCACACATACTGCTACTCTTTCTGCTCTTAGGAGGAACTACTCGAAATGCGAGGTTGCCGACTTAGAATGACTGGAGAGGGTGAGGTAAGGTGGACTTACTGCTCTACGAAAAAGATCCGGAGAAGTACTTATATATGAAATCCTTTCCCCTATACACCAGATCGGCTAGCGGAATATAAGAGAGAGAGAGAGAGTGTGTGTGTGAGAGAGAGTCGAATAGAAATCTGTCTTATTCGAAAGGGTTTACACATGATATAGGTACCTTAGGTAGTACATCATCCGCCGCTCATCCGCACAACACAAACTCGCTTGCATCTTAAACTCATTACATTAAATCAATTCATTCCTTCTTTTCTTCTCTTCTCTTCCCATTCCTTCGCTCTTTTTCTACGCAATCTTGGTAACAACACTTGGGGTAACGGTAAAGTCTTGCAAAGGCGCGACAAAAGCATTGTAAGTCGCATCAGCGAAAGCAGAGATGTTGTATTTGATACTATATTCCCCAACAACCGTTAGTCAAACACTGCTTCCACTATTCAATGGGGACAGAGGGGAAAAAGAAAACTCACTTCGAAGCCGAATCCACAAACTCCAAGCTAACGCTCATCTTCGCCACGCCATCCTGCTTGCTGGGCTGCAAGCTCGCAGACACAAAGGGAATTCCACTCGTCGACGTGGCATTGAGAATCTGACATTGCCCGTAGAAGCCCGTGTCGTAGCCGTTGCAGTATGCGAGAAAGCCCGGGTAGAGGCCATCTTGAACACCCGTGACGTTGAAGTTGTAGGAGCAGCCGGAAGAAGCGCAGCCGGCTTGCCAGTCGTAGACGGACCAGTAGTAACCCGTGGGGAGGCCGGTGGTGGGGTCTGTGGTGGCGGTTTGGGGCTGGGGAAGAGCGGCGGCCAGGGCGGCGGTGGTGAGAAGGCTGAGGAATTGCATTTTGGCTGTTTTGTTCTTTATGCGTGATCTGGTGTGGTGTGGTCTGGTGCGTTGTTCTTTTGTTTCTGTTGCTGGACTTGTTGCTGGAATGTAGTTGTTGATGCTGATGAAAAAGAAAAACCAGCAGATTCTGTGCCGACGTATATATATCTGCCCTTCTCCGCCGAGAATCGATGGCCGAAAGCTCTAGACGTACAGCAGTGACATGGTGGCTCGTATGGTGCAACGAGCCGAAGTAAACCCATTTAGAAGTTTATAGCCAAGACGCAGATCTTACATAGGGTACAGGTCTGTCAAGCCGAATTTATGCAAAAATAGGAGATCAACCAATCAACCGAAGTTTTAGCCCCGTCTATGTTCTGTTCTGCACATAGCGACGGCTAATATTAGAACGATTGTCTTGCACTTACATCGTCTCTCGCGAGTCGCTATCGACCCATCACTTCCCTGTGTGGCAAGCAAGTCCTGATCGAACAGCGTCACCACTGCATAGAACTTTAGTAGCAGAAGAGGGGACAGACAGACTGGTCATGACAGGGAGGAGAGTGAGTCTCCCCGAGATGCCCCCGGTTCTGATCATTCATTCGATCGCCGAAAAATTGCTGCTGGACGAATGACGATGCCCTTGGAGAGAAATCCTTCACCTTACAATGACAGGACAGTATAGCAGAGTTGGTATGCTGCCCATGCGGATCCTCGTATTCTGAGACTATATTAGTAAAGCATCACCTACGAGAGTCTACGAGTACGAGAAGGTCGTGGTCCCGTCGAGGAGTTCCATGTTGTTGCTAAAAATTTCCCAGAGTCCGCTAGCTGGCTTGGAAACTGTCGCTGCGAATAAAAGCCGACCTGGCCCTCGAGCATAGTGAGCGTGTTTGTGTGGTCTAGGCGTGTGATCGCAGGCTTTGATTCCCGAAAACGTGCTCGTGGGTATGCTCTGATGACATGGGAGTAATCAAACGTCTTGCGGGGCTCGGTCAGTAACTCCGGAGACCCTGACGTGCCAAGACAGAGTGGACGTTGAGGACTTGAGAGAATAAGTGGTCGATTGGAGAGAGCATCAAGCTTCTGGATGGCCGCCTTGGAGAGCTCAACGATTGTATTAAAGAGGCGGGGAGAGCAAGGTCGGTGGTTGGTCTTGAAAGTCAGGATCAGAAGCTGCAGGAAGGAGAATAAGGAGACGAAGCGGGAGGGGAAGAGGAAGAAGAAGGAGAAGGAGAGAAGAGAAGGAGAAAGGGGAAGAAGAAGGGGCAGAAGGAGAAGGAGAGAGAAGGAGAAGGAGAAGGAGAAGGAGAAGGGGAAGGGGAAGGGGAAGGGGAAGGGGAAGGGGAAGGGGAAGGGATAGGAGAAGGAAAGAGAGAAGGAGAAGGAGAAGAAAAAAGAAGAAGCATCCCAGAACCTTCCAGGGCGCATCGAGGCGAGGAAAACATTGTTGCCTACAGGTACCTACTGACCGACCTAGCATAACGGGCCATGGAGGCCACAGCACGCACAATGTGCAAAAACATCATTTGAACAGCCCAGCTTTTACGGGCCAGCTTCCACGGTTCACCTATGAGCGGCGTCTCAAGCGCCGGTGTGAGGACATCTCTCCTCAAAAGAACAACAGCCAAATCCGAGCAATGCGGAGATGAGATGTGCACTCCCACTCTCTCTAGCAGAGAGGCTAGGCAAGGAAGCCATCTTTCGCTGTCAATACCAGTCCTAGGACTAATCTCGATGAACGATCCCGTCGTTTCGACCTTCTATTCTGATCCCGATGGAAGTCGTCGTCGTCGTCGTCGTCTTCGTCGTCATAACACATCTGTGGAGGTAAGCCCTACTACTGCGTACATGTCAATGAGGGCACAATCAATGCAAAATACAGCACGTGCTGCCTATTACCTCCTCACCCTCCAGCTGAAACACTCCATCCCCAAAGTCTAAGGTATGTATGCAAACGCGGGGAGCTTTCACAGCCAGTCATCCCATTTTGACCATGCATTTCCGAAATCGACCGGACGGACGTACGGGGCTGGGTCTTTCTGTCTGCAAACGCGTTCATTAGTTTTTTTAGTTCGACTTCGAGTTCAAGAGTTCCTTGAATATCTTGCATAAGGGAAAATACCAGCTACCCGGACGTCGGAGTGATGGGGGTTGTGTGACCCGCTTTGCTGCTGCATATCTTAGGTAACGCCACCCGATCACCTCCTCCTCTTCCTCCTTCTCCGCCCAGCATGACGAGGGCATGGCATGGCATGGCATGGTATATGCTTCTTTCTACAGTAACAATATCCATGTATACTGTACAAAAGTACTAAAGTACATGTACCTAGGTACCGATCGATGTCGCGATTCACTCGTCGCCTAGCCACGCCACGCCACGCCACGCCACGTACTGCATACATGCATTTTCTCTACCTAGTTACATAAAGGTAGGCTAAACACAACTAAGTTGGGAACCGAACGATGCTTGTACCCATTGAACTCTCGCCCTTTTCTCAACTGTGGCTGTGTCTGCAGATCATTGAGGAGAGAGAGGAGTAGGACGGACTACTATGTCACGTTACGTATGTAATGAATGCTATTCACGCCTCACTTCACACAAACATCGATGCCTAAGGTAGGTACAGCACATACCCCTTTCTAGGAGGATTAGGCGCTCGAGCACCGTGCAGAGAACGCGCCATCTATCTTCTTGGCTACATTAATTACTACTGTAGAAAAATGCTTACATTCGATATCAACAAATTCAAAGCCTATCATTTACAATATACCTATATATTGCTATCATCTCTCTAAAGAAGAAATCACAAGGCAATGTCCTTCTATAGGCTTCTACGCGAAATTACCAACAGCCGTATTCGTTTCTATTTACCCCTTCCTCCTAATAAAATCCCTCCCTTCTAGGTAGATAAGGTATTGTATATACTGAATATAGTGTAGTGTACCTAGTCTAGTGTGGCGCATGCCTGGAGGTTCACTGTACAGTTACTACCTCCGAGGTACAGTATACCTTACCTGTATGTATGTAGCTAGGGTAAGAGGTAAGAGGTAAGGGCAAGGGCAAGGACAAGGGCAATCGAAAATCGTCTAATCTTCCATGTCTTCTTTAAACATCCATCCAACAAGGGGCCTCACAACAATACACAGCCACACACTTTTGTTTTTCTTTTGTTCTTTCCTTTTCTAATCCCCAATCGCTAATCGCTGCAACTTCCATTTTGAGTAGAAAACGCCTCGTTGTCATCATCCTCTCCTCCCCTCTCCTCCTCGGCTCCTCCCCTTCACCTTCCCTGATGAGGCTTATGTACTGTACTGTATATTTCTCTCCCTCCTTCCCTCCCCCCTCCCCCCTGCCCCCCACCCCACGCGGCAAGTCGGCAGGATTTTGACATGGGATATGCTTGTTGGTTTGTATACTAGTTACAACATAGTCTTGAAGGCTGGAAGGGTCTCTTTTGAGAGGAGGAGGATGATGATGATGATGGAGTGGCTGACGATCTGATTGAGTGACTGATTGGTTGATTGCTGACTAACAGTTCTTCTTTTCGAAATGCTGGAGCCTTATACCTCAAAGGCGTAATTCATCTGGCAGGCAGGCAGGCAGGCAGGTGGATTAGCAGGCAGGCAGGCAGGCAGGCAGCGACTGGCAGTGACGACTGGTAGTTTGCTATTATCATGTTGAATTGTTTTGAACTTCATTATAATGAATTCTGTTGCCTTATGTAGTAGTAATAACAGTGATGGTAATAGTAGTAACAGTTGTTCTGGTTATTGCAATTGCCGCTTCGCAAAAAGTCCTGCTCCTGCGAGCCTTGCAATTATGTCGGAAGAGAGTGAGTGTGTGTGAGAGAGACAGAAAGAGATAGAGACACACACAGAGGGGAAAGAGGCCGTCCATCCAACCATGCATTAAAATTTTTTGCTCCTTCTGATAAAGGGGTCTGTCTGGCCATCCCAGTTCGCAATGGGGGGTATCTTTGAGCGCTTCCAAAAGTAGTAAAAGAGCCGGATATCAAAAACAAAAAAAGGCCGGGTCATCGATCGCAACCATGTGAGCCTGCCTAGGTATATACCACAGCAGGCGGGCGCGAGAGGGCGCGCCATCTCGGAAAGTTTGAAACCCATCCCCATCATATACACAATTTCCGTCAATGCTACATAGAAGGGCGTCGTCGTACGTCGTGTTGCTCGTTTCTGTTTCGTACCGTGTGAGGAGGAGGAGGAGGAGGAGGAGAGAGAGAGAGCAAGTGAGCCTCGACGATCGAGGTGCTGTCGTCGCTTGAAACACAATCAGAAAAGTAACTTGAGCTCATATCCGTGCGATTGAACATTCTCCGCGGTCGAGAGCTCCCCGTCGCATTGAATGTCCGTGGGACCAGCATCCCATTCTCGCTTGGGCTTGATCGGTGCGTCGTCTGCATCGAGCTGGGCCTCGCAGAACTCCGCGGCCATGTCCTGTCCTTCCGGCAGTCTATCAATGCACTCGTCGTCAAACAAGATGTTGAGCCCGTTCTCCGTCGTTCTGTAGGTCCTGATGATCTGCGTCGGTTCGATGTTGCACTTGGTCGCAACTGCATTCGTAAAGTCCTTCAATGTCCGCTTCATGAGATAGATGGCGCGATAGTGGTTATCTGATGGAGCTTTCCCTGCCACATGAGGTTGCACATAGAAGCATGCCACCGGTTTCACCGCTCGTGGGGGAGGCGGACGGTAGTTGGAGTCTACGCCGACCGCTTCTATCCACCCCGAGACGGATCCGACGTCCGATGATACTGTCTGTACTCTCGTAGGCATGTTTTCCGGCGGGCTATGCAGTTGCTCCGGTATTGTGGGTTGTATGTCTACGGTCGCGGTTTGGGTCTGGTTCCGCCATTCATTCGATGATTGCCTCGAGGTTGAGCCTCCAGCAGGTGTAGGTTGCTGCATTGTCGAATCCTTCCGACTCCCCACCAGAGAGTTGGAGCTGGGCGTGGGCGAGACCATGGAAGAATCGTTCTTGCCTTCGCTCTGCTTGTCCCAGTTGGAAGTGTCCGCAGAATCGGTTCGGAGGAGGTCGATGTCGCCCGTCAGCTTCACTGGATATGCATCGGGATCATCTCCATCGTCGCCTCTCAGGTAGAGGACACTGGCAGGTCGGGTGGAAGTGAACATATCTTGCAGCGTCATCAGCTTCATATGTAGGTCTTCTTCTGCGCTTCCTCTGCCACCGCCATTCGAGCCGACGGAATTCATCGACCATGTTCTTCTGTGCTTCGGCACCTTCCCTGGCCGGTCCATGCCATTCTTCTGCGCGAGGGATCCCGCGCGCTTCCTCTTGCCGAGATCGCGCATGCCAGACTCGATCTGTGCAATCTGTTGATTCAACTTGTCGATGGTCTTCTTGACGTGCGCCACATCGTTTGATAGTTTGCGCTCTGCTCCATGATCTCGGAAGAGCTTGACCTTGCAATAGCATACCTCGGCTCCCGTCGCTGGCGCCGGGTTGAGTGCAGACTCCTCAATCGCTTCCGTTTTCGCGCACAGTCGGACAGGGATCCCTTTGACGCCCTTGGAATGACTGAAGTCGGTGGACAAGAAATTGAAGCGCACCGAGATGGGACACTCGGCAGTTCCGTTGGCGGGGGACCATGTCACGCAAAAGCCATCAAACGAAGAGCACTCGAGGTCTACTCGAGGCTTCGTGGGGTCTTCAGCGACACCAGTCTGACCAGGGTCCACGTACTCGACTGCTTGCAGGCGCCCTCCTCTCTGATGCGCTTCGTTCGTACCACGACCTTCCTTCCAGAGCTGCCAACATGCCGCGGGCTTTTGGCGTTGTTGCTCGTCCTCAAAGGAGACGCGCACGAACGTCCGATACCGGACGGCGGGCGTGCTTTGTTGTGTATGTGTGTCGACCACGTTGAGAGTGTATGCTTGGCCTTTGTTCAGATACGTCACAGGGATTTCGTCCGAGTGCTTGATCATGGCTGTGGGTGCATTCAACGTGACATGATACCGAAACCTGGACGATGTATTAGTGTACTATTCGTATTGTGCGGCTTTGCTTTCCCCTTAAGGATACTCTACTTACTTTTCGGCAGACGGATGCAGCGGAGGGGGTTGCATCGTATTCTGTAGATTAGGCGGGCGAAAGAGCATGTCGGGCGATTGGTGTGGATGTGCCAGGCCCATGTCCATACCCATGTCGTCGACGGGCGACTCTCCAATCGGGCCCTGGAGGTCGTCGAAAGAGTTTGGATGCGTAAACTGCGTGGGCGCATAGCCTTGTTGATGCATTTGAAAGGGATTCATGTTTTGGAATTGCTGTTGCTGGAGATGATGCGGCGGCATGGTGTTGGGCGGGAAGGCGTGGAACGGTGCGCCTTGCTGGCCAGCATGCAAAGCACCGTCTGAGGTCGGCATGGAGAGCGGAGTGTTGAGTCCCATGCCAAAGGTGGGCGTGTGCAGGTCGCCGGCCTGGTTGTGGTATAGGGTGTTGGTCCCTCCCGGCGTAGGCGTGTAGTAGCCGGGCATCTGGTTGGCGAACATGTTGAAGTTGTGACTGTTGGGATCCATGAGGGAGGGTGTTAGACCAGAAGTTCCAAAAGTCCACGGCTCGTTCGAACCTCTGGGAGTGGGGTCTGCATCCTTGATATCATGCGGCTGCGGCTGACTCTGCGCGTCGAGAGAGCTGGAGGGACAGTCAGTGCGTGCTCATTCACAAATCAACAACAACAATAATAACAATAATAATCAAAAGAATAAATAGAGCGAGCGAGCGAGCGCGCGAGCAGCGGGCCTGCCACGTAAATCGGGGATTGATCTGTGCTGGGGGGGTATTTTGAGGTCAGCGACAGGGAGAGGCCTACCGCGGGTTCAGCGGGACATCGAGCGCTTCGGCCAGAGAAGTCGTCGGAGCGGCGTTTGCGTTTGCGTTTACGTGGGCGTCGTCGCTCGACGACGAGGTGCTGGTGGTGGAGGTGATGGTTTTGTTGTTGTCGTGGGTGGTGGTGGTGGTGGTGTTGTTGTTGTTGCCAGAAAGGCGAGGGAAATTGGCCTTGAAAGTCCGGTAGAGGTCGTCGCTGGGCTTCTGTGAGGTTCTCCTGGGACAGCAAAATGGTGTTAGCAGCGGGCGCGCCGCACTTGGTGTGATAAAGTTCCCAGTTGCGCAACGCGGAGGCGATCGATGTGGCAGTGTGAGGAGGCTGTCTGCCGCGGCGGGCGACCAGGCAGCGACCTCTCTCTTTCCACTCTCTGCCTCTCTCTCGTTCTCGCTCTCTGCTGGCAATCAAATCACACTCAACTCACCTGTTGCGGAACATGGCCGTCAAAGAGGCTGCTCGCAGCTGTGCCGGCGGAGAGGGAGGGCAATGGGATCATGTGCGAGAAGGGCGCTCACGGGCGAAGTGTGTTTGGAAACGGCGCGGGCGAGAGAGAGAGTCTGCGAGAGTCTGCGAGAGACTGCGAGAGAGAGAGCTTCCACTCGGCGCCGTGGTGAAACTGAATGGAGATTGTCGTTCAGCCACAAGAGAGCGGGACCTGGGGCGCTTCTGAATAAGACCGCACAGCGAAGAGCAGGGGCAGGCTGTTAGCGCCGCAGCGAAGAGGAACGTGCTCCGGCAGGCTGCAGCAAAGCAAGCCAGCCAGGTGAGCCAGCCAGCCAGCCAGCCAGCCCTCGCCTCAGGCCTATGGGGCCAGTTACCCAGTACATTATTATTATTGCATACAGCCTCCTGGCCCATCATTGCTCATAACTGCTGCTGCGAGAGTTCGGATCGATCAGGGTACGCTGCTATAGTTCTGTGCAAACGACACGAATCCAAGCCGTACACCGCTACCGATCGCTCCCCTCGTTCGCTGCCTCTGCCGCTGCTGATGCTGCTACTGCTACTGCTGCTGATGCTGATGCTGCTACTGGTGCTGCTGCTGCTGCTCGTCTTCGCATTGCCCACCCGGCCCCGTCCACCGGCCTCTCTCGCGCCATCTCAGCGTATAGCTAGAGGTGGTAGTAGTAGTAGTAGTACATGTACAGTAGTTCTAAGCGAGGCGGAGAAGGGCCATGGACGTGACGCCACACTCTGCTGCGCCACAGGAAACAGCTCAGCCACGCATTGCACTACTGCACGAAGCCTGCATCGGACCATTCAGGCCGTCCGACGTGAGGCTGGAGCCAGCGTGCACACCTTCGTATCATGTCCCGTCCCACGTCCCGCTCGGTGCTGTTCGTTGTCACGGCATGCTGCCCGCTGCCCGCGCAAGAAAAAACGTCAAGGCGAGCCGTGTGTGTGCGTGTGAGAGTCTGTGTGTGTCAAAGGCTAAAGGACGATGATGAAAGAAGCTCTCAACGGCCGTCGTCGCGCATACAGACGGCAACATCCCCTCCATACGTACCTCCGTAGCGTGTGAGAAAGACTGCAGATGATTGCATCCTTCCACTTGCGGGCCGTGGGAGTGGCATTGCTAGTGACCTCGCAGACTCGTAGTCAGCGTGTTGGGCCTCGTTCTAGTCCCCCGGCAGAGGAAAGCCTCTTCTCGCATCGACTCCGGTCTGTGAAGAGCGCCAGCGTTATCGACGAGGCAGAGGCGCAGAGCCACTAGGTGTTGCTCCTCTCTCTCTCTTCCTCTCTCAGGGTGGGACCCGCACCCGAGTAAATAGAGTCTCCAGAGACTAGCTGCGCTGTGCTGGACGTACCTAGGAGGTATTGGGCAGAAGCGTCGCCGAGGTGCGTTACAGATTTCGCTGCGACTCTGTGCAGTGACGCGCGATGACTGTCCGTCGTTGTCCTTGCAAATTTTTCCGCCCTGTGTGGAGGAATAACGTGATGTGTATCCAATATGGCACATCCCGGCATAGGATGCCGCCCGTCCGGTGTTGCACAGATGGCCTCTGTGCCGACCTGTCCGCTCGGTGTTTGGGGCCAGTTGGTAGCTACAGTACCTGTATGTGTAGGCTGTGGGCTGTGGGCTGTAGGATGTAGTAGGAGTCTACCTTACCTAACCTAGGAAGGTTATGTGACGCCCGCGGCTCTGGCACGCTACCTACGTACGTACCTACCTTACCCTCAGATCGCGCGCATCGTCGATGATTGCAGTTGCTGGTGTCACTGCGCAGACGGGCACTGGGCCACTGGCCTGGTCTGGCCCTGTATAGAGTATACTACTGTACGCGAAACATCGCACTGTGGCGATGGGAAATATGCAGGACGCTGCGCCGGAAATGTGCTCTACTCTCCGACTAGTCGCGATACTTTGAGGTAGCCGAAATGAAACTTCGACGGGATGCCGAAGCCCTAAGTTGCTCGCTGTCGCAGAGACTGATTACTGATAATTGCTGATAAGGGAGGATCGCTGGATATGGTTGGGTTGGCCTCACCACCACACTAGGGACGGACGGTGCACTGTGTGCGAGCACATCGTTCTGCTACCCTTAACAACAAGACCGCGCAGCCTCGTGGAATCCTAGTGTACGCGAGAGTCGGAGCCGAGAGGAAGCACAGAAGCTTCTCATTCCATCATGCTGCCATCTGCACAGTTTGTTGCGTTGCCCTCATGAAGTGGAGTCGTGGAACGGCCCCTCTTGCGCATGTGCTCGTGGAGCAATTGCGGCCGTGGTCCCCCGAGCGAGAAGCGCACAATTTCCTTCTCGTCACCCTTCATACACTCAATTGCAGGCGGTGCACTGTTGCATTTCCATCAGGCGGCACATCCGCAGTCCGACCCTGGCGGCATCATTTGTGGCATCTCTGCCGCAGAATGGTGGCATCCTGACAAGAAGCGAAAAAGGAAAAAAAAAGGTAAATAAAACGTGGCGGGCACACAGCTGTGGCTCAGTACCCACACAGGTGTGCCACTCACTTTGCATGTTGTGTGGTTCTAGGCGCGGGCGCTGTGACGTGGTCCTGCAGCAGTACACTGCTTTCTTTAGCGCTGATCCTCGCAACGATACGGCCACACATGAGAGAGCATCTCCACATGACAAGACACTGGTGAGCGTGCCCGATCATGTCCTGGACGAGAGGGGGCAGCCACACCATGTGCGTCACTCATCTGCAGACGATCAGAGAGAGAAGATTCCATCAGAAGGCGTTCGGATGCTGTTCCGCCTCACAGCGCGTGTCTTCCAACCGCTATCTCCAATAGGTATGAACGAAGACCTAGAACTCGGGCACGCTCCACCCGGAGCTATTCCCGAAGCATTCGCAATGGGACGCCGTCCTCGTTCCTTGCCATCTCCGATGGCGTTTCGTAGCGATAGGACGCATATGCGTTGTGCTGAACTCATGGAAGAACTTCTCTACTGACGCCTGCAGGCAGAAATTTCGTCAACATTGCGTGAGGTTATGATGAGTGAGTACCTAGTATAAGTGCCAGGTACAGGGTGCAAGTGCCTGTATCAGCAGACCTGAAACACGCCTGACGTGACCGACCCTCGCTAGAACAACCATCCATGTCTATAGCAGACAGACGCCAGCTCTGCGACTTCGATGCTGTGCGTGCCAGCACAGCTTTGCGGAACATTCAATTGCCGCCGGCAGTGTGGTAACAGAACCGAGCCCACGTTGGCCAGAGCTCCTTAGGTAACCGTTAGCTGCTGCGTGACATGGCAGCCTGCCGCTGTAGCACTCACCTCTGTGCAGTCTCGACAAGCAGTGCAATGACTCTGAGGCTTGCAAAGCTCCCAGACTGGTGACTTCCCACTCGAGCTTATGCGGGTGCTCAATGATCTCGCACGAACAAGATCGGTGGAGAGCATCATGAACACATGTCTTTTCTCCTCGTCGACGACTTCCTGGTGGCTTGCAAGAGGCCCGCTGCAGAGTATGATAGTCTGATATCAAGTGGAGGGTCGGGCATTTTCAGTGCGAAGGATTGCAGAGGTCAAACGGCTAGTGTAGCCGCTAGGACTGTACTCTGATCGTGCCCGCTTGTCGAACTGCACTTTGGGCGAAGCATCTGCCTCGCTCGAGGCGGTGCGCGCTGCAGCCGTGGCAAGATTCAATCCGTGAAGGGAGTTCACCCTACTGCTGCTGTCTGAGCTGGGCAATCGATTGGGGGCATGAACTGCCAGTACTTCTTCGCCTGCTCGGGCGACATTGCTTCTAGTACTCTCTGGTGAGCCGGAGCGGGAGTTGATGACAGACTTTGCATCGTTATACTTGATGACCGTCAAAAGACTCGCGATGGAATCCTCTCGTTCTTGCCGTGGCCTAGCCACTGATCCAGAACTGAACACTGGGGTTGGAATCCTGGAAGGAAGTCCAAATCGTCCATCCACTAAAGCTGATGGCGTCGGACTGTGAGCAACTGGTGACAGTGGTCGAGCAGACGCAATGTTTCGAGGTTCTTTCAGAGCAGATGCTGACACGCTCCTGCGCAGGCTACGGTCCTGTTCGTTCGAATTTGAGGGAACGATCGAGGTATCCGCAGGCTCAGTGTCGTCTCCGGGCTCGAAAGAGAAGCGTCGAAAAGGCTGATGTCCAGTATGCATATCCACGGACAGCTGTGGCACAAGCTTCTGGAAGAACCCTGATGCTTTCGACATCACGGTGCGGTGCTTGGGGGCAATGCTGTCTCCTGAAGCTATCATTGAAGATGATCGCTGTGGGTAAGGGATCTGAGCTCCTAGCGTCATTGGATCACTTGCTACTCTATCGTTCTGCAGATGTTGTGCGTTGAACAATTGCAAGAGCTGGGGCATAACGCGTGCTGGGTCGATGTTTCGGCGAATGGCTAGTGTCGTGGCAATTGCCTCAATCGATGCATAGTCTTCCTTGCCCGAACTTTGCTTCAGAACAGGTCGTAACGTGTGGTCCGGCACAATGTCAGACTCGCTGCTGAAAGTGGAAAATGTATCCTCGGACGTGCTTTGAGTGGTCGATGCCGTGGTAGCACGCTTCCGGCCGGGCATAGCATTGTGTTGTTGCGTCACGAGGTTTGACACACGAGGCAAAGGAAACCGTGTATCCAGAGGAGGCGTGCCAAAAGGTAGTTCAGTATGGAGGTGTGTCATCGACTTCTTCTGCGTAAGTTGCTGCTGGGAGGTTTGCTTATCTTTATCGTTGACGCTCATGAGTATGGGCTTCATAATGGCTGCAGCCACGTTAGCAGGTGAAATTTTGGACAGGGACACCCGAAACTCACCTCTCTGACTGTGGTATCTATCGTCACGCAGATTCGATTTCTCAAGAAACTCGAATATCGTTTCTTTCTTATCAAAGCCGCGCGACATGCGATGGCGAAGCTTGCTGTCTTGTCGAGCGAGAGTGACTTCAGCCATGCCGCGCTTACTCTCTTTTGCCAGGAGAACCTCGAGTCGCTTGACTTCGTCTTTGAAATCAAATTTCTCCTCGTTCCACTCTGCTTCAGCCTCGTCGAGTTTGGCGACAAGCGCCCGAATTGTAGCAGCATCAGCATCTTGGCGCTGCTGTACCTGCGCCTTTTCCTCTAAGAGTTGGCCGTAGCTCTCGAAGATCATCATGAGCGAGCTGTGATGGGAAGTTTCCAATGCTTGATATGGACTGGACATGATTCTGCACATCATCGCATTCACCAGTTCCTCCGGCTTTGGATCTGGATACACTTGATCTGGCGGCCACGATGGGAAGTCGTCGACAGTCGCCACTTCTTCCTGCACAGTCGGCTTCCCGTTGTTGCCGAAGTAGGCCGAGAGTTTTGGCTTGATGCGCTTTCTCGGGGTGGTGGATATGTGGTCTTCGAAGTCGTCGATATCGTGGAAGGGGGCGGGCGTTCGTGATCTCGCTGGCTGAATCTTGCGGCGCCACTGTTGGATGTCGGCCATGATGACGGTGTCCTCCCAGTCCCTGTCGCTCTTACTGATGTGTAGTCCGGTCGGTGCGTCAGGTGAAGAGTGGAAGTTCGGAAGATGACGATGTGAAGTGACCGCGACCAAAATGGCAGTTGCGCTAGGCAATTGGCATCAGACGAGTCTACCGTGCCTTCCATTCCCACATGGAATCAGGTCGATACCTTAGTGCACCTAAAATGTACCAATGAAGCATGCAGATGCAGGAATTTCGCAGGCCATGATATCGCTAGTCACGGGCGCCTCCACTTGTGCTCAGTCCAAGGAGTCGGCAGAGGTCCTGGAGTGGTCAGCGAAGACAAGTATGCACCAAAGAGAAAGTCTGCGAAGAAACTGGCGCGCCTACGGACAGACAGGTTCAAATAGACGCACTGCGTTCGTACACGGCGACCATAGATGAGTGGGGCAGTTTATGTGAGAGAAGACTGAATCCATGTATTGCTACCTACGTTCTGTCCTGTGAGACCACTACACGCATCTCATAATTGTAACCACATCCTCATGCACAAACGCCGACAGAGTACAACAGCGTCCGTGTTTGGTAATGAGATGGTATGCTCCGAGAAGACTTAATCTTGGCACGATGGAAAATCCTTCAACCCTTTGCGTGAATGTTATCGCAATGAGCTGTACACACTTATGCCGCGTGAAGATACTGATGACTCGAAGTAGGAAAAAGGGATTCGTGGAAATTGTCGCATCCGGCGAGATCTCACCTGAACGAATATGTTTTCGATGGAGAGGGGGCTGTGAATCCAGACTTGCATTTCAGTTACCTCCATCATGAGACCTCTCGAGCCAGGTATCTTGCATCGTCCCACGCTCTCATATTGCGCCAGGGCATGCTCGCGTCGAAGCCGTAAAGTCAATCCCAGGTCCCAACTCTCGTAGACATCGATCGTGGTTGTCCTCTATGCCGCATCGCGCTTGCCCTCCTTGACCTCCTTCTATTCGATTGTCAGTATTGACGGGCAAAGTCGCCATTGCCATCGATGTTGTACGCACGAGTGCCTTCATTGTGCCGTGGAGTGCATGTCTGTGGTTTCTTCGGAACTTTGGATCGGTTCCCTTGAGCGAAGGATATCTGTTGGTCTTTGGCTTCTTGATACTGTTCACCGTACTCCATCAGCATGACTACTCTCATTGTCGTTCCGTGCCCGTAAATTGCCCTGCTCTAGCTCGTCGTGCTCAAGGGGCGCAGGTATGGAGAACGGAGTGTGGTGCAATCGTACCCGTTCTTGTGGTTCTTCTTCGCCTGGTTATGCTGAGACGAGTTCTTTGATTCTGCACCTCTAATCAGTACACAGTTGCGAGAAAATTGATATTGGCACACGTACTGGCCATTGCGACGGTGGTTTGTGCGAACGTGCTTCTAGATTCTGGTTTCGTTACGATCGCTTCGAAGAGGTGGGAGGTGCGAAATTTGAGAGGTGCCAAGTGCGGCCGGCTACTTCCGCATTTCTGAGGCATTTATGGATGCCTTAGAATGATCAAGTAAGGTATATGTACTTCGGAACCCCATAGTACCTGACCTAACTAACATTATGGGACAGCGAATCGACGCCATGGGCTTAGCAAAGTGAGGCCAATGGAATAACTACGGTGTTCAAACTCATTTCAGAATACATAAGTCCCACACCAACCACGCCTGAAAAACAATATGCACAATGCTGAATCTCGTCGCTGGCCGCGCCGACTTCTTGCCCCGGCGCATGATTGCACGAGGCGCCCAATGCCGCTCGTTCTGTATTTCATAGCGACGATTTCGAAAGTCATCTCTTTCGTTGCTCTGCCCAATCTCCTATTTGCTGATTCCCGTTTGGTTCACGAGTTACTTATTTCTTGGCTTCGGCAGCCTTCTTTGCCATCGTGTTCAGTGCACTGCCGTTCCTGAACCACTCAAGTTGTCCCTCGTTGAATGTGTGAACAAGTGGAACCTCAAACTCAGAACCGCCGGCAGCTGGGTGCACAGTCATCACCACTGGCACACCGACTCCAATGTTGGTGAGCTTCAGGTCGATGCGGTCATCAGGCTTGATCTTGTCGTAATCCTCTGGGTTTTGGAAGGTCAGAGGAAGCATTCCTTGCTTCTTCAAGTTAGTTTCGTGGATACGGGCAAAAGAACGGGTGATGATTGCAAGACCACCAAGGTGGCGAGGCTCGAGAGCGGCATGCTCACGCGATGAGCCCTCTCCGTAGTTCCAGTCACCAATGACAACCCACTTGACGCCCTCCTTCTTGTATGCACGGGCAGTGTCTGGGACAGAACCACTCTCGCCAGTGTTCTGGTTCTTGACCACGTTGGCCTTGCCGTTTGCCTCGTTGATAGCACCGATGAGCAAGTTGTTCGAGATGTTGTCCAAGTGGCCACGGTACTTCAACCAGGGACCGGCCATGGAGATGTGGTCAGTGGTGGTCTTGCCTTGTGCCTTAATCAATATTGGGACGTTCTTTGCATCCTGGCCGTTCCATGGCTCGAATGGCTCGAGCAGTTGCAGACGATCGGAGGTTGGCGAGACTGCAACAGAGACTTGGGATCGATCCTCAGGGGGAGCCTGGAAGGTGTCTTGACCTGGGTCATAGCCACGGCTTGGCAGACCATCGCCAGTTGGCGCCTTGAGCTTGAAGTCCTTTCCGTCCTTGTCCTTGAGGCTGTCGGTAAGTGGGTTGAAAGTGAGGTCACCTGCGAGAGTCATAGCAACGACCATGTCTGGGGAGGCGACGAAAGAGTGCGTGGCGGGGTTAGCGCTAAGTCACAATTAGCTCGGCACTCAATCTAAATGTTTGGATGCCAACTTACTCATTGCGCCCAGTCTGTAAGGTTGAGAAATGGTTAGCAGTCTGTGAGGGTCAGCAAGAAGGATGGCAGGCTTACGAAGTTTCTGCGAGAGAATGTCAGTATGATGGTCAATGAATGCAATGAATGGGTAGGACTACTGACCTGTTGTAAGAGCAGATCTATTGCCAACGTTAGCGTAGTCACAATTTCTCCTCGGTTATTCTGTCCAAAACTTACGATGCTGTTCGCTTCACCCTTCTGGACATCACGGCGATCCCATTGTCCGATGCAAGGTCCGCATGCGTTGGCGAGAACCATTCCTCCGAACTCCTCAAGAGTTTTGAGCTGGCCATCACGCTCGCAAGTTGCACGAATCTGCTCGGATCCAGGTGTGATTGTGAAGAGAGCTTTGGCCTTGATACCATGGTCAAGCGCATCTTGAGCGATAGCCGCGGCTCTGCTCATGTCCTCATACGAGGAGTTTGTGCATGATCCGATCAGACCAACCTTCAACTCTTGTGGCCACTTGTTCTCCTTGACAGCGTCGGCGAATTTGCTGATCGGAGTGGCAAGATCAGGTGTGAAAGGACCATTGATTTGTGGCTCGAGCTCGTCGAGGTTGATTTCGATAAGCTCGTCGTATTCGGCACCCTCGTCCTCTCGGAGTTCGGCGGCGTATCCGCGGGCAAAGTCACCAATGTGCTTGCGGTTGGTAGCAGCGAGATATTTGTGCATCGAATCGTTGAAAGGGAACAGCGAGGTGGTGGCACCGATTTCAGCTCCCATGTTGCCTGATTATTCCATTAGCTCGGGATGAACGCGTCGCAAACGACAATTCGGCACGTACAGATTGTAGCCATTCCGGTACAGCTGAGGTTCTCGGTTCCAGGTCCGTGATACTCCACAATGGCTCCAGTTCCACCTTTGACAGTGAGAATACCAGCGACCTTGCAGATGATGTCTGTTGGAAAGTTAGCGATCTGTCCAAAAGCAAAATGCGACTATCGGGATGCACGGAATAAGCTCACCCTTAGGGGCAGTCCATCCACTCATCTTTCCAGTAAGCTTAACACCAATGACCTTTGGTGCCTTCAGTTCCCAAGGCAAGCTGGCCATGACATCGACGGCATCAGCACCACCGACACCGATAGCAGCCATACCGAGACCACCAGCGTTTGGAGTGTGGGAATCAGTACCGATCATCAGACCACCTGGGAAAGCGTAGTTCTCCAAGACGATTTGATGAATGATACCAGAGCCGGGCTTCCAGAAACCAATGTTGTACTTGGCGCAGGACGAGCTCAAGAAGTCGTAAACCTCTCTATTAATGTCGTAGGCTCGTGCCAAATCCTTCTCGCCACCGACTTGCGCCTCGATCAAGTGATCGCAGTGCACGGTGGTAGGTGTAGCAACGGCATCCATACCAGAGCTCATGAATTGCAATATGGCCATCTGGGCAGTGGCATCCTGGCAAGCAACTCTGTCTGGCCTGAGCTTCAAGTAGCTCTTGCCACGCTCGATGTCCTGGCCATGAGGATCATCCAAGTGCGAGTATAAAATCTTCTCGGCGTACGTGAGCGGCTTGTTGTTGAGCCTCTTGCGTACAATGTTCAGAGTCTCGTTCATGCCCGCATAGTTGATGTAGTGGCCCTTTTCCCAGTTGGTCATCTCGACCTTCTTAGTGAGGGGGGAGTCATTGACAGTAGCGAAGGTCCGGCGACCCAGTCGCGGCTGTACATATACACCGTCAGTGTCGTCTCGTGTCGTGTCGTGATCTGCAGCTCGATGGCCGGAGGAGAAGCGCTCTTATCAGGAGTAAGCAAACATACCAGCTGTCGCGCCGCAAGTCTCTGTGCCAACATCCTGAAGTACGCCCAGCCAACTGGCAGTGTCCCGGTGAAGCTGAAGGGAGAAGTACGGGCAGGTCTAGGGGTGGTGGACCTGAGGGAGGGTGAAGAGGACAGGACGGTTGTAGAGAAGAAGGTGGTGAAGAAGCTCAAAAGCAGCCATAGCCTACGTTACTTACGCCCGTGCGACTTCATTGGCCGGTCGAAGCCGCGTTCTCCCTCGGCCTAATGGTCGAATTTTCATCCTCCGGTCTCGCTCTCGCTCTCAGCCTTTTCACCTGTGTCCACTGCTACCTGCGCCTGCGCCCACACTGTACCTTAGGGTTCTGCCTTCATCCGAAATCCCATTCGGAGCTGGTCTGCACGCAAAGCACACCCGCAACCGAACGACTGAAACGAGGCGCTTCATACAGCACAACACGCACATCGCGGGCGACACCGGCAGAGCACTGCGCGGACATCAGATACCATGCCTGCAATCAGAGGCGCCAACAGCAAGAGGAAGGCGAGACGCTATGCCGCCATTCGCGACATCGACCAGATTCACGCCGACAAGCTGGACCAGAAGCACCTCCAACAGTTCAAGGATACGAAAGCGCCCGAAGACTTACCCGGCTTCGGCGAGTGGTATTGCACGGAATGCGCAAAGTGGTTTGAGTCAGAAACCAACTTTCAGCGCCATAGCAAGGGCAAGCCGCACAAGAGACGCGTCAAGCAACTGAAAGAGGAGCCGCACTCGCAGAAGGCCGCCGAGGCGGCCATTGGGCTCCGGACTGACACCGACAAAAAACTTGTGGAGGAGGAGATGGAGGATGTTACGGACCAAGACATTCGCTGAAGCAAATCTCTGCACTCTATCGAATTCAGACTTGTTGCCTTGAAAGACATTTCACCGTCAACAAGAAGGAAAACGGGCGCAGAGATTTGCGCTGGTGAGAGATATCGTCCACGGGACCTACCAACATCCTGGGAGAATGCTGGGGTTGGCATCTGGGTCTCACAATTGGTCTCATAGCGAAGCTCCGCCGGGAAGCGGATCTTTTGTTATACCGATGTGCTCACATGGCGATTATCCGAATTCCTGGCTCATGGCTGCTTTCGGGCCTTGCCAGTCTCCGTCTGAGTGCGCAAGTGATTCGGTGTGCGTGCAATGAGAAGGAGGTGCCGGCATGGCAGACAGCACCTGCGCACCAACGTATCAAGACATTAACCGGGCGGGCATGCTTCGCAAAATGGAAACGCCGTTGTGGCGTTGCACCTTACAACACCACAATAAAACACTCCGATTTCGCAGCACCTGCCGACGAGAACACCCGGCTCTCACTGCTTGGCATGCTGGCCAGATCTTCCGCATGTCCGCATGTGAACACGCTTTAGCTTCCGCCTACTCCCGGCCGACAGGTGACGCATAAACTCGCAATAGAAACATAACATAGCTGTAACAACATTGAGTGTGGGCCATTCCATTCACCTCTCTTGCTTTGTTACCCTCGGGTACACTGGATCCTGTCCACAAAATCTTTTCGTGACCTTTTGGACCTTTTCTTTGGCATTTTGGTCGTGGCTAATTCGAAAGTCATGCGAATGTGACACGTTGCGAACTTGTGCAAGCGGATGGTTTAGAAGCCGTTGCGATGATCATGATTTCGTACTGCCCTAGGCCCCTAGAATCCATCCGACACGAGGCCCGTTGGATCACAGGTAAGGTTACCAAGGTAAGATAGTTTTGAAACGGATAACACTGCTGATGAGGGATGAGCACCTAAAACGGAGGGACAGAGGCTACAGATATGCACACAAGGTATACAATCAATTGCAGTGCTGACATATCGAATGGAGACTGGAGCTTTCGGTCGCAAGGGCATAACATTGTCTACTGAAGTGGCTTGTAACTACTGGGATAAGGTTGCTTTCTCGACAAACAGAAAACTTTGCGTCACTCACCCAGAGTTGCACTGAGGTGACTGAGCTACGCCAGCCGATGTGCAGGCTCTCCACGGAATCTCTGTCACAAGTACAGTCATCAACAAATCCGACACAAACGACGACGCCAGACAGTTACACTTATGGGAAGCCTACAGCTTACATACGAATCGTAAGGAACGACAAGGTTTGATGTACCAGGGGCGCATTGATCCCAGGAGACAGAACAACACTTTGCCACGAGCTTAATGGATTATGGGAGGTCGAGAGTGCCGGAACGATCAGGGGTTGTCTGCATTACTGTCCATGGATGATCTTCCAAGCAAGCCAGTGCCCGCGGACATGGCAAATGCAATAGCAGAAACACAGAGGCTCTTGCTCTCACTACAGAGTCGCTGCCAATCTCAGCGCTCGACTTGCGCACGCACTAGCGCATCTGCCGACCGGCGTCCTCCGAGCTGATCATGGCCTATGTGGTAGGTCTGCGTGAATGTTGGGTGTCATGCCTTCAACCTGACCCCACGCAATGCTGATCTAACTGCCTAAATAAAGGGTCTAAGCCTACCGAACATCGAAATAAGCCTCCTCGAAGGAGCTAGAAGTCTCTAGGACCTGTGGAGCGTCGACATGGGCACGATTGAGTTGAGTACCTGTAGCAACATGGCGATCATTGTCCGGTGTGCAGCAGCTAGAACCAGTAATAGTACAATATGAGCTGCAAAGTAGCTCGTTCGACTGGGATATCCTGATGTTCAGCCTAGATACTTATCGACACTAGACCACTTTGCCAGACCGGCATCCGCCACCAGGCGACAGCAGTACTTTTACGTACAGCAGCCGTGCAAGAACTTCTCCAGATGAGAAGCCAGAAAGTGCCTGTGAAACACTTGTTCTCAGTGGCGGTGTACGTTGGACATTACACAGCATTAGCGGGGAAGCAATGATTGTTCTAAATCGTGATGAGAGAATCGAGAGATCTGTCGCGACTCGCGCGCTATCTTTCGAAAACAACTTCACCTTCGGGTGGTACGGCGTGGGGATACAAATGTGGCCATTCGTAGCTGACGTGTTTGTCGTGCTGGCGGAATGCACGTAAGCGAGGATGTCCCTGGCAAAGTCTCGAAGGCTTCGATTCGAGCGCGCCTCGTTTCACTCTTACCTCCAGTCCTTCCACTCCTTTCGAGCTGCATTTTGAATCTTCAACATACCTATTGTTATTGCTCGGCTTGAAAACCAAAGTAGACAAAATGCCTTCTACGGCGGCTCTAAACGCTCTGGGACTGAACATATGCGAACTGCGGCAAATTATCAAGGTGGACCGAGAAGCATCGACTAAGCTAGAGGTGCGGATTACTAAAGTCCGCCAAGATATCAAGAATGGTCGAAGACTACCCGAAAAGACGGTGGAAAAGATGGAAAGCTTGAACAAAGATATGACCAAGGAGTTGGTGCAACATATTGAGAAGATAGAAGAGCAGAAAGTCCTCACTACCACCGATCGGGAACTGCTACAGGCTCTGAATGCTCAGCTGGCTATATGTGATCGATCAGGTATGCAGCTTGCAGAGCTACGAGACCTCGAACAAGAGCTTCATCGCAGACAGCGGAAGGACTCAGCATATGATGAGCCATTGCCGCTCGGAGGAACTCCACGAAGACCTAGCAAGGCCAGCACACTCTACACGCCAGCAGACATATCATCCTCCTATACGCCTGCCATTAGTAATCCGCTACCGCCGCCGCCTCCATATACGCCTGCTCACAACATCAGCCAGCCCATGTTCACGCCTCCTTCGTCCTACTCACCACGGTCGAGCAGCTTCTCGCTCGACTATGTCGGCCACCAGGCCCCTCGTCGGAAGAGTGCGGAGCGTCGACATTCGCTCTTTACGCCACCCTTTGGACATGCAACTTCCTCCTCGATCAAACCTCCGTCACCACCCGTACACCTGGGCAGCGTGCCTTTGGGCGCACACTACCCGACTCCACCATCTCCTATGAGCAGCCGGTCCATGCCTCCGCCTTCTCCACCAGTCAACACGCCACCGCGAGCGGAGCCGATGCGTCGCAACAGTAGCAAGACTGCACGCAAAGTCGGAGCTGGAATCGGTGCTGGAGCGGGCGAGTACCAGTACTATTCATACGCCGACTACGACGACAGTGAAGACGAGGATGTCATCGCCGAATGGAGCAAGTCTGATTGGCCGCTCCTCTACCGAATCCTCGATATCGATCCCAGTACAGATCCGGATGTGCTGCTTCTCCTTGCAAAGAGGTATGTATATAGTCCTCTGCAGAATCTCCCCCAATCATCGACGACGACACTTGCTAACCTCTTCTTTTTTTCTTTTTTCTTGTCCAATCAGACAACTCGAACGTCTTTCCCTTCGACACAACCCCAGCAGATTTCCCGATGATCCCGATGCCCCAACGAGATGGTATGTCTTTTCCACGAGTCACGTTGGGAATGATTGATGATGGTGGGACGTAGTATGGCTGACGTTTGGGAATTGCAATGTGAACAATAGGATCGCGATCAATAAAGCTTATGATGTGCTCACACATCCGGAACGGAAGAAGTACTATGACATGTATCATCGCGAGCCCGAGGAGGTGGAAGGGATCAATCTGGAAGAGTTGAAAATGTCTTGATGCGTGCGTACCTTGGTGACTTGCGAGGAGGTGGCGCTCCCAGCGCTAGGTGTGAGATCTTATCCTTCTAGTGTAAAGTAGGCAGTTGTTCTTTTTTCGCTTCGATCGTTTGTTGTTCCCTTGTTCTTTCCTCGCGGGCGAGAGGTGGAATGTCGGATGATATGTCTGCGAGGATGCTTTGGTAGGTAGGTATGTAGTCCATAGTCGATCAAAAGAGTCGAGGTCAAACCTGGTGAAGACAACTGGAAGCGACTGCAAAGAGATGGAGATTGTGATATCCATCCACACAGCAGCACATCATTTGTCAAACATTACATTCATTCATTTTCTTCCACCTAACGTTGAACTAAAGGGTATCATCATCATCATCAATCTCATCATCATCCTCCTCATTCTCATCAAGCAGTAGCAATACTCCTGTATTTCTCCCACAAAAGACCTTCATCAACCCGCCAACACCATCAATCAAATTTTCACACATAACCACACCTAAACCCTTCCAACCCTCTTCGATCCCCTCCCATCAGTCCCATGCATCCGACGAGTCCCAGCACCCTACACCCAAAGAACACCCATTAGCATACTCCCCTATTCTCAAAAAAGAAAGAAAGAAAAAAAAAGGAATAAATCATACCTTCACCCCCTTCCTCCCCATCACACTCCCCCTCAACTTCATCAACGCCCCCGATAGTTTATCCCCCACACTCGGCTTCCTCTTATTATGATGATGCGTCGTCGTCCCCGCAGTAGCCGTACCACCACCAGCAGTATTAACATAATGTGTCTCTCGATTCCCCGCCAGAGGCCCTCGACCGCCATGTCCTTTATATCCGATTCCATTCGGATGCGTAGAAGTTTTTTGCGTGGTGGTGGTGGTTCCTGTGATGGGATTGGTGGATTGGGTGGTTGTGACTTTGGCTTGGTGGGTGTTGCGGAGGCGGGAGAGGAGAGAGGGTTTTTTTGTTGTGGTGGTGGTTTTGGTGGATTTGGAGGCGCGGGTGATGGCCATGGTGGTGGTGGTTTTCTTCGTTTTCTTTTTCTTTTGGAGGTAGTGTTCTGTAAAATCTGGTTGGGAGAGGGTGCTTATATGTTGGTGTTGGTGTTGTTGTGGTAGTGGTGAGGAGGGATAGGAAGGAAAACCGAGGACAGAGCGCGCAGGCATTAATTAATACCTATACAAATACATGTATTCCTACTGCAGTGGTGATGGAGTGAGAGGATTTGACAATACTTGATTTTTCTTTCTCGCTACCCGGCAAGCTTCCTGCGACATCATCAGCACGAGGAGTGAACAGGCAGACACGCGCCATCCATCATCATTATCATCATCATCATCCATGATGGCCATGGCGGTGCTCACATGTCGCGGGGACAATGTATATCAGTGGAGAATCACATGGCGGCGCATGTCCATAATCGACGTCATACTGGGGGAAACTTGGCATATGGTGCAGATCTTTGGACGAGACGGGTTAGTGTGAGAGGGAGAGGGAGAGGGAGAGAGTCAGGTTGACGACCTCTGATCGATATGGGACGTTTGCGTCCAACTTGCACAGCAGAGGCGTAATCATCTTCACTTCATGTTCCCTCTCAGACCATGGTGATTGTTGTTATTGCTGTTATTGCTGTGGCGGTACAAGCATGCACAGCCACATCGATGAGCTGTCCAGACTTTGCTGGATAATGCTTGCAACTCGATCGGCTCGGGGAGACAGTAGCAGTACAATGTATGCGTACCTATGTACGTACGTGTGGTATCTGTCGGACGGAGGTGGGATGCCATGTACTTACTGCCCCATTACCTCGCTCTCTGAGAGCAAACCAGTCTACGTTCCCATTTTCTTCTCAAACGCTCATGCTGTGACCAATCTTGCTTGTGGTATCATGAACTCGAGGCCAATACCCGAAACGCCTTGCTAATACCACATTTTCCTTTCATGCAAACCTTCCGCTTTCGTGCTTGGTGTGGTCGTGAAGACGTACTCAAGGCAGGTACGCACCACCAGCAATCACCAGATTCATTTGCGTGAAGCCGACCTTGTAGACTGGGCTCTTCTTGGTCGGAAATGCCGAGATCTGGTCCGGCGATACCACGACATCTTTCTTAGACTTGCCCTTGGTGCCAGCACCTCCACCAGATGTTGCGCCATCGATCTTGGTCCCAGTGCCGCCCTCACCGACCACTTTGCCTTGACCATCCCCGTTGGGCTGCATGTCCCACACACGCACCGTGCCGTCAGCTCCACCAGAGACCAGTACGCTGGATTCCACGCTCCAGTCCAAGCTCCAGATACCACCGCGACCGTGTCCACGCATGCGCTTGACTAGACGGCCTCTGGCCAAATCCCAGAGGATGATCTCGCCTCGGTCATCAGCACTCGCGACCATCTTGCCACTAGGCGAGCAGGAGAGAGCGGTGACATTGCCCACATGGCCCGTGAAAATGCGCACCGCCTGTCCTCTCTGTATGTCCCACATGCGCACTGTACGGTCGGGCGCACCGGATCCTGTGAATACATATGCGCTGTTGGGGTGCCACGCCACCACATCGGCGTCCGCGTCGTGTCCGACGAACAACCGGAGAGGGGCAATCTGATTTGTGCTCCACAATCGCGCGGTTCGGTCTGCAGAGCATGACGTGAAGTAGAACCCGTAAGGAGAGAAGCGCACGTCCCATACCGGCATGTTGTGCGACTTGTACACTACCAAGTTCGACCAGGTGTCGAGAGACCACAAGCGAATAGTACAATCGGCGGAGCAAGATAGCAGATATCTCGGATGTGAGTTCGATGAAGTAGACCCATTGGTGTGGCCATTGGTCTGTGGTTCCGGAATAGCGATGGATGGCGAGAAGGAAAGAGCATAGACGGGACCTGAATGCCCAATAAGTCGCCGCGAAGATGAAGGCTGGAACTGCGGAGGGTCCGTAGGTGATGTCAAGGTGCGATTGTCCAGCGACCAGACTCGGATGTAGGACTCGGCTGTACCGACAGCAGCCAAGCAATTATCGCCCGAGAACTCGATGCAGTTGACGCTGTCGTAGGTGTTGTGAAAGGTGAACATGGTCACGCTGACCCCTGGTCCCACGCCACCCGTCTTGCCTTCAATGCGGAAGCGATCACGATTCTCTTTCACTCTCTGCACTTCCATGGCCACGTCTCTTGCCGTGGACGGTGGGAAAGGGAGCGCGTCCCGCTGTGGCGCTGCATCATCAGGCTCTTCGCGCTTGATGCGTTCTTCGAACTGATCGATAAGTGAGTTCTGACCCGGCCCTGGCGGATGGGAGGCATCATGCTCCTGAAGCTCTGCTTTGACGTCCTCCACCAGTTCGCTCTCCATTGGTAGCGGTCCCAGAGTGAGCTTCGAGAGCACTGCTGGAGCCTTGGGATCGAGATTTGCAGAGCCCGGATTGTGCCCAGGTATGCCTTCGTCCTCTGCCGGCACGTCGTCCTGGCCACCTCGGTTGGTGATCATCTTGGCGAGACTTCGTTCAGCTCCGGCAGCAGCGCGGTCCACGACTCTAATGTCCAAGTGCTGCGCGATAATGCTGGTAACGATCCTGCCCCCCTCGCTGTCCTTATTTTCCAAGTATGTCATCAACGTTTGAAATGCCATGTTGCTGAGTGTCAAGCGGTACTTGTTATTCCGATAAAGTTGCGCGACCTGGTTGTCCTGCGCATGTTCCGGTTCATACAGCCGCGAGAGCGCGCGGACATCCTCGGAACGTTCCCGTTCAAAATGAGACTTGAAGCGCCCGAAGAACTCCTCCGCATCTCGAGAGTAGAACTCGCTGATGCATTGCAGGTACGAGTACACAAAGAGCGGCCAGAGAAGCCGCTTCAATTCTGGCTTGTAAATGTCCAGCACATTGTCGACCCAGTTGTAGGTCAGGTCGAAAGCGCGGCCGTACTTTTTGCCGCCCATTTCATCGATTGAATTGAGGATGGGATTTCCGTTGGGATCTGTGTTCGCGCTCTCTTTCCGAAGCATAGCTTCCGTACGGCTATACCCCTTCTTAGAGAGATACTCCAGTACCTATGACATTGAGTTAGCCCGTTCCAGTCTTTGCGCCATTTTGTGAAGTGCGAAGAAAATTCGAGTGCAATAGATCGCGTCGAGGCCGAGGGGCAGACGCGCATTAGTGAGCGCGCGCTGTGTCCTCCAGTGGGACCCGGTATCAGATGAAGTAAGTGTTGAAAGCAGACTGATCAGGTCCAGCTACCTAGACTTGCATGGATGGCGACTGGAGGGTGTGGCGTCTCTGGGCAAGGAATTCCTCGGTCGCGGTTGAGAATTGCTTACAGCTGGACTGGCCGTTTTCATCTTGGGAAATCGGGAGGCCGTCAAGAACGATGTGATTCGGATCGCGAGTGTTTGTAGTTCGGCCGCCTTCGATAACGGTGCTTGTCGCGTGTTGGAAGAGAAGACGTCGTCCGACCGCGTGAGTCCAAGTTGAAGAGTCCATCTTCATATCAAGTGGTCCAAGCGCCTCCGCGTTCTAGTGGTAGAATGGCAAGCGAAGCACGCAGAAGAAGTGGAGAGCAGCGCTCTCCCCACTGCAGACTCCCTTTCATTACAGGAACATGTACTTACAATTTGATTGAGATTCTGCTGCTGATTCCCCCCAGCTCCACCAGGCGCTGTGGCAGGAGGAGGACCGCTCATGCCGCCTGCGCTCTGCGGACCGACGCTTGTGGTGCGCGACGGCGGTGGCGGCTGCGACGCCATGGTATGAATGTCGATGGCAGTTTACATGCGACAAAGTAATGGTAATAGTGCGATGATGGGAATTCGATGTATGGTCGCGAGATGGGAGAGATGAAGCCCAGGTCCTCGCACGTGATCTCGACTTGACAGGGTTTGCGCGGACTAGTGAGTTTCGCCAAGAACGACTTATTCACACAACAGAATAGGTGTGATTGTAAGGTAACCTGTTTGGTCAAGTTGTGATGCAAGTTCAGTTGTGAGGCCGGTTTCGTGAAGGCGTGTTCTTCGTGTTGTGTGTCGATTCTGGTGAAGTTACTAGCGTGCCCCACTTGTCGACCAACCCGCGCGTCTGATTAGTCAGATTTACCTCTCAATGAGGAAAGCGCGGACCCAAGACACTTGCAGCACAAGCGTTACCATGTTGGGCTCACGTTCGTGTAACTACACGGAACGACATTGAACTCGAGCTGGACCATGTTATAGCACTTTGCTCGCGATGGCACAGCCACCGACAACCGTCACAATCACGCCAGCAGAGCGCATCCGCGAGCTCTCCGAGATCAACAAAGATGTCGCAACACTGCTCACTTCAGCCGGACAAGCCGTTCATGCACTCACAGACCGGCCACTGAACTTGCACGCCTCATTCGACGATGACACGCCAATGCCCGATACCTCCAGCGACAGTCTCGAAGCGCGGCGCGAGAAATTTAAGGAGGTCTCGACGTCTTTCTTCGAGACGTTGCAAGGCGTGACTGCGAGGCTGCGCAGACAAGTGTATGCTTTGGAAGAAGCCGGCATCATCACGCCCGATCCGCTCACTGCGCAAGAGCAGCCTAAAGCAGCGGCGGCATCAACGGCGCCAGCCCAGAGCAATCAACGAGGCGTCGTGCAGCTGCCTAAAGAGCAGCAGCTGGACCCAGACAGAATCAAGAATGGTGGACTGGGTGACTTGGATATTGGGTGGCTGAACAGCCGCAGCAATAAAGTGGGAGCTGAGAAAGAGGCAGAGCTTATACAGGAAGCGAAAGAGCTGCTTCAAGATGTGCTTCGCAGCGATGCCGTCGGTGGTTGATCGATGGGAATGCGCATCCCAGTGTGCAAGCCTCTACTGGACGTAGGGGATGCCATACGATTCTGCTGAGTACTTGCCCACGCAATGTCCACAGCAATGAGTCTGAATGGCGTGCTCGATGTACACCTTCGAGTTTCGACATGTTCAGATCTCAGCATTTCTGTGGTCGTCTCGGATAAGACGTCTACAAGACCGCGAATGACCAACGAGACAAACACCATGTATCTCAAAAGCAGCGTTAAAAGCCACCGGCATCCCAAATCACTATATATATGAAGTGCTTGGGCTACTGCAGTGCTACAGGCGCTGATGCCCGCTCGGCCAGACAGCATATATCAGTACCACTCGAGGCCGTGTGATTTCTTGAACAGCAGTTGACTGCCAGCCGTCCTCAGATCGAAAAGGCTGAGAGAACGGTTCAGGACTAAGATGCAAGTACGTTCCTCGTAGCAAAGATGCATAAGTACCTGGTAGCCAGTGTTACAATGAGCAGGAGCTATCGAAATGGCAGGTTCAGCATGGAATATACCTGCCTTGGTATCAATGGATATTAACCCACTGTGCCTTTTCTGCGATATCTTCCACCCCAAGTTCAGACGCCAATTCGCCCTGCATAATGCCATGAACATAGCACACCCCCATAAAGAGGTAATGTCCCTCTTCTCTCCGCAAAATCCACGGCACGCTATTGCCCATGGCCAGGAAGAGCGAGTCCTGCATCCTCACATGTTGCGACGCGATTCCCATGTATCCATCCTTGGTCAAGAAGAATTTCCGAAAACGACTATGGAATTGGAAATGATAGAGATACTTCATCGCTTGTCCTGCACTGCTCGCATCTGCATTCCGCGTCAGACTACTGTGGGCCATCTCTGCCAATTCGGACGCTGTAAGCACGGCTTTGTTGTTACGGGGTGGTGGTTGTCGAGCATTATACTCATCCTGCGAGCGGAGTCGCAATGCGCCCGCGGCCAGCGTTCCGGCGAGGGCCATGATATGGGAGTCGATATCGATATCCGATCTGACGCCACGAGCCTTTTGTGCCATGGGAGAGAACACCCGGATCGCGTCCTGGAGTGCCTGTAAGGCGGTTTGGTCGTCTTCTTTAAATTTTCCGCCAGGGAGTAATGTCGAGGAAGTATACTGCAGATCGTCTATGAAGACACCTTCACAGCGCAGGACGGGATCGGAAAGCTCGGTGGGGAATATTACAGTGCGGCTGTTGGATGCTCGAAATGTCCACCAGGGCAGACCAGAGGGGTTTTTGAGGCGACCATATGGCTCTTGCCATAATGGTAGCCAGGTGGGCCAGTGGTGCTCGCGGTACCATTCATTCAGATGATTTCCGTTAGTCCTGGCCCAGCGCATCACCTCATACGAGTTGTCCTGCTGAAAGGCGAGACGTGTCGCTTGTGTATATACAACCTCCAGTGGAAGATTGTAGTTCGGTCGAAGATCGTGCGCTACCGATACATGAGCAAGGCCCAGGATCGCATATACTTTGTCTCGCATCTCGGAGTTGGCATGATTGTGCATCACCTCTAGGAGATATGTTAGTGGTAAGCCAGAGTGGCATTGGCCTCTACGGCAGTCACCCTCGTGCGCCAAATTGAGCTTGCAAGCATGCCAAACACGTAGATTGAATAATGTTTTGCAGTGCCGGATGCCGTGCGACAGAGCATCTCTACTGACTTCGAAGCGGCCGCTGTGTCTCTCCATCTTCACGAGAGCACGAGCGACTATGATGACGTCTGGCAGAGGTATACTGTGGTCTCCGTAAAAGACCATAGCAACTCGAGCTAGAGCGGCTTCTTGCAGAATCCACAGCCTGGTGAACCAGGGACTTGCGTAGAATTTGGCCAGCAAGGCTTTGTCCAGTCCATTCAAGTATTCTGCTACTGACAGGTCCGTATCAAAGTTGAGTAGTCTGTTCAGACCCTTCCTCGACCCTGCCGCCTCTCGAAGAGCTCTGGCCGATGCACATATGCTCGACTGGATTTCTACGTGCCCCGAGAAGGACAGTCCCAGAAAAGCCAAGACCTGCGTCGCGTTTGAATAAATTTCAGACATGATCATGACTTGCTGCGCTCGCTCTTGGTCGTTGTCTAGATCTATGCACACTGCGTCGACCCAAATGTATGCTGTGTGACTAGATGCGATGAATGCTGCCGCGTGCATTTGCTGTAGTGCTTCTACTGCAGTTGCAAGTACCGGCACCTGCAATCCATCGAGTTCTATGTCTCTCAGATGAGTTGGATCGCCCCAGACATAGCTGATAGCACAGTACGCCGGAGCCTCAGGCAAAGCGACTGTAACAACGGAACATGCAGTGCTGCTCCAAGTGCTGTCAGAAGTGTCTTTGGAGAATTTGAGCAGCCGTATTTCATTCTTCGAAGAGTCTAGTGAGTCGTATGAGTACTTGACATTGCCGATATCATCTGGTGTAATTGGATGATCAAGGTTCGCCATGCCTCAGCTACCTGTATTCGAAATATCCAGGTAGCTGGATGTAGTAAGGTATCTAGATGGTCGGTCGGCTTCAGGAAAGGTCGCACAGTACATGCTGATCTGTCTGCGATATCGCGGGCAAGCTAGAATTAGTCACTCAGCTTTTTGAAAGAAATCATCTCGATCTGGAGGGTCGATCATCACTCAGAAGTGAATCTCACGATATTATTGTGGAACAAGTGCACGATGTTGTAGCCCACAGAGAGCCTCGCCAATCAAGGGGTGCTGACTGCTGAGGTGACTTCAGCTGCGGTCCGAGCACCTTCCCCTCTTCCGACGACGACATCGGCGACCAGCATCGAGTCTATGAGGCGTCATTCGCATAAAATGCAAATAGTAACTAGGTAATGAAGGTAAGGCACGGAACAGCAATATCACAATCCTCTCTCGCTAGCCAACACACCTTTCCAACCATCACGACTCTACCGAGAGATCAAACAGACACTCGGCATCATGCCCATCACAGAGGGAGCACCAATTCACGGAAATCCAGCCCATCTGCTGCCACCTTCATGGAAGAAGTCAATTACTCTTTGGCTTGAGGAGGATACCCCGAGCTTCGACTACGGCGGTTTCGTGGTGGGAGATGGCCCAGCTGAAGCGCGTCTGCTTGCAAAGAGCTTTGGTATCGTGGCAGGCGTGCCATTCTTCGAAGAAGTCTTCAAGCAATTAGACTGCACCGTGGAATGGTTCGTGAAGGAAGGAGATGAGGTCGGTAAAGAGAAGAAACAACACGTGGCGACAGTCCGAGGGCCAGTGCGCTGTCTGCTTCTGGGCGAGCGAGTGGCATTGAACTTGCTGGCAAGGTGTTCAGGTGTAGCAACGAAGTCGCATTCTTTGCTCCAGTTGCTGCGGAACGCAGGATACAAGAACATCCTGGCTGGCACACGAAAAACTACCCCAGGCTTCCGACTGGTTGAGAAGTATGGCATGCTGGTAGGAGGATGCGACCAGCACAGGCACGATTTGAGCACCATGACCATGCTCAAGGACAACCATATCTGGGCATGTGGTGGTTCGATACCAACAGCAGTTGCGGCCGCGAAAGCAGCAGGAGGCTTTGCAGTGAAGGTGGAAGTGGAGTGTCAGTCTGAAGAGGAAGCGAATACAGCGATCGAGGCCGGCGCTGACGTGGTGATGCTTGACAACTTCACGCCAGAGGGTGTTCGCGTAGCATCGAAGAACCTCAAGGACAAGTGGGGTAGAGGTGTCAACGCCCGTGCCCTGGTCGAAGTCTCAGGCGGGTTGACGGAAGACAATGTTGCGGACTACGTTTGCGATGACATTGATATCATCAGCTCGTCGAGCATCCACCAGGGAGTGAAGCACATCGACTTCTCGCTCAAGGTCATACCGAAAGGGACGTCGACTGGAAAGCCGGTTGAGGGTTAGCTGACCAAGATCGGATGGGCTTTTTGGTGCATGTGCATGCCTTGCTATTGCATAGGAGTGCGAGTGCGGCTCCGACTCGAATAGGGCTACCTCAAGCTACAAGACTTACCGATGCTACAATATGGACGAAGATGTAGTAGTCGGCGAACCACTCGGCAGAGGAGGTGTTCCCGTCGCGATAAGAATGGTTTTGCAAGATCTCATCGTGTCGCTCCCAAGAGTGATGGTCAAGTGACCATAAGGTGACTGCAGAGGCTTCCGTCGATGGTCGTGCTTGATGGTTCTCACTGGCTTCATCGTCTTGACGCGTGATTAGCAAGACAAGATCTGTGCTCTTTCACAACCACAGTGACACGGAATAGCAAGACCGAGTCGCAGGAAATTGCCAACGTCTACTCAAAGAAAGCCGAAATATACCAGGTACCTAGCAGAGCGAGCTGTAGCAACGAAACAACTTGGAAGACGGTAATGTCTAGCAAGTAAACTAGCAATGCGTGCCTTGGTAGTCCTACAAGCGATTGTCTTTGCTCCGTGCGAATACACGTGTGTCGAAAGTTCCATACCTTGACGGTTTTCAATAATGCTTCCTGCACATGTTTCTGGACAGAGCTCCGGCTGGTCAACGTTGCCCGGCGTGGATGGACGTCGGGTTTCGGTACTTTTTGCCTCACAGCCACAAATCGTGGCTCACCTCCAGGGGGGCTCCCGTCCCGTCCACTACTGCTCCTTGCCCTGAATTCCCACTTCGCTCCCCGCCCGTCTCCACCGCTCATAAACAATACTACCTCCTACCTGACCTCTCGAGTTGACATCTGGACTCTCTCTCTGCCATAACACCTTGAGCATCTTGATCAAGTCCCCAACTATAGCACGCGTCACTGTGCTACGAAACCGAACAAAATGGCTGCGTCTAATCCACACTTCGAGCCCAACCCCAAATATGATCACTACGACTTCCCTACAACTGCACCCGAGAACAAGCCTGGCCACCCAGGCCACACCACCAAGGAGCAAGATGCGCAGGTGGAGCAGTTGCGGTTGATGCTTGAGTCGGAAGGATACACTGATCGATTGGACACTTTGACACTTCTGCGATTCCTGCGAGCTCGAAAGTTCGATGTCAATGCTACCAAGGCAATGTAAGCGAGCGAGGTGGATCAAAACGCAAAAGGACAAGCACTAATCAGCATGCAACAGGTTCGTCAATAGCGAGAAGTGGCGCAAAGAGTTCGGAGGAGGTGTAGACCAACTGGTGAAGACGTTCGACTACAAGGAGAAGGCCCAGTTGATGGCATACTATCCACAATACTACCACAAGACCGACAAAGATGGTCGACCGGTCTACATTGAGCAATATGGAAAGGTCGACTTCGAGGCAATGCGAAAAATTACCACGGACGAGCGCATGTTGGAGAACCTTGTTGTCGAGTACGAGAAGGTTGCCGACCCTCGTCTGCCAGCCGCCTCACGAAAGGCCGGGCAATTGCTGGAGACTTGCTGCACCATCATGGACTTCAAAGGCGTTGGATTGATGAAAGCGAACCAGGTCTACGGTTACGTTCAACGTGCATCGGCTATCAGCCAGGACTACTACCCCGAACGCCTCGGCAAGCTTTACTTGATCAACACGCCGTGGGGTTTCAGCAGTGTGTTTGCAGTTATCAAGCGATTCTTGGACCCAGTGACTGTTGCCAAGATCCATGTACTGGGTAGTGGATACCAGAAGGAGTTGTTGGCGCAAGTGCCCGCAGAAAACTTGCCAACTGAATTCGGCGGCAAGTGCAATTGCGAGGGAGGGTGCCAGCTCAGCGATGACGGCCCATGTGAGTCGAGACGAACGAGCCATGATCATACCATGGGATGCTAACTATCCATTAGGGCGTGATCCTCAGTGGGCCAAGCCAGCCAAGTGGGAGACCGACAACACCATCCCCGCTACCGAGAGCCATGTTGGCGAAGGCGCTCCAGCTGCCGACGAACCGACAGCCACTACGACTGCTCCCACCCCAGCAACCGGTGACCGCGTGCCAGGCACCGAGGCACACACTGCTGCGCCGGCAGCTCAGTAGAGCGCCGTGGCGAATCGGGCCGTGATGCTGATTGCGGAGAAAAGACGAGTCGATTGCGATTGAATGGAGTGCTTCTTCAATTTAAGGCAGAGCATGAGTGCAGCTTGCAAATACCTACACAGAGACAAGGCTATTAGAGAGCATAATTGACGGGAGCATGGGAGGCGCAGGGAGATGGCGCGTGGGAGTACATACCCACGACTGGAGATGCAAATTGAGTGTGCTTAGATTGTGCTTTCCGGTATGTACATGGATCCAGCGCAGACGCGATGGTGCAAATTTCAGCGTGTTGTGCACATGGGACGAAGCTGTCCCTCACGCGACAGCAGCTCTGTCCGTCTATGCTGGTACCATCACAACTAATGGATGCCCCAGCGCGCGCAACAGCCCTGCAGGCTGCACTACATCGATGGAAACTGCCTTGCGAGTGAGGAAGGTACTTACCTTACTAGGTACACATGAGGCGATCGTCTTCTGCTCTTTCTTTCATTCTTTCATTCATTCTTCCTTCCTTCCTGGACATACGCACCTCCCTCTCACCGACGACAAACACACTGACTGCATGCAAGAAGCACCCATGAGATGGACGGGAATGAGCTGGCCTCGTCGCTCCTCTTCCACGTTGTGTTGACGAAGGTAGCGTGCTCTCTCCCTAAGTGGTACCTTACCTACCTCTCTCCATCTTCTCCCACTCTTCCCATCATCTTCTCCCAGCACACTGCATTTCTCGCCTTTGGTGGCTCTCCTTGGATAGAGCTTCTCTTGGTCCGTCCTTCACCAGACACAAGCTTCTCAAGGCGGCACAATGCCTTTCGCCGACACGGTCTCCAGCCTCAGCGGCCGCAACTCCAGGGCCAGCAATGTCTCGGGACAGTCTCGATCACAGCATCGCTCGCCCCCGACGAGCAGCAACGACACTTGGTCCAATGCAGGTGTTCTCAGCATGTTAAAGACTTCAACGGATACCGGCGATATCGGTGCTCTTTCATTCAACAACTCACGCCTGCCTGGAATGCCGCACGCTCGCCAGCGCGGCAGGCAGGGTCACGGATCGAAGGTGTCGGCTTCGGGCCATCCTCATATCACGAGTCTCTCGTCCAACCATAGCTATGCCCCATCTCAGACTTCACGTGTTAGCTCGCAGTGGGACACTGCTTCCACAACCCAGCGTCGGGGTTCGCTCACGAGTATGCAGAGCATGCCACCTTCTCTACCTCCAGTACACGGTGGCAAATCATCCATTCCCGCGCGGCAGCCTTCTCAAGACGTGGACCCGCGTGACAATAGATCATATTCGATGGGGTCCGCCGTTCCAGGTGGGCAGCTCCCGAGACTGCGGTCAGCTGCAAGCCTGAAGAGTCAAGGACACGAGCCGAGACACATCAATCACATGCCCCCTGGGCCAGTGCCTCCGATGCCAGAGAACCGTGGACCATTTGTCTACCCGACCAGACTGAAACGTCCAGGCTTCCGCTCTGCTTCGCCGGCTTTGAGCGATTCTTACCCGGCACCTCACATGGGAGGGCCGCAAATGGGACGAAGAGTTCCTGGTCCTCATCCGCCGCCAATGGCTGCCTACAATGGCTACAACGGCGTATACATGGGGGATTACAACAATCCACAACAAAATATACGTCCGCCACCTCGTTTAGCGGACAATCCCGCAGATCCAAGCTACGGGCCCAGTCAGTACGCATATCAGCAAGGACCGGTGAGGCAAGCACCATTACCCGGTATGCCGCATCCCATGCAACAGCCATACCCACCTCAATATCCCCCGCAGTCTCGAGCTCAATACGGCCCTCAATATCCTCCAGGCTACACATACCCTCCATATGGCCAAGTGCCCCAACAAAGCAGAACGCGCGGGCACCCTCCTCCCTCGAACATTGGCCCCATGGCACATCACATGTTTCACAATGCCGCTCGAATGGCTCGCAACCTGCCACAGCGTACTGACACGCCGATGACTGATGGAGGGCCTCCTTCATCTGATCCGGCTTCTGCAAGCTCGGCACCGGACTCATCAGGCCCTCCAACACCGAGAGATGCGACGACGACAGTACGAGTGGGCGTCGACCCGGCTTTCATTGAACCAGATCTGCTTGATCTACCAGATTCCAGTGAGCCTATGATGCCAGGACACAAGTACTTCGAATATGCCGAGGGTCGCGACGAGCAGGCAGAAGTCCCGCACGCTTCGATACCACCTTCTGGATTCGTGCAACGTGTCAAGGCTATGCTTGAGTCCAAAGCAGCACTTGAGGCTGCACAGCAGCACGAGAATGAAAAGGCCATGCAGCTGGCACATCCACAGCACGTGTACCTACACGAGCTCGATGTAGACCAAGATCAAGAAGGCGAAGTATCCGATCTTGCAGATCTACACGAGATGGCTGCCAATGAGACACCACGCTTCACCATCATCGAAGAGTTCGAAGCGCCTGCGGAACTACCCGCGTCACCAGTGAAAGTGGCCGAGTTGGATGCCATGGAGACTACTCGCATTACAAGAGACATGATCAGAGCGGAGCTGTCTTGCATATCAAGTGCCGACAACACCCTTCAGCAGGTGCAGCCCGATGATTCGACTGCCAATGTCATCAAGCAGCTTGTCGAACGAGGAGACGCGCCCAGTGCTCCAATACAGCCCGAGTCATCGAAGCAGGAGATCACTCGGCACTCACGTCGCTCCTCTCGTCAGAGTGCTACCAGTATCAAGCGTCGACATGATTCGGTCCCCGAAGCTATTACGGAAGTCTCAATGGAGGCATCTCTGCCCACTGGTGCAGACTATGCGATGCGTTTCCAGGTTCCCATCGACACCACCGACTCGTCCGACGAGACACAGTCCAAGGACCCATTTGCGCTTGATGCTGATACAGTCACGCTACAACACCAAGCCGCGGCTGCGAAAGAGTCGAGCGGAGTCGAAGTGATTGAAGAGGGCAAGAAGACTCCTGGGGTCGATGCTGCTCACCAGAGCGTATTCCTTGACTTGACACCAGTCAGCCCATTGCGACAGGGCGAAGTGGTGAAGCGCAGCTCTGCCGTCAGTCCCATCCAAGATGAAGCCCGAGGCATCGACGAGACTCTGCGAGTGGCTGGAGACGACACTCGAGGAGAGGAATCGTCTACTAGTATCCAGGAGGCCGCCACATCCAACACGCTGTCAGCCGACTACGAATCGATGCCACCTCCGACACCGCGAACCCCTAGGACATACTCGAAGTCTGTTCAGCTTCATCGCCCCAGCACCGCTGTGCCGGAGACCTCAAGTACAAATAGCAACCGCTTCTCGCTGCCTGGAGACCTCAGCACTGTCGGTGACACCACGTTGAACTCCGCTTCCGACATGATCACCGACGTGGCCGTGCGTTTCTCTTTGCCCGGGACGACCATCACTGTTGGTAAGCCGCAGATTATCGAAGTATCGCCAGGTTCCACACCCGACAAGCTTAACGACGAGTCACCCAAATTTCAACCGCATTTTACCAAGCAGTCTGGTTTGAGGTCGAGCAGGCGTAACTCAGTCACGTTTGCCGACGAAATTGCGCCCCTCAACATCAAGAAATCCGACTCAGCCAAAGCTGAAGCATCTTCAATTCAACACAAATCCATTATTCGCAAACTGGCGCCTCGAGATGATCACAGCCAGCTGACCAAGGCTTCACGTGACACCACGACAGATATGCGTTCGAATAATAGCAACAACAGTTACAGCACTCATGCTCGGCTCGGCAGCGCGCACTTACACCAGCTGCCTGGCCTCAAAGAAGAGTCCATTGAGGACATGGGCAGCCCTGAGAAGAAGCGATCTTCGAAGAAGAGTGACTTTCCGCTGCCAGCTCGGATTGCTGCCGTCAAAGCCATGCAAGAACGACGAATGCAGGACTCTGCGGACAAGGCTAAGGCTCGCCGCAACGCTCAAAAGCACAATCGGCCACTTGGCGACAGCAAGGACTTGCCATCCTTGAACTTCAGTCGCACTGATCTGTTTGAGAAGCTTAACGATGCTCTGGAGGTTCGGCCTACCAAGTCGATGGATATCATTCGTCGAAGAGACTTCACGGGAATCCACTGCCCATCGCCTCGACGTCCAATGAGCACCGAACCCCTTCGCGATCGCTACGCAAGCTTCTTCAACAAGCCGGAGGACTTTAGCTTCTGCGATGAGGTTGGCACCAGCGATGAAGAGGATGACGAGGCGGAGCTCGAGTCTGCGTCGAAGCATGACAACGACAAGGCACTGGTACCATCTGTCCAGATCCAAGAAAACACACAGACCGAGCTCGAAGATCCTGCAGCAAGCCATCGCCCGCTGTCTCCAGAAGACTTCCTTCACGTTGCGCAGCAGGCCAGTCGTCTGTCGATACCATCTGTGGCTGGTTTGTCTGAGCGCATTTCTGAGCTCATTCCTGGTTTGCGTAATCTGTCCAGCCTCCGGCTAGATTTCTTGCCATCCGAGACAGACATGCATCCTGGCTATGCTGGTACTACTGAAGTTGGTAGGCCTGATACTATCCTCACCAACCGCACCTCTGCTGGCTTCCGCACTCTTGCTGAGCGTGCCGAAGAGATCGTTATCAACGGTACCCACGACTCGATTGCACCTTCAGCTCTGCATGCGCTGCTCAATAAGGAGCTGCCAGCGCTACCTAAAACCGCCTCTGTCGATGGAATCGCTGGCGTCAACACCACAAACGGCAAGGGAGCGTACCTCAGTGGATCTATGTCTGTACCTGTCGACCTGGGCAAAGATCCTATTCGCCCCGAGTCTGCGTTTCTAAGAACCAAAGCGCCCACTACAGAAGCAGAGGTTCAGAAATTGCTGCCCAAAGGAATGAATCCCATCAGTCGCATGTCCAACAGACGTTCAATGATCGTGTCGCAGCCGAACAGTCGTCCTTGGAATGTTGACAAGAATTACCCGTGGTCGGGCAATAAGATCGCAATCGACCTTTCGGTACCGTCCCCTGCACATACCAACACATCTCTCGCTAGTGAAGTCCTCCGAGAACGCAAGACTCGGTCTCTTGATTTGCCCAGATCTCTTGTGGGAGGTAATGATATCAATGTTGGGATCACCACCACATCGCCCGCGGAATCCAGATTTTCTGTGACTACTGAACAGCTCACCGGAATCAGCCCATCACACCTGCGCCACAAGTCGAAGCGTTCAATAATCGGCTCCATCTCGAAGAAGTTCGGCCTCACTTCTAATCATACTGAAGCAACGTCAAGGAGCCTCCCAGGTTCGCCTGTTCCCCGGCAGGCGTCTGTGCTCTCGCACAGACCTGGCGATCGATATCCAACCAGTAGTCTGACGCCACCTGCTATTGCCGCACTCGATGAAGTACGCTCGTTCTTCTCGGATAACAGCATGGAGCGCAACCGTACGGCATCGTTCCGCAAGCGCCTCACACAATTCAAGGGCAAGGGCAGAACTTCTCGTGCAGACCACCTACCACGGACAGCTCACTCTCTCGACATCCAAGGTAACACCGAATACAGCGCGGGGTCCGTCAACGAAGCGCGATCGGAGAGTGCGACCATGCACATGCAGTACGACGCCGCTGGGATGGGCAAGGCTGAGTTCCACTTCAAGCGCTTTGGAGAGAAGCTTCGACACTTCTTTGCCAAAGGGAGCGTATTGTTCCGGAGCATGAGCACCCGAGGTCGACCGAGGCGAGAAGAACCAAGAGACGAGTGGCTTGCAGATTCACTCTATTCCGGTGTGTGAGAACTGTGAGTACCTTTCCTGCTGAAAAAGAGCGGGTCAGCTTACTGATCCCTCACAGGTCCAGTAGCGATAAATATTTGACAAGGCTTGGTGGTATTTTATGAAGAGAACAATGGTGTTGATGGTCTAGTTTGTTTGGTTTTTCGGAATACGATTATGGCATGTATCTTGGTGGGTTTGGATGGGCATCATCATCTCGAGATTGTTTTTGAAATGTACAGCATGTGTCAACAGCTTGTCGAGATAGGGCTTATATGGATAGTGGCATTTACTATTGGTCAGTATTCTCTTTCCTTGAAAGTCTTGCGATTCTGGTTGAGTACATGAATCTCGACTACCTGTATTATGGGAATCTCTGATGAATGCATCAATTGTCCTTCGTCTCACTGCGGGTCGCCTTCTTCTTGATCCACTCGCCGTTGTTTCCGCGCCGACTTCATGGCGGGCGCTTCTTCGTCGACCTTGGACTGCAGGGCAGTCGCTATGGCGGGCACCGAAACGGATGATGCTAATTGATGATGGTCATTCGAGGTGGGATTATGCATCGAACTCAATAATGGCTGTACATCCTGGACATCGTCGCCAGGTGTTGTGATGGTGGTGGGGTTATCGGTTAGTCGAAGGATGGAGGCTGGTACTTAGTAACCTAGGCCTTTCCTTTGGATTATTGGGATTCTTTTCGAAATCGAGGTCGAGTCAGGTATAGCGTTGACTATATTGCTTGATGGTGGTGAGGGTGGTGGTGTCGTTGTAGGAAAGTCCATTGACGAGAGTGCATCAGCTGTAATGGTTGCTGATGAGCTATGGAAAGAATCAACATCCTTCTCCGGCAGTGATAGTTCTGCGTCGTCTGCGGCGGCCTGAGGGCGAGCTTCTGGCGAAGGAAGAAGGCTTTGAGGCTCAAATTTGGAAGATAAGGAACCCGTAGGTGCAGCTTCGATCGCAGTGCTTTCCCACCATTCCTCGCCTCTTCTTTCCGATGACTTTTGCTCGTCGAAGGAGGACCACTGATCATGTCTCGCGCCGTCCTTTTCGAAATCTTGAGGCTTGGGGAGAGCCCAGAGCCTGGTTCTGAACCTCACTTGTTTCAGCTCTTCGAGAGCCTGGTGCAAATGGTTCCCTTTGCCCTGCTCTCGCCACTTCTGCTGGATCACGGCAGGATATACTTTTTCTTTCCATATCGCGAAGATGGTCCGATCCAGCTCCTCGGCGACTTCTATACCCTCTATGTCGCGGACTATGCGCAGGATGTATCTTACTTGCGCCTTGGGCGGCGTAGTATAGTCCTGCAGGTACCGTGTGATGCCAGCAGTGACAAAAGCTCTTGTCATGATGGAGCTTACAGGAGCGCCGCGATCTTGGAGGAACCTGTAGCATTCCCAAACCCTTCTGAACGCCACACGGGGCGTGATATGCTCCGCTCTGGAGAAGTTCAATGCGACCAGATGCATCAGATCAACACGCTCGGGCAGCAGACTGCTTTTGACTTGAGCACGCTCTGATATCGGGACAAACTCCTCGGCGGTTTGGCGGTGCAGGATTGACCAGACGGCAGAAGAAGGCACACTGTCTTCCTGAACCAGACGTAACGCCAGATCAGGGCATGACTTCAATGGTACGTCAGGAGACGAAGCGAAGACGAAACAAGCCAACTTGCCACCTGCTGGACTTCCGCAATCTAGGAAATATCGGACGAGTGGTGCCGGCAGTGATTTGGGAACCCCGAGTGTTGGATGGCTCTGCAGCTCTCGAAATAGTTTGAATAGTGCGGGCGCGCCGCTGTGAGGTTGGTTTTGAAGGATCGTGAAAATGCCTCTCGTTAGCCTGGCGTGTTGTATCCCGTTCTTCTGCATGGCATGAAGGAGAGCAATCACACATGTCTGTTGCGGCAAGACGGTACCTCGAGCGCGCCTTGTCGTCGAATTCCTCATCGCTTGCCCCGCCGTCATCTCGACCACTGCGTCTGTGGCTTTTGTCATTGCTATATAGTCTGCTCGAACCGCCTTCAGTCTATCCTTGACATCAATAAAGGTGAGCCGTTTCGTCGCATGGTATGGTGTGATGCGGCCTTTCACAGCTGACAACAGAGGAACCCAATGGCGTCTCAGGATCTCGCAGAGATTTTCACGCGAAAAAGCGGCCAGATGGGGAGCAAGCATGGCAGGGTCTGGGAAGCGAAAGGCCAGTATTCGGTGTACTTCGTGAAAAGCATTGACGCGACGACCCCCCAGCAGGCCCATTCTTTGACCAAGCCGAGCCTTGACATTGGACTCGGAGTCCTTGGAAAGGCTCCCGGAATCGGGAAGATATTCATATCGGAAGTACGGACATCTGCGCAGACAGGAAAGCCATAGGAGCAACCTACTGCTAGGCTTGGTTTTCGGAGAGCATTGGCTTGAGAGCAATCTGGTCGTTCTCGCGCAAATTGCCTCGACTCGATCTATTGGGACCGTGTCAATGATCTTGGTGATTGTCGGAATGCCTTTCTCGTCCATGCTGGTCAAGCAGGCCAACATCTCAGGCAGGTCTTCCCATGGTATCGTCTGTAGCCGTATTTTACTGGTGACCATAGCCGCGAGAGCTCGAGATGTCTGCTTTGACGCTTGCCTTTCGGCCAGCCATTTGCAGAATCGATGAACATTATTAGCTTCTGGTTCGTCTTGTGTGCTTTCCAGGAATGCGAAGACATCGTCCAAGTGTTTCATCTCCACCAGTACTACATCTTTCGATGCAAGCAGCTTATCGAAAGCGACTCTGCTAACCTCAACTGCATCCACCTCTGGCTCAGGCGGGAGGAAGGTTTCGAATATGTCTTCTTTCCGCTTAGCACTCTTGGGAAACATCCAGTGTTCTTCCTTCTTCACCTTCTCCACTCCAGGCGGTCTCCATAGCAGATCTCGCTGCGGATCGAATTGTCTCCCTCCGTAGCCTCCAAAACCAAATAGAGCGCCAAATTCAGCTCCACCACCTTGCATGCCTGCGCTCATGCCCATTCGCCTCTTTGCCATGCGCCGGCGGGCTTCCAACGGGCCAGGCACATTGCTGCCATATCGCCGACTGGGCTTGTGCTGGGCATTGGACACGCGCAGGAAGCGGTTCCAGGCTTCGGAGAGGATGTCGTCGCTGAGCCAGAGATATTGGTCGACAGGCGCGGGCCTGGTCTTTCTGAGCATATCATCAGATGTACCCCGTGCGTCCGGTCCGTTTCCCGCAAAGAAGTGTTTAGGTCAGAGTGGTGTGGTCAGTTCAGTGGTGAGCGCGAGCATGCGGAGAAAGACCCCCGTCTTGGCATGAAGTTGAGGATGAAGTTCGATGCTTCACTCACGGCGTGTGAGCTGAGCCTGTGAGGGCAGTGATCAAGCAGCACGATGATCATAAGAGCACTGCGACTGCGGCATGGTATGGAACTGGCTCTGCTGCCTCTGCTCTACATTGGTATGATATGGACTGACAGGACTGATAGGCCGCATCGCTCTCCCTCGCCGCCTTCACCACCCCGTCACCTCCCACCTCCTCCACATCCACACCTCCTCTACACGCTTTTCTTCGGCGCTCGAATCGACGGTGACGCCCAATGCCGAAGCATCTGAACGAGTGGGTATACCCCAATTCGCCGCTACCGCCAAAGAGACGATCGGCCCCAACACCGTTGTCGACCGCACTGTGCCGCTGAACGACCCCAATCACCCCGTCGCCCTCGACTATGCCTTCTTCCAGCACAACAAAAAGCACACGTCCGGGATCGGCTCGACGCTCGCTGTGCACTACAAGCCACATGAACTCCTCACCAAACCGCCTTCTCCTCGCGACATCACCCTCGAGGCTCTGATCGCCGCGCAAACCCACATTGGCCATGCGACCAGTCTCTGGAACCCGAGCAACGCGCGCTACATTTTTGGCATCCGAGGCGAACATGACCCCATTCACATCATCTCTCCCGATGCGACTGCCTCTCATCTCCGTCGAGCTTGCAGAGTGGTGTCCGGCGTGGCGGACGGAGGAGGTCTCATTCTCTTTGTCGGCACTAGACAGGGTCAGGCCCGTGCTGTAGTCAAAGCCGCCGAGTTGTCCAAAGGTTGTCACTTATTCTCGAAATGGATTCCAGGCTCCATCACCAACGGTCAGCAAATCCTTGGGCGTTGCGAGAAGCGAGTCAAGAATGAGGTGGATGAAGATGTCACGGAACTATATGGCTTTGAAGATCAACTATTTGCCAAAGCTGCCATCAAACCAGACTTGGTCGTATGCATGAACCCGCTGGAGAACTATGTGCTGTTGCATGAGTGCGGCCTGAACAATATCCCCACTGTGGGAATCATCGATACTGATGCCAATCCCACTTGGGTGACGTACCCTATTCCAGCGAATGATGATTCGTTGCGAGCTGTGCAGTTCATTTGTGGTGTGTTAGGGAGAGCTGGGCAGGAGGGCCAAGAGAGGCGCCTGCGAAACGCCGCGTCGGGGTACGTGGTATATGCGCCCATTCATAGGTTGAAGGCACCGAGAGAGGAGAGATCTGGTCGAGGACATGGCAATGGGAGTGTCGCCGGGAGTGCCGAACTTATGCAAATCAAGGCAAAAAGTGCGAGGGCTGGACAATCTGGCGCCATTGAACAGTCTCTCCCTGAAGAACCGTTATTTCCAGACGACTTCGAAGGCGCAGATGTGAGCAACCACGAGCAGGATCGAGCTCTCCTAGCACAAGCAGAGAGGGTTCTCTTTGATCAAGACATGGAATCCAAGGACAGCGATGCAATCCCTTCGGCGGAGCAAATGAGTGGCATGGACATGCCTGACAACAACAACAACAACAACAACAACACCAACAGCGCAAGCGAACCCGACTCCGACTCGGGAGAAGACGTCGACCTCTATGCCTCCTTCAACGACACGTCCGAACCCGACTTATCAGCAATGGATCAATCTCTCGTGGACGAGACTTATGCTCAACAATCCGAAACTGTATCCGACGAAGACGCGGCGCAGTTTGGAGTTGCATCAAAAGGCGCTGCTGGTGCAGATAATGATTCCATGGACTCGCAAAACTCCTCGCCTATCGACCAAGTTGGTGAAGTGGAGAAAGAATTGGGCGAAGAAGCTCCCGAACCAGAAATTGGACCAAAGAAGTAATCCAGCACTCGTGAAGGATGTGGATAACTACGGGTAACTTGATCACGAGAAAGAACCTCAAGTGAAGGATTCGTTTGTTTTCTTTGAGTGTGTTTGTAGGACCTAGGTAGTAGGTAGTATCCAATGAATTAGACTATACCTACCTAGGTGCCTGTACTCAAAAACAACACAGCAAAGAAAAATATATGTGTACGTCTAGATTGTAGGTACGACTTCTTATCCTTCTCCTCCTGTCTAGTCTTCTTTGCTTCTTGGGTCAATTCAGAAACAATGAACAAAGAAAAGAAACGGAAAGGAAAGAAAAGAAAAGGAAAAAAGTGGCAAAAAAAGAGTCCCATCTATTAAGGTATTCTCTCTCTCTCTCTCATCTAACGTAGTAAGTAATATTGTAAGCGAATAAGTTATACATGGGAGCGAAAAAGCCTCCTCTCCCTCTTGCCACTTCGGAAACTTTCACTCCTCGCAGTGTGCAGTAATCTCTCTATCTACCTCCTTCTGACCATTACACTACACTTTCGACGTCATGCTCCTTTTTCCTCGCAAAAATAAAACAAAAAACAAATAAAATGAACAGAATTACAAACGCTAGTCCCGTGGAAAAGAAAGGCAGTGGTATCATCTGATTGAGAAAAGAAAGGCAAACCAAACAAATTCCAGGGTACGTAACCCTCGCGCAATGGCTCCATCAGTATGGCATACGTTATTGGAGTGGCTGGGGGTCTCCTGATGCAGACGGTTTCGCGCGAGTATAATTGTCCTTGACATATTGGGGGATCCGAGACCACCTTCCCTGACAAGACTGTGCAGAATGGCCATTGATCTGCGATGAGATTGCATCCTAGTGCAATCCTCGACTTCGTAGCGTAACGAGCTGCCTGTCCTCGTCGACTGTCCACCCTGTCCGTCTCGGTGCTAAATTACCGTGGACGAGGGTGGCGTAAAAGTGTGCGTGACAAGCAGATGCAGAACGGCCCGACATTTGCGTCGAGATGTCATCCCAACTCAGTCCCTCTTCCTATAGCGCGACGAGTTGCCTGTCCTCGTCTGCAGTCCACCATTTATACCGGGAAGCGGTGCCTCCTTCATTTCCGGTGAGGTCCACGACCACCGCTTCTTGCTCTTTGTGGGGATGATGGTTATTTGGGGAGGGCGCACTACTAGACATCGAAGAGGCTGAATGTGAATGGGTAAGCCCCCCGGCCAGCATCATAGTCTGATCCACTGCAGTGGAAGCGGACTCGACCGGCACGTCCTGCGCCGCCCCAAGCCCATTCGCAAACCTCTGGTCCACGAGATGTGTGGCTGACTAGGCTGAAACGCCCTGTGGCGTCGTGGTGCCGTTGGCAAACATCTGAGGAGCAAGCGATGGCTGTTGAGATGTTTGGGCCAGTGAGGCTGGCGTCGACGAGCCTGTGGTCGACATTTGCATCGGCATGCCTCCTGGGGGATGGTTGTTGCCAATCATACGCTCTCGTTCCGCTTTCTCTGCTTCGATCTTCTCCTTCTCGGCTTTGGTGATGCGAGGCTTTCTCGGTGCACCGGGTACCTTACCCCCTCTGCTCCCACGCCCACGTGCTGGTGCACTGGGGTCCTTTGCCTTCTCTGCGGCCTGAGTGGTAGTCGTCGATGCGGCAGGGGGAACGCCCCGACCGCGTCCTCGGCCGCCTCGGCCACCTCCTCTTCCGCGACCGGATGGCGCAGCTGATTCCACATTCGCCGTCGTACCTTCGGCAACGAGCAAGCCCGAATACACAAAGAAGCCGTCCTTGGCGACAGCGGCCTTTTCCTCCCATGCCAGCTCCGTGTCGTCGATGAAGTCATCCTCCTTGTCGTATTCTTCCACCTTCTTTCTTCGCTTCCGCGGCTTCGTCGAGTCTACTCCGTTTGCAGACTTGCCCTCATCGTCCATGCCACCCATCTCGACGTTGCTATCGCCATCTATGTCGGACATCAGGTCCACGGATTTGTCGTCAGCGGAGCCTCCATCGAGCTTGTTCTGTGCAGCAGCGACCTGTAATAGCTTCGCGCGATGGGCGGCAGCGCGGGGATTGATCGCGTCTTGGCCGTACTTGCGGAAGATTTCCTGCGCGATGTTGATCGTGTTCCCGCCAATTCTGTTCAGCGGTATCTGAATGTCAATGTTCGGTCCTCGGCTATCATTCTCCTGCTTGGCTCCCGGACCGCCAAATAAGTTGTTGCTCGCGAGCAGTCCTGTCCCCGCAGCTTTTGGCGAAGCAGCCTTCTTTTCCTTGGGCTGTATTTGCGGCGTAGGCGCAGACGATGATGACTTTGAGGGCTGTACGACACAGCGTGGAGTATCGATATCCATGCTGCTGCCATCAACGGACAGGATTGGTTGTGGCTGCGGAGCGGCTGGTGCGGCTGGTTGTGATGCCGATTGCTGGGATAGCGAGACTGGTGCCGCTCTCGGCGGCGTCGGTGAGTGCTGTGCAGAACCGACAAAGCCGGGCGGCTGTTGTGCATGCATGGGTGTTCGTGTAGCATACGACACGGGTTTGCTGGGAGGATCAATAAGGCTGTTGATGGAAGGGGAGGCTGATGCTCGATTGATGTGGGGTGAGGCCTGTGCCGAGGGGATGCCATTTGCGGTCAGCGACGATGGCTGTGGGGCCGAGTCCATGATGGAGCCTCGGATAGGGTCGAAGTTCTGGCCGCTTGATATCGGACGTGGTGTCGGCGTCGGCGGCTTGGATAGAGTGGGTAGAGGGTCACGGATGAAGATGTCTGGCTGTTGTCGTTGCAGTGATTGTGATGCTAGCATGTGTTGTGGAGGAGGTGCAGTGGCGGGAGGAGCAGGAGGGTGGAAGTGGTTATGGGCCATCTCCGTGAGGGTCGACTGACGAGGGCCGGCGGGTGAATCAGATGGAGTGGCCACGAGCTCCTTCTTTTGCCTCTTTTTGGGCGGGACAGCAGCGCCTTCTTCATGCTTGACTCTGGGCTTGCGAGCCTTCTTCTCCTTGGGCTTGTCATCTTTGCCATCGACTTTGGGTTCTTTGGGCTTGCGCACTCGCTTGGGCTTGATGGGCACATGTGCAGGAGTGGCAGCAGCACTAGTAGTAGTAGTTGTGGTAGTAGGTGTTGTAGACGAGATGGTATGCGCAGGTGCGGGAACAGCCGAATGTGCAACAACACCTTCAGCAAAAGTGGAGGCAGCAGGAAAGGAAGAGCGGCTGGCGACGCGGATGTCGTCTAAAGCGACGTTTTGCGGGGATTGCACTGACGACAGGGACGAGCTATCGCTTGCAGCATCGTCATCGAGGGTGGAAGGCATGTTCATGGCGTGAAAGTCGCACGTCGACGGGACACGCCAAGAAGATGATATAGAACAGAACTAGGCAGACGTGCAGTGGTGCGTGCAGTGTGATGCAGAGCGGTCATGCGTGGTGCAGCAATCGCCGGACGTTTGCGATCGTGGACAGTTTCCAGGTGCGGCGTGTCAAGGCTTCATCTCCAGATAATCTAGTTCCCAGTTGAGTGGACCAATGAGAAGCGTCGGCCTGAGGAACGTCGCGTTTTCACACACACGCCGCAGCGACGACAACACTCTCGGCTCGCCAGACAGCGACAGCGTGGCAGCGGAGGGTCGAATGGTATGGCGGAGTGGCAGCGGGGTGTCGTTGCGGTGTGATTGCAGGTGGTGATGGGTGTCGTTTGATGGGGATGAGTGGTATGGGTGATGGAAAGCAGCAGACCAGCCGCAACGTACATCAAGAGAGTAGGAAAGGAGAAAGAAAAGAGGAAGAGAGAGGGAGGGAGAGGGGTGGAGAGAGAGAGACAGAGACAGAGCGTGTTGCAAAGGAGAGTGGCATAAGGAAAAGCGGCGGGCAGCAGGGACCGACCGACCATTCACGAGAATCCAGCGCCAACCTACCAAAGCAAAGCGACAAAGGCGACACCTCCCAAACCGCAATGCATGCTGGGGCGCGCGGGGCAGCACGGCGGGCGGAAGGGAAGCGATTGTGTCAGAAAGAAAGGGCGAGAGAGAGCGAGAGAGAGCGAGAGAGAGGGAGAGGGAGCGCGGGAGAGAGAGACGAGAGAAGAGGTGGAGGGAGAAAGTGAGAGCGGGCCTTGTGTGATCTGGAGGCCTTACCGAAAAAGCTAACCTGCCCTGCCCTGCCCTGCCTTGCCCTGCACCGACCTCTCTTCCATCCTACCTTAGGTACCTGTATAGAGGTACCTGTGTGCTCATGCTATGCGCCAACTTCATCGCTGCACTGTACTGCGACATGATTATCCCATTTCTACCTACAGTGCTGTGTTGTTGTCAACTACCTGTATTCATCATCATCATCATCGTCATCGTCATCATCATAGCAAAGACGGGTCGACTCGTGCATGCGCGGGCTCTCGCTGTCACCGGCTGTTGCGCTGTGCCCGTGAAGGGGGTTCGTGGCAAGTTTGGGGCACCCCGTCGGGGATGGCATTGGAGGAACATCGACCACGAATGACCCCCATCAATGCATGCCAACCCGCCGCCCTTTGATGCCTCAGTGTGCAGCTCCGATCACGGTAGAGCCGACTTCACGACTGACATTGCGATCTTCTCCGTGTGTGGTGGTGCTCCCTCCCTTGCGATGCTCGAGGTCGTCTAGGTTCGCAAATAGATCGTTCTCAAGCTAGCGGCCGGGAGCCGGCACCCGGCAGCGGGAGTCCCGTCTGTCGGGACTGCCGTGCACGACCCGGCCGGTCGTTCATACCTTTCCTGTGCGTGTGCGCAACACAAACTTCCACACCATGTTTCGAGGCGAGAAGATCGAGATTGACTTGGCTTCAGAGAGCGAGGATGACACGCCTCGCCAGTCCGACCATCGCCTTCTGCCTGGCGCCTTTGTGGCTGATGTATTGGAGCGCACTCCAGCCGCACCCAAGCCACCAAGCGCGCCACTTCTGAAAAGCAAAAGTGGCTTCCCGGGGCATCAGAAGCGCACCGTGATCAGCAAATTCAAGCAGCAGAGGCAGGCGCCAGATGCAGCATTGTCCCGCGGGGATGACAACACGGCGCCATCGCGTCCGCACGATGAGGCGACCAATAGCATACCAAAGTCGTGGGAGGAAGTGGAAAAAGAGCGCATAGATCAAGAGAACAAGCAAAAGCTTGCAGGAATGACTGCTGAAGAGATTGAAGAGGAGCGACGAGAGCTAATGAACCAGTTCAGTCCAGCTCTCCTGCAGAGACTTCTGGAACGAGGAAACGTTGCAAGCGGAAGCGAAGAATCTGATCTTTCACAGTTGCCTGGTGAGATAGCAGAACCATCAAACACCATATCCCCACCAGTAGAGGATTCGGCCGAAACTGAAGTGCCCGATGTCAGAGAGCGGACAACGCCAGCCAAATCTGTTGCTTTTGCCGAAAAGCCCGATTTCGAGCATGTGGCGGCCGAAGTGGAGACGGAGAGCCAGCGTGAAGAACTTCCACCATCACACGACAGCGTACATTTTCCTCGACCCAACCAACCTCCCTCACTCGATCCCTCGTCAGAAACTTTTCTGGAAGATTTGCATCAAAAGTACTTTCCCTCGCTCCCTGCAGATCCCGACAAACTGGAATGGATGCAGTCAGCCTCGGCGAAGAACACGTACGATCCTTCTGCAGCTGCTCTGAACGCTGGTGATGTTCGCTTCTCCTTTCGGGGGGACCTCATACCTCCCAGTAAAGCGAATGAGATTCCCGTCACTCTGGGTCTGCATCACCATGGAGATGCGCCAGAGGCAGCAGGATACACCATCGCCGAGCTGGCACATCTTGCACGGTCCAGCTATGCAGCTCAGAGATGTATCGCATTCCAAACACTGGGTCGCATCCTGTACAAACTGGGCAAAGGCGAGTTTGGTGACCCAGGCGAGCCTGAGCACGTGTTGGAGGGTGGGGTAGTTGAGGGTCCAGAAGACACCTTTGGAGAGTTGGCACGAGGTCTGTGGAGAGAAGTGGAACGATTACAGATTGTTCCAATTCTGGTAGACGAGAGTGAGGGCAGGGGTGTAGATGGTGGCAAACATATGAGCGCAAAATCCTACGCCACCGAAGCGGTATGGCTGTGGCGAAAAGGCGGTGGCAGAAGATGGGACGCAAAGTAGTAGTAGTAGTAGTAAATTTCATTCTGGTTCGCTGTGTGGGATACTGTACACTATAAAGCCGACTTTTCAATCAACGCCCACTTCCCATCCTCGCCATCCCTCCCCTTCCCCTGCCTCACCTTCCCATCCCTCTCCAACTTCTTCAACACCTGCTTCAAACTCCCCTCGGCCGGACCCCAATACTCTTCCGGATAAGCCGCATACACGACCTTGACCATCTCCATACTCCCCCACCACCCATCCCCACCAGGACCCCCCTCTTTCCTCCCCAACACCTCCAACGCCTCCATCTCCCTCTGTCTCCGATGCGCAATATACTCTCCAATTTTCCCCAAACCATCCTCCACCACCTCCCCATGACTCGGATACACCCTCCCTCCTGCCCTTCCTCCTTCTGTACTACCTGTACTACCCAACAACACCTTCTGCATCCTCTCCAAAGACTCCATATACTCCTTCAAATCCTCAAACACTGCCGTCCCATGTCCCAGAACATTATCTCCCGCGAATAAAGCGTCTTCTTCTCGCAAGAAAAAACTCATGTGGTCGCTCGTGTGGCCTGGAGTGAAAATTGCGGTGAGATGGGCTCCTGGGACGGAAAATGTTTGGTTTGGTTTTATTTTGTGGATTTTTGTTTTTTTCTTTTTCTCATCTTTTTCAAATTCTGATTCTTCTTCCTCTCCAGGACAGCTACCTGTACCTTTCCACACCTCCACCCCATCCTCTCCAAGTAAATCCCTCACATCATCCACCCCACCAACATGATCGTGATGCCAATGCGTCAACAACACTTTTGTAATTTTCACCTTTCCCTCTTTCTTTCCTTCTTCATCCTTCAAAACCCTCTCCAATCTCTCTCTCCAAACACTCAACCCCTCAGCAGTATCAATCAAAATCCTCTCGGAGCCCGTTCCGACCAGATGAGTATTGGTGCCTTGCAGAGTGAATTTGGAAGGGTTTCCGCCCAAGATGCGGATCACGCGGGGGGAGAGACGGGTGATGGGGTCGAGGGGGGGAAGGGATTCGATTCCCATTTTTGTTGTTGTTGTTGTTGTTGTTGTTCTGGTTCTTGTTCTTGTTTGGGTGGGGGAAGGAATAGTACATGTACTTGTGGTACATGTACTTTTTGAAATTGGTAATGATGCACTTAAGCGGGAGACGCCGAGTGCGTGGCGGGAAGGGTATAGGTATGAGCGGGATATCATCTATCACCTACTACTACTACATGTACACGTTATATTCGGACATGGATGATGATAGGAGGTAGTGGAAAGAGACCAGGACGTTAAACTTCGCTTGTGGTTCCGATACGTGAAGGACATGATGATGCCAATCTAGCCGAGGCTTTAAGCTGTCAAAGTGGAGCCGGCCAAGGCATATGTCAATTGTGCCAGTTGAAAGTAATCGGTACTATTGAGCAGGAACTTTTGTATATAATGCGGCTCTATACCTTGCACTGATACAATCATGCTATCTACAATCGCAACTGGAGCTGCAACTGATAGCAAGAAGCTCAGCACGCGCTTGGTGCGGCGGCTTCTTTGCTCTCTCGTTCGTGATCCGTCGATGATTTCAGTCCCTTTCGCACTGGCTGAAACAGTACATGTTGCCATTTCGCTCCATCTAATCGCTCCATCTTACGCCGTCACTACTGCGGCTTATAGCTGCCCAGTCGTGCGAGAATATCTGCCATGTTGGGAGGTGCTCCAGCTGGTGGCTGATTCCGTGGTGCCGATGCTGCCGGTGGCGGCTGTTGGTATTGGTGTGGAACGGGATAATGCTGCGGAGGCGGAGCGTATCCTAGTTGTGAATTTGAAGCAGCAACTTGAGGAGACGCTGTGCTCAAGCTCGAAATCAAATCCTGCAGTTGGCTTGAATCCGTCCGAGCCGGTGGATAGCCGGACGGAAAAGCTGGAGGAGGCGCATTGGTGGGAGGAGCGCTATACGGCGTGGGTTGTCCGTAATTTTGCTGATATTCCCCAGGTGCAGCAGCACCATGCTGAGCTTGAAAAAGGCAACTTCCGTCGAGCGGTCGCGGATGTGTCAGATAGCGCCACTGGCTGGGCGGTGGGGCCTTGAAGCTATTGCGCTCTCTCATCACGAGCTCCGCACAGATCGGTGGGTCCAGATTGTCATACTCTTCGAATTGAATCTCTCTTTTCAGGCCTCCTTCTCGTTTGAAAATAGTCAAGCCGATCTTGCCGGTGTCTTGGTGCACTCTCCTTAGTTTGCAGATGGCGAAAACACCCTCAATAATTTGACGCTGGATTTCAGCGTCCTCGTCGAGTCGGTTGATCATTAGAGTATCAACGGTCACTCCTCGGGCAATAAACGCCTTCTCGACCCAGGACAAAAAGTCGAGCTCGAGTCCCTCTAGCGCAATGATTTGCACATCTGGTACGTCTCTTGACCGCCGCCGAGGGCGAGGCAGGTCGTCGTGATTCGGTCCTCGATGTGGGCCATTGTCCCAATTTCTGAGATCTCTCCCGTAAGCAGGCGACCGGGATCTGGTCCGGTATCTGTCATCCTGACCCCTGTTGTAGTCTCGTGGTGAAGGCGAGCGGGCGCCGTAGCTGTTCCTGCCACCGTCTCTTCCATCTCTTCCACGTCCTCTGCGGTCGTTCCGTCCTCGGTCATCGTAGGCAGGAGAGCGTGATCGACGCCTGTGGTTCTGTAGCTTATCGCGGGGCGGTTTCTGCGGCTTGCTGACCTCGAGATCTAGACATGCTCGTTAGTGTGTGTCATCACATGAAAATGCGTCAATTCTCGACCCACGAATTCGCTTGTCTCGTATCTGGCGGCCCTGCTCTGCATTCAAGGCCCTCGTACAGTCCTCGACTCGCAGGAACTGCACGAATCCGTACGCCTGCTTGATGGAGATTTGCGCAATCTCTCCGTAGGGGTGGAAGACATGGAAGATGTCGCGCTTCGTCACCTTCTCGCTAGAAAGGTTCCCTGGAAGACTTGTTAGTTCGGCACACCACACAGGGGCGGGGTGTGCTGCTCACCAACGAACAGTCGGGAGCCGGAAGGAAACTGGTCCCATCGGGCCTCGTTCACGTATCTCCTCTCCTCGTTCACGAAGTAGTCATACTTGCGTTGCGTATCTGCTGTCCATGGCCTGTCTTCTGTTCCTGCAAGTGGCGATTCCTCAGGGACAACGCTGTTAACTCTGACAGGCGAGAACTGTTGATGCGGAAGCACGGGGCTGGAGGCGGAAAAGGAAGGTGTCAATTGAGTTCGTTGACTCGCGTACTGTCCTCCTGGACCGGGTGCCGCTTGCTGGGAAGCTGCGTTGGTAGGCGGAACAAAATTCTGACTCTGCGCATCCCCAACATGACCAACACCATTCGCTTGAGTGGGAGCATGGACTGCTGGCGCAGAGGCATGGGGATGATAATCGCGAATGTGCTGCGACGGAACATATGCTGCATTGATGACCGGCTGGTCTTGGGGAGGTGGGCGTGGTGGAAGCGCCGTGGACGATGCAGCTAGTGAAGGCGCAGTGTCTGGTTGTGACAGGCGATGCATGCTATCCACAGGGTGATCATTGTGTGCGGGCGTTGGATGGGCTGTGGGCGCGATGGAACCCGACAACTGGTCCAGTAATGCCTGGATGTTCATTGCGTCGGGGGCAGACATGGACTGCGGCTGCCCGGGCTTCATCTCATGGGACTGCAAGGCATTGGAAAGCTGCGTAGGCTCAGCTGTGGCGGAGCTGGCATCTGGACGCGCTCCGTGGGTAGATGGGGCATCAGACGTCGTCTCCGCTTGGACATGGGCATTTGCGTTATGTGAAACACCATTATTGGAGATGGTGGTAGTGGTAGATGGAGCGTCACCTCCGTTGGCAGCTGTCTCATTACTACGTGAGGCGTCGTCGCCGTTCTGTGTTTCGCTCTCGTTCTGATTCGAGTCGTCCACATCGCCGCCCGTGGAGAATGGCGAAGGCGCATCGTTTGATTGCTCTGCTGGGTCACGCCACGCTCCAGGTCGCAGCTCCGTGTCGTGCATTGCGGCATTGTCCATATGTGGCTCTGCCTGGTTGAATCCGACGTCCATCATCTTGTCTAAAACAGGAATAGACGTCGGCTGGGGAAAATGCAAGGGCTTAGGTGAAGCTGGCGAGAGCAGAGCTGGCTCACTGCGTAGCCACGCTTCCTCGGGAGGTTCTGGGGAAGGGTGTCCAGAGTCGAAGGTGGGCATCGGATCAAGAGCGCATGCTACGCGCGGCGGGAGAGACGGTCTGAGAGCACGGCATAGTTAGGGAGGAACGAGGAGTGGGTGCGTGTGTGTGGGTGTGTGTGGGTGTGTGTGTGGGCGACGACGAGCATTCACTGCCTGTTGGACGTGGTGACGGACACGAGGTGAGACAATCACACGCAAACGAGCATGCCGGGAGTTTGCTGTGAGCGGCCGCCAGACGAGGTTTTGAAGGGGCCGGATCAGGAAGTAGTGGTGGTAGGTAGTAGCAAGAATTACCTCTTGGAGAAGTGAAGACGCCGCTCTGGCCTGTGCGAGGTGGCGAGTGAGGTGAAGGTGAAGGTGAAGGTGGAGTGGAGGTGGAGGCGAGGCGAGCGAGCGGGCAAGGCGGCGCGGGCAAGACGGTGACAGTGAGGGTGAGGGTGATGGTGAGGGTGATGGTGGTGGTGGTGAGTGCGAGAGTAAGGTATGTGCCTTGTGGGTGGGTGATGGTTGTGGGTGGTGAAATTGGAATGTTGTTGTTGTTGGTCTGTTGGTGGGAGAAAAGTCGTTTCCTGTGCAGTACCTCCGTAGGAAGTAGCGGCAGTGGTAGAAGTGGAAGTCACCGTGACTCTGCCTCCGGCAATTACCGCCGGTCTAGTGAGAAACGGAAGGCCGGCTAAAACTACCTCCTCTTCCCTCTTCCCTCCTCCCTCCTCCGCCTCCCTACTACCCCTCCCCTCTCTGCCCTCTGCCTACTAGACTCTGCTGGCCATGAGGAATGAATGTCACAAGAGCCACACAACGAAAAGGGGAAAACAACTTCATGAATATATATCTCAATTAACAACTCCCCGCCAACGCACAGCTCAACGTCCTCACTACCCCCGTCACCGGATCCTTCCCCCCAAAAGCGTTCCTCACTTGCTGCATCGTAACCGTCTCAAAGGCCTCATTCAACGGCTCAGGACTCGCAGCATACAATCTCCCAATCATATTCCCAACCGATAACAAACTCGTCTCCGCAGCCGGCACTCGCCATCCCTCCGCATACGGCAGTCGCTCTTGTTCAAAGAGTACCTTCACATATTCCAAAGGCGCCACACCCGTGCTTGGGTCGCCCATGGTGCTCAAGAAGAGCGCATTCTCGCCATAGGAGAGGATAAACTCTCGCAGGCCGTATTGAAATTTCGGATTCCGGGTTTGCGAGTCGAGGGTACGGCTGTATTTGGCCTTGGCTTGAATTGGAATGGTCGCATCGGTTTCGTTGGCATAGAAGGAGAGTACGGTGTCGAAGATGGTCTGGTTGAAGGGTTGTTGGTTGCCAAAGAAGGCATCTTGACGGGACAGGCTGGCGTCGTGCTCAATAGGGAAGTCTGTTCAATTGATTAGTGTTAACGGGAAAGAGCGCAGGTATTACCTCCTACTGTCCACAAAGAATCGAGCAAACTTACTATGCTGTACAACATCACTCAAATCCCAAGTCGCACTCGCCGGGTCCTTGGAAACGAGAAACGCAGCTGTCCAGAGCACCGTCGTAAAGTCATCGGCGATATTGAGTGCCCTCTTGAACCCGCTCACCGCAACCGGAAGTGTAATTCCCTTGCCACTATGGGGTAGAAAGCCACTACATGTAGGTAAAGGTATTGTCAGCACAGCAAAAGATCGATCTCCTCGAGAAGAAAAACATCATCGTGATCCACCTACTGATTGGCGAGCGAATTCAACGCCGGACAAGGCGATCTCACATCTCCTGGCCCTGGAGCTTGCCACGTCTCAAAACTGCCTGCTTCGGTGGTTTGTTGTCGAGGTGCCAGTTGTTGTGGCAAAGCTGTTACCAGACTAATACCACTGAGCAGCAGACTCGAAAGAGTTAGAGATGTCGCCAACATGGTTCGAAGGATAGATGTTGATATCGCACAGAGTATCCCAGTCAGTAAGGTAAGTAAACCAAAAAGCCGTCTGGTCTGTATATATATAGGTACCTGTATATATACAAATCGAAATTCCAAACTCCACCTACCTCCTAATACATCTAGATCTATGTCGATCACCAACCGAGGCTCCAGGCTTCTCCATGTTCTTGGAGAAGAGAGGCTTTTCGAAACTCTAAAAGCAACAAGGCCGTCCAGTCACAGATCATCAGAGACCGTTGAGCTATTTGGATTGGATCTGGTCTGGTCTGGATTCTGGACACTATCTCCTGCAAGCGGTGCAGGCTAGTAAGGGAAATACGGCGGGAGGAAGGACGCTACCTCTTAGTGTTTTATGCTTTTCTAAATGTTAAATGTTCCTTTGGTCCATGTTTGAAAAATATAAAATGTGCCGCGGTGGGTAAGGTAGGTGGGTAAGTGGGGGCGAGAATCTGTATCTTGTTGTCTCATGCCCGTTGTTCCTGTAGGTAGGATCATCAGAAGTCTGTGTAGGTGATATGTTGTTGATATTGATGATGTTGATTACTACCTTATGTTTGAGATGGAAGTTCGTTCTGTTTATCAGACCCGACATCATAGTGGAGAAGAAAAGAAAAGGGAAAAGTAACAAATGGTAAGGTGAAGGTAAAGGTATCTATCATGATGCACGTAAAAAACACAAGCCCCGTTCAAAACATGTGGAGAAACCGGGCGCGCTTGTGGAAGCCATTTTGCCTCTAACACACACACACCGCATAGCTGTAGCTAGCTCAGTGTCTTCTGCAGCTAACTGCAGCTGCTGCACACCTAGAGTGAACATACAAAAAGGTCCTGTCGATAGTGTTGTAAACCTAGTGAAAATCAAAACCTTCCACTCAACCTCGAGTACTTCGACTGCTGCTTCGGGGCCTGTACAACTTCCAACATAACCGACTCGCGATTCATAGCAAAATTGCCTTTGGACATCATCGTCCGATACGCCATCAGTTCCGCATTCTCCTTCTCCCACTCCTGATCGTGCAGAGCGGCTTCTGAGCGACCGGCTTTGCGCTGTCGCACGCAGTAGAATGTGAATGCGACCAGGAAGATGAAGACGGCTCCGAGCACACCGGCTGCGATTCCGATTTTGCCTCCGGTGGAGAGACCGTCCCAGTGCTTGGTGACTTTCTCGGTGGTGGAGAGTTTGTGCATTTCTTTGTAGGCGGCGGATTCGCCGTCGACGACTTTGATGCTCTGGTAGGAGCCGCTGTGGTCGCCGTAGCTGTATGTGCTCGAGTTGGTGGTTCCATCGGTGATGCGGATGCTTTGGACCGTCATGACGAATGGTCTGTGATACAAACAAAAAAGTTAGCGGCGGCTTCGTTGCACGTGAATAGACTCCAGTACAATGTCTGTACTCACCCGGCATCCCAGTCTGCTTTTCCTCCTGCCCAGTCAATGGTGCCCTGAGACTCTGAGCACCCTCCGCACCATGCACCGAATTGGATGCGGCTCGGCGTCTGGGGATAATGACCGGGCTCTGCGTACGGCACAGTCCTCACAACATTTCCATCGAGATAGTACAGTATCCTCTCCTGCGTCCAGTCGACGGTGTAGTTGTGGAAGTCGGCCTGCGGACCCGGATTCATAGCAGGATATTCCGAGTTGAACTGCGAGGTATTGCCCCAGCCGTAGAAGTTGTTCGATGAACTCGTGAGGTTGCCACCCTTAATCTCCCAGTCAATCTCATCCAGATTGTCACTCAGAGTGATCGCCGTGCTGATGATACCCGTTCCTGTTGCTGCCTTGAAGATGACTTCGACTTGTCCCCAGAATATGTAGAAGTTGCTCTTGACCGTCACCGAGTCTCCTTTCTGCGACAATGCGAGCGCGGCGCCATCGTCGCCGAAGCTGATCAGCGATGGTCCAGCAGTGACATTCCAGAACCTTGGGTCGAACTCCTGCTGAGTTTTGTTGTAGGTCTCCGCAAAAGTCGTGCCCAGTGCAGGATTATCTGGACATGTGGAGTTGTTCGGATTGCAATCGGTATAGGTCTGAGCGAGTGAGGTTGCGACAAGCAGCGCAATGCTTGCAAAGCGGCGAGACATGGTTTCGGTCCCTTGTCGTGGACTTGGGGAAAAAGGTCAGTAGTGTGAGATGAGTGGCGGTGCGGTGCTGCGATCGCAGATTCGACCGGCGAATCTGTGTTGTCGAATGAGTGACTGCAATGAAGTTGGTAGAGAGTGTGGTATGCGTGGAAACGCCTATGTTCGTGGGTGAGAGAGAGAGAGATGAAAGAAGAGGAATGTCGTCGCAGTGTCGGAGGTTGCAGAGCGTTGTGCAAAAACGCCTCCTGGCGCGAAGCAGGGGTGAGTAGTGTCGAAACAACCACATGCGATTCGTTCACGTCGACATTAGCCTGTGCTAGATCTGCACAGCACACACGCCCCTTGGACGCTAGTGTTACACCTTATCTGCGGTATCGACTACAGTATAGACAATCCTGCCGTCAGTGCCGAGCGCGCCTCTCATTGGTATATATATCACACTATGTTCATGTACCTCTACTCTACACAATCGTGCTCCTCCACGTGTTGTGGCCGATGTGACGCAGCCATCCCCATTCCACTCACAACAGTGCCTACAAGTAACTTGGGGGAAGTGAACGCATACCTAAGGTCGGTGCAATACAAATCGCCGAAGTACCCGTCGTTGTGCCTACACCAGGAGCTTCGGGCTGAGCGCTGGAATCATGATGTGCTTCACATGTTCAGCTGACCACAGGACTCTGTTGTGACGCGAGCGCGATCGTGTGAGAGCCATTCGACCATCAGCAGCAGAAAGTCCAGAGTACGACGATAGAACAGCCCGATAGTGCAGTCATGCAATATTGCATCTGTCACTGCTTGGTTTGCTCGATATTCACATCACATTGGTGCTGCAGGCTAGCTACAAACCGTCATCGTCTTTGCATCGTGGCCGGAGTCAATCTATGAACATGGTCAGTACTCGCCCTTCTCATCAGCAAATCGGACGACATGCATACTGTGCCTCTGACGACCTCTCGTGCTCATGAGGATCGATACTCAATCATCTCAGGGGCCCCAGCAAGTTTCCTTGCTGTCTTGCAAGCGGATTCGGAGCGGAGATAACTGCTCCGAGTCTTGCCCATGAGGTAGACGTTGCTAGACATGGCGAAGCCGCTGGTGCCGGATTTTGAGAGTCCACAATAGCGGCTTTTACTGACAATGGAGCGTCATTGGCTAGCGCGATCGAAAGGATGGACCTGTTCATGAAAGGACTGTCCGGTCTTCAATCCCCTTCTGCATTATCCAGTGCGGCCAGGCAAGCCTTTCGCACGTTATCCACCCCTTTCACACCATGCCACTTTTGCAGCAACTTCTCCACCTTCTCCCATTCAGCTTTTGCTTCGTCATCCCTCCCATCACTCATCATCTCTGAGATCCTCTCGGGACTTTGCAGCACCCACCTCACAGTCTGTTGCTGTTTCCTCTTCTCTTCGCCGGCGTTGGCCGCATGTCCATCGGTACCATGCGCATCCTGCATATCCTTCTTTAACCCCGCCGCAGTCTCCGCGATATGTCCAATCGCCGGAATCAGCGTAGTCGTCCCAGGCATCATGGGGTCCATTTTCTCTCTCAGAAATCTAATAGTATTCGTAGCCGTAATCAATTTCGAATAGTTGTCGTATACCAAGGCCTTTTTCTCGCCATCGAGGTTCCTGATATCAGACACAAGTCCGGCTTCGATTTTCAGCACTCCATATAAGTCTTCCGAGGAGAGGAGGTTGCGGACGTATTGCTCTGGTTCAAAGCCGGGCTTATCGAGTTCGGATTCCTGGTCGGGATCTAGTGTTGGAGTGGTGGGCTCTTGATCGGAAGACTGCTGGGCGGCTTTGAGGTTGTAGTAGTCTCGTAAAGCGGTCCTGTTGCGGCGGAGGGAGCCTCGTTCGGCGGCTTGAGATGCGGATTTGGAAGTGGGTGACGAGATGGTGTCGACGGATGTGCGCCGAGAGGATATGGACGGTCGAGGTGATGCTATTGACATGTCTCTGATTACATGTACTGTTACTGTGGGTAGAGTGAAGTTGTCTGTAGAAGTAGTATTATTGTCGCTGCAACAGCTAGGTCAGCCTAGGAGGTACCTTAGCTCTGTCCTGAGCAGACCATCGCGCCAAGGCCTCTCGACATGATCTGCAAAAGGTACGATTCAATTTCTCTCTTTTCTCTCATCTGCCACAACATCACCAACAACAACAAAATGTGAAACGCCAACAATGTCGGCGGCTACAAACGCTGACGCTGCTGTTATTGCAATACGCACCTACCTCGCCTCCAAGACTATCACGCCGACCACACAATGGCTACAGTCCTACAAGCCTTCCATCAAACTTCAGACTCCGCTCATCGTCCAGCAAAAGTCCGCCGAGTCTCGTCTGCTCAGCACCGACTTCACATCCACCCTTCAGCCCACCGCAGCCTCTTGCTTTCCTGCCGGTATAGCAAGTCCTGAAGTGCAAGCCCTGCGCGTCCCTGGTCCCGTGGCCGTCCAGATCCTAGATATTGACGATGTTGGCCGCAGTAAATGGAGTCAGGTCGAGGCTATAGAGATGGAAGAGCGAGGCGAGATGCGCAAGGGCCACGAAGTCATTCGAGTTGTCGATGACGAGCAAGACAACACTGACATGAACCCTCCCGCAAAGTCTGCCGAAAAGGGTGGTCCACACAAACTATTGCTGCAGGACGCTCGAGGCACCAAGGCCTACGCCTTTGAGATGGAAAAGATTGAGAAAATCAACGTCAGTATGGCTATTGGGTCTAAGCTTGTACTTAGGGACTTCACTGTGTCCAGGGGTGTCATCATGCTCGGACCTGCCAATACAGAAGTGCTGGGAGGAAAAGTCGAGACATGGGATAAGAAGTGGAGGGAGAACAGAAAGAAAGTTCTCAAAGAGCAGGCTGGATGGCAGGAAGGAATGGGTTTCGGCATGCATGCTGGCTGAAGCTCGCTTTGCTCATCCCAATCGGCCTCATAAAACCACTAAACAACTCGCGACTGTCGACGTCTGCTGCTTTTCGAGTTGAAGAAGATACAAGCTTGCACGACTGGCTAGCGTGCCCGATGATGCACACCACAGAGAATCAGGTATGTCGCGATTTCTTCTTTCCCGTTCCCCTTGACATGATTAGCAACTGTTTCATGCACCACTCATAATTGTTCCGTCTTCGCCTGCGGGTTTTGACAAGAACTTATCTTGATGAGAAACGAACTACACCAAATTTGTATGATCTCGACATGGACATCGCACTCGCACCATCAGAACCTTTGCCCGGAACGCCGTGCTGACGAGATCAGAAGAACAGATGACCACCTCCGGACGCCGCAACATAGCAGGGAGAGCCACCATGCCACGAATGTCAGTCACTTGGCGCGCCATCTCGGAAGCGTTTTGGGAGAGAAAATGGTTCTCATCGGTTTTCTGCAAGCTTCTGCTCAGAATTGCAGCTGAGAAGCTAGGTCGAAGCGATCAAAACAGAACCGGAGAACGACCTACAAACTTTTCGAGGAGGTTGCAGAGAGCTCTTTACGCACCATTCGCTGTATATAGCAAGCACTCTTGCAATATTTACCACCCAGAAGAAAACGATTTACCTTTACTTCTATCCTACCTACCTACTCTCTTAATTTGGCTGGATTTCTTTTACTTTCACGTAATACCTAGGTACCTGAGGTAGGGTAGGTACCTCTCGTTACTTTTTGCTTCTGATGAATATGTACCTACCTTAGTCGCCTACCTGGTTAGGTCACCATTGTACCCCTCCCTTCGTTGTACTTTATCTTGCTTGAAGAAGCCTATGTCCGTGGATCTCTTCCGAGCACCACCGTAAACGGTTACGCGAGGAAAAACGAGAGAGAGAGAGAGAAAGAGAAGGCTTGTAGGATAAGCCATCCTCCCGACTCTCTATATTGCTGAGAAGCAGGCAAGAGTCTAGGTAGGTATAGAGGTGTTTGAGGTACTATTATTATTATTCCATTCGAAAAGAAATTACTACTGTGTATACTACTACTACTACTACCACTACTACTATATAACCACATGCAGTCTATATAATCTTTTTCCCCCATCAAAATGCTATGCAATGCTACGCTGCGTTCAGATATGCAGAGATCCTCTGTATTGGATCATTTTCACTAGATTCGTTAGCTTTCACACAAACTATGAGGTGATACTTCGTCAAAGTGTAGAATTGCCTTGTGGCAAAATCTCCGTCCATGTTCAGAGAGCAGACCTCTGCTTGCAGATGGGCGGAGAAAAAATCTAGCTTCTAGATTGCCTAGCTGGAGCGGATTTGCTGAGGACCGTTGTGGTGTTGTTCGCCGTAGCGAGTTCCAGTACTGTGATGACGGTGAGATTGTCCGGCCACATGACCACAGACTGCTTTTGCCATTGTGGATGACTCAGACAGTGTCGCTAGATGTTGGCTATAGCAGTGCCGCGTTAACCTCGTGTCAAGTCCACAAGCAGTTCAAGTCCAAGGCACGAGAAAAGGAGCTGCCAGAAGTACCGCGCTGATGAGCAGCGCGAGCACGTGGTTCTCAGCTCCCATAACTTGGGGTGCCGAGAAGGCTTTCGAAGCAGTGCTTGAGGATGTAGCAGAGACTCCACTACTCGAGGAGCCGGTTCCACTTGGTCCACGGGTCGTGGTTCTGCTTCCAGGAGCATTCGAGCCGTTGCCACTGCCGCTTCCCGTACCTTCTCCATTGTCGCCGTTGGCGTTGCCTGAGTTGCCAGTCGCCGACCCTCCACTCCCCCCGCCATTGTTGGAGGAGTCCCCGTTATCACCGATCGAAGAGCCGCCACTATAGCCATCCGAAGTCCCACCACTGCCACTGGAAGACTGGCCCCCACTGTTGCTTGGTGAAACACCGCTATTGCCTTGGGCAGTATTGCCAGTTGACAAGCCTCCGCCTCCACCATTTGAAGATCCTGCACTACCACCGTTTCCAGACCCTCCAGCGTCATTGTTGGATGATCCGCCGCCATTTCCATTGGAGTTCGCTCCGTTCGTGGATCCTCCGTTGTTGTTTCCAGAGCCTTCGTTTCCGTTTGCTGAGCCACCATTGCTCGTCACAGATCCTCCATTGCCTGTATTACCATTGCCTGTATTGCCATTCCCTGAGGCTCCACCGCCACCATTGCCTGTATTGCCATTCCCTGAGGCTCCACCGCCACCATTTCCTGAGACTTCATTGCCTGAACCACCACTCCCTGGGGCTCCATTACCTGAACCACTATTTCCTGCACCACCGTTTCCTGAGGCACCACCGCCACTATTCTCTGTGGCTCCATTGCCTGCCCCACCGTTTCCTGAGGCACCACCGCCACTATTACCTGTGGCTCCATTGCCTGCACCACCGTTTCCTGAGGCACCACCGCCACTATTCCCTGTGGCTCCATTGCCTGAACCACCGTTCCCTGAGGCACCGTTACCTGCACCACCGTTTCCTGAGGCTCCACTACCACCATTTCCTGAGGCACCATTACCTGCACCGCCATTCCCTGAGCCCCCATTGCCGGTGTTACCATTCCCTGAGGCTCCGTTACCTGCACCGCCGTTGTTGTTCGCTGAGCCTCCATTCGATGAGCCCCCATTTCCTGGGCCTCCATTCCCGGACCCACCGTTTCCAGATCCCCCGTTGCTACTGCCGCCATTATTATTTGATGAGCCGCCACCACCAACAGGCAGTGTGGGGCCAGCGTTGCCGCCGCCATTGCCGTTCTGTCCAGGGGCTTGGTTTGGTTGCGCAGTGAATATAGGCCGAGAAGGGATGTTAGGCACGTTTGCCGGCACTACTGGTGGAGGAGTCTGCGCGGGGGGCGAATTGTTCGGGGTAGCCTTCTTTCCACCAGGCAGCGTGGGGCCAGCAGCAGTTGAAGCTTTGGTCAAAGCAATAGGAGGATCATATACGCCATAGATGACGGGAGCACATTTTTTCCAGGGTCCTTGAAACCCAGTCACTTGTGGCGGCAGAGAAATGAGAGCCCGATACTCTCCTTCGAAGATGGTGCTGCATTGCGGCTGAGGGGCTGAGAGATCACAACCTGGAGCGTTGTCGAGGGGCTGTAAGTAGTATGCTTCTGGTGGAGGATGTAATACGTCTTCTAGACGCAGCGGCTTAGCTGTCACATTGAAGTTTCCAACGACCTTGTTCATGACATCTGCATATCCCGGTAAGCCCAGAGCCATAGTACTGACGATATTGGCAGCTTCTTGACCGCTATAGTCCAACACTATGCTGGACACTTGGTCTGGGGCAAGAGTCACCAGTTGGCCTTCAATACTGGTACCTTCAGAGGTGATGCTCTGACCACCGTCAACAGCTTGCATCCTGCAACCATACTTGTCACAAATACTGCACACTGGTGCACCGTTGCCCAGCCTTAGGCGTTGTGCAGAAAGGTAATCGAACTTGAGATAAATGTTAGGCGAGGTAAACGTCGTTCCAGGAGCGTACTCGTAGACCACAGCTGGTGGGGCAGTCGGTGGGGCAGTGATTGTCGCCGAGACATTCATAGTGCCAGTGGCAACTGGAATGGTCGGAGTAGTCGTCTGTGACGGGAAGTAGAACAGCTGTACACTATTGCCCATGATAGTACAGGCGTCTTTGGAAACCTTGCCATACGACGTGGAGCAACTGGTGAACGGTTGGTAGTAGTATGTCGGACATGGTGGCGAGTTGGCCGGAGCAGGGGTGATGGCCGGAACAGTCGCATTGGCGGGAAGTCCCAAGCTCGAAATGTACGAGACATACAACTTGCTGCACTCGCCCGGCGAGAGCGAGGAACAGGTCGGAGTGGGTTTCGAAATGGTGGTAGTCAACGTTGGGCTTACATAAACGACATCGGTCGACGTAATGTTCAGCACTCGTTGCGCAGTGCTGGTGGCAGTAAAATTGCCGCGCGCGATGGGTATCCCGTAGCCTGGTGCAGTGGAGTATACGTCTCCGGTACCGTAGGTTATATTTGTCGTCAGAGGTCTGGTGTAGGTGGTCGTGACCTGCGTGAAGACGACACTCGTAGATTGCTGCTTGGAATAGCTGCTCCAACTACTGTAACATGCGGCTGCCGCTGCCAGATCACCAGTCGGAGCTGCAGTGTCCTCGGAGCCAGTGCGTTGTGTCGTGACGGATGAGACATTGTTCGTGATGTTCGTCGATATAGGCCCCACTGCGCTGGCATTATAGCCGATGCCGGCACGAATGTAATCTGCACATTTTGGAGTGCCCTCACACGTGGCCAAGTCTGCTTGTAGTGCTACTAGAGAGAACAGTGGCAGTAGTGGTACTGTGACTAGAGATGGAGTCAGTTGTGAATTCCCCAGTGCAACACGGTGTACTGTGGGGAAGGCGGCATACGTGCAGAGGCCTTCTTCGCCCAGGTCATGTTTCTCCCAGACGGAAGAATCCAGATAAATCCGTAGCGACAGTGATGTGGAGATTTCGTTTCCGAGGCGTTAAAGGCTTGGTCCGGCGGTATATACGCTTTGCATCTCCGCTATGGTGAAGTGGGGAGGGAGAGAGGTGTCGGTGGTGGTTTGCAGGGGCGTCTCGAAAGAGATGCGAGGAGGTCGGGCTGCTGGCGAGCGAGGCTGACGCAACAGACTACTACTGCTTTGGGCTGGGGGTTTTTTTTTGCCTCTCAAGCTCTTGAACGGCTTATATGGTACCTCTATTTCTCGCGAGCGGCGTTCCCGTGTAGGAGGTGATTCGGGGTTTTGGTTTCAGCACGTCGGCGGCAAGTCCTCGACGGGGAGGCGGGTCGTTTTTATCAAGGCGGTCGAGGGTGAAGATGGGACGAGAGGTGCGAGAGCCGCGGAGGTCGAGCAGAAGGTTTGTGACAGCGCATTGCGAGGGCAGAAGAGTTCAAGAGTGAGAAATAAGTCGCGTATCAGGTATGCCGGGACGTACGTAGACGAGAACACGGTGACCTGGCATCCATGAACTGGAACTGGACTGGTGCGAGACCAAGTGCGGGAGGGCGGGAGCACGGGATCTTCTGCGGCTATGCCACCACACACCACTACTGGATGGATGGCGTGGAGCACAGCCAGGCCAGGATGGAAGGAGGTAGACTCGGGTAGTGGGACGGCGAGTGGTGCGTACGCGTTTCTCTGGGGTTGGGGAATAGTCACGTGCAGGGCGCAGGCATCTGCAGATCTGGTGAGATTGCCAAGACACGCACCGCACTAAAGAGGTATCTCCACCTCTTAGCGAAATCAGCATCACCAGAGCACCAGGTCGCTCTTTCCGTCCCTTCTTGCTCCTGCCTTCATTACCTACTACATCCTACGACCGAGGGCATATGAGAAAGAGGTACATGTACTGCCTACAGGTACATAAGGCACCTGTAACCTAAGGTTTACAGGTAGGTAAGGTAGGTTACTACAGTGAGGCAGTCCACCTTGTAGTCATGTGAATTCTCGCTTGGATCTCGAACCGGCAACAACAACCCTTGAACCCTCGTCGGCAGATCCTAGTCGAAGCAACGGCTGCAACGCCATAGCCGCCCTGCGGACGCAGTCACCACCTTCACATGACACATAATGATTGCGATCTCCTTCCGCTCGGTAACCAACAATGTATCTACTGCTTCCTCCCACACCAAAACCATGAACGTTGGCAGCAGCAGTGAAGGATATGGTGTTTACTACTTCCAATGTCTCTTCTCAACGGTTCTATATATACCTACCTAGGTACCTACGCTCTTCGCAAACATGCCACGGAGTCAGGTAGTACGAGAAGAGAGTTGCGCAGCCACAATACATCGGATGTCACCTCAGTAGTAGGTAAGGCAGGAGGTAGGCACATGTAGGCAGGCAGGCACGGAAGACGTCGGGAATGCAAGACTGCCATACCTGGGCTTGCTTACATACCTCAGGTATACTTAGGTAGGTAAGGTAAAGAACAACAGCTTGCTGCTGCACTTCCTCGTTCTCACCAACTCTCGTCTTATCATCACAAGACCACCTCTGTCATCTTCAACAAACATCCTGCCCTCGTACTTTTCGCAAACACCAGAAAACTTCCATCGTACGCTAAGCCCAGGTAGACACGAACCACAAAAGAAACCCCATACTACCAAGACCTGATGAGGTGTACTTGAGTATTCACCAAGAAATACAGGACAAGAAACCGCGCTCATCCGATTCATCGTCGTCGTCGTCATCATCGTCATCATCATCATCACCATCGTCATCAACCTACCAGAACAAAAAAAAAGAGTACATGAAGCTTCTTCTTAGTAAATCAACCACCTTGCAGTCAGAGATATGAAACATCATATACACCTGATATATCCTCTTTCGCCACATTCATCAGCCTTGGCATTGGCGCCCATCATCAATCACATGAAAGAAAGACAAAAAAGGCAAGTACATATAGGGCATATCCCCCTACCTCCTACCCCCCTCCGTATTAGCAAAAAATACATATACAATGTACTTTTCTAGGCATGTAAGGTAAGATGGGTAATATGCATACATACATGTATTTCACGAGTTTCAGAATATATATACCTTTCAATCCCCTCCAATACCCTTCCAATACCTTGAATAGGTATGGATCTTGGGATTCTAGAACTAGAATCTAGAATATTCTTTTCCTTCCTTCTTTCTTTCCTTTCTTTCTTCCTTCCTTCTTCTAATTTTGTTACTACGCTCGTAAGGGAAGGTAAGCTACCAGGTACACATAGGTAAGGTAAGGTCGGTTCAGCACCATCTATCTGTATAGAGAAAGAGCGCTAAGGAAAGGTTAGGTAAGGTACCTACTTGCTACCGACTGAAAGGTCGGCGCTAGAGCGGGCTATATAGTACCGGTTGTAAGTATGTACCTGTAAGTTGTAGTTGTTTACGACCTGTACCTATTGTACTATACCTCTATAAGGTATGTATTCTACATTCACCGCCTGTAATGGGACATCAGCTAACCAATCGAACGGCATGGAATGCGAGGAAAAAGAAAGAAAGAGAAAAGAAAAGTGGTCAAAAAGCTGTCGTAGCAGCTTTAGTATATATCCAAGTATACTCATAATACAATCGAACTGGTATCTCTCGCTCAAAACATAAACAACTGACATCTAACTGGCATTTTCTTCTTCTTCTTCCTCTTCTTCCGTCTATCGTCCACCAATTTGTCCCTTGGGAATCGGTCGGATCCAGCACACGGCGACATTGATGGCCATGATGATGACACCGATGATCCAGATTGCTCGGTTGGTATCGGTGGGATTGTACCGAAAAATCACGGCAAAGATGATCCCGCCCAGGTTGCCACAGGCGCCCGTGAACCCCGACACGACACCGTTGGATTGCGGGTGCACGTGGGGTACAATCGAAAAGTTGAGTCCATTGGCACCTTCGAGGAAGAAGGCCATGCCGACGCTCACGAGGCAGACGAGCGTGACGAGAGAGTGCTGGTTCGTTTGGCCGATGGCGACAAGGAAGGCTCCCGCGATGATACAGTAGCTGTGCAGCAGAATCTTCTTCGACCAGACTGACTTGGTGTACTTGTACGCAACATCGGCAACGACGCCGCCCAGGGGTCGGAACACCACGTTCATGAGTCCGAACATAGCAGCCCAGTTCGATGCGGACTGAAGGTTAAATTTCGGAAATTGAGCGCCAAAGTAAGTGCCGAGGATGCTGTTGACAGCGAGTTCTGCGCCGAATGTGCAGAAGTAGGCCGATCCGAGCACAAGTGTCTGTGGCGAGAATGAGGTGCGAACAATTTGCGTCAGCGAAGGCTTCTGGACGACCTCGCCACGTGCAGTGTCCAGCATTTGCTGTTCTCCCATTTGTGCCTCGTGGTCGCCAAACACGCCACGTGTCTCTCCCAGCTTCTTCTCGTCTTTGATGATATCGTCGGGCGAAGCAGAGGAGCCAGAGCGAGAAATGGTATCCTTTGTGGGAGTGCCAGGAATGTCGACGATAACGGAGGGGTGGACGGCGTGTTCACGAAGATTGTTCTCAGCTGCTTGCGTACGGTCTGCCCACTTGCCCGTGGGTGTGTCAGGGCACAAGACGAGAAGTGCCAGTGCCACGACGACGATGATGACACCAGGGACGATGAATGTCACTCTCCAGGCGACGTGGGGGGTCAGACCATCGGATACCAAGCTGTTGTAGATGGCGGGCATGAGGAAGTAAGTGATGCCTCCACCAGCGTTACCAAGACCAGCAGTCAGAGCATTGGCAGTGCCGACAATGTTCTTGTCGTAGAAACCAGTCGTCCATACTTGGCAAGGCACAAAGCTGCCGCCCAAGATGCCGATGAAGAAGCGACAAGCGTACAGCTGGTTGACGTTGTATACTGTGCCCGCGAGGAAGGTGGGAATGGAGCCAATCAGAAGACATCCTGCAAATGTGTTTCTTGGCCCGAATCGGTCACAAGAAGGACCAGCGATCAGGCGGACCAGAAGTGTTGCACACAGAGCGACGATGTTGGAGTTGGCCACTTGGATCTTGGTGATTTTGAGGTCTTTCTGGATGATATCGTGGAGCAGAGGTGGAAAGGCGTACCTGTGTGGGACGTTAGTTCGAGCAGCGTAGCGACATGGTGCGAACAGTCCGTCATCACTCACCAGGACCAGAAGGCCAACAGGAAACCGAACCAGGAGAAGAAGAAGACTCGACCATATTTGTTCACGGGATTCAAAACTGGTACCGATCGTGCTTTCCTGGTGATGGGGTTGACCTCCGGATTGCTCCAGAGAAGAGAAAGACGGAAACCCATGTCGGCAACGGTCGCTCCTTCTTAGGCTAGGTAGCTTACTAAAGGAAGTGTTGATGCCGAGCAGCAGCAGTGTAGTCGGTCCCTGATCAATCGAGGCTGGGTGAGACTGGAGTCAGTAGGCTTGTTGTGGTCAAGCAACATAGCGCGAGCGAGTACATGTTATAGTCGACTTGCAGGGCCGCTGATCTTCCCATCTCCGGTTCACCAAAAGTACACTCTGATCTGGAGGCTTCACGAACAAGCAAATCCGCGGACGATAGTGTAGTCTAGGTGGAGCCAGCGGAGCGCGGAGTATCGGTCCCAGGGCCTCCCTAGCGAGTGTCCCTTATGGGCTTATGCAGATGTGAAGGCTAGGGTGTGGCCCATTTGGTACGTCGACATGCCGCTGATAACAGTGATAAGGCAGACCAACCCCAGGCCAGCACCTTCGAGCTGCAGGGTTATCTCAGCTTCTGTTGATATTTGTGGCACAACGTGCGGCCCTCGTGGCTGGCGAGGCGCTGGTTGGAGGCTTCTAGATGTGTGTAAGGTACATGTATTTGTGAACGAGCTGGGCCATCCTTCTCTTGCTCCGTGTGGAGGCTACATCAGTCAGTAGGAGGTACTGCGTTCAATATGCCCAACTCCAAGCCACTGGAAGCTGGGAAACGGCTCGCATGAGCAGCAGGTTTCCATGTCGGAGATGCTGTGCCAGGGCTGATGACAGGACAAGCTTCCCATGGAGAGTGTGCTAAGAACGAACTTGAAGCTTCGCGTCCTTCGACCTCCTAGCAGGGCGCCAGTACCACTCGCGCGAGGCACACGATGCGGACGGACGCCAAGATCAATTCTATCATCATGTTTGTTGATGAGCCACAGAGAGAGACAGAAACAGAGTGAGAGTGCGAGAGTCACCGCAAGAGAGCTCAGCCGCGCGGTTGAGGATGCTGACTGCTGATAAGCCTAAGCCTATTCTGACGCTGGCGCAGATAAGAGAAAGAGATCTCGTCAGGAGAAGGAGAAGGCTCCACCATCATGAGATGATTACATGTAGTTCCCGACAATTGCTCTGTGCACATCTCCGCGGTTTTCTGTAGGCTGGGACAGTTAGGTACAGTATGTATGTACATGTATGATGTATTCTGCTCGTGGACTTCCACTGACTGCGCCTGGCTGCTTCTGTTGCAAGTATTTCTAATACGCGCTCGTGTGGACGTGTTCTGGAGATGCTGATTCCGCGATGGTGGTGTGCATGAAATTTGGAAAAAAAGGTCGTTACGATCGCGAAGACCTGTTCAGGTGGTGGCGGGTGTTTGAAACGCGTCGTCCGACCACAGTCCACAGGACGCGCGAGTTCTCGTTCATAGGTACCTTACCTAAGGTAATGATGCGCCTATCAGTGGCTCCAGTCGGTATGATTTTGATGACTATTGCCATGAATACTCTGCGACCGTACAACTATGTAATCGTGCCTAATCGGGTCAGCTGTGGCCGCATATACATGTATGTACATACGGTATACGAACGTGGGAGCTACCACCTACTGGCTGCCTCAGCTAGGTGTTTGTTGTCATCAATGCATCTCAGGTAAGGTAAGAACGACAGAGAGCCGCTCATCAACACGTGCTTTGAACCATCTGATAGGCCTGGCCTCGTCGGTCATTGCGGTACATGTACACAGGATGACCTGGCGTCATGATTCAAGGTTCGCATCACCAATCCTCCAATCCTCAACCACCCAACTACGCAACTCACGTGCATCGCCAGCCTAAGGAAGCCTGAGGAAGCCTGAAGAAAGCCCGAGAATAACAACACCCTCTGAACCTACTCCGCCAGATGTTCCCCAAACTTCCTCACTATGCTCTATAACCTTACCAGTTCAGTTCACTTGACAGGATTATCCATTCTACCTCATTTTTTGCTCTCTCCAAGCACCAAAGTTTGATTATTATTATCATCGTCCTCCCGCAAACGACATCTCACACGGAGAGAGAGAGAGAGAGAGAGAGCGCGCGCGCGCAGTCACATCGAGTTCTCTTTCTATTGACACATATTCCCTCTCATACACTACGACTAATCGTTGTTGCTTTTATATAAACCGACTCTCACACCACCACCACCACCTTCCGTCTTTATACACAGTATTCCCATATCTTTCACCTGTTGCCGGACCCCCCATTCGCTCCCTGTCAACTCATGCTGATGCCAGAGAAGCCAATCCTGGTCTCAGGGTGCTGAACTCTCGGTACACAGCTTGTCCCTGAGACCCATCCGGCTGCGTCGCCGTAAATGACCGAAGATCGATCTCGCTTCTCCATACTCCATACATGTACCTACTTTTACAACCTGTCCCGACTTTCCTGCCTCCAACGGCCAAGGACAGGCTTCTTAAGCATAATATCTGGGCTCGTCAAAGACATGATATCGGTGATCCCTCACGCCTTGACCCCTGAACATTTGCGGGAAGCGGAGAGGTTCGGGCACTTGTTCTTCGGGTATGAGCTCATTCGTCCCCTCGGCCTGTCCCACCACGAACTTGCCAATCTGTAGCTCCGTGTCGGTGATGGTGCTTCGAGAAACTCGAGCGTATCCAGTACGCCTCATATTCTTGTACAAGATGTACTCACACCAACGGTCCCAGTCTGAGGGATCAATGTCCTTCATTCCTGATCTGTCCGACACATACGTGTTGTAGTTGCCCTCTTTGGGCTTCGTGACGAGGTACGAAAGCAAGATGCTGGGCCGATTGGTGCTGCCCATGAGGTCGCTGAGGTACTCGGACTGCAGTCGTCGATCTTCGGGGTCTTCTTCCTGGCCGGAGTGAAAGACGAAGACATCGACCAGCTCTCCATACGCATCGATCGTGGCATGAATGGCTGGTGCCAGCTCGCCGACTGGCGAGGGTAGCAAGTGATGTGTTGAGTTTACGATGGGGAACTTCGAGAGAAGTGCGCTGCCCCACGTGTGTTTGTTTGGACCTGGACCGTAATCGACGTACATGCCAAGTTCTTCTGCGAGGTACTGTGTCGTATCACGGTTGCCCATGATGATACGCTGAAGGTCTGACTCAAGCAAACCGATCACATCGAGCTCAGTCTCGCGTATCAGAGATTCCATGCGGCGCTCGGAGCTCCACATGTCATTGTCTATGCTGAAATGAATGGTCCAGATACCAGCTGTAATGAGCTTACTATCCTTGTGATATGGCTGGTAATTGTATGTTGGGAAGCGGAGGTATGCAACGCTGACACTCACTAGTTGCAGAGCGAGAAGAGCGTAGATGTAGTAGCTTCTTTGCCTCTTTGCAGCTGGGTTGGGAGGTGGCTGAAAGGATTTCTGCTTGACAGGAGCGCCGTTGTGAATGGAAGAGAAGACACCGGCGCCGATCATGAGCATCGTGGTGAGCATGACCCAGTCTGTGCGTTCACGTACCAGAGGCCCTCCGGGGACGAAGGCATATGCAACGACCCACACGTGGAAAAGGACCATAAAGTTATAGAAGAAGAAGCCGACAAAGAATGTTCGCCCCGGTGCGAAACGAACAGCATTGGTAATGAGAGATGGTGTGACAGCCATGAGGTATGTCGCTAAAGTGAGGCCACCATAATAACCTGTCCAGTGAGTCCGGAGGGTAAGGATAGCAGCGCCGACTGAGCCGACGCCAAATGCTGCCCAGCTGCGGGCAATGTTTGGGTACCATAGACCGATGAGCAGACCTAGGCCCATGGCCCCAATCGTCCAGGCACCATGTGGCGAGGCCAGCGGACCGCGCACCGGAAAGCCTTCCCAGACCCATAGGATCATGGTGCTAGAGTCCGAGAGCAGAGAGTGCAATCCGAAGAAAGCACCTGCAAGACCAAGACCAGCTAAGAAAGATGGTCCCTTCGGCTTTTCTTGGTTGCGTTCGCTGCCAATATTCTTGCCTTGTTTCTGGTATGCCCGTGCGACCGCAAGCACAAATAAAACAATGCCGGTCTTGTTCAGTCCTCCATTTGCATCGTGCATGATGGGCCATAACGGATTGTTGGTCCAGAACGCGAACTTGGAGATGCTACTGGCAATCAGACCGAGAAGCCATGCAGAGATCTTCGCTTCGAGCATTGCTGGCTGATTTCGCTTGCTCCACCACAGAGCCACCCAGGCGAGAGTCCCCTGCCAGACGCCAAAGCTCACCATGCCAAGACGCTGCGGTGGATTGACTACCAGATATGCAAGCAGTCCAGCGCCTGAAGTCAAGATCACAAGAGGTGAATTCCTGGTGACAAGTCGTCGAAGAGAAGGTATGCCAAGCAGCATAGGCGAGACGGTAGACATGACCGCGACCTCATAGCCAGAGATGCCCATGTGCCATAGTGGAAAGTACCACACCACAACTCCCAATGACGTGAGAACAGTCCAGAAGATGTATCCCAGGTAGACGTCGGCTATGGCATCGAACATCTCATCCCACGTGAAGGCGCTAGCATCGAACACAGTCCCAATTGGCTTATCCTTTCGCTTCTCGAGTGTCCGGTCCGCAACATTCCCGCTGTGAGTATGTATCAGCACTAGACTCAGTGCTTCCGAGCGAGCACAATGACCGTACCAGCTATTTTGGAAGCCAATGGACATACCCCTTGCTGAGTCCCTTGACATCCCGGATCTGAATTTCGAAACTGCTGAAATCGTATGCAGTAACCGCGTCAAAGGCAACATCAAGAAGAACAAGAGACCACTCGAAGAAGGCGTAGATGGTGTATGCTGAGCCCAATTAGCTGATAGCGTTGACAGCTTGAAGATCTCTCACTCACCGCCCGGCACGCGATGCACTTTGTGCTGGATGAAAAAGTAGACCAAAGGAACCAAAGTCGCGAAAAAAGTTCCTCCGAGATACTTTCTCAGCTTGATGGCCTGCGGGTTTGGCGGACTCAGTGCAATGCAACCGATGGTCCACGGCAAAGTGGCAACCAGATAGCTGATCATGAAAATATCATGCCAGTCGTGGTCATCGGTCGACGTAACATATGTCCACCCTCCACACGTCAAAGTCCTGAAGACTCCAACGCCAGCCACGAAGTTGACCAGTCTATTGCCGCCATTGGGCTTTTTGCCTAGACACCACCAGAGGAAGCAGAGAGCAAAACGCGGTCCCGAGCAGATGGCAATGAAGACCATGAAGAAGGAACGCTCGGGGTAGCGATCTCCAATGGTTGCGGAGACGGAGGGAAACCACTCGACAGGGTAGCCGTAGTGCTCATTCTGCACGATTTTGTGGTAATGAAGGTAGACGCCGACGATGAAGGCGCTGAGAAAGGCGGCATAGGCGGCGATGGTGTGGGCATGGCTGATGAACGAGCCTGGAATCTAGCCGGTCGCATCGTCTGTCAGCATGATGATTCTTGGAATCAGGAGACGGGATGGTTTGATGGATGTGATGTACCGAAGCCACGACGTCGCCGTCGCGGTGCTTGGGCGCCATTGTTGTGATCGAATCAGACTCCTCCCGCCAACAACAGCTCAGAAAGAAGGACAAGGAAGGCAAAGGAGAGACGAATATGTGCACATGTAGGGGAAAGCAATGGAAGGCAATGGGATGTGTGGGATGGCCTCCGAACGGAAGGTGTCTTCACGTGTTACGAGAACATCCCTGAACGCGCGCGTTCCGTCTCGGCACCCGGCGTGCCTGCCTAGTTCTAGTGGCTGCCGACCTTAGGAAATAATAAGCGCGGGACCCACTCGTGCTGCCTAAATCTTCAATACCACCTACCGCCTGCTTAAAGTCTTCTACGTTGAACTGTCCATCCGCTCATCGCCACCTCCCACTGCAACTCCCTTCACGCACCAACAACAGTCATGGCTGCAGCGACAGACAGAGCGCGCTTCTTCCTCGAGCAATACGTCCCCGAGCTACGCGAGTACGAAGCGAAAGGAATATTCGACCGCGATCAAATCACAGCAATCACCAAAAAGCGATCTGATTTTGAACATACTCTGAATGCTCGAGGCAGCACACCCGCGGACTATGCCCGATATGCTCAACACGAGATCAACCTATCGGCCCTTTTAAAGAAACGGTGTAAACGCCTCGGAATACAGAAGACAGCAACCACAGCTTTCAACGGACAACGCACCGTCTTCTTCATTTTAGACAGAGGCGTCAAGAAGTTTCCTGGAGATCTGGCGCTATGGATGCAGTATGTCGATTTCTGCAAAAAAGAAAAAGCCAACAAGAAGTTGGCCAAAGTCTTCACTCGAATGTTGAGGCTACATACACGGAACTGGAAGCTCTGGGTACAGGCTGCGAAGCATTACGCAGAGGTACAGGGGGACATGGGCACTGCGAGGTCTTACTTTCAGAGAGGCTTGAGATTCTGCAAGGAGGAGAAGAAGATTTGGATCGAGTACATCAAGTTGGAGCTAGGTTATCTGGCCAAGCTGGCAGCGAGGAGAAAGATTCTGGGGCTGGACGACGGGGATAGGCAGATCACTGGCGCCGATGAGGATGCCGGATTAGGCGGAGATGGCGATGAGGTCAAATTGCCCACTGTGTCGGCAGCAGATATGGATGATGACGCTGGCAAGGGCGTAGAGGAAGTGAACGAGGATCTGTTGAGGAGATTGAAGGATGCGCCTGCCTTCAACGGTGGGATTCCGATTGCCATCTTTGACTCGGCGATGAAGCAGTTCGACACGAAAGCGCCAGAGCTGGCAGAAGAATGCTTCGATCTGGTTGCCACTTATGAGCAAGCCCCGTCTATCAGAGCGGTACGCGAGCACATTCTAGAATGGCTGCGCACGAGTGCATCGACTTCCACGCAGTGTCTCATCTGCGCAGCAAAGAACGAATTACTGGGTCTCGACTCCCGTAACGCTCAGTTCCCAGCGGCTCTCGGCAGAGCTTTGGCGCTGATCAAAGCTGGCAAAGGAACACTGGTGGACAGTGGTCGACCGAATCTCGCGGAGAAGACAGTCCTACTTCTGTTACCATACTTGCAGCATACAGGCCAAATGGATCGCGGAGTGGCGAAGGTGTTGGAATCCACTATCAAACGGAATCTAAAACTCTCTGCAGATGCGCCGGACAATGGAAGACAGCATCCTACTGCAGTCATTGTAGCCAAATTGCAATATGAAGGGGCTCTTCAGGATATGCAAACACTCGAGCGCCTTTGTTCGGAGATTCGAGACGACTATGTGGGCGCACCGAGATTGGAATGAGAACGAAGGGACGAGGCTGCTACCTTTGCTGTGAGATGTTGAAGATACCCAAAGAATGAATTCGATATTACTAAACAGTTTCTGTTTCACTCGCGTCCAGCCAAGCGTACTGGAGACAGCTCAGTCTTTGTCTGGGGACAGCCCTGGCAATCATCGCACTTCTGCTTGCTCTAGAACAAGTACCGATCGCAGCTCATGATCTTGTTACCACGTTGTCGGAGTACAAACTTCTTGTTACCATTACAGGTCAACTTCTTATCACGTCTGTGTGAACCCTTCTATAAGTCTCAACTTTGCATAGTGGCACCGCCTGACCAGACCATCATACAGCTAATGCATTAACACACATTCACCACAACGCAGAAGTCATGTCGACGACAGGCCACGCGGGTGCGTCACCCCCTTCCAGGGGATGTCCAGTCCAAACGCCCATGAATCACATACAAGCACGACCTACACCGCGTAGCTCCAACCTTTCTGAGCCAAGCAATGCGTCTCGAAAGCGGCAAACGCCAGGAAACACCAAGATGCCTGAATTTTGTGACCTGACTGGCGATACACGCACTTGGGAGCTCATCAGCGAGGATCACAGTCGCGAGCTGATAGGACTGCCGCCAAGAGGCAAATCCTATATTGATCTGATTGAGGTTGACAAGGTCGACCCAGATTCTGTGCTTCACGACTCGAGCGTTGAGGTATCCGCTTCTACTACGGAGCGAGCCCACGAGGCGCCTCCGCTCCGTCGATCACCCCATCCACCAGCCCTCCCCAGCACATGCGTCCAGACTCCAGAAACAGACAATCGATCCGGTCTGTTTAAAGATATTGACTGGACACCATCTTTGACCAGGCCCAAAGCACACCCGCCTCAGGATGGTCTGTACTCGCCCCGACGCAGGTCAAACAGTCGGCGCCGTCCAGATTTGGAGCCGCAAGAGAGGTTAGCGAAGCGGCCCAGAAAGTCGGCGTCAGCAGGCTGGCCAGACTCAGATCGCGAGCTGCATGTCTTCGACTCAATGGCACTGCTGCAGTGGAATCGAACAACGCATGTGGGACTTCAGACAACCCCCTCCCTCCACGAGGACAAAGACATGTCGAGTCCGCGAGAGTCTGAAAATATCGCCAATCGACATCCCCCTAACCAATTGCATCGACTCTCGTTCTCATCTAGATACAACTCCCGCGAAGAGCTTCCAACTCCAATCAGTCTCGACCATGGCCCGCCACACCTCCCAAATCTTGGCATCAATGATACGACTGCAAGCCCCTTGAACCGCGAGTCGGGAATATCTGGATATCCTGGCCCCACGTCGCTCGAAAGAAGGCACATAACACGTGCTGCACTTCACTCTTCGAGAGCACATCCTTCGTCCACTCACCATAATCGCCCCAGGAATGGGCGCCGCCAAACTCGCATCATGAAATCTACACCAAGACCAAAACCGCACATGTCAAATTCAAGGACTCCTCCGCCAGGGGCTGATGTCAAACCGTCAGAGCTTGAGAGCGTGGATGACCCTGTCGAATCTATCGAATAATGAATCGACAGGCCGTCAGATCTGTGATGTTGTTTACAATGAAACCCTAGACCCTCTCTCGATGCCAAGCGCATGGGACAAAGTGTTACTGCAGTGTGGTTTAGCACGTCAAGGGGGCACGTCAAGGGGTTTGCAGCGGGTCTGGAGGGGGCGGCAATACAAGACGTCTGGGGAATATCCATTCCAGCTTGCTCAACACCTGTGAGAGAGTTCTTCCTCCAAGCTCATAGCGTTTCTACTTAGTTTCCGTCGAATCATTTTCGAATCGAGAGAAAATCTAGCACTTGTTTTGGAATTCCAATCATCCCATCTTCAAATTCGATCTAGCTTTAGCTCTGCATCAAATAATCCACCTCTTCCAACCACTTCAACTCAATCGCCGAAACCTTCCTAGCCCACGGCTTCGTAGTGAACGTGAAATCATTAAACATGATAGCCTCTCGCTTGGCTCCATAGAGCGTCGAAGACGGATGAATCGCCACCGTCTGGTTATTATTGACAAACGTCTTGTAAGTTTTATCCGGGCAGAGGCGTGCCACATTGGAGCTGAAACCTCGCAGAAAGCACTTGAGAATCGCGTCCTGGCATTCTTCGGAAATTGTCTCCCGGACCGTCGGCGACTGCTGCTGCTGCTGCTGCTTTTTGCCCTCTAGGAGATCTTTGGTTTGGATTTGGAGTTGTTTGCGAACGTCCATGACCTATATAGATGTGTACACATCATACAGGGTGAAGGGTCAGTAAATGGTATTTATTGTTATCAGTGTATAGTGAATTCAGTTCCAAAAGAAAACAAAAAGGGTCGAGCAGCATGTTCTGTTCCCAAAGATTTCTCGTCTCCACCGGTCCTTGCCCGAAAGCGAGCCAAGATGGAGATGGAGAAAAACCATGGGAAATCAGAACATGCCTGCAGTCGTATGGCATGCATCCCGGATAGTAGGGCTCACTTACATTTTGCATGCTGCGATGAGAGATCATACGATCGGTAGACCATCGCTTTCGATCCGTATGCTCCTCGACGTACCCGCGTACAGCATTCAACAGCGTGATGTGATCTCCCTTCCGGGAGAAAAGCTGCGAACGGGCTTCCTGAGCTTTCTCTCGGGCTTCTTCCGTATCAGCCGGGAGCCATATACTCTCCACATCAAGTGCCGCGACGATATCGATGACTTCGAGAAGGCAGTCTCTGTCCGGGCGGGTGGATTCGAAGATCACACGTCCGAGTGGAGGTGGCAAGGGAAGACGAGCGACTTTGAGACCCACTTCTGTGATTTTGCCAGCGTCGTCGATGCAACCTAGCTGGTGGAGTTGGATCAGTGAGCTACCCATGGCCTGCTGAGAGGGTGGAGTGAGGAAAGGGAATCCGAAGACGTCGTCAATTCCTCGAGCTTTCATCTTGAGTGCCGCGCCTGTCAGATCGCAGTGCAATATTTCAGGCCTCGTGTTCTGCTCGAGAGACTTGTAGTCTGCTTCGGTGAATAATCGGAAGCACTGGCCGGGGCCTTCTCTGCCAGCACGGCCTTTGCGTTGGTCTGCAGAGGATCGTGATATGGGCTTGATGAGAAGAGACTCAATTCCCAGACGTGGTCGAAATTGCTTGATCTTGGCTTTACCCGTATCAACCACGAATCGTACTCCAGGGACCGTTACAGAAGTCTCGGCAATGTTGGTGGATAATATGACTTTTCTCGTGTTTGGGGGTGCTCTCTCAAAGATACGCTGCTGGGCTTGCTGGGGCAGTGCAGCATAGAGTGGTAACACCACCAGTTTCGGGAAGTCGGCGGTGAGGTTTGATGCGAATTCTTCGATCAGTCTCTGCAGGCCGGTAATAGCTTCTTGACCTGTAAGGAATACCAGGATGTCGCCAGGCATAGGCTCTTTGCAATGTATCTGGAAGATTCGTTGTAGCGCTGCATCTATAACGTCTTCTGCAGGACTGGATGTATATTGCAGTTTTACCGGGTACTGTCGGCCTTCCACATGGCAGAGAGCTACTCGGTCTGATTGAGCGACTTCGCGATCTTGAATTCCGTCTCGGGCAAAGAACTCTCTCAAACTCTCAACATCAGCGGTAGCACTCATGACGACCACCTTGAGCACCTTGCCCTTGCGTCTTCTCTCCCGCACTAATCCCTTCAAAAACCCGAGAATGAGGTCCACGTCCACAGACCTTTCGTGCACCTCATCCACCACCACGCAGCTATACTGTTTCAACTTGGGATCTCTTAGCATTTCCTGCAGAAGCATACCTTCCGTGAGATACTTGATCCTGGTGCTCTCGCTCGTGTTATCATCAAATCGCACACTGTACCCAACTTTACTGAGCCGACTCGATGAGCCAAGAGGTGAGCCCATCTCCTCTGCGACACGTCGAGCTAAACTGATGGCTGCCACTCTCCGTGGCTGCGTCACGGCGATTTTCCCCGAGCACCACGACGCTTCCTGGAGGAACTGGGGGACTTGAGTCGATTTTCCGCTTCCCGTCTCTCCTGTCAAGATGAGCACATCCTGGGTACCAGAAAGGCATGCGCGGATTTCCTTTGCGCGAGGCCATATGGGAAGCTGTAGTCTGCCTTGGTGGAGCTTCTGCTTTTTGGCTAGATATGGTTGATGCACTTCATCCCAATCGCGCTTCCGCTTTTGAGGATCTGGTCGCGCTTCTATAGAGCCGTCAAGGTTCTTGAAGCGACTCATTTTTCTCATGAAGATGAAGTGAATGTTGTACGAACTTCGGAGCAGAGAGAGAGAGGAGAGAGTGAAAAGGCTTGCTCGGACAGATCCGCCCGCCGCTTCGGCTCGCATCAGATCCGCATCTGCAATTGGTCGCTTCCTCACGGCAGCTACTTCATGTCAGCGGCACGGTGCTGTCTCGCATGAACTGCTCATCATGTGAACACAACTGAGCAGAGAAGACAAGATTCTTCAGAAGTTGTTTATTAACTCATATGAGCGTGCCCCGTATGCTGCAATACCAACTCACGTCCTCACGTCACAACATATTCTACCATCGACGTCTCTCGGCAGTGTCATCCCTTTTGCGCCAACTGCATCAACAATTCGGTACTCATCATTATAGTGAGCTCTCTCTCCATAGAGCTTGGCTAAAGTGATGATACAGCAATTGAAGTATAAAAGTCTTTCCAAAAACACCCCCCCTTCGTTGACAGTCATCTGCGAAATTGACTGCGTGCCTGCCCTGCTTTGCCTGTAACAAAGTTGAACGCCCAACCTCATGTAATCCGACCCAGCACGCGTCGCCCGTGCTTTCCCTTACTCTGTACAAGTGAACGCACATGTCCCAGAAAACGAACGCCTGCACGATCAATTCCTATTGTCTCGCCTCGAGTTGCCAAAACTGGTTTCCGTCACCTTGCGCTCCTTCTTCTCCTTGATTGCGAACTCTGTGAAGAGAGGCAAATGGTCGCTCGGAAAGTAGTGGTTCGGGAACCCAGGTACTCGCTTCATGTATTCTCTGTCCACTTCACCCAGCACACCCGTCACCTGCATTGTTTGTGTGGAGTAGAAGACCCAATCAATCACTTGTCGGAAGTCGGGCGTATAGTTGGTGAACTTCATCTCTCCAATGTGGCTGTAAGCGGACTTGAGACTGAAGGGATGGCTCATACCGTTCCGCGTAAAGTCGCCATAGTTGTACTTGCCCAGCTCCTCGTGAGAGTTGGAGAGTGAACCTTGTGTGATCAAATCATATACTCCTGAATGGGAGGTTGAGTTGAAGTCACCGCATACGATGAGAGGAATATTGGTGGGTCCATCGTATTTGACAGAAGGCCCTGGCTTGTTGGGAACAGTGACTGTACCGTCTGGCTTGTCCTCGCTGGTGAATTCGAACATCTTCTTCTCCGACTCTTTGAGAGCTGGCCACTTGGCGTACTTCTCCGACAGCTTCTGAACTTGCTCCATGAGGATTGCAACCTGCACAATCTTGATATCCTGGAACCAAGGCTCCCAGGTCAGGTGCGTGTTGGCGATGATCAAGCGGGACCCCGTCAAGCGGTTCTCTAAGAAGAGTACAACAGCAACATGATCCTTGGGCATCACTCGGTTGTAGACATCGTGCTCTCCTTTCATGTCCTGCCGTTTTATCGCTTCCGAATTGAACGAAATGAACTGCTTGTCCAGCATGATGTACTTGGAATTCTTCCAGAACACAGCACAGCCATCAACGCTGTTGCGCTCTTTCTCGCCCATGGTCGCCGCCCGGCCTTTGGGATTGAAGATTCCTCGGTAATCATGAGATCCAAGATTTGGCCGGAAGAACTCGTTGAAGTTCTCGAGATCCATTTCTTGTAAGCACATAATGTCGGCATTCCTGCCCTTCATCTCATCCAGGATCATGCCGCGGCGCCGTGGCCAACTAAGCACTTCCGAAGGCGTGTAGCCATACATTGCTTGTGACGCTGCTCGATCACATAGAGTGTTCCAGGACAGAACCGTGAATGTATCTGTAAACTCTGTGCCATCCTCGACAGTCGGCATCCATGCTCGGTCCAATGGTGGTTCGGGTACTATACATTTATTAGCTGTTTATCGAGACCATAAGCTTAGAGCCCAACACTTACCAGGAGCCTGCTCACGGAGGTGACGGATCAGCTCCTGAGTCCCGTGTTCCATGAGTCGGTCCTTGTATTCCTGCCGCAGGGGGTTCCCCTCGATACCGAGCATCTCCAGCTGGAACAGGGTGCCTAGTTCGTAAGGAAGATCCTCCAAGTTGTTGTCATACAACGACAACTTCTTCAAGTTTGTAAGCATGCCAATCTCTGGTGGCAAGAAAGACAAATTGTTGAAGCTGAGGTCTAAGTGGGTGAGAAACCGCATTGTACCAATCTGAGGCGGTATTGAGCTCAGCCTGTTCCATGACAAGTACAGGTTTTTCAGCTTGGTGTACCGCGTGATCACTATGGGTGCCAAAACTTTGAGCCCTTGCCCAGACATGTCTATCGTGTTGAAATTTCCCATCTCATCGGACTCGTCTATGATGCGTCTTCGGTCCCCATCTTCAGCATCGGTTTTGGCGGCATTCTTCGACAGATTACCCGATAGTCTACTAACACTAGGAGCAGTCCGAGCGTAGTAATGTGCCTTCTGATCCGCCATTCTAAGTGTCTGATATTCTCGCAACTGCTCGGCCCAATGTTCGGTCTGAGGCTTGCCAAGCGAGTTGTCCGTTGTGCCGTTCTGAAGGTGCGCAGGTGTGAAATGCGGAGTCGCATTGGAGAGCGTGCTCGTCGATATGTTGTGCTGATGATTCCCAAAGTGGTTGGTGTGCCCGCCCATGCCATTGTCGTGATGCTGATTATTCATGTGGTGTTGGTTTCCGCCGTGCATCGAGCTCTGAAACACCTTACCCAAAGCCGTCTGCTGCGGCTGGAACGTTTGGTGCGCAGCGCCATTGAGCAGGTTGTGATTCTGCCTGTGGCTGGTATGATTGTACATGCTGCTGGAGTAGGGATTGTGCGCGGGAGAATTGGTGCCAGGAGAGCGGTTTGGCGAGGGCGTGTCGGCGTTGGGGTGGTAGAGTCCACGGCCGTTATTGTTGACAGGTGAGCCGTTGCGGTGGCCGCCCAGAGGGTGTCCACGCGAGTGAGAGGTGTGATTCTGGTAGAGATAATGCTGTTGCCCGGGATTGAACCGGTTTAAACCATCGGCCATCACCAGAGGGCGATGGTCGGAGGGAAGCGACTGGAGCTTCTCGCGCGCGGTGCGTTGTGTGTGCCCTGATAAAGCGCGACTGGAGAATGTGTTGGGTGGTGCTTAGGGTGGAGCAGGATCTGGCCGGCGCACTTTTCGTTTCCTGTACATGAGCGCCCGCGCCGCCCTGCATGAACGAAAGAATACCGCCGCCGCCGCCGCCGCTGCTCTGAAAGGAGGGAGAGATACGTCGGGTTGCGCCTGTGCCTGCGTGGGTGGTGGCTGGAGAGTGGGAGGTCGTGTCGAGTGCGGTGAAGCTGCGATATGTCGGTGGCGCTAAGACTCGAGTACCTATGTGCTCGGAGAGTCTCTAAAGTGATACAATGGTGGTGTCTCTGCTCTGACAGTGGATTGATGGCGGTTGATGTGCGGAATGGCCTTTCGTGTCGTGTAGCATGAGGTAGGTAGGTTGAACTGCATGTAGGTCGGCTCCTCCGAGCTTCAGAAGTTCACACGTGACTCCAGATCGAACTAGATCACTAGGTTCCCAAAGTTCAAACTCTGTCACTAGATGGGTTTGAGGCGTAATTATGCCAGAAAACATCTTGGCACCCTATGTGTATATTGTTTCGGCCGGCTTCGCCGCTTCGGGCAGAGGACAGCCCCACCGATAATCGTGTCTGTACTAGAATGTGCATAATAGGTATATGGTGGTCAAGATAGTGCACACAGAAAATCGGTCATCACGACACCATGGATCAACACTTCTAGACCTTTGGCTCACCGCAAACCATTGGCTGCGAGCTACATGTATACTCAAATGACATGATCCCACTGCGACATTGCATACCCTTCTCGGACGAGGCATTCCACACTCACCAAATCTGACGCTCCTACTACCCGCTTTGCCCATATTGGTGCTCCGTGCATCGCAACAGTATGTGCGCGGACAGCCGCGGTGATTCAGTGGCAGCGACCTCAGGTCAACCTAGACGCGCCCCTGTCTTCTACTGTACATGTACCTGTGAAATCCAGACCTGCTCCACCTACGCTCTGCCATTCTCGCATCCCTACTCCTAGCTGCTATGCCTGCACCGGCTCCCTACTCTGTCTATAGGCTATATCCTTATCTTGTTGTGCGAGAAATACTGTCGTGGCCATTGCATGACTACCTCACGAATGGCGCAATCTACTGGTCTTTTCGATGGCACGTCAGCTTCGCCTGATGTTTTTATTATTCTTATTACACAAGCCTCCACCAGTCGCCAACGACAGCGCTTTCGCGCTTCGCGCTTCGGAGTGTAAGACAGTTAGCGGCGGGTCGGCCTCTTGGAGGCTTATGATTTGGTTACGACCCTTGAACCTGCCAGGATATTCGGGATGGTACTATACTGCAATCTGCAAAGACGCTGGAGGCGGTAGCCGCACCCACTCGCTTCTCAAGTTGACCGTTCGTCTCAGCCTTCCAAGTTCCGCGAGCAGCTGTACGAAGCACAATAATCCATCATGCGAATTCACCAGTACCTGGTATTCAGGTCAACGAAACATGAGTAGCAAAGGATACAATATGAACTACCGCCGCCCCCATTCCCCAGTCCTACATGCTGTCGATTCCGTCTATAACTTGCCCAACTTCGCCTCTTGCGAACTGAAGCCCACCAAATCTTTTTCCAAAGCCTGCTCATCTGTGATCTGGCTCGCTGTATTTTGTCCCTCATTCATCAGGCATCTAATCTTAGCGCTGGCTAGGTACTGCATGGTGAGCCTGCATCAAGTTGCAGCAGCGCCCGTCGCTCTAGCGCGCTCTACGTGGGATGCGCCGACAAGACCTGGAGTTACACCGGTAATACGGTAGTCATGAGAGATGGGGCTATCCGTGCCCTTGGAAATTTGGAAACCTCAATCTCATGTGGTCAACATGTCTTCTGTGAACGACCACCTGCCCACGTAGGCACACAAAACCGGAATCACACAGCATCAGGTAGTTCTACAAGTCTTGTGCGAAGGATTGCTTCCGCATCTTGTCTCAGCCCTGTATCGGCGGCCCGGCGAAGGTGCCGACAGGAGCTGCAGATCCACCATCCGTCGCCATTCTTGAACATGGAGATACTGGACATACACCTGGCACGATCGCAAATAAGCGGTGCGAGCACACCCTCAGGCATAAGCGCAGTGACCAGCTATAGCACAGAAGCCCTGCAACGCACTGCTTCGGAACAAATCTCACAAAGCGTACTCGAAAACCCCTTCGAGCTCCGATATGGACGGCGTTATCTGCGCAGCGATATGTCTTATCCTTTTCCTTGCGACCTGGCAGAACTCCAGAGACAGAGTTTGCGAACATTGCTTGGAATTCAAGTGTTTGGAGGACCATTTTGCAATCCCAAGTTCAAGGAAAAGCCCCCCAAAAAAGTTCTTGAGTTTGGATGTGGCACAGCATTCTGGAGTGCCATGTGCCACGACCACTTCGTTGCTCGTGGACATAAACATATCCACTTTGTCGGCACAGATATCGCGCCGCTCGCACCAAACCTGCAACGGCAGGGCATGAATTGGACATTCTTCCAGCTCGACATGCGACGAATACCAATGCCTTTCAAAGACAAAGAATTCGACCTTATCGTCTTCAAGGACCTCAGCTTGGTGATGCCCTTGGAAGCGAGGTCAGAGGAGATTCTAGGCGAAGCGATTCGTATCCTCAAGCCAGGTGGGTGCATCGAAGTTTTGGAGACGGACCATGTCATACGATTTCTCGCCAGCCGCCCACCTTCTCGGTCCAGCAAGCCTGATGAGCAAGAAAACGCGGTTCGCACGGCAACATTCCCCATTCCCATAGGCCACCCTTTCGCTCCAGCGCAGAACAAATACCTCCAAAAAGCGAACAAGTGGATTGAAGAATCCTTGCACAGACGTCGACTGAATCCATCACCTACATCTCGCATAGCAGAGATGCTTACGCAAGGGCCCGATCTCAAGAATGTAGGCTACCGCCGAATCGCTGTACCTCTCGGAGAACTCCAATGGGAAAGGGACGCTCGACATACGAATCCAAATAGTGGTGAGCATGAATCGACCTCGTCTATTGGCTCGTGCAACACCACTCCAATAGCCGGTAGCGGTCAGAACTTGACACCGGATCAATTAGCGCTTAGACAGACTGCGTTGATGACTGTCTTGGGCCAGATCGAGAGTATGGAGCCCATGTTGAAAGAAGCCAGCGGTAAGAACAGCGAAGAGTGGTCGCTGTGGTGGGCAGCCATGATGACAGACTTGCTAGATCCAGCTAATGGCGGTCTGGTCGGAGAGTGCCTGGAGATGGGTGCGTGGTGGGCCACCAAAGCTGGTAACCCTGATGAGCTTGATGAAGGTGCGGTTGATAAAAGCGACGGGTAGGCGGATTTTAGGGTCAAGATCCGCCGTATTGCTTTCCTTGCTTTAGAGCCCTATACCTTTTGAGGTAATATCTGTGTTTGGGCAGGAGAGGATTTAGCCAAGGGCTCTGCACAGTACCACGTGGTATGATTACGACTTACAGTGCCTCTATTTCTACAGCACACATCCTTAGATTAGCATTGGGGCAATCATATAGATGGAGACACACACCTTTCTTCACATACTCAGCTTGCGCTATGCCCTTTCTGATTTGCTCTTCGTCCTGAATTGAGGCCTTGGACATGAACGCTTTGTGAAGTCGCGGGCGGAAGTAGTCGAAGCCGAGAGGGTATTCGCGTCCTAGATACAACAACTCTAGACAGCACGTTAGCCCAGAGTCCATAAGAGAGATAGAAGTGTCTATAGGCAGGGGGGACATCGCATGGAGGCTGACCTTTATAGATCCGAATAACATCGTGTCGAAGAGCATTTGAAGCCATGGCTATAGAGGTATGGATGTTGCGCAGTTGGAAGAGTTCAGTATGTAGGTGTCAGAATACCTAGGGTGGTAGGGACATAGGTCCCCAGGTAAGTAATGTTCTCTACAGCGTTGTAAAGGTGTTTCAGAGGCAAGGACCACCACTCGATGATGATGACGAAGAAGGAGCGGCACAGCGCGGCCTCGGCTGTCTGGTGCGGTAATTCAGATCCTGCACGTGTATATCTCAGCACCACGGCGACACCCATGGCCCGGCAAAGCATTAATCCACAATGGCACAATCGCTGTGTACATGTACCGACTAAGGTACCTGACCTATTGCACTATGGTAGTGGTGGATTGACTGCGGCATCTTTCGCGCTCAGAACACTCTTTCTTGCCATTGCCATTCACAGACTGACAGCATCGGCGCGCAGTGTTGAGTGTAAGGTACCTAGTCGCCATGTGTACGCGACGCCTCACAGCACCGAGTCACATGCGGATGATAGCCAGTGCACCTTTGCAAGCTGGTACCGCAAGCTTGAATCATCATAGGCACCGCTCGACCGCATCGCCAGATTCTGCAACCGCGGAGCTCAGTCCCCGATGGCTGTCAGATGTCAAGAAGAGATTGGGACACTGCCTCATGTGGGGACTCAATTCAGAACAGACAAAAGAGGCCGGGGCCATACTCAAGCAGATCTCACGCGATTGGCGCGAGCTGCTAGCGGGCAGCGAAGGCTTCCTCACCAGTAAGCAGAGGCGCAGCACATTTCGGCAGCAAGTCGTCTGGGGTGAGCAAGATTCGATGGTATGTGCCTACAGGTCGACCCGACAACGGGAGAGTTGTGGATGAAGTAGAGACATTGGCTAAGGTATGTCCAAAGGGCCACGTGAACAACGTGGTATACAATCGATACGCTGAGACAGGGCGCGTGGACTGGTTCGCAAAGCTGGCCACGTATACTGATCCGTCGCATGCCAAAGAGTGGAGGAGCATATTCACGCCACAGGGCGATGGTCTCTTACTTCGAAAGATTACCACCGAGTTCAAATTTGTCAGTAGCTCCTCACGTTTTTGGAATCCGGCTCCTTGTGCTGTAATCATTCCCGCTGACAAGCACGCAGCCTATGAAATATCCGGACCATGTCTCAATATATCATAAACTCGGCACGGAGCCGATTGAAGGAACTGACACGTTCATCATGGATGTCATGATTGTATCGGAGGTGCACCAGCGGCCAGCTGCAAGATGCATCGAAGATTGTGTGCTGTATGACTACAAAGCGGCCAAGAAAGTGACATTGCGACCTTTCATGCTTGACGTACTACAGCATACGTGGAAGCTGCAGGAGGAGACGAAACGAATCAACATTCAGCGGGTATCTGGACTACTTGCCAGGGTGCAGAAACTCGAGAAGAGCTCGTGGGACAGAGAAGGAGCAGTTGAGAACATGGGCGTCGTTGGCAGCTGAAGCGTTTCTGTATCATTCGACACTTCGAGTGCGTACATTATGTTTACAGGCTTGTGCTAAGTCGTAAGTCGCAAATAATACATGTAGACTGATGTAGTTGCGGCTTTCCGACGACGAGATGCAGCGGCTACCAGCGCAGTGCAGGGCACCGAAATATGACAGGCCGCAGGGCATAGCCGTCGCACCCTGGACATCCGCGAGCCGATTGAGAGGGCGAGCACAAGCGCAAATTCTTGGCGAGGCGAAGCATCACGCAGTGTGACGCGGTCTGCAATTCGTAGTTCGTACTGTTCGATCAGGCTGCACAAAAGTTGACCGCCCTGCTATAGCCAGCATAGAAATGGAGGCATGCCATGTTTATCTTAGTGAGGTCTGTGCACTTTCTCTCCACATCCGTCTAGTGGAAATGCCGGGCAATCATTGGCTTTGACTCATGCGAAAGCCTGTCTCGTGATGAGAAAGAATAGAACTGCCTCCTCAAATCTTGAGTCTTGACACACGACAGCAAGAAAGTGCCTCGAAGTGGGGGTCACGAAACTGGTTGTGCGATGATGGAGAGGCAGCCGGTGCACGATTTCCCGTACCTAAGGTATGCACAGCAAATTCTGCCTGGAAGGCGAGCAGTGATGTGGCCCGCTGCTCCAAAGCCTGCACAGTGCAAAATGATCTGCGTCTTGGAGCGAGCTTAATTAGGTTCTGGCAAGTCGAGAATATCACGGGTGGGTTTGGGGAGTAGGTTAGTTAGTGTGAAAAGTGATGTGCTCTGTAGAAATTTCTGCCTGCCCGCTCTCGGCGATGCTTCGGTATGCCAGATCTGCCAGGTGAGGGAGGCGTAGGTGGTATGGTGTGTAGGGTCATATAGGTTGTGAGTATGGAAGGTACTGTAATGGTAAGTTGAGGTGATAGATTGTAGGAACTACCAGGAGGTAGAGGTCGGGAGAAGGACCAAACAACATTGATGCGGTAATGACGATGGTGGTTTGAAAGGTGGAAGTGGTCGGGAACTCCCGCTCCTACCGCTCGCTCGCCATCCATACAGCGCGCACTTGAGACTTCTCCTCGACGAAACGACATACATCTTTATACCACCAAATACACCACCTCTCTGGAACCCCCTCATCCCTCGTCTGGCCACCGTCCAATAGCGACGAGCCAGTAGAGGGCACATTTTGAGTTAGGTGCCTAGCAATTTCATGCCTCCAAAGACAAGCAAGACGAGAAACGCAAGCAACCGAGACACAACCCACGACAAGGGCCTGGCGCCGCCAGGAAAGCGACTTCCCCGACAGCGATCGAACGGGCAGCTGAACGGACAGGCAAATGGCAAGTCCACGTCCACAGCTCCGCCTCCCGCGCTTCCCACGACGGGCCTAAACCAGGGCTTCAAGTTCCCACGACGTACAGACACTCCGTCAGCAGCGCACTGTGTCTCTGCCCGTCCTGCCAAGGAACATGCGGTCGCTGCAGAGAACACGGAAAGAGATAGGACTCCTTCGGACGCATCGCTGGAGGAAGTGGGACCAAGCGGTGAGATGGTGGACAACATGCCCGAGGCAGTGACTCCGCTGCTTGAGGTAGCGCAGTCGGCAGCAGAGAGGACAATGAACACAGCTGCGCCGTACTCTGTCTCGACGATATTGTACTACTATCCTCTCCGCGATGCCATCTCTATCCTCATCCTCCTGCTCTCTCTCCCGCCTACACTGGTCCTGGTCATACAAGCCTTATTCGCCTCGCTCACGTTCGTCCCTCCAACCGCTGGTCTATCATTGTCGACCATGCCGAATGTCAAGGAGATGTTCAACTCTCCCAACTTTGGTTATCCGGCAATGGCGACCATCTTGTTCGTGGACTGCATCTTTGGTATGTTCTGGCTGGCGGTCTGGAAACCTTTGCAAGCCATCTTTCTGGATCTCTCTCAGGCGGTCATTGCAGTCTCTCTGAGCGGCGCAGCAGCAAGTACGGGTGGCCCGACGTACAGTATCGCGGCTTCAGGGTTCTTGGTCTTCGTCGTTCACTTGCTCCGATACAACGCGATACATCTTACTGCGCTTGACTATCTCCGTTCTGTGTACCACAGTAGAATGGGGTCTAGTCATGAAGCGGTTGATTCTTTTGCACAGCATTCTCATTCTTTAGCGCCACTGGATCGCGGGATGGTGTTCAACGCCATCCGCGCGATGCTTGGTATACACATAGTTTCGCAGGGTGTAACAACCTGCATTCGCCGTAATCTTGCCAACGCCAAAGCAAGCGAGAAGGACTCTCTCATACCTCTTATAACGAGAACCGACACCGAAGCAATCGCTGGTGCAGAACCTACGACACGTTCCAATGCCGGGGTAGCGGAAACACCACAGCCGTTGCATGCTGGTTCTGCCAGTGACGGCCGTCCTCCCGGTCAGCCTCCTGCACTCCGCGAAAGCAAAGTGCGCGAGTCCAGCAGCAGGAAGAAGCGGAAGCAGGCTAATCAGATACGGAGCCAGCAACCACTTTGGGCTGCCATTGCAAGTACAAAAGTCACATTCGTTAAAGAAATGGAGCAGCGAGATGCGGCAGATGATGCCCGCGAAGCCTCTATTATGACAAGCAACACAAGCAACACTATTATCAACGCCATCAATTCTACTAACGACCGGATCTGGATTTGCGAAGTCCGGGACACTGAAGTAACGTTCTCCGTGGATCTTACTGCAGATTCTGCTGCAGAGAATGTGGATGCCAAGAAGGAAACTCATACAGGACTCATAGGCATTGACAGGGCGAAACCATTCTACATCTGCATCAACGGTGCTGCTTGGGCTTCGACCAGGATCAACTCGAGCGAGGAACCGGAGGATGCCACTGGTCGCAGTTTTTCCGGGGAGATCTTCGGTCTCTTACCTCTCACCAGCTATCGTTGTGACGTGGTCAGTATTGCCAAGCAACGTACGCTCTGCTCTACAAGCTTGATCACACAGCCCGCGCCAACAGCTGAACAAGCTGCTGCCGTTCCGACACCTTCTCAGCACCAGGCTCTGCGTCCAGCTTCTCCGATCACCACGCTGAAACAGTCTATCCAATCTGCAGAAGCGAAGCTTAACGAGATCAGGAATAGATCGCGGAAGGCAAAGAAGGATCAGCGTGGAGCTCACGCCGATATCAAGAGAGAAATCCACGCGCTCAAGAACAAGCTCAGCTCATCTACAGATGGAGATGAAAAGCAGGAGAAGAGACTACAGCAGATCCGTCAGCACAAGCATCAGGCAGAGGAGGCTACCAAGGACGTTCAAGCAGAGATAGATACTCTGGGAGATATTCCGCGCCAGGATGTCAACGAGTCCGACGCGAAGCGACAACAATGGCAGTCCGCGGTCGACGCAATGAAGGCCGCTCGGCAAGACCTGGAAAATATCAAGGCTGAGCAGGAACGTGACGCGAATGCCATCAAGGCTGACATCAGCGCATCTGAGACCCGGAAGGAAAGACTCGCTGCTCGTATCGCGCAGCGTGCCGCCGACTTGGAAAAGCTCACCAAGCAGCAGCAAGCTGAGATGACTGCCAGACAGAAGCGTGAATTCGATCGCGCATTGCAGACTCAAACACGCGAGAACAGAGTAAACGAGTTGCGCTTCCACATTGCCCACATGGAAGAGCAGATCCTTACTGAGAACAACAAGGCGCTCGAGGCATACAACGAGTCAGCTGCCCTTTCCGGCACGCAGCTTCCGCTAGGACAACAAGGGGACTCTGCTCCTCCGACTCCGTCTGGCACCAACGGTCACTCGCCCTTCGGCCCTCATCTCACTACATCTCCGTTCTCTGGCAATGCCAATGCTTACGGTGCTCCGCGAGGCCGCAGCTCGTCCATGCTCAGTCAGTACTCGGGGTTTACGGACGACGAGGACTTTCACTATGCTCAGACCGGGGAAGATCGTACTCTGCATCCTCAACTGCAGAACTGGTCAATGCAAGGTCAATCGGTTCCAGGTGCCTCTCAGTACCGTAAAGCAAGTGAAGGCGACACTTCGGGCTCTTCTGGGTCGCAGTCTGGTTCCACTAGTGGTAGCACCTGTCAGAGTGGTAGTGCGGGACTGATTGATGGTGCGAGCGTCATGAACGGTGTGTTAGCAAATGGCTCGAATAGCCCTCGTCCTGAAGCGAAGTCTTTCATTCCTCGTGCCAGCCCAGGAGTTATTGGTCCTCCTGTCAAGAAGACGCCGCCGCAGAGTCCAACTGAACGTCATGCCAATCCTGGTCCGAGTGGTAGATAGTGTTGACAAGGCTGAATATAATGTGGTTTGTGTTGTTTTTTACATGATTGTCACGTACTACCTTTTTCACCTCCCACGTCACATGTACATCCACTGGTCCCACCCACTCACTCACTCACTCGATTCAAATTTCGAATCTGTTCATTTTGCAACCTTTTCATGTGGGCGTCTAGGCAACCTGACAACCACTTGTAGATGTAACCGCCGCGGCGATGTTGCTAGTTCGATAGTTGTTCCCAACAGGCTAATCATTGTGCCTGCCATGCCCGAGGTTGAGAAAGAATGAAAGACAGAATGAGAAAAGGAAAGGAGAGGAGAGGAGAGGATAGCAAGGTTCAAAACGAGAGAATCATTTTTACAGGTGGTATCACTTTATAAAAAACAAACACAAAAGGGCCCAAGAGACAGCAACGCTTGTTCGTCTAATCCATGCATGCAGTGATGGTAATAAAAGTCAAGTCCCAAGGCTTTCAAATTTACACCTGTTGGTGAGCCTTTTCGTTGGAAATGTGATCCGCCTCGGACGAATCGGTGCGAGCCACATTGTGGTGGTGTACACCTGCGAGCACGGGGTCGTATTCCGGGGTGCCGGGGACTTCGCCTGCGAGTTGCTCGAGCGTCTTGCGCTTGGTTTCGGGGATCAAGAGAGTGGTGAAGATGCCCAACAGCATGAACAAGGCAAAGATTTGCAGGACGTGGTTCAACCAGGGGCTGGCGTTGGTCTTGGTCGCACCGCGAGTGCGGAGAGGAGCGAGAGCGGCCTGTGCGATGATGGAACCGACTTTGCCAGATGCGGCGGAGATACCGTGGCATGTCGAACGGTAACGAGTGGGGAAGCACTCGCCGGGCACGATAAAGGTGGTTGAGTTGGGGCCGAAGTTGAAGAAGAATTGTGCGAGCACGTAGCAAGCCAATAGACCGCCCGTGCCAATGACGTGGTATCCGAATCCCATGATGCAGAAGAGGATGGTGAGGATGATGAAACCCATGAGCTGAATGGGCTTGCGACCGACCGTGTCCACGAGGGCGACAGTGACCCAGTAGCCCGGAATCGCACCAGCGCAGACCAAAATGATGTTTCCAACAGCAATGTCATAGAGGAAATCGTAGGCATTCTTCTTTCCCGCGTAACCAATGGCCTGAAGGATCGTGGAGTTGTTGAGGCCCACACCGTAGAAGGCGACATCGAGGAGGAACCAGGAACCTGCCGTTCCAAGAAGGACTTTGCCGTACTTCCACTGACCGATGTGAGAAAAGAAGTCGGTCCAAGATGCCTTGGGGGTCTCGAGCTGAGGAGCAGCCTCGCGCATGGCGGTCACGCGGGTCACTTCATCAGGAACACCTTCAGCAGTGCCCGCAAGGTAGGCCTTGACGTCAGAACCACCCTTGACGATATCGCGAGAGACGTCAAAGGTGTATCGAGGAGTCTCAGGGATGGTCAGACGGAAGTAGAGAGCAATGCAGCCTGGCACTGCACCCATTCCAATGATGATACGCCACATCTTGTCGACAGCAACGTTGCAGACTCCATCGCAAGCGGCTTGGGCACTGATGCTAGAGGTAGCCACTGCGCTCTGCAGAGAGCCCTTGAAGCCCACAGTGACGACGAGGGCGACAATACCAGCAGCGAATTGACCGAAACCCTGGTTGGCGAACACAGCACCCATCATCGCGCCTCTCCACTTGGTCGTAGCGAATTCGGATGTGATGATGGCGGACAGTGGGTAGTCACCACCAATTCCGATACCCATGAGTACGCGCCAGAAGATGAGAACACCAATGATGTGGACGGCAGGAGACTGTGCGGAGAGTGCCTGGGCGAGAGTGGCGAAAATGATGATGATCAGTTCCAGTCCATACATCTTCTTTCGTCCCACAATATCTGCGAGGAAACCAAATCCGAGTTGACCAACGACAGTACCTCCAGACGTGGCGACCTTGATCGCTGTGTGACACGTTAGCAGGGATTCTCTGGCTAAACTCATTGCTTTCTCAAGTCGTATTTCTTCTCACTTACCGGTATCAGAGGAGACCGGGAGCTTTCCCTGGGCTGAGACGGGGCCGGTCTGGTAGTAGACCATACCCAGCATAGTGGCCACGATACCAATGGCGAAGATATCGTAGGCATCGGTGAAGAAGCCAATACCGGCAACAACGACAGCGCGGACATGGTACCAACCTGCGCGTGAGGGTCAGTTCTGTATTCTCATGGTCGCGAATCGCCAGCGCCTTATTGCCCTGCCCTCCTTCCTCTTCCCCACTATCATCCTCAACTGCCTTACCGAATGGAGCCTTGTCGACCTCTGCGAGAGCGAGACGTCTTCGCTCGTTGGGATCGCTCACATGGGCGTAATCATTGTGGAAGTTGTGAAACGCCGCATTACCGCCAGCCGTTCGTGCAGCCATGGCGGTGGGCGTGCGTGAGAGCGTAGAGCCGAGGAGTGAGGTGTCTTGTCGTGCTTGTCGTGTCTTGTCTGGTGGAGAGCCAAGGAAAGAGTGTCTTGGTAGGAGGCTTGGATGGAAGGTCGGCGGCGAGCTTCGCGTTTATCAAGGCCAGCCAAGACAGGCCGGAGACAAAAGGTGCAGCGCGCGAGATGTGGCTTGCAGAGACGGTTGAATGACAACGAGCGAGTGTTGAAGGAGTTGCAGGCGGCGAAGGGCTTCTGGACGCCAACGATGGAAGTGCTAATGCGCGGATGGGTGCAGGGAAGAGCTTGCAAGGTTTGAACCCGTCGCGCCACCACTGGCTCCTACGGTGCGACCAAAGAAAGACACGATTTCACAAGCCGGCGAATGAGGGGGCAGTATGCCTGCTCGTGCTGGGGTGGAATAGTATTACTGCTGTGTATTATAGAATTGGCTCTCACATGCCAAATGTGACTGCTCACCCCCTCTGGGGTTTCCTGCCGCTTCACTTCCGCTTCGAGCGCGGCACGATGGACGAGGCAATGTACGAAAGCCAGCATCGATCTCACCCTCTGCATCCGTTCCCGCCAGCGATCATGATGCTCTCTCTCTCTTCCTCCCTGCGTTGCCGCCAATGAAAGCAATAGGAAGAGCCCACGCTGGTGTCGGTACCGCACAGCAGTGGCACCCTATCGTTGATGTGCGCACTACTGCAGATGGGGCCTGACCCGAGATGCTACGAGCCTGCGATCTTGTTGCCGTGATCCTCTGTTCGAGTAGCTCCTGGTGTACACTGCAGTACAGTAGTACTAACGTCCCTTAACCTTGCTACCGCCGAAACCCAACATGTCAGCTTGGGGGAGCAAGGCACCCTGGACATGGAGAGGCCGGAGCACGCGAGCCAGCAGCCAGGGCTGTCTCCTGTTGCAGCGTATCATCGTCGGATAAAGATATGATCAAAAACGGCCATGGCGATTACGCCAAGCAGGAGTCGTGCCGTTTTTCGCGAGTACGCATGCTATTGCTGGTTGTGTTGGTGTTTCTCCATTCACCGTAGTACTTTAATCATGATGATAGACAGCCCACACGCGACAATCACAGTCTGGGATCTGGAAAAGCTTTCACGCAGCAGCAGACAGACAGACAGACAGGACATTGACAATGGATTTGCAATTCACTCTTGTTCTGGCCTCGTACGAGCTGTCCACAACACGACGCTACGCTGTTGCTGGGCATTCCTCCTGGACGGCTCTCTGTCCGCTGTATGCAGACCGGCGGGTACCAACAAGCTACAGGCAGACTTGCCACGAGGCCAGCGCAAGGCACACAGGCCAGTCGCAGAAGCGAGACGGCGCAGCGAGCGAGTTTTGCCAGCTGTGGCTGTTTGTGGAATGGCCGTGGGGGGAAGCACGAGGTGAGAGGTGAAGTGAGGTTGATGGACGAGCCGATTAAACAGCGAATCAGAAAGCTCTTCCCACCACTTCTGCGAGAACGTGCCCAAAGCAGAGGCTCTCCACGAAACTTGCTCCAGATGGCAGGAACCGAGGTGCGTCGCTAGTTCTCGCTAGCGGCAGATGATTCTTGTGTGAATGAACGATTAAGAACCACTAGAACGAGAACTACTCTGGCTCTTGAGAACTCTTCTGCCTTGTTCTCGTTCATTATTCACTCACTCACCCACCCACCCGTTCTTTGCCGTATGCTTGTCGCCTCGTGCGCAGAGCTTCTAGAGCTTCTTTTTCTCGGCAGCGGGAAAACTCTACCCACACACATATATCAATTTATCATATGTGCTGTTTGTTGTTCAGCCACAAACCCGCCCCCCACACACACAACGACGCTATTGCTAATGTAGGCAGTGTGACCGACCCAGCGGAGAGAGGCCTGAGACGGTGCCACGGGACGGAGTAATACAAGGATCCGTTCTCAGGCGATCCGCATGCTACAGCAGTGTCAACAGGTACGGTATGTAGCCATTTCTCCATTGGTCATGAGTCAGTGACATGTACTGCATCTTGCGAATAGATCAACAACTGCAGTGCTAGTATTGGCCTTCGTCTCTAGTCGGCCGGAGTTCGAAAGAGTATTGCTGCTACCACTATCCCGTTCCCTTTATCCCTCTGTGCTATTAGTAACGCTACTCTTATCTATTACAGACAACTTGTGCCAGATCGCTCGCTAATTGTATCATGACATCGTAAGATATGCTTCCTTCCTTCGCTTCCTCCTTCGCAAGTCTTGCCTACATGTATACAAGCTCTCGTACACGCACATCGCAAACCACTCAAGACAGATGCAATTCTTCTTCACATCCAAGCCTCTTCATCTACCGTCTCAGGTCTTCGTATTCGAGGCGGAAATTCACAACTCTTCCCGCTTCGCAACGTGATACTGAGAGCAGTAGTGCTAGGAGGGCGACAGCTACCGCAAGGCTTGCGAGGATCATGGACAGACACCTAGAAAGCACCTCTGATCTTTGCATACAGTTCCGTGTCCAAGAACGCATAGTGGGGGTCAAATATACAGAAAGGAGCACGTAACAATGTGTCGGCTGTAGGTCGCTCGCCTGGGTCACTGTAGCGAACACAACATTAGCGACTAAATTACTCTCAACGCACGAGAAGATACTCACATCGTAAAACAATCGTACATGAACGACAAGGCAGCGGGTCCAACCACGGTCGACACATCGTCTGGGATCGGTGGAGCCTGGTTCAGGCTTCCGAGCTTGTAAATTGCTCCAATGGCTTCTTCTTTGCTCCACGGACGTCGTCCCGCAAACATTTCCAGCACCACACATCCAAGCGACCATATGTCAACTTTGGCGCTGTAGCCTTGACTAGAAATGGTGTCCATGCTTGTATTGCTTCCACCTGTCACATTGAGCGCCTGGGACTGTGCTCGAATGACTTCAGGTGCCATCCAGAACACGCTTCCCTGCATGGAATTGGTGATATCATTGTTGTAAGGGTTCGCGCTTCTTTTGCTGATGCCAAAGTCGGAGATTTTACAGGTTCCATCGAGATCGAGAAGAATGTTGTCCGCCTTCAGATCTCGGTGGAGAATGCCTTCGGAATGTAAATACGCAAGTCCGCAAAGTGTTTGTCGTGTGAGGGAAGAGACGACCGGCTCTTCAAACTTGCCGTGTTTTCGTAGACAAGAACCAACAGAACCACCAGAGATATACTCCAGAAAGATGGAGATCGAGTACTCTTTCCGTTCGCATCCTAGATATTGAACAATATTGACATGGTCGAGATGCTGCATGGTATCGATTTCCTGATCAAGAGCCTTTACCATTTCCCTCACCTTCTGGGGATCGGCATTTTGAGACTTCGGGTTAACCTCGACTTGTTTGACAGCCAGCAGTTCTCCAGTTGTTGTGTTCATACCAAGATAAACTCTGCCAAAAGTACCCTTGCCTATGAGTTGACCACGCATCCACTTGAACGTTGGTTGTCGTTCAGGCTTGGAAACTCCAATATGGTCTTGTGGGATGGTTTCGAGGTTGTTGATGAGCCGACTTCCTCGAGCAGGCTTGACTTGTTCAATCTTGGCGCCGAACATCTTGGTGGACTTGCGGCGCACGATGCTGCTACTCACATCGTTACGTAAGGTACTGACTCTATTCTGTATGGGCTGCTGGAAGGTGAGGTTGGAAACACTGGGATGCCGACTGGAGGCAATAGAGGACACGGAGGGACGATGCGACAAACTGCCATGGGCATAGTTGTTCTTGACCACATCACGAATGCTCTTAGATCGACCAAGCCCGATAGCAGATTTGCGTATGCTGCGGTGAGCGACGGAGCTGATATTGCTCTTGAGGGTTGACTCGTCACTGCCGAGAGTGTCATCTGGGTCATCGATATTGGATACGTTCGACAAGGGCGTGACACTTCGAGAACCGCTCACTTCAGAGGAAGGACGCTCTGGTTGTAGTGCGGCAGGCTTCTCTTCTGGTACCATGTCATCTTCTTCGGCAGCTTCGCCGTCTTCTCCCATGGGTTGATCGAGATCGACGTTCGGGAAGAAGTTGTCTAGTTGCTCAGCGATGTCTTCCACAGGTGGACGATTGGCCCAGTTGTTGCTGTCAAAAGCTATGCTACCACGCCGACTGTCGAACTGCACAGAATCCGAGGGCGAATCCGCAGACCAGGGCCCAGTGGTGGAGGCAGAGTAAGGATAATGGCTGTCGCCGCTGTCTGTACCTTCCCCAATCGGTCCATATTTTTCCAGGGCTGGAACCTTGGGCGACTCAAATTTGACAGTCGCCTTGGATGTCTGGATCTTAAGCGGAGGTCTACTCGGCGATCGTGCGGACGATACCTGAGGCATGCCCAATATCTCCCGAGCCTTCTTATCAGATGGAGCCCTAGTCGACATCTTCGTTGAAAGCCCTGCAGACATTGATACCTTCTCCTTCTGCTTAGCAAGGGGAATAGCGAAAAGACCATCATCGGAATCATCGTCAGAGTCTTCGTAGCCTACGTTCGGAGACGCGTGGAATTCGATTGTGTTCTCCGGCACATCGAAGCTGGGACCGCGCTTACTGACTACTCTGCTCAGCCCCGTCGCTGAGGCTGAGTGCTGCGAGTTCGGACTTAGTGGCGGACTGTGAGTACGCCCAGGTTCATCTCGTAATCTATCAATGGCAGGATTAGACGGCATGCGTAGTCGTGCCAACCCAGGTCTTTGGCTCGCTTTAAGGGTGTCTTCATCGTCCTCAGGTTCGACATAATCAGGCACTCGGAATGTTTGACCGCCTTTCGATACTGTGAAAGGACTGCGCGGAGAGCCTGAGCGGCCGTGGCGAGAGTTCTCACGACCAAATCCAGCCTTAGCTAACGATCCTTGGGACTGGCTGCCCTCGCCCGCAAGAAGATCTGGTGCTGTCAATGATTTTTGAAGGCCAGACGGCATCACAGGCGCATTGCCCGGAGGCGCGCTATGAGGTCCATTGCCCGGATGAGCAATAGCGCCTGCAGCTTTGCCAGCGCCCGCCAGCGCAGCACCAATACCTTCGGAGCCAGACTTCTTGCCATCTTCTTCAAGTATGGAGCCATTAGAGTTACGTTTCCACTCGTCGCGTCGATTCGGCCAGCTGGTGCGAGCGGTTGGACCGCCTTTCTTGGTCAAACTGTTTGCTTTGACCAGCGTCGCAGTCGGTTCGGGCACAGGTGGTGCTTTACGCACCGGCTGCAGGTCTGTTCGGCGCTCGAAATCATTCGAGCCTGAGCCAGAGGATACTGGTCGCGCATGATCGATTGGCGCTCTGGGCGTATCAAAATCAAACACCTGCTTGCCATTGATGTTTAACATATTGGATATTCTTCGAGCTTGGTACTCTTTACGCTTGCGCTCTGTATCCTCGCGATGCTGCTTTGCACGTTCTGCCAGTAGCTCGGCTTGCTTGTCTGCAGGCAGCATCTGGAAGTGACTGTTCAGGAAGTCTTCCTGGCGCTTAATCATGTTTTCACTGTCTTTCTTGGCGATTAAGCCGTTCCTCTTTCCGCTTGGTTCAGGACTCTCGGGCTGCTTGATTGCGGGTATTGGCAACGATGGATCTGATCGCCCATTTCCCTGCAAGCGGTCCAAGGTCTCTTCATCGAGAGGCTTGCCCGAGAACGAAGCTCCGGCGAAAGGCGATTGCGGCACTGCTCCAGGAGCAAGTCCGGAGCTGGCTGGCAGCGGCTCGAGACCAGTGTTTGGCCCACGCACATATAGCTTCAGGCTTCCGCCTGCATCGGCGACTCGAGCCCTGGCTGCAATGAGCATGTCGTCGCTGAGTTCCTCTTCATGTTCTTCCTTTCCCGGTGATGTCAGATGAACTGAGATATCATCGCTATCTGGAATGCCCAAATTGTAGCAGATCACCAGCCGCAATTGTGCAGCGTCATCGACGTCCGTGACATCTATGAGACGGTAGTTCCAGCCATCTGGTGTAACAAACACATACTTCTTGTCGTCTTTTCTGGTAACAGGTCTTCCTCGTGGCTGGGGTGCAAGGTTCTCCACAATATCCGGATTTATTTTACCAGTCCTGTCATTGAGTGACACTTCAGATGCGGACTTGAATTGGCCCGGCCCATACAGATTGGGACTTCGTGGTGCGTGTTCATCTTCTGGCGAAGGGTGCTCCGCGTCCTTGCCTTTCCGATCACGTCGAAACTTGGCCCAAATACCTGTTCGATGCTCGCGACCAGTGGCACTTTGCGGCGTATCTCGGCTGCTACCTCTGCCGCTATCAGACGGAGGTGGCCTGGAGCCTTCGTGGCCAGTTCTGGAGGCGTATTCCTCTGTGAAGCCATTACCAGACCTGGCACTATCAGAGGCTGCACCCATACTAGGTCCCCGGAAATGCCCAGTACCACTGGTGGTCCGCGCGTGGCCATTTGGATGCGGCCGGACATGGGCCAAGCCAGGACTCTGCTGTGGGCTAACTTGAAGACCTCCCCCGGTGGGTGAGTGATGTCGCTTCACATCGCCGATAGCACCCAGTGCATTTCTCGACTCCGCGCTGCGTTTCTGTTCAAAAGAGTCCAGCGTGAATGACCGATAACCTGCCGCACTTCCTTTGGTGATATTGGGCATCCTGGCGCCGGGCGAATCATCACCGCCAGCCGTCGAAGGTGTTGAGCCAAATGCATTAGCCTCGGTGCGTGACAGGTTGGGCGAGCTTTCCACATTACCATCGGTGCCCGCGCTGCCCGAGTTGTTGAAGTTGGACTGGGACTCTCTGCGATTTGCACGCAAAGGCAAGCTCGCTGTGCTCGTCGTCGCTGCAGTTTGGGGGGTTCCTGCTCCACCACTCCTAATGACTTCCCGTATCAATCTCCGCAACCTTTTGCCCTCGTCACGTTCTTTCCCCTGGTCCCACATGATCCCGTTCGAGGTGCACTCTCTTGCAACTTGTGGCAGTATTGTAGTAGTCATGAAGCCAATATTTCTCTGGCCACCACTTTTCCCAATGTCTAGGAACGATCCACCGTGAACGCCCAGATGCTGGAAGGCTGCCTGCCACTCCTTGGAGAAGTTGTGGGCTTCGAGCCAGATTTGAATGCGCTCAGCGGGCCATTGTTGGTCTGCAGGTGAAGCAGGAGGGAGGTCTCCCGACGACGAATGGTCCCGGTTTGTGCTCGTCAGGCCACTGCTGCTCTCGGTGTGCTGACTGAAGCTCGAATGCGAGAAGACAGTCCTCTGGTCGTGGGCGGGTGACACATGCTGCTCCGTCTCTTTTGCAGGCGCAATAAGTGCCTTTGCTTTGCCCGGCGTGGGGGTCGGAGGGGCAAAAGTGCTCTGTGGAGGAGCAGACGCGGTGGGCTGTGGAGGTTGTTGTTGGGTGTGGTGGGGAGTATACCACGACCTCTCGGCAGCGTCCTGCTGGCCAAATGAAGTGCTGTACGTTGGCTGGAACGAATTGTGAGCACTGAAATCCTCCGATCCACCCCGATAAAAGCTCTGGTTGTGCTGGTGCTGGTACGGAATGGGGCCCGGCCTCGACTGCTGATGTACGGGCATGGGTACGGGTGTCCTACTATCGTGTAAGGGAGGAATTCCCACACCTGGTCCGAAGCTCTCACCTCCGGGAATATACGTCGCAGAGGTCAAAGGCTGGTCCGGCGGCGGCATAGGCGGGAGCTGAAAGTACTCGGAGTATGCACTCGGGTCGTATGCTCGCGGCTCCCGGGGCTGAGTCTGCGCCGGCCCATAGCCAGAGCGCTGCTGCGACGAATAGCCATAGCCTGCTGGCGGAGGCGGCGGAGGATGAAATTGGCCGATGGGAGTGCGCAATTGCCCTGGTGGTGGTGGAGGCCAGCCCAGGGCCTGCTGTGAGGAGGCTTGGAAGGGCGGAGGCGGTGGGAGGAAGGCTCGCTGCTGGCCATCTGCAGCATGCCGCGACCCAGGCGGGGGCCATTGGCTCTGCTGCTGCTGCTGTTGCCCATGTCCACCGGGCGTGGACGGCTGCATTATGGAGTCAACATTCGAAGGAGCGCGACTCCGCGACGAGTAGACTAACGTCGCGCTGGGCGAGAAGGGCGCGGGCGCGGGCGCGGGGCGCAGGATTCGGAGAGAAAGATCGTTAGAAGGGGTGGAAGCGGACGCGGCGGCGGCGGCGGGGGCGGTGGTCGAGATGGAAGTGCTACCGCTGTTCGTCGTGGTCGTCGGCGTGGGCAGCGTCGATTCGCGATCGGGACTGCCAGCAGCGTCTGCCAGCAAGACGCCGTTCAAATATTGCTGGAGCGCGCGCGGTGACAGCAGTAGATTGTTCTGAATAGCCGGAGCCGCCTGCGCTAGTGGATGCATCGTCTGACACTAGCATCCTCCAGGCGCGACGACGATCCTCTGCTCTCTTCACTCTCTGAAGCCTACATCGACCTTTTGTGTAGGCGGAGTCACAGAAAGAGATGCGCCAGCAGAGATGCAGCACGACATGCCTCCCTCTCTCGCGCAGCACACGGCTGAGCCTGAGCAGATCACACTCCAGGTCTGCTCACTCCGGCCATCGCGGCCGGCGGTATCTTCCACCTATGAATCTCTGTTCCGAGCCCAGTCTCCCGCTCTCCCGCCGTCCCCCCTCTCCCCTTCTCCCCCGACCATCCAGGATGTCAGCTCCTATAGAATTATAGGGACAGTATATCGGCCACCCAAGCAGATTTCTGATTGACTGCCTACATATTTGCTATGATGTATCCCCCATCGCAGGAGGCTCCCCCATCCGGAGAGCAGGGAATTCGGAACCCCGGCAGTGGCAGGCTGGCAGCCAAAGCCAGTCCAGTGTTGCAGCTCGAAAGGCACAAGAACAACTTCACCCAAGAACAACTTCCCATTGCCCGACGGGCCCACGTATGTACTCAGGTTGCTAGGCTGAGTAATGTTCATGGTTTCGATCCATGGACCTGATGGTTTTTCTATTACGCTTTCACGGTTTGTCTTCGAATTTCCTCCTGCTCAACCTCTCGCGGATCCGGTTCGGCTGTTCCGCTGGCAATGATCGACTACTTGGGAAACATGATTGAGATTACACGCCGCCCAACAAGTCCCAAGGCTTGTAGATGGTTGTTCTTGGGCGCTCGTACCATCTGTCCCTGTCCAGGGGGGGGGGGGGGGGGGGGCAGGCTGCACTTGAGAAGACTTGGCACTCCTAGTCGGTTGCATGTATACACGGAATCCCAGCTTTCGCCGTTTCAGTCAACACCACTACCTTACTACCCATTCCTGTTGCAATCGTACAATGCTATCCAATTTGGCGTAAAGACGAGAATCGGATCTGGTGGCGAAAGCAGTGGCAGTGGTATTGAATTCGTTGCAGAGCAAGAAACCATAATTCTGTCTTTGCGGGTGCGGATGTCCTGCCGAAACATTCCCCCTTTTCCAACACAGTACTGTGCTGGCAAACACACATGTTCACTCCTGCAATCACAACCCAATGTAGGTATGAACGAATGGAGCAAGAGATAGACTTGACCCAATGACAAATTCGTTGAGACATGCACGGGACACTGCCGGTGTACAGTCAGACAAGAAGAGTCTCAATGCCATCTACTCGACATTTTATACATAAGTCAATCAAGTCGATCGCTCATCTATCCTAGTCAAAGCAACACCTTCTGTAATTACCATCACAGAACACGATGACGAGGACGATGACGAGGGCCGCAATGTTGTGATGTAGTAAGATGGAGATGTGTTGACAGAGGACCTTACTTCGCCACAGCCCAAGACTCACCCTTCCTCACAACATCCCCGCGGCTCTCCATATCTTCAAGCAACCACTTCACCTCATCGTCTCCATACGTAAATGTTGGTAGCACCATTTTCATAACACTCGTAATACCCATCATACCTCCAATCTCTTTGGCACCGCTGTTCCGCAACATCTGCTCGATGAAAGTCTGGAAAGTGCTGGCATTTGATTGCAGCATGGCCTGCTCAGACATGATTGCTCCGGCATCCTCTACATCCAGCTGCGAGGGCTCTGCGATGCTTGGGACGTCCATGTCCAAATGCTCGAGAACCGCATATCTGCCCGTCGATTTCTCGTAGAGTACTCTCTTGTTCATCCAATAGCTGATGCCGTTCTGAACATAATCTTCAGACATTTTCAACGCTTCCGCGAGCTGAGCTACCGACAAGCCCTCCTCATCGAATTCAAGAGGTGCTAAGTCGTCTTCACTGTCACGCTCCGTGGCAAACGCATCGATGATTGTAATTTTCCAGACTTCGACGTCCATCGCTTCGACCTCGCGATCTGCAAGATTAAGTACGATCGAAGTGGTGTCCAGCGCCGTTCTCCACTCCAACTTCCGCTGGGCGCTTCTTTGTGAGAATTCCCTCTCATACCTCTCTCTCTGCGCTGCGATCTGTTGTGGCACCTTGAATTCTCCTTCTCGCAGTTTAGGCCAGAAATATTCAGACAGTACTTTGATTTCAAAATCCATTTTGTCCTTGGCATCCTGCGCGTTCGTAGTCTCCCTGGTGCGCTCTGCAGGAAGTCGCGTGCGCTTCGGAAAATAGAGGTCATCGCGTTTGTGAGCGACCAGTTTCAGACTGGCTTGAAATTGCGCGCTGTCCACGCGTGTTTTGAACTGTTCGTACAGCGACATCAGAGTGATACCATGATCTGGGATGGCCCTTTGTAGCTCTTTTGGAGTTGGCGGCACCGATGAAGGAATCTCCACGTCGCTTGGATTGAGCCGCCTATTTAGGTTCGCAGATTCTTGCATGTCCTTCAGCATGACTTCTGCATGCTGAAGCAATCCTGAATCTAGGCGATCCTTCAGGAGTTCAATTGTACTGATCTCCATATAGTAGTGCCGATCCTCGGTTTTGAGTAAATGCTGGCCAAGCGCTATGGAGAATGCCTTGATGAAATCTTCGGGCTCGAACAATCCAATGATATAGGCCACTATATCATCTGCTTTGGTCGACTTGTAGTCGGGTCCAGCGTCAATAGGATCTGGTATCCACTGCATGTTACTCCAGTAGGCATCTGAATCGCCATCATGATCCGGGCGCTCCGGACGATGTTCCTGGTCAGGGTTGTGTATAGCCTCAGAAATAGCAATGCAGATCTTGTCACGATCAACAGAGGACCAAACTTTCTCATCCTGGGCCCTGAAGTCAGCCAAAAAGCTGGCCGCGATAATGGAGACCGTATCTTCTCGGCCTCGGAGATAGTTGCGGATGGGGATGGCCACTTTCTCCAGCAAGACTCCACGAGAATCAAGCAGCTGGAAAACATGGATAACATTGATATAAACAGAGAGGATCTCGATAGTGCTTGCGCCTGCGTGGAACAGGCGTTGGTGAATTTGATTCGAGAAGCTCGTGCAAACATGTGCCTTCTCAGTGGCCCCGTTCGCATGAAGATACTCCTTGATGTCAAGGACGGCACCTTTACTGGCTGGCCAAGTGCTGACATAATCGAACAAAGCGAGGGTTCGCAGACGACCAAAGCTAACGATTGCTGCAGATTCGAATTGCGCGCTCGGAAGTGTCAGGGACCAGTCACCGGACAGATCGCAGACTGCTGCATTCAGCTTCGGAACTAATTCTCCCTTGACCCAATCGAGTAACCGCGGAATCACTTTGCTCTGGCCGCTCCAATCGACTTGGAAGCAACGACGTTCGACGGCCGGGCCTTGAAGAAGGCGATGCACCGCGAGCGCAAGTGCTCTCTCCCCTAAACTTCCACCGAGACCAACTACAGCCAAGTTCTTGAGAAAGTCTTGGTCGAAGTCCACAAGACATTGACATTGATCATCATCGGTGCATTTTTCAGGATCGCTAGACGACATTATGCTGTGATTCATGGCCGCAAACAGGTAGCTGGCCATTGTTTTTTGTATCCGATGTCGTGGCAGTGAGTGTAAGACCAAAACATGGAAGTAGCGTCTAGCCTCGCCCACGAATGCGTCGAAGCTCTCGTACAATGGCACGGCTTGCAACTTGGCAACATCTCCACTTGATGCAGTCTCGCGCATGACCCCAAATTGCTTGTCGGTAAAGTATTGCTTGACTGCAACTACCAGTTCCTCCTCAGTGGTCTTCAGAGCCTCAGTCGCCTTGTCAAGCTCGATTGGATGTTTCCAGAATTGCAGCTTGGGAAGCACAAATTGGTGGAAGTGCTTAGAGATTTCGTGTTTATACCAATCCAGCAACTGCTTTCTACCTGCCGAGTAGGAAAGCAACTCGGCCATGGCATCGCTGACACGTGAGCCTGACAGGTCATAATGGGGGTCTCCCGGGCGTGCTCCACGAAGCGGCACCAAAGTCAAGTACGCGGTTGCGGTACTCCAGATGTTATTGAAAATCCTAGTTTCAGTGGCGGGATCGTCCGCAATACCAAAGCCGCCAAAAGCAACACCAGGAGATTCCAAAGTCCCGATATTTGGCGTGGCTTGTGGTGTTGCTGTGGTGTATTCTTTAGGCGGAAAGACCGAGTCAAAGATGGTGTTATGGTGGCTTCGTGCGCCAGATGGGACCCCGGCCGTAGCCATCTCGCATGGTCCAGTCGTGCGGTCGTTGAAGCTGAAGTGGTTCTTCTTGCGGGGGGTGTTGTTGATGTGGGGTGATGTGGTTGTTGTTGAAGTCTTGAAGAGGCGGAGCGGCAGGCGGACGCGATGTTTGAGTTTCGCTAGAGTCTCGGTTCAGACCCTGGTCGTCGCCAAAGCTCGTGACTGACGCGTGATGACGCTGAACGTGAAAGCTTGCCCAGTTCCATCGATTGTTTCCTGCAAAGCGCTGCGGTCGACGACACACACGCACGCTCTCTCGACTTACTACATACCTGTACCTGACCTTCACCTCACCTACCTCCACTCATACACACACACACACTCTCTCTCTCTCTCTCTCACACACACACACATACCTACCTACATCCATCACCCTCTCCAGCACCCAACATGTCGAAACGCAATGGCGTGGTCAACGAAGTCGAGCAGTCCACCAAGGAGGTAGCATCAGAACCGCCCAAGGACAAACAAGAGCGGCTCCTCAACGACCCCAACCCAGGCCACTTCAGTCTCGTGCGCGCCTACCATCTCGCCGATCTGATCACCCTCATGAACGGCTTCTGCGGAGTCATGTCTGTTCTTTCATCCCTCCGCTACTGCATCGGTCGTCCCGAAGACACGGGAAACGCCTGGGCTGCCTTGGCTCTCATGCCTCTAGGACTATTCTTCGATTTTTTCGACGGCAAAGTCGCGCGATGGAGGAAGAAGAGCAGTTTGATGGGCGCAGAGTTGGACTCTTTGGCGGATTTGGTACGCATATCACGTCTTCGACAATCCTGATGCTTCTCAATAGGACTAATGTGTGTTATGATGACGCAGATCTCCTTCGGCGTTGCCCCAGCAGCCTGCGCATTCTCGCTTGGAATCCGAACGCCGCTCGATCAGCTCCTTCTCACGCTCTTTGTCCTCGGTGGGCTCGCTCGTCTTGCACGGTTCAACGTGACAACCGGCAACGTGCCCAAAGACGCCACGGGAAAAGCAAAGTACTTTGAAGGACTACCCATCCCTACGAGCTTGACATTCAGCACCGGCCTCGTATCCTTCTGGCTCTACAAAGGTTGGGTACAAGAGAATATCCCTTACGGAACGATTGCAACGGGCACGATATTTGAGTTCCATCCCGTCGTGGGAATATGGCTGGCGCATGCTTGCTGTATGTTGAGCAAGACGCTGCATATCCCGAAGCCATAGAGGACACTACATGGGGCATGGAATCGTGGCCAGGAGAGGAAAAATGAGAGTCAGCATAGGAAAGGCGAGCAAGCAAGCGAGGCGCACGAACAGCAGATGTGGTTTTGAGTGGTGCTCTTTCAGTTGAAGATACCCAATATGCAATTCAACTTGTTTTCTGAACCGTTTCCCGAATTGATCAATACGCATTCATATTAAGAGAGCTGGAAGTCACGAGTCATCCTGGGATTCCATCGTTCTGCACATCGAATTTCGTTGCATGACGAGTGCTAATCGTGAGTAAGTAAATGGCATCTGCGTGTCCAACGACTCCGCCATGCCTCTGGTATTGTTACACTTTGGGTATTGACACCCTGACTGAGCTGACTGAGCTCTGTTTCATGTCGTATGCCCACCGAACGCTCAAACGCTAAACGCTACGACAAAATCGACCGCAGTGGAGAGTGGAGGGAGTCCATCCTTCCCAACCTCTCATCTCGATTTCACAGAGCCTCACGATCGGCCTTCTCTCGATTTGCAGCCAAGGCCAATTTCTTGCCGACTTCATAGCTCGAAATCATGATAGCGCAAGCCGGCGCGACCTTCAAAGTTCGTGCACTCCAGCCTTTGAACAGACCAGACCATCCTTCCGTACAATAGATGTGGTACAGAAACCTCGGCATCATCATCGTCTCTGGCCGCAAAGCTCGTTCTGTGGCGGGAATGCCAGAGTCCATCATAGTCTGCTGTCGCGTCTTACCAACATCGAATGGCGTCGTGGCGAAAGCCGCGATGGCTCCCGATCCAGCTCCAGCGATGAAGGAATCGTAAAGCAACTCAGTGTGGCTGAGGGTCTCGTTTTGTGGTTTTCCAGTGATTGAGCCCATATATGCTTGACGACGGCCTTCGTCCAATCTCTTTCTCCCCCATTCGTAGCCCCACCAGTAGAATGCCGAGAAGGGTACATCTCTCCAGAAGGTCAAAGTGATGCCTCTCCAGAGAGTGTGGACTCCCTGCTCCCGAACCATGTCTGATATCCCCCGCATTGTGACTCGCATCACACCCTTTCCACCTGTGTTCTCGTGTTGGGCTGCTTGCATTCGGGTGCGAAGCATTTCGATGGGGCTGACGCAGACGGCAGCTAAGATTCGAGCGAGCGATCCTCCGACGACTGGTGCGAGCTCGTCTCTTACTGTGCCGTTCAGTGGGCTATGCGGATTCCAGCGTAGCCAGTCGTAGCCCGCAAAGTAGATGACATTGGCAGGGATGCCCATCGCCAGTGTTGGACTGAGTCCTCGCCATAGTGTCCAGAAGCCTTCGTTTCTGGCAATCTTTCGCAGTCCATCGAAAGTCGAGTTGATTGTGCGGCGTTGGGTCTCGGCTGCTGCACAGTCAGATATGGCGGATTCTACTACTGGCGCTGATGCTGCTGCTGCTTCGTGCGCTGGAGCTGCAACACAGAACTGCGACTGATTTTGCACCCAGAAGACCTCGCGGCAACAGGCAGTGACACCGAGGTTGGGAGGCAATTGCAGGAAGGAGGGCAGTTTTGCGGTGGGAGACGGACTCTTCTGTGCTTGTAGCCGCACGCGGACCACGTCTAGAGGCGTGACTATCGAAGAAAATGGTTAGCTACGGGTCAGACAAACTCCATTCCACGATTCTGGTAGACACTCACCAACCAAGGAAGTCAGGACGGAGCCGACGACTGCAGACATTAGCTTCTGCGATAGCGACGTTTCTGGGTCTCCTGCCGTACGCATGGCCGATGAGGGCAGCAGTCCTTGCGTGTTGTCGTGGGTGGCAGCAGGGCCACCGTCTATTCTGTCGTGGCGCTGGCCTTGTGTATGCATCTTGGTCGCCATTACTGCGTCTCGCGTATCCGCCGTGATGGGTGATGTTGTATTCGTGTGTGGTGTGGTGTGAGATGGTGTTGTGTTGTCCTTGTACTATCTTTCCCTCTGCTCGAGAATCACGCCTCGACGCGCATGATCTGGGTGATGTCGCCGCCAGCCAGCACCGACGTTTCTCCTCTCAATCAGACTGATCTTCTCTCTTCCTCTCGCTCCAATTCCTTATCGCAAGCTCAGTGGGTCGAACGGTAAAGTAGTGATGTCTTTGTCCTCCCACACGAATCTCTCGCTGTCCGGCGCTCCCGTGATAATGCCGTCAGGGGTAGCGATGTGGTTCTGCAATCGACTGCAATCGACTGATTTGGGTGACGAAGCGATGATTCGATGACTTTTGCTTTCTTATTTCTCTCGAAGCTACGACGCCCGATCCGATGGCGGCGAATCTAAGCTTTGGCTAGCATTCTAGTTCTATCGATGGGGATAAGCGCGCATCCCACGGGTCTAGGGTGACCAGGGTCCGTCATTCATTCCCACGCGCTGAGGCTGAGCTTCACCTCGTCCTTTGTCACCACCTCACCCTCCACTCCCTGGCAAATCTCCCCCTCCAGTCTCCCTACCGTACCGTACCTGATTGTCGTTGTCACATATCACAATGGGCCAAGACGACAGAAGTCCTAGTACGAGCGCCGCACCGGAGACGGAGGCTGAGCTGGAGGCATTCCGACAGAAGTGGCGAGAAGAAGTCTCGGCGAGAAACAAGCAGGCATCGGCGGGACCTTCAGCATCACGCGCTGGCCCTGTCGATGCGAGCAAGTCAAGAGCCAAAGAGTCGGGGTCTTCTGCAGCACCGATAGAGTCTTTTTCAGCCCATCGCAATGAGCGATTTCATGAAGTTTTGGACCCGAAGGCCTATCACGATCTGCCAGACAAAGAAGAGCAGCTCAAGCTGGGAGCTGATGGACAGGAGCTCGACCGAAGTGTAGTCGAAGAACCTAGTTCAGCACTCGAGCACTACGAGCGTGCTGTAGAGAAAGAAAGCCAGGGTAATCTGAGCGAAAGCATGAGACATTACAGGAAAGCCTTTAAAGTGTGCCTTCCCCATCCTCACTCCTGCTTCCAGTTTCTTTCGATGGTATGCTGAGGTAAGTTGTAGCTTGATGATGGTGTTCACGAGGCCTACAAGCGGAAACACTTTCCGCCTTCCATGTTCCAGAAGCCCAAAGCACCGAATCCCAACCCTTCAAATGCTTCGGCAACAGTACCTCGGACCGACCATCACTCCCTGCATGGCAGATCCGGCGAAGGTCTTCCAGCGACACTCAAGCAGCTCGTGGAACAGTTCTCGGCTTTGCGCATCGAGCCGCCAGAACCAAAGTCAAGTCTATCGCCGCCTGAAAGATGCCCAATTGCGGACTTGCCAGAGGAACTTCTCACGCATATTCTTACTGACCTCGGAGTGGATCATGTCTCTGCTCTGGGACAGGTAGCACAAGTCTGCAAACGCTTGGCGTATCTCATTCTGACAGAAGACTCCATCTGGAAGCGCGTGGCAATGGACTCGCCCTATGGCTTTCCTGCAATGCACTATGACTTTGCCGTCGAGATTGATGGGTCGCCTATCGACACTAGCGACGCCATAGATGCCTACATTCGCCAAAGCTACAGCGCAGAACACGAAGAGGAAAAAGAGGTCGCTCTCCCTCCGACCTTGGAGGAACGTGCTAGAGCGTACTCAGCTCTCACCGACCAGCTCCTCGTATCCACCTACTCCAACTCCTGGCGTCAAATGTTCAAATTTCGACCCCGAATTCGGTTCAATGGCTGCTACATCTCCACCGTGAACTACACTCGTGCTGGAGCGAATGTTGGCAATACACTAACATGGGGAGCTCCAGTCCACGTAGTAACCTACTTTCGCTATCTCCGCTTTCTCCGTGACGGCTCCTGCATTTCTCTCCTCACAATTTCGGAACCGGCAGATGTTGTCCATCACTTGATACCAGAAAACATCCACAGCCACCACGGGAACGTGCAATACGTCCCTTCCGCAGTCATGAAAGACGCCCTTCGAGGCCGATGGCGCCTCTCCGGGCCTGCTTCCAGCACCGTCGACCCTGTAACTGGAGAGGATGAAGTCGAAGGTGACGTGTTGGTGGAAACAGAGGGTGCGGTGTCCAAGTATACCTACAAGATGTATCTAGGACTTGCACATGCGGGGAAAGCTGCGAGAAACAACAAATTGGCGTGGAAGGGCTTTTGGAGCTACAATAAATTGACTGACGATTGGGGGAAATTCGAGTTGAGGAATGATAAGGCGTTTTACTGGTCAAGAGTGAAGAGTTATGGGAATGGGTTGTGATGTGATTTCCCTGGCAGGCGCGCGCAGTGCAGTTTAGATGCGGGCAAAGAGGTATAGGTAGAATAGACGAAGGGCTACATCCGTCTTTCCACTAGGTACCTTTCTTCCAACACCATTGTTTGTTTTTGAGGAAAGTCTGTTCCTTTTCCTTTTCCTTTTCCTTTTTTTTCTTTTTTCTTTTCCTATTGGATCTGGCAGTCATCAACAACAAAAAGTTACAATATCATGATGTAGTAGCGACACGGCGACTTTTTTGCAATAGAAAGTACAGAGACTCGTACCCATATACCGCACATAGGTACATACGCGCGAAAGCGAAAGAAACTAAAAGTAGGTAAGATGGGACATGTAGATACCTAAGTAGGCGACGTCAATTGAAGCTTTGCGAATGAAGCTCATCACCAAGGTATATGTACCTACCTTACCGGACATTAATCACTACAGGTATCACCAGGTGCATGTGAGTATCCCACCTACATGTACCTAAGGTACCTTCTGTGCAAGGCCAAATTTTGCTTGACATCATACAGATCGTGCTAGGTAACAGACTCGTTGATTGATGTCGTCTTCGATATCTGCAGAGATGGATGTGAATGTGCTATGAATCGCTGGAATGGGATGTTACATCATGCAACACCATGCTTGCATGATATCTACTTCTACCCCTCTTTCTCTCTCCCTTCCTCTTCGCGGCAACGCTCGATGCAGGAAATAAGGAGTCGGTGCTCGTATTAGCCAAGCAGCAGAGGTCCGCGGTGTGATGCCAGCGTGGACGTAACGAGCTCCGCCATCTTACAGCACTTTTTCGTGCAAAGGACCACCGCCAATCATGTAAATACGCCAGGGAGCTGAAGCTGAGCTCGGGTAATGGGTCTGTCCATTCATTCATGACCGCACACTAACCGAAGAAGGCCCTGACAGTCCGCTGTGTCTCTGGCGGCAGAGCACCAAGTAATTGATTGGCATCGAGGCCAGCTGTTGCGATCAGTTTCCGCCCGGCACCCACTATGCGTTGGGCCATTTGACCTTGGAGCGTCTCGGCTTCCAGGGCTTGAGCGATGAAAGTGAAACATTGTGCTGCTTTATGCATGACTGCTGGGTTTTGGCTATCAATTAAGAGTCAGTAGAGGAGCAGACCTATAGGCGATGTGTAGCACTTACTCGTCGATCAGTTGCGCGAGGAAGCTGTACGCATAAGGAGCAGCTTCTTCATCGTTAATCACTGGCAGCGTATCGACCCAGTGCGCGACGACTTCAGCTGCATTCTGTACCTTCTTGCTGTTGAAATGAAGAACCTTGGCGATAGACGCGCAAGCATTCTCAGTCGCAAAAGCATCGTCATCACTCCTGGCGTTGGGTCGTTGAGTTACTTGAAAGAGAACAGGCAGGCTACCAGCTGCAAATTCAGACCACTGCTCGCCACCCTTGTGCGCAGCAACGCCAACGCCATAGCAGGCGGCTTGTCGATTTGCAGCAGCGTCATCACGCATACCATCCACGAGTGGTGGTGCAATGTGTGAGTAGTAATGCCACGATGCCGGTCCGCAAAACTCGAGCACATCGTCGAGAATACAAAGAGCCCACTGTCGCTGTGTTGGATCCGGGTTGGTGACAAACAGGTCGTAGTAGGCCAACAGCCGTTCCCAGTGGGGTAAGAAAGACTGTCCTTGATGCTTGAAGATTGTGTGGAAAGCCTTGTTCATGTCTGAAAGGAGGGTCTGGTCATCCTCGACAGCAAACTCGAACTCCTCCCCAGGCTCCTCGCCATCCTCGCGGTCCTTAGCCTCTTCCTCGCGTTCCCGGACACGAGATTGGTAATCCTTAAGCACTGTCTCGGCAGATGTGATGAACAGTCCCATTTGGTCGTTGGAAAGACAGTCCTTTCCTGAAACCTCAACCGCCTCATAAAAGCATTGGTACATCTCAGCGAGTGTCTCAATCGCCGGCTCAGTCTCGAGAACTTCCAGGACTTTCCCGATCGTACCCTTCCAGAGAGTGGCATACTCATTCGAGTTAATGCCGTATGCCACCTTGAATGAGTTAAGCAGTTGAGGAACAGCCTTGGCAGAAGCAACCCGCACTGGGTCGTGAAAGAAGAATGCTAGACCTGGGATAGCGACCTTCTCCATGATCTCAAGGACGTAAGGCGCAAAGCCAGCCTCAAGGTTCTGGGAGTAGACGGTAATAAGCTCAATGGCCATGAATTTGTCATCCAGTGTGCTTGTCTTGATGCCGATATACTTGCCCTTGAGAGGCACAAGTTCCCATCCTTCTTCCTGTTCAATTTGCTGCACATTCTCCTCGTCGTCCAAAAGCTGGATATCAGCTTTGGCTTGCGCCAACTTCATAAGCGGTGGCATGACTGTTTTCAGGTAGGGCACAAAGTCTTGGCCGAGCACCCTGCACATGCGACCCCAGCAGTGGAGGAGATAGCTCTCTTGCGGATCATCGTCATCAACAATGCCCTGTTGTACGGAGCCGAGAACATTGACCAGATTGATAGCATCCTGGCCCATGCGTTCTTTACCCACGGCAAGCGCAATGAGTGTAGCGCACTCCATGGCTTTCGCACGAAGCAGTCTCTTCTCGCGGTCGTTGGGCTCTTGAAGCGCACTGAAAAGCGCCGGCATAAGCTCTGGATACCATTTGCCGAAAGTGCTCTCCGCTGAGTCCGCGACAGTTGCAATAGTCGACAAGGCCTGCTCCTGCACAAACCGCTTAGGGCTCCTGAGCAGTTGCATAAGATTCGTAAGCAGTCTGTCCAAGTATGGCTCGAGAACTTCCTTTTCGGCCTCTTCACAAAAATTTACCAGCGCGGCAGCAGCGTGGGACTGCACCCTTGGCTCGGGCGCATTCAAGGTCTCAATGAGCGCAGGCAGAACAACGCTGTGATACTTGGTTTGCATCGTGCCCTTGAAATCGGTGCTCATCTGCCCAAGGGCATTGCAAGCAGCCCAACGGACACGCGGATGGTCATCTCGAAGGGTTGGCAATAGCAGTTGCAAGACCTGGTCCAGCTCGTTCTCCATTATTTCTGCACAACCCTCGCTGATAGCGGAGATGCACATCAAAGCGGCGTGCTTGTCCCTCCAGTTGCTCGACTGCAACATCCGTGGCAGCCAAGTGAAAGTTGGCGGAAGTAGATCCTTACCGCCGATCTTGTTAGCTAAACGATCCATGGTCTGCTCGCCTGCAACGTGGTTGGAGTCACTCTCATCGAAGTCCACGTCCTCTTGCGCATTCCACTCCTCGGCATCCTCATCGTCTTGACCGACATCTGTCATCATGGAGAGACATTGCGTGACCATGTCGTTGATGTAGTTCTTGTCCGACTTGCACATTTTCGGATTGTAATCGGCGAATGTTGCCATGAGCTCGAGCGCATTCTGCCTCGCTTGATCTTCCAGCTCTTTATCGGCGATCATCTCGATGGTGACATGTACAAGGGGACCAAAAACACCTTTGAATGCCTTTGAACACACCTCAGCCAGCTCAATGACGGCCATGAGTGCTTCCGTCAGACCATCCGAGTCGCGCGACTCTTTCAGGGGCACCAGTGTACCCAGGATATCGGGGATCAAGGTGTAATACTTCGGTTGTGCCTTTTTGCTCAAGGACTGGAAGAAGGCAGAGAAGGCCTTCATTGTTGCAATCCTCACTTTCATGTCCTCATCTTTGATACCCTTCTGGAACACTTGGATGATCACATCCTCGTGCTGCTTCTCGATGATGCCCGGCGTGGCCTCGAAGATCCTGAACGCGCTCTCTCGTACATCTGCATCAGTGCTCTGGCTCGCCTGGTATAGCGCACCGAGCAGATCCGGCCATGTGTCTCTTCCACCATCGATACCTGGGACTTGCTCGTCGGTATATTGTCTCGCGATTTCTGCGACTGCGTCGGCAATCTTGTGTCGTACGGTTTTGTTTGGCTCGGCGGCATAGCTCTGCAGCAGTTTCGTTCGGACGTCCACTTTCGAGTTCGCGCCCAGCTGCAGGAAGATTTCCTTGTTATCGCCCGAAAGGGCGTCTTTCGTGGTTCGAGTCGCGATCCTTCGAAAGATGACAGCGGAAAAACTTCTCGTCTGAGGGGATGTGTATCAGTCAGTCTGAACACACTTGAGTGTCATCGGCGACACGTCGTGTACGGTGTGTAGCAGAGGGAGTGCAAGATCGGGAGGCAGGCAACTCACACCGTCGTCGTTCGCGCCTTGCATCTGCTCAGCCAAGCCAGTCAGCAGCAGGTCGGGACGCTGCGAGACCCATTCGGCGTTGAGCTGCTCTTCAGCAGCAGTTCTGGCTGTGTTGTCGGTGCTTTGCAAGCCCTGCAGCAGCTGGGCCAGCGCCGTGTGCACTTCTGCAGGCAACACCGACATGTTGACGTCTCTTTCCGCTTGTCGAGGTTACTGTTTCGGCGTGTCCATATAAAACCTGGGCGGCGTCGTGTTTTTTGAGAGTGGTGCGGGCAGACGGGCGAAGGTTGCTCAATTCGCGTGCCAGGCGGTGCAAGAATGTGGGCAAGGTGGTGGTGGGTAAGGTAGGAGGTAGGTAAGGAAGCGAAGGGCAGAAGAATGTTTGTGATGATTTACAAAAAAAAGGCAGCAATTCGAGGCCAATAACCTTCTCACGATCCCGTCGGATTCGGAGGGACCCTCTTTCTTTGGGAGGGCTCGTGGCGGCTGTGGAGAGAAGAAGCGAGAGGGACGCACGAGCCACGAGCCTCGAAAGTGGCGGGCGGGGGCATCCACCTCACTACCTCCTACTCGTCTACTACTGTACAGTATCTGCTCGAACCCTCTCCAACATTCTTCTTCTTCTTCTTCTTCTTCTTCTTCGTCGTCATCTTCTTCCCCAGCAACCACAGTTTCTTGGCGCAAAACAGCTAGGTCTTATCAGAAACTATAATAACAAACGTTGGAATGGATATTCACCCCCTGTCTCAAGAGTGGAGCGGGAAGAAGAATGCCACCTCATACATACATTCAGCTACTCTCTCCACTGTCAAAAGTATCTCGAGTGGAACCCTTCAGATAGTGCATTGATGAATGACCGGAGCCTATTGCTTTTCCATCATCCCATCTCAGAGTTGCAGCCTTCTGTATACCTCACGCAGCTTTCCAGCAATTACCCATGGATTTACGTACAGGCGCGTATCCAAACCTCGCCATCGAGGCGCGACATCGTGGCCCATTGGTATCCTCGATGCTCCAGCTTGATGCCGCCTCCAAATCAATGCCGCACTCCACCTCTGCTCGTAACCCAAGTCAAAAGAAAAACTTCACAATCTCCAGTCCCGCCCCTCCTGATGCTTTCAGTAACTGCCTGTTTGCCTGGACAGACTTGGGGGAATCTCGCGCAAATTCAAACAGAAAGGCACCTCACCCACCCAGTGAATACACAACCATCCTGAAACGCCCTGTCCAATCCATACTCGTACTGTTGCACTCCCCCCAAACCCTCCATTTCCCTTCTCCCCTCCATTGCGCTCGGAATCCGGCTCTGTGTCGGCAGATGTGCAACATCCGCCGATTTGGGGCGAGAAGAGAAGGCTTAATCACAGCTTATTATGGTGCGATAGCCGGCCGCGAATAGTGATAAACCTTTCCTCCCATCGCTGTCCTTCGAGCGGATTCGTTGTCCTCGTCTTCGGTAGCGACAGAGCGCGGTGCTCCATAGCACGCCCGTATACAACTTACCTTGACAATGAACGACACCAGCAAGATAGCTGCCCGCATCATTGCCTGCTTCAGAACCGTAATCCTCTGCGACCTCCTGCTTATCCAATTCTTCCGAGTCAGTAGATCGGGAGCAGCATCACTTCCAATGGGAAGCTTAGATCTTAAATCAGGTTGCTTGAACCAAGTGATGCCATCGCCTTCACTTTGGAGCTGGATCATGCAGCATGTGATTCCCATGTCGTATATCCCTGCTCCGAGTCTCTCTGCCAGATTCTCGCACACAACTTTGTACCTTACAAGGTCCATCATGGACTTGTAGCTAGTGCACTCGTGGTGAGTTGTTCTGATCGAGCTTGGTCATGGCGCTCTGATGCGCATCCATATCCATCGTGGCTTCATCGGTCGACGAGACTCCTCGCTGATTCACCTTGGCTTGTTGGAGGACTCAGTCTGCATGTACGGACACCGAAACTGGCATATCTGCAAAGCTCGTCCTCATCTCTCCGTTGCCGGGTGCTACAGCCGCTGGAACTCGTTTTTAGTTATCAGGACTTTGAGGCGTTATCGGCGCATCAATGTCTGCGGATGCGTTCTTTCCTGGATCGACCCCATTTGTTTGTGCTGCAGGCATTTGCAGTTTGAGAGGCTGTATCGGTTTGCTACTCGCGCTCTCCTCGAGCTTGCGCTTCTTCTTCGCTGCCTGAGCCTGTTCTCGAAGAGGTCTCTTGCGCGGGGAGGTTATCTTCCCGGTCGGCGGCAACCTGGGCTTCGGAAACTTCTGCTTCAAAGGAAGATCCTCATCCTCAACAAGTGCGTCCTCGCGCGAGTTGCGCAGCTTGTTGCGGAAGAAATCCTGCACCAGGCCAATCTGATGTGACAAAGTGTCTTGGGAAATGGCGTCGTATGGGGTCGGCGGCTCGAAGATGAGGCCACCACTCGTAATCGGTCCTTGGTTCTGCGCCTGGTGATAAGCGTACATGCGGTTCTGTAGCAAATGCAAAGGCACGCTGAGAGACTCAAGGCCGAATTCTTCGGCAAGACCGAGCTCACGGAACCCGAAGAAGTCTTCGTCAAGGTCTTCAGCGAAGTCGCCGCCAACGAATTGCTCGCTGCCATCGTTGAAGGCACCGACTCCATCTGCACCAGCGTGATCGCCCAAAGCAGGCCGCTGCAAAAGAAGTCAATGAAACAGTTCTCGACGTCACACAGCTCCAGCTGAGACTTACCAAAAGATCTGCCAGGTGTGATTTCATCCTCTCATGCATCACTCCAAGTTTGTTGCCTTGCCGCTCAACATCATCCTTGACCCACGACTCCAATGCATCTATATCCAGACCGTTTTCGTCCAGGGTGTGAAGGACCTGCTCTTCAAACGTGAACGGTGCTGCAGTACCATTCTGCGGGGGTTGTTCGTGGTACTGCTTCATGTCTCGGCCAACCTTTACGAAGAAGTCGATCGCGATATCGGTGATACTCTCGAATGCAGAGGGCTGGAAGTCCTCGAAGCCGGCGTGGTAGAAGATTTTGCCAATGGACTTTTGAAACGCCTCTCGATTGAGCCATGGGGCCAGAAGGGGGCCGTCTTCTGAAACAACTATAGTTCCTGGGTCTTGCTCTTCGAACGGCTGCGGCTCGTACTTCTGAAATTGATTCTGGTAGGTCTGTCAAGGTGTTAGCACAACTCGCCGTCTGTTCGGTTGTAGAGCTACTTTACCTGCGCTTGGATCTGCATCTGCTTCACAACGCCAATCTTCGCACAAACTTTGCGAGTCTCCTGCATTTGTCGTATGTTCGCCTCTAGCTTCTTGTTGAGCGTACCTTGCGTGATCTTGTAGTTGTCTTTTGGGTAGTAACGCATATGATCCTCCGTCTGGGGCAATGCGTGGCCTTCGGAGTCTGTCGTCCATTTCCAATGCGGATCGAGATCAGGTATCGCAGACAGCGGGTTATAGTAATCGGGCAATGTGGAGTCCTCCTCTCCCTCTATTCCCTCGGCGAGTGTTTCGCCGCCGGCAGTGGCATCGGCCTCGTCGGCCGCTACGTAGTCTGACGACTCGGCGTCAATAGCTGGCTTGTCAGAGATCATTTTCTGTTGTCGAATCCATCTCCGCATGCCGACCTTGGATCTTAACAATGCAGGCTCCTCCGCATTGAGGTGCTCGCCACGAAAGAGCCGGTTGCGTTCTGCAGCAGCTAGTGCTCGATCTTTCTTTGTGACTTGCTTCCAGGTCTTGAACTCTGTATCATCGTCGTCCGCGTCCTCTGTTGAGGTGCTGAGGACTGACGGACCATCAATCTCCATTAAATCAGCTTGGCTGCCGTGGACAGCGGTACCGTGAATGCCATTCGGCATAGGCGTGGTTAATCCAGGAGGAGGAGTGCTGAATCCGGCGGAGCCGACATCAGGTATTTCCGAGTCTTCTCGAAGGAGATCGTTTCGTAAATTTGACGCCTGAGAATGCAAGACCGGTTTTGCGTCTGGTGCTGGGGTGGAAGATGCGTCTTCCACAGCTATAGAGGGACCACCGACACTCTTTCTCGCAGATGCTGTTGGTCCGCCTTTTTTCGGCGCTTTGCGGCCACGCGAAGCCATGATCGGTGCATCATCCTCATCACTGTCTTCGTCACCAGCATGAAGACGGCGCTCCTCCGCCTCGACTTCGGCTCGATCTCGTATCACGATTTCTGGTATGAGTGGTGTAAGCTTGTCGGTCTCCTTGCGCATATACAGCGCCTTCTTCCTCAAAGGATGTGCAGGCTCCGAGTTGTACTTCAAGCAGTTCGCCCAGATCAGATTGAGGTCGTCCACAAATTCCTTTTTGCTTTTGTATTGCAACTGCTTCAGCCGCTTGATCATGGTTCCAATGTCCATTGGTTGCTTGATGAGCGTGTAGTAGTCCGGAGCCTCCCGCTTGCTAACTCGAGTCAAGAACGGTTGAGCGTATTCCGTCATGGCTTTGAGCTCCATCAGGACTTTCTCTGCAGCCTCATAGAGCTCTTCCTGTCCTACACGGTCCTCGCTTGCCCACTTGCTGCGACCTTTTCTCACCTCCGATATGAGTGTGCGTAGCTGGTTGTCGGATGCTTTGACCATATCTCTTTTCGCATCTATTCGGGCAATGAGATGCTTGAGTGTTAGGCTCGAGGCGCCGAGGTCGGCACTTCCCAGGCTCCCTTGCGTAGTAGCGGCAGAGGTTGTAGGTGCGTTAGATGCGCTTGTGTTGGCTTGGCCATTCGGACCCCCTGATATTTCATTGTCCACTTCGCGATCCAGCTCGTCCAGCTTCTGCTGCTCCAGCATGGCATCTCGATCGCTTTCCAGCGTGTAGAACATGCTCTGAAAGCTGTACTTTGCAGCCTCGGCCGCAGCCTTCTTCTCCTGCTCCAGTTGTTTGCGCACATCTTCCGAGCTTTTCCCCTGCTCAGAAAGAGCAGTCGCCGTCTGCTTGAGCGTGGCCGGAGTCGAGAGCTTGACTGAAGGTGCTGGTGATCTGATCGCGTGTGGGGACAAGCCGTTCGGTAAGGCCGTCTTACCCTTTGCTCTCAGTGGGCTCTCCTTATCCGTCCCTTCCTCATCTTCCTCGTCGTCGTCATCATCCCCATAATCATCGTCAATCTGTCGAGCGGCCTTCTTCGGTGGAGCAGAAGTCTTGGCGCTCTCTTCTGCGCGAGTCTCGGAGGGTGGTGTAGTCGAGTCTGCAGGTCTCTTGCCAGCGCGTCGCTGTCGTCCGTCTGTTCCGAAGAGCGCATTGAGCTTTGCCTCTGCAGCTTCCATGCGCGCTTTCAGCAGCACGTGCACGGGATCCTCCTCGACGTCCTCGTCCGCGGCCGCCCCATTCACCATGCCTGGGCCGTGATGGGAGATGCCATTGAGCGCAGGCCGCATTATGTAGCGTCCCTACTAGAGCGATCTCCCCTCATAGTACGCGCCGTAGTAGGAAGTGCCAGTCGCGAGTTCAATGCGGACGAAAGTGCATTCGGATCGTGAGCGCGACCCCGTCGTAGGCGGATGTTGGCTTTGTCAATTATCTCCTCAGCCTCGCGGTTGATCAGGACGAGATCAGTGTCATTCGAATCGTGAGCGCAATGTGAGTTCGATACAGATGCGAGCGTGCGTATCTGGCGATGGTCAAAGATGAATTCTGATGGGAATGCAATGAGGCCTCGAAGTGATGTCGCGGTCCCATGAGCCGACGCTTACATAACCGAGACGGTGGGCAGGGCGGCTCTTCACTAAGAACTACATATACAGCAAGCCTCGTGATCTCACATCAACCTGGCAGACACAGCTAGAAACTACCTACCTCGCTTGTAGTTGCAAGCACTCCTATACCATGTCACCGCAGCAATGATGTCTACGGGTCTACGAGTTCGCCAACCCTTCGCGGGTAAGCCCTGAAGAACTGACATGCGCCGAGGCCTCCAGCGTAACAGCGGTGGGAAGTACATGTAATCGCTAACCATAGCTTGAAGGTGCCTTTGGCGTGCTGCTGCTGCTGTCGGCATATCTAGGACTGTCAACGTCCAAGATCCCTAGCTATGGCCAGAGTGACAAGGGACTACATTTTGTGACTTTCTTCCTACTCACAGTGAGTGGCTACTTGTCTTGCGACAGTGATCGAATCGGCCAGGCGGCCAAGCTATGGCATGAGAATAGGTCAAGGCAGAATGCTAACAGCAATTCAAGACAGCATTCTATTGGATCATTGAAACTACAAGACGCCGCGCCATCCATCTTACTCTCCTCGCCGTAACAACTGGCCTCTCAATCGGTTCTGAGGTAGTCCAAGCCTTTCTCCCGAACGACCGCGACTTCGACCCTTTTGACATTGCCGCGAATGTCGTGGGCTCCTCATGCGCCCTACTCTTATGTAGTTGGTACCACAAACGTATGTTGGAGCGCAAGAGGAAGAACAAGACTTATGATATTGTCCCAGGCGAAGCGACGGAAGATGCGGACGTAGAACTTGGGGAAGGGCCAGGCCTTGGAGCTCAGGAAAGCGGGGTGGTTGATGCTCAGGCAGGTGGAGGAGCAGCCAAAGTGACGGATGTCACGCAGGAGTTGAACGAATGGGACGAAAACGAAGAGGACTACTGGGAGGACGAAGGGGCTGAGACAGCGAAAGCAGCCGCAGGCGTAGGAGGGCAAGAGGACTCCAGCAAGAAGCGTGCGGAATGAGAGTTAGCAGTAACGAATAATGTACGAATGCATTGAGGTCAGTCTGATGCCTATGCGCTGCACTGTGGTGATGTGCAGCGCTTAATATTACGCTGCCTCCTGTGGTCCTCGTATTCTGCGCCGTGCTGAGTGTGGACGATAGGCACAACTGCAATGACGGTTCGGGAGCAATAGGCGTTGCTTCAATACTGACGAGCAAAAGCCGACTACTCTCACCACGAGGAGGGACAATATTCTGGTTGGAGAAGGCGGTTTCGTACTCAGTTCATTCGAAGCTACTCGGGACTTCGCAGACCACAGCTGAATCGGCTTGCGCTCTTTTCGAGTACTGCGTGCCACTCTCAGATTTCCGGGTTTTCGGACTTTCTCCGACTTGCCGACTGCGTGACGTCCGTCCGAATTTCACTTCATACCCAATGCTCCATTTCGTTCGTAATGTGCTTAAGCAGCAGCCTGGGCACCAAGTGGCTTAGGACCCTGGGCCTGACCTGGCTGGATCTTCTTGCCGTCCTTGTTGTATCGAACACGTGGCGGTGGTGCACGGTTGCGGCGACCCTCGCGCGAGCGGACACTGTTCCTCCAAGTCAGCACTTCACATGTCCCTCGTTTGAGAGTCTTTGATCTGTTGTGCCTGCGTACCGGACAATCTTGCCGTGGATAGCGCACGAGACGCAGTACTGGAGCTTCAAGTACATCTTTGGCACTGCGTACTCTGCGAACACAGAGGCATCCGAGATATCACCTATTCATCGTTGTCCTCTCAGTTTCTTATTATTTCACAACAATGCTTTTCAAAACTGCCGCTCCCCGCGGGAGCACCGTGTTCTTCAGCCATATAATGGTTGGTACATACGGATAGCAGCGGATTCAACCATGTTGCGAATGGTGAATCTCTTGATTGCCTTGTCCTTGGGCGTGCATCGCGAGCAGTTGGAGCATCGGATTGGCTTGACGTGGCCGCGGCCCTTCTTGTTGCGACCGCTGCAAGGCTGTCAGTACTTTTCTAATAACAGCGGAATTGCGAGTGTCATTATACTTGGATGCTCTCTTCTTGACCATGTTGGGCGACTGTGTGGTGATGCTGTCGGGTTAGTATTGGCGTGGGTCGGAAGTGCAATTGTGTGAAGGTGCGATGAAGAGTCTTGGCCCCGATTAGTCAGCACCTCTTAGTCTCCATGTTTACTCTCACGTTGCACCTGTGCCCGGGACTTCGCGACTAAGGTATTGTTCCGATCAGCTCAACCACAACAACAGACATCTGTTGGATAGCGCAACGAACCGTGATCCATAACATAACAGCGGCATCATGTCGACGGCCAGCGGTGCTCGTGGCACGCCCAAAGGAGGACGGCCACAGGCGACCTTCCTCGAGGGTGGAACCCTGTCTGGCATCCCCCGTCCGAAGCTCGAATCGACACCGAGTGAAGCGCCCACGTCCTTCAGCGCAAGTCGAGCCAAGCAGTCAAAGCGAGATGAGGTAGGGACATTCTACAGCCACTTGGTGAATAGGGGCTGATGGTTATCTAGGCAATCCGAAGCAAGCTCGAGAAGGACCTGGGAAAGCGTCGTGGCCCTGCCGGACGAGCTCGACAGTCTCGCAAAGCACCACCGGGGACTGTTCTGGCCCTCAAGCCGAACCAGGCCCTCCAGATTAAGCCAGGAACGACTGTCACCGAAGCTGCTCAGATGATGGCAGCCAAGAGGGAGGACTGTGTGCTGGTGACCGATGATGATGATCGTATTGCTGGAATCTTCACTGCGAAGGACCTGGCATTCCGTGTCGTGGGTGCTGGCTTGAACGCAAGGAACGTGACAATTGCGGAGATCATGACGAAAAACCCATTGTGTGCTAAGACAGACACCAGTGCAACGGACGCACTAGATCTTATGGTTCGCAAGGGGTTCAGGCATTTACCTGTGATGGATGAAAATCACGACATCTCTGGAGTTTTGGATATCACAAAATGCTTCTACGAGGCTATGGAGAAGCTGGAACGTGCGTACACTTCATCCAAGAAGCTTTACGACGCACTGGAGGGCGTGCAAGCCGAACTGGGCTCGAGTCAACCGCAACAGGTCATTCAGTATGTTGAGGCAGTAAGACAGCGTATGTCAGGGCCAACTCTGGAGTCGGTTCTGAACGGTCTCCCACCCACTACCGTATCCGTCCGCACCAGTGTCAAGGAGGCCGCCCAGCTGATGAAGGAGAATCACACCACTGCAGTGCTTGTGCAAGATCAGGGACAGATTACGGGCATCTTTACTTCCAAAGACGTTGTGCTTCGCGTTATTGCCGCTGGGCTCGATCCTGCAAACTGCAGTGTCATTCGCGTCATGACACCACACCCAGATTTTGCGCCTATGGATATGAGCATCCAGCAGGCACTGCGGAAGATGCATGACGGGCACTACCTCAATCTTCCAGTCATGAATAAGGAGAGTGACGAGATTGTTGGCATGGTAGACGTCTTGAAACTCACATATGCGACACTCGACCAGATCAACGGCATGGCCGCTGGCGACAGTGAAGGTCCTGCATGGAACAAGTTCTGGATGTCGATGGAGAACGAGACCGAATCCATGATGTCCGGCGAAGGTGGCAGTCACGCACCCCATGCGGATAGATCAGCGATAATGTCGCCCGATCGCGCCGAATTTACCAGAGGTGACTCTGTGTTACCGACTGATTCTGCTTCTCACAACGGCATCGAGCACGAGGAAGCCTCTGCGCTCGCTGGAGCTGTAGAGGATGTACCTTTCACCTTCAAATTCAAGGCTCCCGGAGGACGTGTGCATCGGCTGCACGTTGTTGCGTCGCAAGGCATGCCAGAGCTCGTGAGTACCATTGCTGACAAGCTTGGCCATGAGGCAGAAGTAATTGGCGGTGTGCCTGCGTTCGAGAACGGCAAGCTGCAGCATGCTGGATTTGCTCTCAGTTACTTGGACAACGAAGGTGATACAGTCTCAATTACCACCGACCACGATCTGCTCGAGGCTATCATGCTGGCCAAAGACGCACGCAAAGACAAAGTCGACTTGTTCGTGCACGACCCAGAAAAGCCAGCTATACCAGCGACACTTGATCCGCAGCCTGCCATTATTCCTCCGACACCTACAGAAAGCTCTGTTCGACGCCGCAGGCAACAGGAGTCTTCGGAAGATGAGGATGAAGAGCAAAGTGTCACGCAGCGCCGCAGAGATCGCAAAGCTGCAGCATCGCAGGGTGCCAAAGCCCAGGATCAGATTATCCAAGGTGTTCCCAACGAGGTCCTCCTGCCAGGAGCCATCGGTGTCCTCGCTGTGGTCATATTGGTGACTTTTATGGCTGGACGTTCGAGTAGATAGCCTGGCGAGCTATGTGATTCCCTTTTAGCGTTGTTCTCGCACCGAAACTAATTTACAAGCACTGATACCACCACAGTACTGTCAGATGTAGCAGAAAGCCCCTACGGCCGTCTCTTTGGTACTACTAGGTACTAATAACGTTTTGATCTCCCCATTGTTGAGTTCGAAATCTGTTCCAAGACCAGCTGCTTGGCGAGACCTTTCTGTCACAGCGAGCCATACGGGCCAGTGTGACCGTGGAAACATCGTCTTTGTTGAATCAGGCAAAACAAATACCATCCCCAGCATCCTCTCTCCCCTTCTGCTCCTGCTCCTGCATCGAAGCCCACCCACAGCTACCCGACAGCATTACAAAACCAAGATATCTACTCGATCTTGCACGTCTAGCATGATCGTCCCAATCCGAATTGGAACCACTTCCCAACCCTGCCCGACGCCACGTATCGCTTACAGTCATGCCTCCGATTCTGCATATAATCACACCTGGTACTGCTCACTAATCGAGCAAAACATGAAGTGATATGCGGTATCACACGTCATAGGCTCTCGGTGGAGGGGAGCGCCTCCAAGTGCTGCAACACGGCTTACAGCTCGTAGCACCGACAAAGTTCCAGACATGATTAGCAATTGCCATATTCTACTGGGCACCATGGCAGGCGCGAGCGGGGTTTGCAAGCAGCCCATTATATAAGTTGCTTCTGCGTCCTCTCAAATAATACGCACCTTACGACCAATAGCTTGAAGCTCGAAGCACAACAGGTAAACGGCCGACATAAGGTATCATGCTCGAGACGATGGGGACTTGCGATAACAACAATACGGGTACATGGAGGTATGTATGTATCTGCTGATTTATGATAGTACCCGGCATGGAATCGCAACTGAAAAACAGTGTTGTTCTATCAAATTTTGATTTGGTCTGTTTGTCCACCATCCTCCTAAAATACACCCTGGAGACATGGATAGACAGATACACAGTACCTTTTTCCTCTCTACCTAAGCATACATTCACCACACCACCACCCCCTATCTTCTTCTCTCCCTCCCTCCCTCACTTCTCCGGCTCCTTCCCGTTGTAAAACGACCCCTTCTCCTGCTGCACGCCCTCCGCACCCTGCAACCACGCCACCCGATCCTTAGTAAACTGCTCAATTCTCGGCTTCAACTTGGTCTCATGCAGAGTATAATCATCCACCGTTCCAGTTCGCATGACCTTGTTCCCGGGGAAACCCGTTCCGACGCGGTACATCAGCGTCCCACAGACGGAGCAGAAGTAATTCGCCATTTCGCAACCGGACTTGATGGTGTTGCGTTGGGCGTAGCGCGTGAGTTTGTCTTCGCCGCGGAGGTGCTTGACCCCTGGGTCTGCGATGATGAAGTTGGAGGCGAACATAGATGCTGTGATTTTGCGGCAGCTGTTGGGGAGAAGAAGAGGAGGAAGGCGTGAGTTAGTGAGCAGAAAAAGGGGCGTTTTGTGGTTTGGTTCTTTTTATTTATATTTTTTGAGGGGGGAATTCTTTAATAGGAACTTACTCGGTGCAGTTGCAGATGAACGTATCCACGAAGTGTTCGCCCTCGGTTACCTGAAAGGAAGGATGTTAGTTTCCTTGCGTTGCTTGAGGCCTGTGAAACAGGGACGTGGTTCGTTACGTACGAATTCGAGTTGGACGGTTCCACAGTAACAAGTTGCTGTTGCGGTCTTCTTATCGTCCTCGCCGTGTGCGCCTTGGGTGGGTAGAGGAACAGGGCCATCCTGAACCTTGGGGATGTAGGAGCTCATGTTGAGAAGGGCGTGTGCTTCGATGTGTAGATGATGTCCGTGTTGCTCGTTCATCCCATCACTACCTTACTTGGAAGCAGATCGCATCAATATATATCTGCATTGGCAAAAATGTGTCTGGCATCAAGAAGTGTCGTGTCCGCAATAATCGATCGAGTAAGACCGAGGCAATTGGAGATCGGTTTGGCGTCCTCTCCGGGCTATATAGCAGCGCTGATTATGGTACTGCTCCAAGCATGTACCTATCAGTAGTAACTTACTCAGTCTGCTAGCTTCATGACATTCGACGACGAAGGGGAAGCCCTCTTTCTGAATCAAGTGAGACTGATGCAGCCTGTAAGTAGCAAAGACAGTGTGCAGCGCCAACGACCAACTTCCAGCGTCAGACCACGTCCCAAACAAGTGAGGGCGAATGCTTCATATACTACTAGCATTACGTTTGAAGGTGAGACTGTCACCAAATTTGAAACCAAACTCCGCCAGCGCCTACGCTTACACTCCATATAAGCCCGCCAGGGGACTATGCTCGCTGCCATGTCCGCAAACAATGCGGCAGCTCTCATTCTCTTCCCTCATGCAAATGATGCCGCGAACCTCTTTAATAGAGATCAGGCGCCTGTCATGAGGCTTTCATCGGGCCACGCGATCCCTGCTTGCGTTACCTCCTTCGCCCGCTCTTCCCATCTCTGTACTGCTGGACATTTCTCGCTCCCGACTCTGGCTGATCCTCAAGCCCTCTACGCTTGGCCTTACGCTGTCCATGCTGGGTCTCACACTATCCATACTGGGCCTCACACTTGAACTGCTGCTCTGCCGGCGTCGACGTCTAGTCTCTTCGGGGTCGCCAGGAGAGAGACCACTGGCTCTGGCGAACAAATTCAAGATATCTGTCAATGACACGACACCAGATAACCTGCCACTCATGCTTGCACCCGGCATTTGGGCAGCGCCAATGCTAATGGCGGGGTTGGTGCTCGTGTATGGCGGTCCTGGAGTCATGCTGTCCGTGCCTCCACCAGCTCTGACAGGGGTCGTGATGGGCGTGTTATGCTCGAGACCAGAGCTGTGCATTGCAGAAGATGGGATGACATGTTTCATCCCAGGCGAGGGAGGTACACTTGTGGATGGCGATGGTGCGTCAACAACCCACATTCGATGCGAGCGCGTAGCGCACAGCTTGGCTACGGTGTGTGCCAGGGTTGAGAAGGGCGTGATGTGGAATACTGGGTAGCTGTCTTTGCCATCGAACATGCCTCGCTCGGATAGGATGACTCCAATGAAGTGTATGCAGCTGCTGTGAAGTAGTGGAATTGCCGAGGTGTCAGTCAGAAGCTGTCGTAATGTCAGTCACTATATGATGATGAGAACAACGAGCGAGACTTACGCGAACGTCGACATGACTGATGTTTCCCACCACGTTGCGATGGTTGTCTAGCACAGGCAACGAGGTAATACCTTCAGCGTGCATGAGTCTGAGAGCATCAGCTACTGGCTTGTCGCCGTTGATTGCGAGAACCTCCTTGGCACCGAGCTCCAGCTCTTTCAGCGTCATGGAGTATAGGTTCTCTGTAGCAGTAAAATTCTGGTGATTATCCCAGAAGAACTGCACCAGACGGAGCTGGGTCAATACACCCACAGCTTCACTTGTACCCTCCTTATGAACGATGACTCGGTGGTGACCGGCGCCTAGAAGCTCCATTGCCTGTAGCAGAGTAGCTGTGTGCATGGTAAAGACTGGTTCTTCTCGTGGCCCGAGATGATCTGTGACATCCTTTAGCGGGATGACTTCGCCTCTTCGCGCTCGGTCTGCAATCCTAGCGGCAAGCTCATCAGGTTGCGACAGTCCAAGCACAAGCAGTAGATAAGCGTTCAAGTCAGAGTAGTCAAATGTACTGAGCACAGTCTTTGTCTTCCGGGACTCGCGCACGAGCACAACATTGGGAGATCCCGATCGGATCAGCAACTTTGTGGTGTCTTCAATGCTACTGTCGAGCTCCACGAAGCGCGCCTCTGCAGGCTCTATAATCTCCTGCACCTGTATTGTCCGCCAATCTCTTCCCTTGAAGCGCTCATCGCGTCCATGGGCCTTGTGCGAAGGCTGCATGAGGAGTTCTGTGAGGACGGGGCCAGAGAAGGAATGGGTTCGTGCGGTATGCTGGCGCGGCGAGACGGGATGGTTGCGCAGGTTGAGGTTGTCAGCGAAGCTCGATCTCTTGGACACTGACGGTGACACGTTCTCCAGACGAGGCGTTTGCGCGGGCGTCGGCGTGGTTGAGGGTGCGCTGGAAGAGGCGGTGATGCTCTGGGGCCTGATGATGGGGCTGCTCTTGGAATCGAGCGGAGGGTGCGGGGGAGGGGGAGGGGGAGATGAAGGCGCCAGCAGGCCTCTGGAAGCTGGAGCGGTGGCAGTGCGAGGTGCCTCTGGCTCCGACTCCGCCATGATGGAGACGGGAGGGTCCCTCCAGGAATGCACGGGCGGTTCTCGAAGGCGCCTGGCAGTATCAGTACCACCGAGTGTGAAACGACGCGTTCCGGGCGCTCGCCGCTCTCCACGCCGCCTTCACATGCACGAGATAACAACAACAGGACGTGGATGCTTGCGGGGTGATGTGGTGGTGGTGGTGGATCATGTGAAGGAAAAAGAAATGTACAGTGGATGTCGCAGTAGGAAAGCCTGGAAAGGGTAGGACTGTAAGAGGCAGAGCTCGTCCTGAGTCCTGACTCTTCTCTTTCTAGTGGCTTGTGTACCCCTGCAACTGATAGTCTAATCGCAAGCTCCATGTATTTCTCTCTCTAATTGGCTCATGAAGGCAAACACGATAGCGTAGAGGGAAAGTTGGCATATTCTCAGCATTGTTGTCGAGACAATTGCCATTCATATACTAGGAGAGGATGAGCCAGATGACATTGCTGTTGTTGTTATTGTTGTGGAGTCTTGTGATATGGATATCAGCACCCCGGTTTCCTCGTCAACTTTGGCTTCACATGCAAACGCCAAGACTTTGTGCCCCCCTGTCAGCAACGATCCTTTTGAACGCGGAGAATAACTGCACAAGTCCCACAGTACGACGACCTGCACATTGCTGCACCGCGCAGTTGATCGTCAATTTCAAAAGTTGTCTCTCACCGGAATTCGCAGTTCGATAGAATGCTAGATTTTGGGACCTAGTTCGAGGAACTGCAACAAAACTTGCTACCAGTTCGAGGTAAAGGCCATCGAGCCCACGTATTCCAACCACACCGATCTCTTTCGCCACATCAGCGCAATACTGAATATCCAACATCACAACCACTGCATTCGTCTCACACAAACTCCCGTTCATCCCCATCCTCTTCGCTAGCATCAACGTAGATCAACAACCACTCCACTTCGTGTGGCAGTCGAATGGATGTTTGGTAACACTCAGGCAGTTTCCACGAGAGTCATCGCGAGTCAGACATCTTCCTAGCGTTGAGGACGATGCATCCGCTGTTATCGTTAACGATGCCGGAGTATTTATCGTCTTGAGTCCACAACTTACGTCGACAACTGAGTATACACTGGCTACCCGGGATGCAGTGCTGGCAGTCGCAAGTGGTGCGACATTCGCCTGTGTCGTTGTAAGTATTCAGGCGCTATTGAAATAATCAATGTGGAGCCAGTTTTAAGGTACCTTTAAAACCCGTTAGGGCAGTAGTACAAGCCACCAAGGCATAGAGCACTACGTATAACTTCATAATAGGCGGTTCGTTGATCAGATCCGGAGAAGACTGAGTCGAGAAGGTGAGAGATAGGAGTGAAAGCGTCTGTGTACGCGGGAAACCAGTCCGGCGGCTATAGGTAAGGCGAATCTGAGTAGAGACTACTTCTTTGGAGTAAGCGGAGTGCGATGTGACTTTTATACGATAGCCGTCTGAACGAGAGAAGGACTCTGAACAGGGATATCCCCTTGGATTTCAACTTCAAGGTCTATTGGCCCAGGACCCCTAGTGTTTTTTCGGGGACCCCGAGACATTGAAGCCGTTGCGAAGAATAATGGATAGTGTGCGCTTTCCCGTTCTGCAGTGCAGACTGTAGGACCGGCCGTTTGACGTAAGAGTACGTAGGAGTACGTAGGTCGGACGCGTCGACTGTTAGGTCTGCAGAACGAGATAGTATATAGGACGTGTAGTCCAGCATGCAGCGGCTTGACTTACTTGCAGAAAAACTCTGTATATAGGTAGATAGCTGGCTCATAGCACTCTGCACATCCTATATATCAGCTTCTCGTAACAATTTTTATTGGTTTCGGCGTACAAGAGACGGTAGAGACGGTCACACGTAGGAGATGTCATTCATGTTGTTGTAGGCCTGAGAGTCGGAGCTGATAGGTACGTCTCGTGTCCTTGAAATAATAATGCTGGTCCTGATGTTGTATCTCTTGCGTAGTTCTGGAAACTGTATCACGAAAACTTGTCTAGCGCGAACTTCTCCACTGGCGACAGTGGCGAGGGAGCCCGGTGACCCTAGTGTTCTCTAACTAAATATACGGCGATGTTGGTAGTGTGGTCTGCAAACCTGTACTGTATTGTCAACGAGTGCCCCTGCGCAGCTGCGCTGACGTTGTACAAGCAGGGGCTATGTGAGGGGGAGGACGAGGGTAAAAGAGCCAGTTGCTATTTTGCTATTGCGCCGCACACGGTATTGGAAACACGATCAAGAGGGTACTCGTCAACGCTGAGTACCCCGATTAGTGTATAGGCCTTACCGAGAATCCTAAGGCGTCATTCGTGCGTACCAAAATCATTCTATTTGTCTTTTTGCCGTATCTTCTCGTTCTTTGTAAGAACTCCAACGTCGCGGATAAGGTTTGATCGATAGGCGACCTCGCGACTGAGCTGTCTTCTGTCGCCTACCTCCAAGCCTGCCCTGTTCACTACACGATAGGCGGCCGGATATGGGCATTCAACCGGTCAGCTGTAGTGTAATGAAGCCGCATTGTCGGACAGTATCGAGGAAGTACAGGCATATTTTGTAACAATCGGTTTGCGACATCTTGCTGTAAACCGGCACTATATCAAAGCTCAATAGGGCCAAGGGGCCCTGCATGTCCCGGAGCCAGAAGTTTTGATCTATTCTTGAGCTGTGGTCTCGCCGTGGCGGCGACGTGATCAACGAGGCAACCAGGTGGTGATCTGAGTCTTCGTCGAGTCCGGTGTCGAGCGAGCAGGAGTCCACTGAATAGACCAAGGGCGAATCCAGTCACTGTTTTGGATCTACTGATCAAAGCGCTGTGTGTACGGCAGCATCACAGGATATGACGCAGGACTCAGGCGCAACAGGACAGGCAGGGATTATCGAAGGCAGCCTGCTGTGACGTTGCTTGAGTGATGGAAGTTTCGCAGTGGTGAGTGTATCGAGAGATTCGAAACTAGGTATACATGTTGGTATCTGTAACGTCAAGCATATGTCCCGGTAGATACAGGTACCTGTAGTAGGTACATGTAGATCTATGCGGGAGTGCGGAAGTGCGGGAGCAGGGGAATCTCCCGCCCGGTACGTCACCAGAGGTGAAGTTCAAGCAACTCGAAGTTCTGACAGCTTATGTAAACGGCCAGAGCTGAGAGCCTCGCTTACAGTATTGCCGATAAACCCGTCAACTACAACCACTATCCACATTACTACCACATGCTACCTCCTACGGTACACAAGAAAATCCTGAAGCGGGCTGTTAATAATGTTGACGGAACAGCTCTCAGCCTCCTATCTTCTGTATTCCCATTTTCTCCACTCTGCAGTAGCCTAAGCACGACCTTGATATCCCAGATGCAGCGATATCTTGACCACAAGAGCATTGTCAATTCAGTTAAATGGATAACTGGACGTTTTCTAGATTCCAGGAATGAGAATGAATCTTGGCGCCCAAGCATCAAACTGCTGCCTTCGACCTGGTAGTTAAAGTGGATTGGGTCTGTACCTTAGGCAGACTTGTAATGAGCCATGACGCTAGCCGAAGGTAGTGAAACATACGCGCAGTAGCATTCAGCCCCCAGGAAATGTGTACGGGAAAGAATCTTGCCTGGACTGCTGATATACGAGACTGGGCTCGTTCCTACCAGGTAGTGATACTTCATGTCTATTGCGCGAGGCGAGCTCCCTTTCGTAGAGCTAGGTGCGAGGAGGTATGGAGTTAGGAGGTATGGCGAGAGAGTCTGTTCACTGTTGCAGATCTCAAAAGTTATTCCCGGGCCGGGCTCCCGCTGTCGGTTTTTGCTGTGGACAGATAGTTGGCGCCACATCATTCCCAGGTGCACAAACCACAAAGCCTATCGCGACTTTGCTCGTGAGTGAACAGGAGGTCAGGGATCAGGCACAGTCGATGGATACATAAGGCCATCTCTCATGCGATCGCAGACGCGCTGCAGGTGGAGGCTGCGACGCGACGCATGCTCGGGACGGGACGCCGTGCGACGGAAAGACCGATCAGCGGTCAATCCTCCATCGTCGCTGTGTCAAGAAGAGTCATGGACTCGACTCATGATGACTGTACACAGCTGAGAGCTGTCCTGGATCATTACGAAGCAGATCCTCGGCGTGTAGTATAAGGTCAGGGAGAGAAGGAGAACATGGTTCGATCTGCATCGTCGTATTCTCTGCTGTTTCTCCGCATACTATACGGTCTATACCTGGCATCAAATCCATCGCTCCGTTCTGTACAAAGAAAATCCAAGATCATCCCACGCCTGGCACGCCCCCACCAAGGAAGTTCCTGTTCACATCCTGCCCGGCTCCACTTCGCTGTATCTGCTTGGCGCCTCACTGTACCAGTGGACGAACCGCATGCAGACGTGCAGCAGCACTCGGCGGTGAGAATCCGAGATCTGGGCAACTACTAGTAGCTTAGCCCGTGCATACATACATTAGTAGTCACAGTGGTCTTCTTTGCAAAAGAACTTCTTCTTGTCTACTACAAGTTACAACGCAACTACCTAAGGCACCTTTACCCGACGAGACAGACAACATGTCTCTTCAAGAAGCCTACACCCTGGCCCACACAGCGCAATGCCGACTGCAAATGGCAGCAAGTCGACCAGATCGAAACTTGCGCTTTGTCGTTGGCCATCTCATGCACTTCCAAGCACTACGCGTTCGCATTGTCGAAATTGAGCACGACATGACCAAGAGGTCACTATCGTCTACAAATCCATTCAACAGAAATGGTCACGTCGATTACCACATCCAGCACAAGCCTTCTAGCATCGGGCAACATTCGCCACCTCCATCACCCGAGACCTATGACGAAGATGAAGCGGAGTCTGATGAGGACGATATCGCATTCGACGACGAAGCAGACGATGGCCTATCCCTAGCACGCTTCCCATCCGCCGCGTCTCAAGGGCTTCATCCTCAATCTCAACCTCCACGAGTTGAACTCGAGCCTCCCGAGCTCGAACCAGATGAGGAAGACTACTCCGACGAGGAAGAACCACGAATTCCCGAAGAGCCTACATGTACTCCACAAGAGCTCCAGCGAGCAGTCGAAGGCGAAAGCAACGAACGCTACACATCATACTACGAAGGAGTCCGGAAGTGCGTCTGCCACGGACAAACCAATTCACCTAGTTTCGACCGAATGTGGGACTTACCACCCGATCAAGCCGATGCAAGGGAGGGCGTAACACGAGCAGTTGCTCGTATCAGCGATCCTCCAATTACGGCGCAAACGGTCTATACCAAAGAGCAGATTTACCCTCCTGCGCCGCAAGCCGTCGCATGACCGTGGGGGCATGATATGAAGCCATTTTGTTTTTACCGGAATGCGCAATCGGGATGATCTGTGATGGCGATGGCAATGGCTATATGCATGGCATGAAAAAAGTGTGTTTGTTTTTGAGCGAGAGAGCGAGCGAGCGAAAACAGAGCGACAAACGATACCCAACTCCAGCGTGATCGGCCTTGGCGCCTTACGATGCGACGAAATTTTCCTTTCGAAGATTTTTTTTGGTGGCGTTTTGCGGAAAACGGATGGATGCTGCGGTCGGGGGACCCGGGTATTGGGACTAGGCGGCTATTAGTCGGCTTTCGGTTGTCCATTGCATGTGCTTGCCATGCTTGGTAATCCGCCAAATTTTGGGGGGAAGAGAACCTCAGATTCAGTGGACTAAATAAGCCACATACCTGACATGTACTACTCATGAGGGAAAGAGATTGAAGGACCTCGGGTACATGTAGTGAGGTACCTCTTTACCTTCAGTAATGAATGACTCACCGCTTCGCAATCACAATTCGGAATCTTTTCCTCACGTCTCGTATTCTACCTTACGTGTATACGGTCTCGGCGTTCAGCTTCGAGACCCGTCGATACCAGGTAGGCAATCTGTTGGGAATAATACCTTACTATTGTATTTTTGGAAGGCGATGCTTCGCTGTCGCAGACCCGCACAAACTTATGTTCATCACTTGGAGACGACTGTAGGTAAGGTGACAATGTACCTTAAACGATGAATGTGCCCAGGAGAGAGAGAGAGAGAGAGGAGATACCACTCGACTCGAAGTGAAATGATCAGGTTGATTGTATCTGCTATCGTGGCCCTCCCGTTGGAAGTTGGAGATTGACAAGGTATATCAAGGCAATTGAACAAAATCCCACGCCTGCGCCACTCGAGTCGCTTTCAACCTCAATCGGCCTCGCCGAAATCCATATGTCCCGTCTGCTTCGCATGAGACGTGGCCCAGCGCTCCCCGTTGCCTTTATCACCGCACTGGTTGCATTTCAGCGAAAAGGCATGTGTGTCAGTATAGTAATGTCTGCTCTGCAGGACTTTGCAAAGCTCTGTCGCAGCATCCAATGCCCCTCCATCCATCTGCTCGTCGTCGAGCTGTAGTACATCGAAAACTTTGCGATCCTCTCCTGGGTCCGCGCCATTGTACGGCGTTATAGCACATACATCGTAATGTATACCCGAGTACACCAGAATACATCGCCGCGGCTTTCCTTCATTGAACTTGTGAACGTGGAGGCTCTGTACGTCAACGCTGCAGATCTCTATATCGAAGTGTTCGCTCAGGATTGCCAATTCAATCCCGCCGCCCCACGCGTCCGCTCTCTGAATCCAGCGGCAATAATCTTCGGGTTCCTTCTCGAGTACTCCCTTCGTGTAGAAATCGGATTTCTTTTGGATCGTTTGTGCTACGATGCTACGCATTTCAACCATGCCATCAAGAGCAGATCCGAGCACAGCCGAAGATAGAGCTCGGAACATGCAGCTGTTGTCGTCTGGCATCACGCGCAGGACCATGACGCCTTCCAGTTGAGGTACAGGTATCTCGGGAGGATCACTTTCGACATCGCCCTTCGTTTTGCGGGTCAAACTGAGAGGTTTGGAAGGGAAATCGCCAGAGTCGTGAGTTGGAGGCGATATTTGGTTCAGTGGCGGCAAAGACTGTGCTTGGCTTATGGGAGCCTGTGATCCGGACATTGGGCTCGAAAGACTTGCTTGGACATTTCGAGGGCTGACTGTGAGTTGTTCGCCGCTGAGTCGAAGTGGCAGATCCGAAAGTTTTGTCCCGCCATCAATCGATTCAGTGTTCAGTGCCTGAGGTGGGAAACCATGCTTCAGGTCGAAGTCTGCGACACCAGTCTTTTCTGATATCTCGTGGAGGAGATCGCTCCATAACGCGTGGCTGTCGATGCTTATGGTGGCTTGACCCTGGGGACCCCGGACTCGTAGGCGAATTGGGCCTGTCATTATCGCTGACGACACCTCTCTGCCAGGTGTTGATGTGTATAGGTAAGTGACTTGTTGAAAATGGCTGTAAGGCGCGATATTGTTTCGTGATGTCGTGTGAGCAAGGTGATGAACCAGTAAGCTGGACAATTGTGGCAAGGACGTCCACTTCAAAAAGGTGCTACGGTGCTGGGAGATGTCCTGTGTATAAGTTTGTGCTTGCACAATAACAATAACTTGGTGAATATAGGTATGAGGCGTAAGTACTACTGATACTGATCTCGATCTCACAAGACGATGATCATGCTGTTGTGAGTAGGAGGTAGAGATGCCCGCCTTGGTAGAGTAGATCGGCGCTAGTCTCGGCCATCACCCTTCCTGCCTGAGATGTCCAGGCACCAACTTGATGGGGCTCGCCAGAGCACGTGATTCAATGACCAAGGCAAGATCGGTGCAAGGACGTTCGGATGCATCCGTGGCTTGGCAAGCGCGGTCGAACACCCAGACGCGCGACACCTCTAACCAGGCGCATGCCTCAAACCTACACATCAACAACACCATTGTCGCCATCGCCATGTCGGCGCAACGACAGTCGGTCAAGGGTCGCGATAGAAGTCCCAGCTCGACGCCAGTACCGTCCACGGAACCGCAGAACGATGGCTCCCAGATTCCCGATGCGCAGTGGAAGGCCATGTCTAGGGTGCTCAATGCCATCTACGACTTCCGTACTGGCGAAGGCTTCGACCCTTCGAAGCTCTTCCACCGTCTGATCAATAAGCGGGTGCTGCCCGAGTACTACGAGACGATCAAGGAGCCCATGGCGCTGTCGACCATCAAGCGCAAGATCGCGCGCAAAGAGTATCAGACCATCCGTGATTTCGTGCGTGACTTCGCCCTCATCCCGTACAACGCGCAGGTGTTCAATATTCCCGAGAGTGGTGCCTTTCAGGATGCGCTGGTTGTCAAGCAGGAAATAGAGAGGCAGTTACAATTACTCGTGCAGGAGGATATCATAGCAGCACAGGACGCCATTCTACCCAACTTGGGCGAGATCCCCACGTTTGTGGAGACTGCGCCGGCGGTGGAGGAAGCGTCAGGGCCAGCAGAGGCGGAAGCCGAGGCGGACGATTCGTCTGATGAGGACGTCGACGAGGATGAGGATGATGATGATGAAGAGGGCGGTAGAAAGAAGAAGCGGAAGGGAGCACGAGCCTCTACGGCTGCATCGAAACGAGAGGCAGAACACGATGGGGATGAGGGCAAACGCTCCCGAGGGAGACCCCCTAAGCTGCTGACACCAATGGAGGCACGGATACAGACCATTCTCAAAGGGATTCGAAAGCCAAAGAACAATCGTGGGCAGCTCATTATCAAGAGCTTCGACCGACTGCCAGACAAGGCGCAGCTGCCAGACTACTACAACGAGATCAAGAACCCAATGGCGTACGATCAGCTCAAGCGCAAAGTGAAGCGGAAGAAGTACAAGTCGCTGGAAGATTTCATGGCGGATGTCAATCTAATGTTCAACAATGCCAAGCAGTACAACACGGACGACTCGCAGATCTATAAAGAAGCAGTTCTTTTGCAAGTCGAGGCCGGTAAATTGTATGATGCAGAAAAGGCAAAGCCCGATGATGCCTTTGCAGATGACGAGGGCAAGGTGCCGCTTCCGAACGGCGTTTTGCACAACGGGGAGCTGTACAAGGTTGGAGACTGGGTGCACATTCAGAATCCGAATGACCTGACGAAACCAATTCCTACTCAAGTATACCGCACGTACAAGAATCCGAAGGGCGAGAACATGGTCAATGTATGCTGGTACTATCGACCAGAGCAGACCGTGCATCGCTTTGACAAGCATTTCTTCGCAAACGAGATTGTGAAGACTGGACGCTATCGTGATCACCGCCTTGACGAAGTCGAAGGCAAGTGCTTTGTTATGTTCTACACTCGATATTTCAAGGGCCGGCCACGTAACATAGCTGAAGGCACGGAGATCTATGTCTGCCAGTCGCGTTACAATGAGACTCTGCACCAGTTCAATACCATCAAAACGTGGGCCAGCTGTCTGCCTGATGAAGTACGCGACAAGGATTACGAGATGGATTTGTTCGACCACCCACGAAAAATAAAGAAGTACCCGAGCCCAATCGCTTTCATGCTCAAGGATGATCAGAAGGAGACAGACGAGTTTCCAAAAGTGCAGTGGGGAGCGGAAGGGGCACCACCAAAGATTGGAGCTGTCCATAGGAGGCCACGTGGTGAGAAAGACTCTCCACCTCCTGAACCAACGCCTCCGCCCCCGCCTAAGCTGCCAACACCGCCGCCGCGACAGATTCCGCCGACTCCTCAGCACAACTACCAGCAGCCGATGGCTCAGCAACTGCATCGTGCGCCATCGAACCCAACGATGCCGATCCAGCAATATACGCCTCGTCCGCAGCAGTATCAGACCCCGGGCCCTGCCACAGTACCAAGGCCTCCCTCAACCACTCCAGTCAGTTACCAACAGCCACCCACGCCACATCAGCCTCAAACAGTCCCCCCGCGTCCCATGGTACCAACGACTAGCTACGCCCCTCCAGCAAGCGTGGTAACCAATCCTGTAGTCTATGCGCCACGTCCTCCAACTCAGGACTATCGTGCTCCGCCTCCTTGCGAAGTGTATACCCTGCCAGATGCTGCGAACCTGAGCATTCCCGCCGAGGTACGCGAACAATATCAATGCGATGAGTATGGTCGAGTGCTCTTCTTCACGACGCCTCCCGTCGCTATGAAGCAGCCAGCAGACATCGCGCAAGGCCACAGTGTTCGATATCTGGCGGAAAAGGCGCGGCGCAAACTTGCAATAGAGAAGAAGCGGAAAGAGCGCGAGGCGGAGCAAGATGACTCAAGTCGTGCTGCCAAGAAGATCAAATTGCAAGCAGTGCAGCAGGTGGCCGATGATATTGACGTGATGAAGTGGAAGGCCTTGCAAGTACTTGATAAGCAGCTCGCTGCTGCTGTCGCTGCGCAGGTTGATGATCGGGACCTGGAAGCTCTCGCTCAAGCTCAGAAGACTGCTGAGGAGCAGAAGGCTGCTCGTGATGCTAATGAGAGGTTGAGGACTGCCGTGCGCAGTATCAAACTGGGCAGTAACTTCTTTGCAGATGACTGGGACTCGAGAATCGTGTCTTAGGTTGTATCTCGGGAAGTTAGATAGTAGTGATTCTGACTGCCTTCTCTACCCAAAATCGAAAGCTCATACCCTGATGTCTGCTTCCGTACTCACACGCCGAAATCCCGGGCATTTGTCAATGCCTAGGTACCTGTTGTCGCCTTGGGCGCACATCACTCCATACTTGGTGCCGTTGACCCAAGTGTCTGGCAGGTGGCGGTAGGTCACGAGCTTGCCCCTGTCCTCAAATTTGTTTAGAGATGGATAATAGGTTCCCTGGCGCCGGTCGAATCGACACATCGGGCTTGGTCTCTAGCCTCCGAGCATGATGCACCGCATCTGAGCCGACATTCCCTTCATTAGCATCATCTGAACAGCCATCAGAAAGCCATATTTCTTGCCCTTGGCAAGCTCTTCGTACTGGAAGCGTCGAACGCCAAGCCGCTCACAGCCAAATCTTGTGTCGTTGGAGATATGCAGACGGCGTAGGTAGCCTAGGCTTGCTTCATGAAACTCCGAAGCATTATCGAAGACTGTCCAACGCTGGGAGAGCTTAGAGCTGCTAAGAGGCTTGGTTGCTGGCACGAAATGATTGGCTGGATTGTTGGCTCTGGCATCCCGCATGAAGAGGCATTGAACCTGGTCGTTCTTGGTCGCCACCTTGGAGTAGCCGCCTTCAATACCAGGGGTAGCGAAATCGCCTACGAGGATGAATTTCCGCCGAGGATATATATCAATCAGACGCTGGATGCTGCGCTGTCGAGAATTGAGTAAACGATTAGGACGCAAACTTTGCGTGACTTCACGGAAGGCGATCTCTCCTGGCGGGTAGCTGAGCGGTGTTGTCAGCGAATATGCTCCGAGTATCACGCAATGCGCCGTTGGGACAGAGCAACGCACTGTAATTGGAGGCCAGTGGTGTAGCCTTCACCAGCCAAGCTGCTGAAAGCATCAGTGACGTAGGCGAAGTGAATCTTGTCTGCCAGAACGTCCTGGTAGTCGCGGTACAGCGCTGGCATGTCTGTTACAGGCTCCAACGGGTAGTGGAATGTGTTGAGGAGAGCTCGCTTTGGATTCCAGAGCTCTGTCACTCGGAGCACATCGTCCACGTCACTAATGATCATGATATCGGTGTCATTGGACTTGATGTCGACCGCGGCCGCGCGGCAAATGGTTAAGCAGACGACAAGGGCGGCGAGGAGGACCATTTCCAGCACTCGAGGATGGCGTAAGGGTACAAACGATGATCAGCCCGTGGAAGCTTGGGGCGGGTAAAATGGTGAGAGGAGAAAGAGTGCGGGAGAGAGAGAGGGAGAGAAAGAGGGAGAGGGAGATAGAGAGGTGCCTCACCTGGGGACGTGAGAGAACCGAGTTGAAGGCGCGAGGAAAGAAGGACTCAAAACCGTGTAGCAACTGGAAGGCGAGTGCCTCCCACTCACTCCATGTAGTAGGTGTATGTACCTACCCTATGCGGTACCTTGGTACATGTAGTCAGGCATTCCCGTACGTCGTTCTTCAATCATGGGCCACTTTCTTCATGGAGTGGTTGCCTGAGGCACACTTGACCCTCCACAGATACATGTACCTCAGGTATCAACGAGTCTTATAACAGTCTGGTCTTGTGGGATGAAGATGGTTCGGAGACCGGCTCTCGTGCCTGCCGGTTGACGGCGACAGCGAGAGAGAGAGAGAGAGGCGGTGGTGCACAAAGATGACACAGATGGCAGATGAGATAATAAAATGATTTATGCGCGAGCATACATTAGTAAGGTATACCGTGTATAGGTGTACCTGCGTCCTGTACTTGGAGGTATTTACTGGCAAATTGGGTCACTGGAGTGGGTGAGGTGGGCCAAGGATTCGATCGACAGGAAAACGGAGTCTGGAAGGCTTCGGTCACTTCGGTCTGTGGCTGCGGCACTAGGAACCTTGAGGTACGATGCTGAACCGGGATGTTGGCGCGTCTTGGGACTGATATGACGATCTGGTGTCGAGTTCTGCCTGTCGCTAAGGTAGCCATGTAACTATCACCGACCTACATGTACCTACACACTCGTCGTACATCCATACCTACCTTACCTAGCTTGCATCTCTGTCGCACTGTATTATTACTGAGTCTCGTTGCCACCATGTTCCGCCCATGTTCACGCCCATATCGTCTCTGAACGCGAACCTTGGCTTCGGCCTGGAGCCCGTCGAGCGACAATGTCTGCCGGCAACCCATTCCGACGCTCACGCGTGCCTGTAGAGCCCGATGCTGCATCTGCCAACATCTTTGGTGCTGTCAGAGCCGCCCCGGATCAGGCGGCTTCCTGTAAGATTGCCTGCCGCATACCACACATGCAGTCGGATGTCGCGTAGGATGTGAGGTTGACGAGATGTTGCAGCGACACCTCCTCCTCTTCTTCCTCCTATGAAGACGGGAGGAGTCGTAAATCAGCCACATACGCCAGAAGAAGCACACAGTCCACGCAATGGAGACAGGAGACCACCTGCAAACGACGACGACGCAAGGGGAAATTCGCGGGACACACACACCTCGGAAAACGACCGCCGCGAAGACGAGTTCACGACAACAGCAGCCTCTTCCGCGGTGGACCAGGCGGCGAGTGACCAGAGAGGAAGTCTGCGGCGTACGGATGCGGCGGCCGGAGGCATGCGGGCTCCTTATAATCCATTCGCCAGAACGTTGGCATCAAGAGAGGCAGGATTTGGATTGTCGGAAGATAGCAGGGAGACCGCGGAAGGAGGCGGAAGGGAGAATGAGCAGAGGGCAAAACCAGCGCTGGATGTGGATGCATTTAAGAATATATTGATGACTGGAGCTCCCATACCAACAGGTCTGTCGACGCATTTGGGCACACCTCGCCCACATCACATCACCACCGAAGCTCCTGCAGCATATGATGCTGCATATGGCGCGCATCCAGAGTCGCCGCGGGACATACACCATGACTATGACTCGACATCAGAAGACGATGAGAAATCTGAACTCATGGGCATTGGGAGGTCTGAAGATTTAGCGCCACCAGCACCGCCTAAGCCAAAGACCAAAGGACCACAGACAGTATCCTTTGCGGACTTTGATCAGTCCATACCTCCAGGCTTTGTTTCATCGCGCTCGCGGTCACCTCATATCAACGCACAACACTTGACTGGTATACTGCGGTCAGCCTCGCCTAGACCGGGCAGTGATCTCAACAAGCCTTTACCGGCGCCTCCAACAGAACCCACAGAGAAATCATCTCCAGCTTTAGCTGATGCTAGCGGACCTCTACCGCGGGCGGACGTGCAGAGCCCCACGACTTCATCATCCGCAAAATCGATTCCGCCTCCTCCGCCCACGAGGAAGTCTGGAGCAGGCCATGGTCGCGCACGAAGCAGCTCTAATCTTTCCAATATGACGACGGATTCAACATCATCGACGCTCGCGGATTCTGGCCCCTCGACGTCGTCAAATAAGCTTGCGCCACCTCCTCCACCAACCAGAAAGTCTGGCAATCATTCCACAGCGCAGCCTCAAGCAAAAGGGCCGTCCTCTCCTCATCCCGAAGCTAGGCTTACACCGCCGCCCCCACCTCCACTGCGACGACTTTCCAGCAGGTCCGCGCGAGGCACATCGAATCTCGGTCGGCAAGCCTCAGAAGACGGCTCGAGTATGGCAGAGACTACGCCCGCGCCAACGACCTCTGCACCCCCGCCACCGCCGCCCCGTCGTCCTGGCTCTAAGCGTACGAGTCTTGACGGGGCACCCAGCTCATTCCCACGCAGGCTTAGTGGTGAATACTATCGAGGGACTAGCTTTGATAGTGAGAGGCCCCCTTCTATTTCAAGCTTGCAGAAAGTAGCCGAAGGTGGCGAAGGCAGTGAGCAAGCTAGTATGTCGCCCGGCGCAGAAAGAGACATTCTGGCAGAGATGAGCGCCTTTCAAGCCGAGATAGACGCGCTCTCACAAGCTGCCAAGGCCAAGTGATACTCTCCCATGATGATATGAACTCCAATTTCCCAATTCCCTCCACCTGCATCTTGACGCTTGTAGTATAGTTCTTCAGATGATGACATCCACAACTTCTGGAATCTTGAGTCTGTTGTGATGATTGTCATCTGTGTCTCAATGTCAAATTGGTAGGATCATCAAACACTGTGCTCCCAGCCTGCGCGAACACAGTACCATGAGACAGCGCATAAAGGTGTCCCAGTGATGAATGATGCCGCCCTCAAGACCTTGATTGAGTAAGGTAAGCTCCATGTAGACAGGCCACGAGATGGAGAGGGGATAATAGATTGAGCTACGAAGTAGTAGCAGCAGGTCCTCCTTTGAAAAAGTCTTGTTTACCTCACCCCAAGGTAGTAGTAGATGAAATGACCGTAATTGCACTATAGTCCATACGAGTGAGGTAGGCAGTTAAGGTAGGTGTTGATGAACCTATCCCATCATTCCTACACCGAGAGAAAAAGAGTCGAAATATACGTAAGCTGTATATAGGTACTGTACCTTACTTTAACCGCCCAATTGAAGTTTGTAAGATGAGGTTCAAGCAGTCTGTTCTAAATGGCTCGCTTAATTTCCGTGCTAGCTCATGTCTATTTTTTTGGGCTACGGGCAGACCCCAATTCCTTAGTCATCAGCAATTGGATGGATTGAACTCATTGGACTAACACCAGTGCATTGCACTACCTCGAATAAATAAGAAACCCCTCTCGATTCTTGGATTTGACAGGGCTTGCTTGGAGTAGCATAGTGTGCGTAGTATATCGTCGGAGTAGTATATAAATCAGAACTGTGTCGACATCAGGACCGGATACTGAAATTCGTGAGGACACACCATTAAGCGTTTCCACATACCAGATGGTCAGAGGCTTGATATCCGATTTAGTATTACTTTGCAACAAGGCATATCCAATGTCATACCACTACCTTAAGGGTGTATGTATGACAAACCTGGTGATGTACCTTACACGGATTCCCTGCTGATGCAAAGGTAGTCAATTTTTCGGTGCGCCTCATGGTCTTCGAGAAGTCACGGTGGGTCTGGCGTCAGTCAGCGCACAGCAGGTGCATGGAAATAAGAACAAATGGAAGGGGAACCACATCTGACAATAAATATAACCAGTTTCACCATGCTTGAACGCTACAAATCCTATCCCCAATCAGAATGCATATATATGCCCCCAGAAATGCCGCCTCCCAGGTCACAATGACTATTCATGTCCCGTCTCTCATAGGTCCCATCTCGCAACAACACAGCATGAGCCTGGCAATTCGTGCAACAATCATGAAAGCGTGATCCACATGCAGTGGCGCGTGGGTTTGATGCTCCGGACCGACTTGATCTCCCCTCATACTCTCAGGGTGCTCTTCCAATTCTTGGTAGTTTCCAAATGCTCCTGATCCGCCAATCCCGAGTCCCTGGCGATACTACACGCGTGACGCTCCGCCGTTTGTGTCATCGTGAGAAGAGTGACTTTGAATCTGACGTTGTCTTTCAACGAATTGCTCGCGCATGACTTCGTAGAGAAACATGAACTGCGACTCTCCTTGCACCATCATCATACGCTGCTGGCGAAGTCTGTCAACAGTGTCGGCGATGGGATCTTCCTGATCTTGTAGATGATCGAGTTGTCCCGAGAACAGGAGACTCAACAGGTAGTCGAGTGCGATGAAAGTGCCCGAGCGACCAACACCAGCAGAGCAATGCACGATTCTGGGATTGTCCTGGTCGGTCCGCGCAAGGTCTTCGGCGAATGAGGTTCCATTCGTTGTAGCAGTCGTCTCGGTCGATGGTGCACGATTGAGCTGGGCCGACAGCCTAATGAGTTCAACTAATGCTCGACGATCGTCCCCTTCAGGCACTAAGAAATCTGGCCAGCCCGAAAAGAGTAGATGCCGAATTTCCATCTCGTGAGGCTTTCCATCGTCCTGAGTGATGGCCACCCGAAGGTGACGAATCTCACTTCTCGTCCTGCCATCACGGTGCAGCTCAACGAGCTGCACCTCTCCGGCGAATCCATCGTCATAATGCTCATCGTGTGGAATGGTGAGCGGACTGTGCTCGGCATCCAGAGGATAGTACTGGAAACACTTTTCCCTACCCGCCTCATGCGTCTGCGTTAGCATGACCACCACCGCAGGATTCTTCAGCTCCGAAGCCACCATGCGATAGAAGTGGTTGACATTGGTGTTCTTTGGACCCTGCGTAGCAATGTACCGCCTCTTGCCGAGCTGGATTGGAGAAGCATTGATGTAGTCGCTGACACCTTCGCCCACCCTCAACTTGATGCGGTTGTGCGCGAAGGGCTCCACATTCAAATATCGATTCCGCTCTTTCACGGCCTCGTCGTTGAGGCGGGCGAACTGCGAAGGCGGGTCATTCGGTCGCAGAGGATGCTGTGTTCCTTGGAGAAGCCGATTGCGCTGCTGCCACTCCAGGTCGATGAATTTGTTGTGGAGATCGAATTTGGTCTGTCTGAGAAAGGCCGGCAGGGCAGACGATCGAGGCGCAGCCATGTGTCGGGAGGATGCAGATGCCGTGGAGGTGGTGGCGCATGCGGCAGCTGGCTTCAGCAGAGTTCTGCCTCTTGCACTGAAGAGACTTCTCGTGCGTGGCAGTAGCTCCTAAAGTCGGCTGAATGCAAGTGGAAGTGAAGTGAGACAATACCTGGTCAATATCTTATGTCTCCAGCCAGCCCGCTAGCCAGCCTCTCTTCTCTGTCCCTCGGTCTCTCTGCCGTTACTACTGTGTCGGAGCTGTATCTGAAGCCACAACGGCTCCCCAGTACAAGGTCAAATGGAGGTTGGAAGCAATAAAAGTACAAGTACAAAGCGAATTCGCGCAGCGACTGGGGAAAAGAGAAACGTTCCTTCGGATCGGAAGCAATGGGAAGCGAAGTCTCAGGCTCTAGTAGTACGGACGATAGGAATATGGTTCATCGAATCACACGGTGACGCCTGTTGTGTTTCTGAAACATGCCAAAAAACACAAACCGCTGTCGATCCCTGCGCGCTTGTGCTGACGACGTAATTTAGGTCTACCTCACTTATCCATGCCCTCTCGATCTTGCACCCGTCTGGCTGAGCACCATAGCGCACCCATGGATGCATACCCACATTCTGCATGTCACCGTCCGTCAATCACCATCACAGGTCCCTGCTGCGCATGCATCATCTGAGGCATATCGCAAAACAACACGGCATCACACGAGTGGCAACTCCGTGGCGACATTGTGCCCAAGGGACATTCGCCGCTCCCGAACATATCGCGACGAGATTGTGCTATTGTTGGACACGACGTTCCAACTTCCAAAACACCCTCCCCTGAGCACCGTCAATACACTTTCAATTGCTCCGAAGTAGCCAGGTCAGCCCTAGTTCTACCTCCTAGCCGAAACCGGCAAATATTCAGCCCTATCGTGGTATTGCAGCCACTTCCAGATCGGTGATCAGCCCTACTCCAGCCCTACCGAGTCCAGGTCGACCACGAGTCTCTCCACATCCACGAGCTCACCTTTCCATATCCTCCCCTTCCATTCTCGGATCCGGCCAAGACGAGACGCGAATACATTGTAGTCGGTAGAACATGGCTCCATGGCTGCGGGTCCTAGAAGCCTACGCCGTCGAAGCCCTCCTCCGCACCCCCGCCTTCCACCGTGGCGTAGAAAAGGTCGCCAAGCAGGTCCATCGGATACGCCATGGTCTGCCTCATGAGGAGCCTGGCGGAACTAACATTTCCGATTCGTCGAAACCTGGCTTTGGAAAGCACTTCATTGAGGAGTTGAAAGGGCAGCTGGGGCAAGCAGAAAGGCGAGAGCTAGAAGAGGCGGCGATGAAGAAGAGGACGGACGGAATAGATGCAAGAGGTGCTGTGAGTGACGCTGATACACAGCGCGCTGAGAGGGTGTGGCAAAGCATGCAGTCTGCAAAGTCGGGACACACTGGCCAGGCGAGGAAGAGCACAGCACAAGAACAGGCCGATGCGGATGCTGCGTGGAGAGAGACGCAGGCCAGACTGAACGAGAAGCCAAAGGCGGGCTTTTTGGGCGCGTATATCGATGCAATCAAGGAGCAGATTGGAAATGGCAAATCTTCGAGATGATGATGCTGGCAGATTCTCCTCGAACGTATACACGGATCACTCTGGACGCACCGCAGCAGGAACGGTCTGAATGTGCCGCGATACACCAGACAACGTTGGATGTTACTCTCAAGAACGTCGGGCGTTGGCTGAAGGTTCTATGAAGTCTGCGCGGGTGTGTAGAAGAGATGGTTGCGCTGATGATCACGTGATTCGTCAGCTCATGATTGCGCGGCAAACCAAACACTACCTAGGTACCTAAGCTACACTCAGTGTACTATCGCCTCTCATCGTATCAGCATGCAGGTCACAATACCACCAGCGCTGGCGCCATCGACGATGGACGTCTGAAAAGTGGTCAGGTCATCCCTAGTCAATGATATCTCCCCGCCACCACGGATTCTTTCGCTGTGCTCGACCATACCTGTTTACAGCTTGACTATTGGAACCTGTGGTTATCCGGAATTCTACTTAGCAAGCTACGAACTTACGAACACCACCGATCACGCGGACGGCGAGACTGTGCCTTCCAGATCAGGATGCCAAATCTGTATCGGAGCCGCTCAATATTTGGCCCTTATCTACTGCGGGAAGGCACTTTTCCTTCGCCCAAGCTGGACAAGAGCACCGGCTCATCCAGCTCGCTCCTCGAATGCGACAATAGGCCGCGATCACAAGTACTTATGTGCGTAGCACTGTTTTGTATGAGCGGTCTTCCAGTAGAAGCAGTCCGTAGGGATGGTCACTATATACTGTAACACTCGCTTGCTTTGCTTCTACTTTCGAAGAGCGGAAGCCTTTCCTTTGAGGTTGTGAAAACTCTTACTACAGTGTATTTTGGCCGAGGTCTGAAGTATGACTTAGGAGAGAACTAGGAGATGTATTTGTTGAGATCGAACGAATGCACCCTGGTAGCGCTCGGGATATAGCTTGGAAGAACAGAAAGATGGCTGAGGAGATTGCAAAGGGCGTTCTGGCGAAGGCGAGGTGGAGTGAAAGCGAGCTTGTTAGTGATGGTAAGCCGTATGTATAACGCCATCGTCTTCAGAGCACTTTCAGAAGCTGTGGTGAACAAATACAATGTTGCGTTGGCAAATGACATCGAGTTCTACCCTCAGCGAGCACTTCCAATAACCAGAGGTGAGGTTCTATGAGAACCGTGCCAACAACGCAAACCAGTGTACTCTCGGTGCTAGTCACGCCAGGCGCCACACTCACCAGGCTACCTAGAATATTATACAACGGTATCCTTGGCGGTTCAGGAGAAGCTCCACCGTTTCCATACAGGCAACACCGTTATTATTAACACTGAAGGAGCCGAGAGACATTCAAAGTGCTTCATAAGTCTTCTCTTACAAGCCTTGCTAGTTACGCCCAGTCTCATTCTTGGTACCTAGGATACCGCAAAATGCTCCCAAAGCTCTTGGAGTGCGAACGGGGGTAACAAAGCTGTGCTCAGGCTAGCTATAGGTACCTAGTTGACACCTATGCTTCAGGAAACAACCGCCGTACCAGACATACAGACTGATACAGTGTATTTGCATAAATCTTGGTACCGAGCTAGCAATGAGAATAGACCCTGGAACATAGTTAAATTGATGGGCTCACAGTCCCTGACAAGTTGCTGTGTGAACTGTGAACTGTCGGTGCGGATACAATTAAGCTTTTCCGACGGCGCTTCTGCAAAGACCGGCGGGCGGATGTGCCTGAGGTGTCTCTTCCATCTTGTATGCTAGATGCGCAGCACAATATAATTAACACACTAGAATACGATAAATGCCCAAGGGACACCAGAAATAAGTAACTTCCAGGTTGTCAGTTGTAACGGCACGTGGACTGTTCTGCTGAAGAGTCGTTACATGGCACAATAGGTAAACTTCGCCGCGCTCGAGAGGGAATGAATGATTGGCTCACAAGAGAGGCTGGCCCTGGGTCCCGCCACCAGTGTCCGGAACCTAGAAGTTTAGCGTCTTGTGCCCGGCAGGCGTTGTCTTTCTCTTTGTGGACCGCATGCGTGCGGGCGACTTTGTTGCTTCATTTTCTCTTTCACACTTGCTCCTACACGCGGCGTGCTGTGTGTGTGTATGTGTGTGTGTGCTGGACGACTTTCTCTGTTCTACTGCATTCGTTTGGGCATATATTGGCATCTTGTACGACCAGGAGAGACAGTGACAGGTGCCCATCTCGCGACCAGCATACCTGTATCTGCCGACAGCATTCTGCAGCAGCAGCAGCACCACCACCACCACTCGTCGGTCCTCATCACATGCTGGCCACTCCTTCACTCGCATAACAGCGTGCTCGTCGAACACCTTTGAGGTCTACCGGATAGCAGGTCACTTCGACTCCGCCCAGAGCAGCTCTACCTCCCATCACCCTTCGATACGAAGAGCTCCCGCCCCAACCGAATTCCACGCGCACAGAGTCACTTCCCACTACGACGCCGCCGCCATAGTATACTCTAGCTACATTCTACTCATCCCGTCATGTCGAACATCATCGGCAATCGCAACAGCACCCCCGAGACCTCGTCCTCCTCGCTCGGCGGCTCCACTCTTCGCCCACCACGCACGTTGACAAGTGCTGGACACCACTTGCGTGCTTCCGCCGACATGAGCGCCTTCTCGGCCGCTTCGCCGCTCGCTAATCGAGGTATTAGGCCTGCTTCGGAGGTCTATTTCAACCAGTTCAGCCAGGGTGGTAGCTCCTCAAACCCAGACGAGGTGGCAGAGCGGGCCGCTCAACAATGGATTGCGGACATCGATCAGTATGAAACCACGCTCGAGGAGATGGCTGCAGCGACTCTGGACCAGGACTTCAAGGACGAGCTGAGCGCCATTGAGCAGTGGTTCCGTGTGCTCAGCGAGCCTGAGCGCACGGCAGCTCTTTACGCGTTGCTCCAGCAGACTACACAAGTCCAGATCCGCTTCTTCATTCAGGTGCTGCAGCAAATGGCCAAGAGTCACCCGATGGCTGGTGTCTTGTCTCCCGCCACTTTCAATGAGAAGGAACCCATGACATCGAGGATGAACGACGCTATCAATAAGCTGAATGTGGAAGGTTCGCGCGCTTCCTTCGGGTTTGGCAGTAAGCCACCACCTTCGCCAGGTGCCAAGCGAATGTCTGGCCTCGATCCGAACACGATCAAGTCCATGTTTCCAGATGCCGCAAACGCCATTGAGGATCAAAAGGCGGAATTCCAAAAGACTACTGGGAGTGTTCCAAAGAGCAACAGGAACAGCGCGGTTGGGGACAGGTCATCGCAGTATATGCCTACCATTGCAGCGCCAGAAGAAGATAAGAAGAATGGATCTTCTGGTATACCATCTGGTCCGTGGAGAAGCAGCGGCGGTTCGCAAGGTGGTGAGAACCTACCTCCCATTGGCAGGCCCAAGTCTTCATCTAGCCAGCAGCAAGGTAGCCAGCAAGTGATGGGCCAATTTGGCGTGGGCCAGGCTCCTTTATCTGCAGGGCTGCGCTCTGGCAGACCGTTCCCCATCTCGAGTGATAATAACATTCAGAGTCAAACTGCAAGCCAGCTCGGACACAATGCTGACGGCATGCCGATACTGTCTCCTTACGCGCCTGGTCAAAGCTGGGCTTCGATGACCAATACTCCTATGGTTGCCAACTTCAGCCAGCAACAGAGCGCCTCCCAGGCTGACATGGTTGCCAATGCCACTGCCATGAAACTTGCCGCTCTCTCTACTGTCAACAACCGTATTCACCTTGATGATCCTCGCAAGTTTCGTCGTACCCGTTCCTCGGAAGGGCAGAATGGTCAACAGCCACTTTCACCGGCCATGCCAGGTCATCTCATCTTGGACCCTATGGGCCAGGGCTTCACACCCCAGCAAGCTGCTGCCCTTCAGCAACATCAGATCAACACCATTCTGCAGAATCAACGCTCGCGTCCATCGTCGCCAGGTATTGCCATTACCGGTCCACCTGGAGGCAACCCTGTCATGAACATGGCTGGAATGCAGAACAATGTAAGTACTAGCAATCTTAGTGGCATATTTTGATCTCACATTCTCAGCCCGGCTCATTCGGGCTAGGGTGGCGAGCTGGAAGACAGACATTGCTTAAGCCCTGACCTCACATCACTAACATCTGCTGACTTTTTCAATTCAGGGCTACCTGGCAGCCTACGACAATGGCATGGGACAGCTCAACAACGGTATGGCAGGCATGAACTTAAGCAACTTTGCTCTCGGCAACTTCGGTAACGAGGGCTATCTATCGGATGCCAGTGAAATCAATCGAGGCAGATCACCACGGGGTCGACGAGGTAGCTCCAAGCCGCCGGAGGATCCAACCGATATCGCACTACTGCGAGACATCCCGAACTGGCTACGAACGCTCCGGCTCCACAAGTATACTGATAATCTCAAGGATATGAACTGGCAGGACCTGGTCGCGCTAGATGACGAGGGTCTCACAGCAAAAGGTGTCGCAGCGAAGGGCGCGCGGACCAAGTTGTTAAAGGTATGCCCATCCCTTCGAGAGGCGAAGCCAAGCCTTTTACTGATGTTTCGCAGGTATTTGAGCAAGTCCAGCAAGCCCAACAAGAAGGCCGCCTCTAGAGATGGATGCCTGACCGACGTCGTGGTGCTCGCTTCCACAGGCTTGGTAAGCTTGCGAAGAGAAGATATCTTCTTCCCAGCCGAAAGATGTGGGCCATAGACAACATCAGCTGGCGGCGCAGTACGATCATGTACTTTACCCAATGTCGGCAGTCATGGCAGACGCATTGCACCTTGGTCGGAACGGTAGAGTTGTGGAGGAAGAGCAGGCGTGTGCTCGCGTCAAGTTGGGCAGCAATGGGAAATGACACGTCGATGCAGATTGAGACGGCGGGCAAATAGGTTCGTGCTGCGAGTGTTGCGTTTGTATCACGCACTATTAACGACGAACTATGGACGACGGATATTCATGGCGAGGCGTGCGCGGCATTTTGCAAGCAAGCAATGGGGTTAGGGAAATGGTAATGGGATATCTGATCAAACAGAAAAGTTGTGCTTCAAGTCTCCGATCAAAGTGGCCTATCAGGGCCCTCAAGTGTCATGCTTTTGGGCAAAAAGACTGGAAGAAGAGTACTCTTGCAACACATGTGTGGCTTGACGACTTGTGTGAGGCGCCAGATTGTGTCGAGGTGAGTGTCGAGGTCGTTCTACAGAGGCCTCCTGTTGACTTGAAACAGTAAACGAGTGAAACGTGCCAAGCCTTTCTAAGCGCCACTCCATCCCAATCGCCCTTCACTGGCGCGAGAGGATCCACCGCACGACAATAAGAAACGACAAAGGTAACAACTAAAAGGCGTTGGAGTACTTGTTGACGAAGTTTTCATTCATCTCTAGGTTTCCATTGTACACGTTCTTTCTTATTCTGCATTCACGGCGTTGCATTGTTCCCTTTTTGCTACTACTTTGAAGAGATTCCAGCTTTCTTCACTTGTCTCTTCCTTCTGTTTCATTTCCTACCAAACCGTGCTGACGCATACCAACGACTACGACTTGTCTGAGACAGTTGATACTCGAAAGTTCAAGAAGCAAGATCATTGCCACTAGCACAAGACGTTCGTCCACGACACTCATTGAGATTTACCAAAACCAACAGCGAAGACTTTGCACCTTTCTCCGACACCTTCTGGCAAGATGTCCAACCTTTTCCCCATTATCCTGGCGCTGGCCGCCACAGCGTCTGCAGCAGCAATCCTCCCACGTGGCTACTCCAATTCCACCACCAATACAACAGTCGGACATGCATACTCTCTGGTAGCAGAGTACTCTGGTACCAACTTCTTTGACCACTTCACAGCCTTTTCCGGCTCCGATCCAACAGAAGGTCACGTCCAATACCAGACCCTCGAAGCTGCAGCAGAACAGGGCCTCATCGGCTACGTCTTTAACTCCACCTCCAACACCAACAATGCATACATCGGAGTCGACTCCCAAAACGTCGCCCCGAACGGTCGCAACGCAGTCCGGTTGACAAGCAAAGACACATTCAACGCAAGCTCTATGGCCGTCATCGATGTCATACATGCCCCGTCGCAATACGGAGCCTGGCCAGCCATCTGGCTCCTCGGATCCCAGGGTACTTGGCCTGCATCCGGCGAAAGCGACATTCTCGAATTCGTGCACCAGACGAATTACAATGCCATGACCTTACACACTTCGCCGGACTGTGTCGTCGATAACGTCACCACGTCTGCTCAACAGGGCCAACTCCTCAATTCCAATTGCAATGCCGGTAATGCCGGGACGGGATGTAGTGTTGCCGCATATGATCAAAACACCATGATATTCGGTGGCGGCAGTGGTAGTGGCGCCGCAGCTCCCAACAAGAACCAGAAGAAAAGCACCACCGCCCAAACCTTTAGCACCGCCGGCTCCGCCTTCAACAGCCAGACCGGTGGCGTCTACGTCCACGACTGGCAACCCGACGGCATCACCGTCTGGATGTTCCCCCGCGAACACCTCCCCGCAGATTTAGTCGCAGGCTCCCCCAACCCTTCCAGCTGGACCCAAACCCCTCTCGCACGCTTCACAGGCGCGGGTTGCAAATTCGACCGCGCCCTCCAGGAAATGCAACTCATCATCAACATCACCTTTTGTGGCACCTGGGCCGGCAAAGTGTGGGAGAGTAGTGGAGCGAAGAAAGCGACGGGTGTCGAGACGTGTGAGCAGTATGTGGCGAACCACCCGGAGAAGTTTGCGGATACGCATTGGGAGCTGGGTAGTGTCAAGTTTTTTTCGAGTACGGGGGAGAAACCGGGTGTGGGACCGTTGTTTTCGTAGGACAGAAGGAAATCAAAATCGACAGGAATATGGGCTTGGGCTTTTTGAGGCTGGGAAGCTTTGAAGCTTTTGCTCAAGGGTATTACAGTACGTGCCTTTTTTTTCGGCGTTGCATCTTGCAGTTTTGCGGAATAGGAGACGTGAGCGGGGTGGTTTTTTTGTTTGTTAGCAGCCCAGAAGCATCTCGAGCGAGGGAGTTTGGAATACGAGCCGCGACGAAACAGTAGCATTTTCTTTTGCAGCGTAGGAGCATAGCAGGAATCAAATAGCACTTTGGAGCGAAGACATCACATGGCAACTTACCTTTTCCCAATTTTTCTTCCCTTTTCATCGTTGGTGGCTCTAAGTTTAGCATATGCCAATTATGCTCTTCTCAAGCACTCGATTTAGTAGTCTTCATGAACTTGAATGGAATATCGGCGTATCTATACAGCCCGCCGTATCTACCCTTTGCACACCTCGACTCAGTGCTGTGTCAGCCTCGCGTAGTCTCAATGTCTCCGGATGCTAATACCTCCTTTTTACCACTTCACCGCCCCTTTTTCACCCAATCCTGCACGCTCTCCCTCACGCCGTGCACCTTCTCCTCAGCCATGGCCAGCCCCATCTGGCTATGCGCTTTTCCGGTCTCAATGAAATGCCTCACGCCCTCCTTTGCCCGAATGTGGTTATCCGCAATCACGGGAAATTTTTTCTCATACTGCCAGATCAGGTTCCCTACATTTTCCGTCGTCCTCGGCACCACATAGTGTGCGGCCACCACGCCGGTCAATATGGGCGTCACAAAGCGAAAAAGCACATTCCGATTCCGTGAAACTATGGTACCCGCCATGGCAGCCACGAGAACGTATATGCCTCCAGGCAAGAGCTTCTCATTGCTCTCTTTGGGAGGGGCCAGAGAGGCGATTGTGTTGGTGAAGTTGTGTTCTGCAGACATGAAGCGCGTCATACCGTTGTTGATGGCATCTTCGGTGCGGGTCGCATAGGAGTGGAGAGCAAGGCGACCGTTGCGAATTTGGGCGGCGAGTTTGTCAGTGGGCGTGGGCCGTCTAATCACGGTCTGCTGCTCTTGGGGAGAGTCGTTTTGTGGTTTGTATGTGATGCCCGAGGCCGGGGGAGGCGTTGTTTGGGCAATCTCGCGGGGAGAAGGCTCGTCGTAGTCGTAGATGGATTTCTTCAGGCGCTGCAATGTACTGTTAGTGGTGTGCAAGGGGGATGCGAAGTGGTCTTCTAAGAGGGTTGGCAATCGTACAATCTCTCTCACGGCGTCGGACCCGGCTTCCTCTGCGTATGCGCTGCGCTTAGGGAGAACGACGAGGCCAGCGACGAGGCCGCCGAGGGGCAGAAGGTGGTGGCGGAGGAGAGGAGCGGCCATCGCTCAGGCTGTCGGTGTCGGTGTCGGTGGCAGGCAGAGACGAAGGGAACGAAGTCGCTCTCAATGGCAGGCTGGGCAAGCTGGGCTAACAGGCAGTTCAACAGCTGTAGACGGCGGAACTCGGAGGAGAGAGAGGCTTGGCATGTATCGTCATTGTAGGCCAGTGGTCTTCACTTTCACTTTTCCTTTTCACTTTTGCCTTCACTCTGTCATTCTCTCTCTGGTCCTCGATGCGAATATGAAGCGAGTTGCGAGGCAGCGGACATGGACGTGTCCGTCATGTTCACTGCATCAATCACAACGGAGAAGTCTCGTTTCTTCCAGTCGTACCAAAGGAGCAGCCGCGGCAGCCTCCAGTGCCATCGCCGACGACTATCGACCCATATCGAAGGCCAATCCATCCATTGCACACGACGATCGCACCCTTCGCCAGGTTTTCGACTCATCCGATTTTTGGAAGGACTTCTCGTCAAAGCAAAAGTACCATCATGGAAAGAACAAAAGTGCTGGCTTGTTCCAAAACCGTTACCTTTCTGAGCCCGCTGGATTCGAGCGATGGGCCAACAATGTGCTGCAAAAGTGCCAGAAGATTGTCGCAAAGGTCTTGCAGTATGATAGCATAGACCAGTACAAGCGCATCACCCGTGATATGGATAGACTGAGCGATCTCCTATGTCGTGTCATCGATCTCAGCGACTTTATACGCTCCGTTCATCCGGATCGTCAGATACAGCACGCTGCAAGCCAAGCCTATGCCATGATGTTTCAGTACATGAACATACTGAACACCACTCGGGGCCTGGACACACAGTTGAAGAGCGCTGCAGCGATACCCGAGGTCTGGGACTCGTGGAGTGTGGAGGAGAGGACCGTCGCAGACATCCTAATTAGGGACTTTGCGAAAAGCGCCATTGAGCTTCCCGAAGAGCAGAGACAGGCGTTTGTGGACATCTCAGACGAGATCGCCGTAGTCGGGAATGAATTCGTGGATAACATGTCCGCGGAGAAGCAGGTGCTGTCGATCGAAAGCAGTCGCATGAAGGGCATGGACCCGGTCTTTGTGAGGCAATTGACGAGATGGGGTACTGTGAATCTACCTACAGAAGGCAGGATTGCAACTTTGGCACTGAGATCAGTTGAAGACCCAGACACAAGACAGGAGATATACATGGCCAACAGGACTTCGTCCGAAACGAACATACAGCGTCTGGAGCGTCTGCTGAAGAAGCGTGCGGAGCTGGCCAAGCTATCTGATTATGAGAGTTTTGCGCATATGACCCTTTCAGACAAGATGGCCAAGTCGCCGGAAGCTGTCACATCTTTCCTGGATGGCCTCGCACAAGTTAATGCGACACGAGTGCAAGAGGAGCTTCGTGAACTGTTCGAGTTGAAAAAAGGCGACGCTCAACAACATGCCGATCGAATGAATGCCTGGGACAGAGAGTACTACACCGCCCGACTACTCCAGTCGATGCGGTCGAAAGCACGAACGCCAGACGTGTTGAGTGCTTACTTCTCACTTGGCACAGTCTTTCAAGGTCTCTCGCGTCTCTTTCATCGCCTCTACGGTATTAGACTCGTCCCTCATGAGACACTTCCTGGCGAGACGTGGAATCAAGATGTCCGCAGGCTGGATGTGATCGATGACCACGAAGGCCACATCGCCGTCATCTACTGCGACCTTTTTGAACGATCGGGAAAATCACCCAACCCAGCGCACTTTACTCTTCGCTGCTCTCGTCGCATTTCTGACGAAGAGATGCAGGAAGCTGCGGAAATCACCTCGCAGCCTGATTCTCCTTTCGCAACAGCCCAAGAAGCAGTCAACGATGGTCTAGCCACAAACTTCAACCCTCGCGACAACAACGCCCTCTACCAGCTCCCTACTATAGCTCTAATTTGCGACTTCTCTCGTCCCACACCTTCCAACCACTCTTCTCGCTCACCGCGACCGGCACTACTCACGTTCCGCGAAGTGACCACCCTCTTTCATGAGATGGGCCACGCCCTCCACTCCATTTGCGGTCGAACAGCTCTACAGAATGTCTCCGGAACCCGATGCGCCACAGATTTTGCCGAACTCCCTTCCGTGCTAATGGAGAACTTCGCTTCTGCGCCTGAAGTGTTGGCCTTGTATGCCCGCCACTGGGAGACCGACGCGCCCCTGGACCCATTACGTGTAGCAGAGCGCGTCAACATCGATAGAAGAATGCAAGGCGCCGAGACAGAATCTCAAATCCTACTCGCCATGCTCGATCAACGCTTCCATTCTTCCCTTCCCCTCCAACCCACCTTCAACAGCACCGCCATCTACCACGAAACTTGGAATAAATACTCTTCCATCTCGGAGCCCATGGGCACATCCTGGCATGGCTTTTTCGGACATTTGTTTGGATATGGTGCGACCTATTACTCCTACTTATTCGATCGAGCCATTGCGGGGAAGATTTGGAGAGACGTATTTCAGCGACAAGTTGGTGATGCGATCAATCCGGAACAAGGGCAGCTCTTCAGAGAAGAGATGTTGAGATGGGGTGGAGGGAGAGATGGGTGGCAGTGTGTTGCTGGAGCGTTGCAGGACGAGACCGGTGTGCTTGCTGAAGGCGGGAAAGGGGCTATGGAGACGGTGGGGAAGTGGGGAGTACATACCTAGTTGTTATGAGTAGGGTTAATGAAGGGAGATTGGTTGGCTGTAGATAGCTGTAAATACGTGTAGGAATCTGTGTCGGAGGATTTTGCGCAGGAAGATCTGAAAAACAAAAGGGAGATCTTGGATATCAGGATAGATTGTCAACTCGATCACTCTTTTCCAATCTACCTACTTACCGACACCAATTTTCATCAGGATAACTTGAGCGCCTGAGAATCCTCTCCGAACCATCTTGATGGTACCTAATTGAAGAGAAATTTTGAGGGTGTGTGATGGGTCTATGTATGGTCCATTCATGGGTTGCCCAGAACAGTGGCTGGCTGGATGGGTGCATCTCCTCGTCGTACTCTTCTTCTTCTCGATATCGCAGGCGGGGAATACACGGCCATCTGCACTTCTTTCTCGGAGTCTCAATGTGCAGGATTGGTCTGCAGCCGTCACTGGCCGAGCTCCAGCGACTGGGAAATTGTGCCAGTGATGCATTCCATTACGACTGATATGCACTTGTGATCATGAATAAGGTGGTGGTGGGGCTGACGCCTGAAGGGTCGGACATGGTCATTTTTGCTCACACATAATGTACAGCCTTTGCGCCGTTGCGCTATGCATCCCACATACATCCATGTCAGCATCATTATGCATTCCAGCAGACCGCATCACGTCCCATTCTATCGTCTAGATTTTACCGTCTTGGCATACCACGCCCTCTGCCTCGCATGGCTCTCTGTGCGGCGCCCGGTGGTAGTCCTCTGGTGGGTGCTTGTGGATTTTGAGACTCCTGGTTCTTGATCGTCTCGTCAACACTGAGGATCAAACAGCTGGCCTCGACCGCGGCCTGGATCGCGTTGATCTTGACTAACGATGGCTCCCATACGAAGGCTTCGAGGTTGTCCCGAATGCCTTCATTGTCGAAGTCGACGCCTGCCCAAGTGTTGCCCTTGCGGTGCTCGACTCGTAATCTGTTGAGAATATCTGTCGCATCGAAACCAGCATTGTCGCACAGCTGTCGTGGAATGACTTCCAACGCCTTGGCAAACGCCTTGATGATGCTTTGTTGCTTGTGTGGCACGTTCTTGTCTGCGAAGCTGTGTAGGTATGCTGAAACTTCCATCTCGCAAGCACCACCTCCAGCCACGATGGTTTGGTTCTTGATGGCACGTTTCACGATCATGATGGCATCGTGCAGACTGCGCTCCACCTCTGCAATGAATTGCTCTGCACCTCCACGGAGGACCAATGTGCAGGTCTTGGCGCCAGGGCAGCCTTCGAAGAAATTGTAGCGTTCCCCTCCGATTTGTCGTTCTTCGAAGACCTCGCACGTGCCGAGGTGATGCGACGAGATGTCCGAGCAGGTAGACTGTATCGAGGCACCCGTCGCTTGGCAGACACGCTCAAGGTCGTCCGAAGACACACGTCCAGCGCAGAACACATCGCGATCGGCAAAGTATTGTGTTGCGAGATCTCCAATGGGCAGTTTCGAAAGGACGACCTTGGCGCCCGTGTTGTAAAGCGCCTCCATCTTGTCGTAGATGATCTTCCACTCTGCATCCACAATCGCTTGGTATTCTGAGACCTGCTCAACACGAATCTCGGCGTTGTCCTTTTCACTCTTCAGCTCTAGTTCCACATTCAGGCAGACAATCTTCGGGTTCTTGAAGGCTTTGGGCTGTTGTTCGAAACCAGCATATGAGAAGGTCTTCTTAAATGCAACGCCGTTGACGAAGAGAGAGTCCTGGAGTGCTCCGCCGGTAATCTTCTTGATCCCAATGAGCTTCTCGTTTAGATCGTCCTGGTCCAAAGAAAGTACGGCATCCACGACCACTGTAACATTGTCAGCCTAGCCATATTAATCCACGCTCCTCGGCAGGCACTCACTCTTGGTAAAGAATTGCTCGTTGCGGTAGATGAGCTTGCTGCTCATGGCTGTCCTCGCCAATTTCCTCAACGTCTCGCGCTGGTTGTCCTCGCTTGTGCTCACCGCGATCTCCTTGACTTTGTTCACAGCCATGGTCCCCGCTCTTCGCAGGCCCTTGATGATGACCTGACTACTGACACCCTGCTCGACATGTTCTTTGATCTCCTTCAGCACCTCACCCGCCAACACGACCACGGACGTTGTGCCATCTCCCACTTCTGCGTCCTGCGACCGCGCAATGTCTGTGAGGATGCGTGCTGCTGGGTGCACGATATCGAGGAGTTTCATAACGGTCGCGCCATCGTTTGTGATCGTCTGTTTGCCATTCTCGTCTACAAGCAGCAAGTCACCGCCGTACGGCCCTAGCGTGCTCTTGATGGTCGACTGGACTGCCAGACACGCGTTGATGTTGGAGATGATCTGGCCCTTTCCCTGTGACTGATCCGTTCCTGTCCATGGTCAGTACCTTTGGCCCTCTATCAAGTTGTCGCTGCCGGTGCTTCTGATTCTTACCCTCTTTCAGGACAATGATGGTTGGCGTTTGTCCGCCGAAGGACATCTTGGCGTGTGTTTCGGTTCAATGGCGCTGATGGCGATTTCGGAGACGTGCGGTTCGTGTGTTCGGTGTTTAGCGTTGTGGGAGGCTGTAACGGGACGTCGTGAAGCGGTGATGTATCTGTTTCCTCGAGCTTCTCTCAATCACAAAAATCCATCGCGTTCAGGTCCGCGTTTCGAGCAACGAATCAGGCAAGGTCTGCCGAAAGGATCCACTTTTGTCTTGGCAAGAACTGCCATTTCTCTTCACTTCTCTTTGACTTCATCTGTCCACTTCCACAGCATCATGCAGTGCTCCGATGGCCGCCAATCCGCCACTCCGACCATACTTCCGTACCATTTAGAGGCGCTGCTCAGCAAGCGCCGTTGTGCAGATGAGATAGGCCAAGACGATTGACGTCTTGCAGCATCGGCTGTCATTAGGGCCGGCTAACAAACATCAGGATAAGTGGCACCTCATTCTTATGTATATCATCTCGTATCCCTTCATATCTTTCATCGAGATATTACACAAACGAAATGCGCGTTGCTGTCCTCATATTTGCTGGGGTCAGCCTAGTCCGGGCCTCACAGCCCATTGCCAAGGTCCTCAATGGCTCGTATTCTGGAATACATCTTCCCCAATTTCAACAAGATCTTTTCCTCGGAATACCTTATGCTCAGGATACTGGAGGTCAGAATAGATTTCGGGTTCCGCAAGCACTGAATGATACATGGAATGATACCCGGCCTGCCACAAGCTACAGCGATGCTTGTCCGAGCATTGATTCTAGTGACAAACTTTATGGGATGAGTGAAAATTGCCTCAGCATCAACATCGTTCGTCCTGCAGATGTCGCGCACGATCTTAAGCTGCCTGTCTTACTCTGGATTCACGGCGGTAGCTACCAAGTAGGCACTTCCGGACTTCCAAACTACAACCTCACCTACATAGTGCAGCGGTCCGTTGAGATCGGAAAACCTATCATTGGAGCATCGATCAATTACCGCAAAGGCGGTTGGGGTAACATGTACAGCATCGAAATACAAGGCTCTGGCAACACCAACTTAGCACTGCGCGATATGAGGAAAGGCCTCGGCTGGATCTCGGAGAACATTGGTGCTTTCGGTGGCGATAAGCACTCTGTCACTATATGGGGTGAAAGCTCTGGCTCTTTCGCTGTAGGTCAGTTGTTGATTAGCTATGGTGGTAGAACCGATCAGCTATTCCATCGCAGCATCCAGGAATCTGGTTCTGCAGCCACCGCGTGGTACAATGGTACCGACTGGTATCAGCCGATCTACGACAACATCGTCAACCAAGCCAACTGCACAGATGCAGCCGATACACTTGCTTGTCTTCGCACTCTTCCATACGAGGAAATCTACCCTCTCTTGAACGCATCAAGACTCGTCGGTGCACCAGGCTGGTATCCAACCGTAGATGGCGATATCATCCCAAACTTCCCCACCACCCTGCTCGAGCAAGGTCGATTCGCTCAGATACCCCACCTATACGGCTCAAATTCAGACGAAGGCACCGACAACGTGATCCCAGGAATCGACACCGACGAAGAACTCCGTTACCACCTGCAACACAACACTGGTTTCCAATTTCCCAACACGACCATCGACAAAATTCTCGACCTCTACCCCGATGACCCTGCAGTGGGCGTCCCAATCGACACGGGAACAGAACGTTTCACGCAATACGGCTACCAATACAAGCGAGCCGCAGCCATCATCGGTGATGTCTTCTACCATGCCCCTCGATTGGCCGATGCTCAAGTCTACGCCACCCACTCTCCCACATACATTTACCGATTCAACACGCGACCCTGGCAAAATGCAACCGGAATGTTAGCGGCCGCATACAAAGGCGTGCAACATTTCAGTGAAGTGGCTTTCGTCTTTGCGAATCCTGATTTTGTGGGCCCGTTTCCAGACTATCGGGCATTGAGTGACCAGATGAGCGCGCAGTGGATTCATTTTGCGCATGCGGGAGATCCTAATGGGCGGGGCTTGCCGAAATGGCCGAGGTATAATCAGGAGGAGGACGACGAGGAGAAGAAGAAGGGCTGGAATTTGGTGTTGCAGAGTAGTAGGCAGGGAGGCAGTTACGTTGAGGAGGATACGTATCGATTGGAAGGGAGGGAATACTTGAATCAGTGGGCGAGACGCAGGCATGTGTGAAATGAATTGCATGTGATGTTGTTATTTGTAGAAGAGCTGTAGCTGTCCTCTTGGAAGGCATTGTAAGACATTTTGAGCATCTCTATGCGCTGAGACTGTCTCTCTTCGACTTCAATGTTATACACATTCCAGGCAATCTTTCAAATTGACCCCATCAGCCTCTTTGCTCGCTCGGTTCAGCTCGGTCCAGTTCAGTCAGTCAGTGTACTGTTGTTCTTGTTGAGGCATATCTCAATTCAGAGCCTCACTCAAAGCCCGCCAACCAGCACTCTCCCACGGTGCCATAAAAGCTGCTCGCTGCGCATCACCCACACTCCCCACACCAGCGAAAGCCCGAGCCAGATCTGCCGCGTGCATACTTCCATGCGGCGGCACAGCCTGCGCGGAAGTTTGCAAAGCCATCTGTGCAGCATGATCCTCACCCGTCAATGCTGCAAGCTGCGACCACGCGTGCGCGTCTTTGGAGTTGAGCAGGATTGCAGTTTGGACTTCTGTGAGAACGGTCTCGTCTGACCTCTCGGTGCTGGAGAAGAGTCCAGCGAGGGCTTCGAGGAGGGTTTCAATGCCAGCAAGCTGCTTCTTTGAGGAAATGCAGTCTTTTGTGCGTAGAGCGCGCAAGTCGTCTCGTACGGCATTCGCAGTGTCTTCGTCGTTGTCTAGGGCAGCGATGGCGCCCAACAGGGTGATGACCCCAATGTGCTCCGGGTGCTGTTCGGCTGCACTGAAGAGCTGCTTGCGTGCGACATCTTTCTCCGTCTCTCCTCCTTGAGCCCACAGCACTTGTACAAGCGAGCAAACAATGTCGGGGTCGTTTCCACTCTCCACAAGAGCTGCTTTGAACATGCTAACGCTTTCAGACATGTCTTGGAGGTAGTACTGTGCGAGACCGGCAGTCAGGTGTGCTGAAAGACGCAGCTTTCGTCTCGCTTCTGCATCGAGACCGCTACTATCGGCATCGGAAGAGAGGTCAAGTGCTGTTGCTGCGTTCTCTGCTGCAGCTGAGAAGTCTGCGGTTGCGAGTTGGTTTCGCGATAGATCGGATTTGGCGAGTGCGTATTGCGCCAACGCTGACAGTGACTCGCTGGCTTCATAGTCTGCTTCAGCAGTCTCACTGAGTTCTGTTAGGGTTTCAATGGCCGCGGTGTGATTACCGACTCGCTCCAGGAACAGCGCTGCGAGATGTCGGTATGGCAGATCTTTGGGAACCTGCGTTCGAAGCTGCTCGAGCGCAAATATAGGTTGTATGAGCTTCGTGAGATCATTCGAAGCAGTCTCTGTTGAGAGGAGGTAGTCGAAGCTGGAAGTGGCATATTGTCGCTTACTGATGAGTGAGGCCGAATCAGATATCTCAAAAGCGTGCGTAAAGTGGTTCAACGCCTCTTTGGTGTCGCCTGTCATGAGAGCAATGATACCTTCGCCTACCCAAGCATGCGCATACTCCGGGTCGGTGCTCTGCGCACGCCCGAAGGACTGATGGGCAAGTTCAACGTCGTTCTGCAGCAGGTAGAGGACGCCCAAGTTGGCCCAGACTTTGGCATTCAGCTCGTTGAGATGCAGTGAGCGTACGAAGGAGTGCTGTGCGACCTTAGGGTTGAGAGTTGTGGTGACCACACCGAGTGCATTCCAGAGCTCAGGACTTCCAGCTTCGAGTTCGATAGCCCGTTTGAAACATCGCACGGCTGTGGTCAGATGGCGTCTGCCAGCCTTTGCTGTGCTGCTAGCGTGAGCTCGCTGCTCAGCCCAGCCTAGGTTGTACCACGCTACTGCCTGGGCGTGAAGATCGTGCGCGGCCGAGTGAATCGCCCTCTTGTATGCCAGGATTGCGGCGACTGATGGTTCTGGGAGTGAGGCAGAAGCGGTCCCGTTCGCGCTATCAGTGTCGAGCGCGGCCAGAGATATAAAGTCGACATCCGCGAGGAGTTCGTACATACTCTGCTCGGCGGAGAGACTGAGTAGATCCTGAACCTGGTCAGACGGGAAATTTTCGATCTTGCTCTGCGCCCACGAAAATACTGAGCATGCATCACCAACTGCCTTCCACAGGTTGAAAGCATGAGGCGTGTCTTTGGCTACCAGGGCGGCGACTGAGAGTGCACTGATAGCACACTGCACGGCTTGTCCATACAGTCCAGTCTCCACACATCTGGAGGCGTGTTCGACATAGCATTGAAGCAACGACATGAGCACGCCGAATTCAGAGGGGCGGTCCTCTAGCACGCCTTTCAGACCAGAAACTGCCTCGTCATACTCGCCCAGCTCTCTGTGCACGTTTGCCAGCATGTATCTTGCAAACCACGTCTCGCCACTTATCTTCAACTTGGCGTTATCATGCGGCTGTAGGGCATACGTAAAGGTTCTCAGTGCCGAGTTGTATCTGCCTGAGTTGTGATAGCTCTCGCCGAGCCCAACATACGATTGATAGTCATCTGGACTGATTCGCAGAGCAGCAAGAAAGGAAACAATCGCCTGCTGGTATTCTTGTTTGTTCATCTGAACCACCCCAAGCGCAGAGTACGGCCAGCTGATACCTTTCTTCTTAGAGCCCGGAGGAGGCCGTGCCTTTCCAGAATCCACTACACGTTGCGCAACGACTTCAACGATGTCCCAATCGCCTTGATCAGCGAAAGACTTTGCCAGGCGTTCCGCGGCCTCGACTTCAGCTGGTGAAAGTTCGAATGCCTTCTGAAAGCATTGCCGAGCACGCTTCTTGTCCTTGGCATAATCTCCGTAGTAGATTCCGAGTTTGGTGTATGCCGGCGCATAATTGACATTGGTCTTGATGGCGGCCAGGAAGTGACTATACGCACCATTGCGATCTCTGCGGGCAGATTTGGATTGATCAGATTCCCATACACATACGCCTATGCGATATATGGTCTGCGCCCGCAGATCTCTTGTCCGGGGATCATCAGCTCTGATTGTCTGAAGAAAGTCGTTGAGCTCTTCCAGCGCTTGTGGATAATCGCCGCTCAGTGCCCTACACCAAGCAAGCTCTGTGCCCACACGCACATTTCCTTTGTCCTCTGCGAGAGCACGTAGAAAGAAATCAATGGCGTCCTGATAGTCTTCGGTCTCCTCGAGAATCAATCCTAGGCCGATGAGTGCTGGTGTAAACTTCGGCTTCCTCTGTAGAATCTCTTCAAACAGACGCTTCGCTTCGGGATGGTTACGCGGTGCCTGATGATGCACAAGAGAAGTGCCAAGTACGGCATTGAGAGCGTCTCGCGTATTCTGAAGGCCGAGGCCTATTTTACTGCCCTCGACCTGGGCTACTTTGAGCCCATTCCTTGCAGTCTCTGCTGCACTGGGGTGCTCTTCAAGGTGCAAGTAGTAATCGCTCACAAGCCTGTGTGCGAAGGGAGATTGCTCAGCAGCTGTCAAGCCTTCCGTGAACAGGAGCAGTCTATCTTCAGGACGTATCTCCTCACTTGGCTCGTCAACCTCGCTCTTTGGAGGCGCTGGAAAGGGTGAGAGTTCACTGCTCAACCAGCCTTGTAAGATACGAGCGATTCCACTCTCCTCGAACAACACGACATATTCTCGCAGAATCCCAGCATCCAGGTCTTTGAGGTCATCCATATCCCTGGATTCCAGTACAAGGTCCCACGCTAGGCGGAAAGGGTGGTGGATGATGACCATGCCCTCAGCAAGTGTCAGTACCTGGTCGAGCTTTGGGGCTTTCTGCTCGATCGGTAGCACGACTAGGGTGTCGTATGCTCGTTGAAGCAGTTTCTCTTCATGCTGCCGTCGGAGCTCATCATCACTAGACCAATTGATGAGCTGTTGGTAGAGCTCCTCGAGCTTGCTGCTGGCAAAAACCTCTCGCTTGACGTCAATGGTCACTTGCCCAATCTTTGCGCCAATTCGTGTTCGACGCTCGTTGATTTCCTTCTTCATCCGCTCTGCCTCTTCAGCCTCAGTCAATTCTATGAGTCGAGTGAGTGTATGAGACGCTCGAGGTATGCGTCCTTCCAGTGAGTCGTAAATCGGACTTCCTGGAAGCATGACTTCCAGTACCTTCTTGTTCTGCGCAGGGGTTCCATATTGCTTTGTAAAAGCAGTGAGCTCATCCACCGTCGACTGAGCACGATTCAGATCATCGGCCTTTGCGAAGTGCTCGGCGATTTTGACAGCAGCGTCGCGATATTCGTCGACTCGCTTCGGACCTTGTGCTTTGTAAACACTCACGAGTCCTTGCCACGCTTGAGAGTCGTCTGGCTTTGCCTTCGCCGCCGACTGATATGTATTGGCAGCTTCGTCATATTTGCTCTGCTTCTCCAGAGCACGACCAAGGAACAGTTTCGCGAAGTAATTTTGGGGATCTGCAGATAAGACCGAATTGGCGTGTTCTATGGCCTGGTCATACTGCTTGTTGTCCAGTGCAGCTTTTGCTGCTTTCAATGCAGCTTTGGCCGACATGGCCCTTCATGGATGTCGTGGGCAGTGCGTTCAGCGTAGTCGTTCCCTGCGACATGTGTGTATGGTATGGGATCCACGACTCGCGAGTTCTGCGATGGTGAGGTGCCGTTGACAAAATTGTCAGGTACCTAGGTATGGCTGTCTCTGCCTCTGCGTGTAATGGATGTTTGCACTTGTGCCCGTTGTCATCAAGCTGACTAAGCCGACCCGCGACACATCTTCACGCGTTCTGCGCACTACATTCACTTCTTGTTGGTGTAACTGATGTCCAAGCCCAGCCCGCCACCATACATACCATGGATGCAGAATGGACAGCCTCGGCGCTGTTCTCCCCATCAAAGGCGCGCGTACAGCAAGCACAGGCCAAGGACTGGGCGGCCGTGGAGGCATGGATATCGAAGAAATATGGCTCACGCATACCACCTTTTGAGCGAAACGAAGACACTTTGCAAGCGCTCTTGGCCCTAGCCAACTTGAACGAGAACGCCGATGAGCAGCGGAGTCAAGTCGAGCGGATCGAGAAGGCAGCGCTCGCGAGTCTGACTCGTAAGCAGGGCGGTCTCCACGAAGAGGCGTTGCAAATGCTTCAGGCCGAACTGTCTCACGAGGCTCATCTCGATACGCTGGCTGAGACCGTAGTCGCTCTGGATTGCCCGAGCACCAATACACAGGACGTTGCTCGCCACATAATCCTGCTCAATACGACGGAGTTTCAACTGCGGCAGCAACTTTCCCAGGCCGAACAGCAATTGGCAAATCTGAAATTAGAATCCCAGCGCATGCACAATCTGGCCAAGGATTTGGCGAACCCAGACTTCGAAGCTCCAACCGACGTTGTAGACAATACGACTGAGTGGGTTAAAACCACCAAAACCCTCAAAGCCAAGGTCGCCGAATATGACGAGAGATTGAGCGCTTCGCGCCCGTCATCTTCGTCGAATGCACTCGAGCATGTTGATCGCAAAAAATTAGAGCTGGAGAAGCAGCAACAACGACTGAGAGACTTGGAAATGGAACTGAAGGCCTTTCAAGAGCTGCCCACTGATGCAAGGCTGGCTCGTGCTAAACTGGAAGAAGCTCGCCGACATCTGAGACAGCTTACTACACGAAGGAATGAGCTGTTCGAGAACCTCGCTGACAGCAGGTAACATTTCTAGATACATGGTCTCATTGTCTAGACAGATCTAGCCAGAAATCGTGATCTATGATTGGCGTTCCGGAGCGTTATATCCGTGCTGATTACGCCAACTTGCTGGCAAAAGCTGAGATGTCTTTGCCAACATCTTCGCCGGCCTCAATGCAGTGCCAATGGCCGACCTTACTGTAGACCTTGAGCTCCTTCACCTTACTTCCCAAAGAGTCATGAATAGACTGGCACCCGGCCAGTGGCGCAGACTGGTCCTCATCGCCTGCCAAAATGAGCACAGGGGTGGTCATTGATGAGAACCCGGGGTCTTTCATATTGATAATCGCCTCGCAATGAGACGCATATGATTTGGGATCTTGGCTGAGGATGAGCTCTCGGATAAATGCTCGCTGGAGAGGTGTGCTATTGGAGCCCGTGGCAGCTTTGGGCACCGTATTCGCCAGTGGCTCCATGCCGTCTGGAACCAAAAGAAAAGTCAGTACGTCACGTCTAGAAGCTGGTTTGAAAAATTGAGAGTTGTCACCTTTCAGTACTGTCTCGATTCTCGTCTGGAATACTTCTGGCTTTACGGACGACGGATTGACAGGACCGATGGCAACCACGCCTGCAAATCGATCCGGATGTCTCGCCGCCGCTGTCAATACCATCGGACCACCCATGGAGTGCCCCACCACGATCGCCTTGGGGATGTTCAGATGATCCATCAAGCCAACGACATCTTCCGCCATATCCACCAGGCTCAATTTCTCGCCTTGCGATTTCGACCCCGCCGCGCCATAGGTAGAAAGGGCGACGACTCGATGGCCTTCGAGGTACGGCACCACTGGCATATAATAGTTCTGCGAACTTCCCAGGCCGTGAACGCACACAATGGGTAGTTTGTCTTCTTGGACCTGGAAACCTAGCTGTCCGCTTTCGACATATTGAATGGTGTGTTGGTTGACTGTGGCGAAGGGCATATTGTCTGAGCTCCAAATGCTGAGGCTATTACTCGCTGTTGCTATGTCGATGGAATTGAAGTAGGTTAGGTACCTGTACCTGTATGAAGTGATGCTTGATGAAGAGCGGCAGAATCATGCATGCCCGACCAATGATGCCATTCGGCCCTCTCTGTCTCTCCATCTGTGTCTCGCGCTCTCGGGCCGGTACCTCCTACCTCTTTTTTCTTTCCTCAGCCGGCTTGGCCATCGTGCTGACGTAATAAAGCTTTTTCCGACCCGATCCCAGGCGCGATGTCATCAGACTCCATGTCATTGCGAACATGAAGCATACAGGTACCTGAGCCTGACTGTACCTAAGGTACATACATACCTAGTAGCAGTGGTAGTATACAACCATACCGTTCTGAAGAGACAGCTTCAAGGATGAATATCCGCTGACTCAGGTCGGAAATACATAGGTACTTACATCACCTTAGGTAATCTTTGAGGCACGAGTCCAACTTTGAGAATCTATTACTAGGTAGATGTAGGCAATTTGGATCTAGACAAGTTGGATATAACAAAACACTTTGTATACTAGGAGTTAGTTCCGGTCGTTTGGCACTTTCGTAGTCTCCTGGAATTTTATACTGTTTGAAGGAAGGCCAGTTCAATACTCTGAAGTTGCTCTAGTAGGTGGTATCGAAGGGTACCAGGTAGGTATTGTCGCATTGATATGCCTCCGCGTGATAATGTCCGGTAGAACCGATGTTTTCCCCCTTCTTTTTCTCTTTTTTTCCCCCAAGTAGAACAAAGTGGTGATTCCTGACAATTCTACTGGTTCCGCGTCTGGGGGAACGACGGTTGCGAATCGACTTCGGCTTCGGCAACTCTACAGCACAGCCAAGCGTAGGCAAGCCTTGCCGAGATTCCGCCCGCTCACCTAACTTAGCCGAGACCTTCGATTTCGTTCCACTCCGCTCCACCCGCAGTCCCGCACCTCCGCCTTCTCAGTTTCTGTCCCCGTCCCCGTCCCACCCTCTGGACACGCTCCGCCCACGGCAGAAGACACCGGCCCAGCGATGATGATGCACCACCACCAACATCACCAATACCGATCAATCCATCTTGCTCCATCTCGTTCGGCGCGAGATCATGTGCTATACGCGTGCATGAAGGCGCCCCGACGGCGTCCCTCTGCCGGGGTTTGTGCGACGTGATGAGCCAATCGCATCGCACTATGAAGGCCATCCTTGCTGCTAAAAACCTGTCGAGCGTCGCGTCGCTCGCGATCATTGTTTGATCATTGATGTGACTGGCAAATTGGGCAAATGCCTTATCCCCGAGAATCCCACTCACCGTCGCGTGTGCGCGCCGCGGCGGAGGGCGGCAGATACCAGAACTGCCATTTCATCTAGCGCGGCGGCCGCCGTCTTCAATCAGGTAGGAGGAGAGCAATCCTTTGTTTACTGCATTGCGTTCCAACCATTTCCACTTTTGCTGCTAACGCCTGCATGGCCCAAACGCTGACCAACACTGCGCGCGCGCAAAGACGGGACCGACGATAATAAGATGTCGTCGACGCTCCAGGAGCGCGAGATACACCGGTACTACCAGCCATGGCTTGCGGCGCATGGCTCGAGTCTGAATGTCGCCAACCACGTCGAGTCCTTGGCCCAATGGGACCTGCAGAAGCAAGGCTACCAGCCCAAGACCAGCCGGGATAAGGCCATCACCGCGTTCACCCAAATTGTCGCTCTGCGCCTGAACGTATCTCGCTGTATGGTGTCGTTGATAGACGCCAACAATCAGTACGTTCTAGCAGAAGCCACAAAGGATGTAGGAACCCCTGCGGAAGAGCTGTGGCTGGGCAGCGCGATCCTATCCCGCACGGATGCTGTTTGCGAGCACACATTCATCAACACGTGCAGCGCGCCTGAGGAGGATGGACGGTTATACCATACCAAAGGCATGATTGTAAATGATTTGCGTCTGGACGAGCGGTTCAAGGATTTTCCTTATGTGGTGAAAAAACCCGGCCTGCGATTCTATGCAGGAGTGCCCTTGTATTCTCGCAACGGATACATGATTGGAGCGATCGCAGTGGCGGATGACCAGCCACGAAATGGCTTGATGGCAGATCAGTTGCGGTTTATGCAAGAAACGGCGCAAGGCGTACTGGAACACCTCGAATGGGCGAGAGATAGAGTGGATCGTTTCAAGGGAGAGCGTATTGTGCGAGGTATGGCTTCGTTCATCGAAGAATGCGGGTCGATACGTGAAGGAACACGACGAGAGGAATCCAGTGAAGTGAGATCGGAAGCGGGCCAGCGCTCGACAAGTGCAGAGCGAACACCAAAATCGAGTCCCAATGCGAAGCAGACATCGCGAGCATCGCTGACGGGCAAGAACTCGGCCAGGCGAGTGCCGCTCGCCAGGCATAGAACGATACATAAGGCTGACGGCATGTCTCGAATGTTCGCGACAGCAGCAGAAATTCTTCGAGAGTCCACTCTAGCTGACGGCTGCGCCATTTTCGGTGCAACTGCTGATAATGGCCGCACGAGTATTAGAGCGACACCTCATAACTTGGACGGCGTCACCGAAAAGAGCGCCGGCACTGTATATGGCCAACCATCGCCAGAGTCTTCCTCGGAGAACGGTGGGCACGACACAAACACTTCTGACAGTGACAGCTCTCCCGCCGCTCGGCCATGCAAGATCCTGTCTTTCGCAGTGGCCGACGAGCAGGCCCGAGGAGACATCGAATCGGGATCTGCATTGACGCTGGCGACGCTGGAGAGATACTTTGCCCTGGCTCCACAGGGCAAAACGTACTCATTCAATGAAGAAGGCTCGGGGGCGTCGTCTGAAGAAGAGAGCGACGTCCCGAGCGTGACAGAAGCTGGTAACGACGTGAACTGCTTGGGCGATGTGAACAACGTTACGAGTCGCGCACGCCCTAGGAAACGACGAATTATGGACCACAAGGAGCTTCTGAAAAAGATTCCGGGTGCGAAGACGGTCATCTTCTTGCCATTATACGATGACGCGGAAGAAAAGTTGATTGCGGGCGCTTTCTTGTGGACTTCGGTGACAGGCAGAATGCTGCAGGACTCGGATCTCTCGTACCTACGGGCTTTTGGGAACTGCATCGTCAGCGAAGTTGTTCGAATGAACATGCAGAGGAACGAAGCCGCCAAGACCACTTTTATCGCGTCCATGAGCCACGAGTTACGGTAAGTCTGTCTCATGGAATCCGCCCGTCGCAAGACGAATGATGGAGGCATGAATCATGGCGAGGGCTTGTATACTGATGAGTTGGCAGGAGTCCACTTCACGGAATTTTGGGAGCAGCAGAGTTTCTCATGGATACAGCTACGGACTCGTATCAGAGCGGGTTAGTCACTTCGATTGTCACCTGTGGCAGAACGTTGCTCGATACGCTCAACCACGTGCTCGACTACAGCAAGATCAACAAGCTCGGGCGCACACAGATGAAGAAGCGGGCGAAGCAAAACAAGCCTGTCAACCTCGCTTCGGACTCGACGCTCGAGAGCATGAACCTGACGGCCGATGTTGATCTTGGTGTCTTAGTGGAAGAGGTCGCCGAGGCTGTCAACGCTGGCCATACGTTCAAGCATTTGCCCGATCTCACGAATGCGCACCGGCACGGAGCCACTGAATACGACAGTCTGACAAACCACGGGCCCGAGACAGAGAAGGACAGGCCAGCAGCTCGTCGTGTAACCGTACTACTTGATATCTCACCGCGCCGCAGCTGGCTTGTCAGGATTCAGCCTGGCGCGCTTCGACGAATCATCATGAACCTGCTGGGAAACGCCCTCAAGTACACCTCTTCCGGCTTCGTGGCCATCTCATTGAGAGCACAAGAAAGCACGGACAAGTCCAATACCAAAGCGCTCATTCGTGTCGTTGATTCAGGAAAGGGCATGTCAGAGTCTTTCCTCAGAGACCGCTTGTTTGTGCCATTCTCACAGGAGGATCCCTTCCAACCGGGCACAGGACTGGGGCTCAGCATCGTCAAACAGATAGTCGATTCGCTTGGTGGGCAAATCGAAGTCCGCTCGGAGGTCGGCGTAGGGACTGAAGTGGATGTCACGCTGAGTCTACCGCCAGCGACGGGCGCGACTCTGCCGAAAGCGCCTGGCAAAGGAACAGCCGCCGCGGACGGGAAGTCTCGGGATGCATATGATGACCCCGGCCTCTTCGATCGCGAGATGCTCGAGGTCGAACAGAAGACCAGAGGTCGACACCTTGTCCTTCTCAATCCTGCACGAGCTCTTCAGCCATTGACGAGCGCTGCATCGCGGTTCCAACAGACACTCCGTGAGATTGCGATCAACTGGTTTGGCATGCACGTGACATACTCGACGGAGATGAATGTGCGCGATGCCGATATCTATGTGTTTTGTGAGCCACCGCCTGTGGAGATGATGCGTGCCCAAAACCGGAAGACGCTCGCGAACGCCGACCAGACAGAGGCAGGATATGGCGAACGCGAGGTTCCCATCATCATCATGTGTATGAATGATCAGGACGCGGTGAGTGAAGTGAACGTAACCACAGTGTTTACCTAGGTAAGGTATGAGCCGATCGCTGACATGTTCTTTCCTACTTTGCAGCTCGAAATCAGCAGGAACCACCAGAGTACTCTCCGCGAGCTTGGCAGGGTCGCTGAAGTCATATCGCAACCATGTGGACCACGGAAACTTGCCAAGGCTTTCCTGCATTGTCTTCGTAGAATGGAAGATTTGAAGAATGCCACGCCAACAGAAGTGAGAGAAGCTGGTGCCAGAGCACATGATGAAGCTGTGCTCAACGACGACCATGCTGGGACGACTCATGACACTGAAGGGCATCGTCCTCGGCAGCAATCAGACGATTTGCGGAATAGTGTGAGTATGGCAGTATCATACCCTGCTGCGCCGCCGTTCGATCCGACCACTCCCTCATTGCAATCTCCTCCCATCGAGCAACAAGCAGTGGTCAAGGAGCTACATCAGTCCGGTGATGGCGAGTCGACACCGAAAGCGAGTGATGTCAATTCCAAGGACTCTATGGAACCCGCCAGACGGGCACCTCACCTGCTGCTAGTGGATGACAATAAAATCAATCGGCAGCTTCTGGTGATGTTTATGAAGAAATGCAATTTCACTTATCGCGAAGCCGAGAACGGACAGGAAGCACTGGATCAATATCAAGACAGCTTGGAACAGGCTACGACAGACACATGGGCAGATACGGAGATGAGTGGATTCGAAGAGGCAGTGGCGAATGCGCATCAGAATCGAAAGGACAGTAATTGCAGCAATGGTACCAGCACCAGCACCAGGAGCAAACCCGCCCCATTCGACTTTGTGCTGATGGATATTTCCATGCCGGTAAGACACATTTGAAGGGCGAATGACATCAAACATTTACTGATCAATAATGTATGCATGTAGGTCATGGACGGGATGGAAGCCACTCGTCGCATCCGGGAATTTGAAAAGGATCAGGGATTGAAGAAGACGACAGTGATTGCTTTGACGGGACTGGCGAGCGAGGGTGCCCGAGAAGAGGCTGAGACGGTTGGCATTGACGTCTTCCTCCCCAAGCCGGTGAAATTCAAGGAATTACGATCCTTGCTGGAGATGCGATCGAGAGGCGAAATCAAGGCTACAGTTGCTCGAAACTAGCCAATGGAGAGTCTAGACTTGGGATATGGGACGAAGCCCTTGATGACTGCTGCTGCTGCTGCTGATGACTTGTGTGTGTGTGCGTGTGTGTGTGAGAGGCTGTAAGAGCAAAGCCAAGAGTCAAGAACCTCGGCCTCCCCGTTCAAACACGAGAGAACAGGAAGCAAAGACGACGGGACCAGCCGGGAAGCGAAGCAGCAAAGGAAAGCGTCATTTCCCACCAAACCACGTCAAATCTTTCCAAAATTAAACCATACACACATATAGATTTTTCCCAGGATCTTGGGCCGAGCTTACTTTTTTCGCTAGACTGGAAACTTCACAAACCCCAGTTCAAACACGAGCCTCACGAGGCCAACTCCACCGGCGGAACTCCACAAGTCCATAAGCCAGTAGAAGCCAGTGGAAGCACAGAAAGCAGCTCCATGTCCCTCAGGACTTGGCTCCGACACTAATACCAGCCCCAACCAGCCTACCAGAGTCATTACTAGTGTGACCACCACCAGTGACCAGTGACCGACTTCCACCACCGCCTTCAGATCCCGACCAACTTTCACGAAAGAGAAAGAAAAAAAGTCTATTTACGAAAATAGAAATCTCTTGGATCTTTTTGACTTCTTCTTTTTTTTCCCTTCTGTTTCTGTCCAACTGGCGACAAGACAATACACAAGACTTTTTCCCCTTGCTTGCGTGAGCCTCGAGAGATTCTTTCATCATCAGCTCAGCTCAGCTCAGCCAGGTACAGTACATTGTACGGGTGGTATGGTATGGTATAGTACCGTAGTGGCGCGTGTCCTTTTCCCTCGTTTTTCTTTTGTTTTCTCCGCTTCCACGCGGAACTCTCTTTGCTCTCTCTCGGATACTCCGTATCGATTCCCGGTGGGATCCCTTCCCCTTCGCGTGGCTTCGCACTCGCCCGGTATTGGGTCTTACATGAGCCATGTGAGACAATCGAACCAGTGTTTTGCTGTCTTGGCTGCCACTGGGAGGTAGGGCACAGGGCATAGAGTGGCGGGCGGCTGGCCGGCTTCGAATAAAAAAGTATCCCGGGGTATAGTGAAGGGATACTGTTGGTTGTTAGTATATATATATATACATTACATGTATATATGATTCCCGCTAGAAGGAATCAACAGAGCCTCAACTGATACTAAGCTTATTTCCATATCGAACTTGGGACTTTGCACGGTATACAAGCCACTACATTACAGCCACTTGCCCACTGGAGTGTGCTTAAAAACTACAACGACTACCTACTTTACCAACACAAACCAACACCAACCCACCGCCCCACTACAACAACACCACTGGCAAACATGTTCACCCTCACCACCCTCCTCGCCGCCTCCGGCTTCCTCCTCTCAACCTCCCACGCCCTCGAATTCCCCGACTCGAGCTGCGCAATCTGTCCCCCCGACAATCAAACTCTTACCGCTTGCGGCCAGTACGTCTTTTTGTCTCTTCCCTCTCTTTCCTCCAACCTCCCCCCACTAACACCTCCTTTTTTCTCTCCATCTAGACGTTTCGGCAGCTGCTACGATTTCTGCGCCGAATCTCGCAAAGAATTCCCCGTACCAGAATGCAACGGCGTCTCGGACGAAGTGTTAATTTGCGAATACTTCAAGAGTGATTGTGGAGAATTATACGGTGGTTGTTATAGTAATAAAGGTCCGATTCCTGGTTGGGCGGTTCCCACTTGTCCTCCTGAGTCGGAGCCATCGAAGCCAGAGCCACAAACTGCACCGAAGCAGGATCCGACGTGTCAGATTTGTGTGGATAATATTAATGATTGTGGAGCGTAAGTTTTTGATCCCTCTCTTTTTTCTGCCTTTTCTGCCTTTTCTCTTATGCATAGATGCTAACGTCTTTTTTCAGATGGTATGGAGAATGCTACGATTTCTGCGCAGAACAACGCAAAGAATTCGATATCCCGGAATGTAAGGGTGTGTCGGGCAAAAAACAAGTTTGCGAATATATGAAGAATGATTGTGGGAAAGTTTTTGGTGGTTGTTATCCTGCTGAGGGGCCGATTCCTGGCTGGGGGGTTCCGGCTTGTCCTTAGATGATGATGATGAAGATGATGATGAGAGAAGGAGGAGGAGAGAGAAGGAGGAGGAGAGAGAAGGAGGAGGAGAGAGAAGGAGGAGGAAGAGAGAGAGAGAGAGAGAGAGAGAGAGGT